ATGGCGATGAACCACAGACAATTCGAGCTTTCAGCTACAGAACCTTTTTTTCCAGAGTGAACTGTCATTTAAATGAAAAGTCTTGATTTATTGGATAAATTCACAAGAAGAACTGTTCATCTTGAAACCAAATGAGCAATATTTCGTAGTCGTGCATTTTGCCCGGTTAGAGTGTGTATATTGAATGCGTGTTTTTCCCGTACACACACTCTGTGGTTCAAGATGTGCGAGCGAATACAGTACTCAATGTGACTGCTGCCAAATTACGTGCAAATTTTAAATATTCAAAAATGTTTAACTTTGTTTGTTCTTAAGCAAAAATTGTATCCATAGGCTTGAAAAATTTATAATAATATTTACTTTTAGGCAGTATGAATGCAGGTTTTTTGTTTTCGTGCCAAAGAAGTGTTATGGCGATAAGAAATTAGCATACCCGTCTATGGCAGACCTGGTGCTGGCTTTTCTCTATTTTCTCGTAGAAGACTATGTTAACTCCGGAGAGTCATATCATTACTCTGCAATCAAAATAAATAACTCCATGCATACTGTTTAAAAGTATATATTATTATGTATTTTTCAAGCCTATGGGTACAATTTTTGCTTAAGAACAAACAAAGTTAAACATTTTTGAATATTTAAAATTTGCACGTAATTTGGCAGCAGTCACATTGAGTAAAGCATTGTCAGTACTGCCCGTCGCCTGCTCACCGCCTCGGTATGTTATCCCGGTGCTGCGGCTCAGACAAATTTAAGATAAAAATTGCCACAAACGATACTTCTGCACTGTTAGTATATCTGCTCTCGCCAAACAACTCCCTGAGTCACTCGCAGCTATCGCCCTTAGCTGCAGTTACGTTATTTTCTTGAATAAATCTAATGTTAACTGGGTAGTTCCGGGTCCAAGTGAACTGTTTGCGTATTGATATGCTTTCGTTCATGTCCAGTCGACCTCAGCACGGTCGAAAACGATGCTGTCCCGTTATTCTCTGTACCGCACTTCTGATGTCGATAATTGCCTTGTGAGATGTTCTCCCCTTTTACCTTTATTGCGCATCCTAGTATCTAGCATAATATAAGATTACGGTTGCGACACAAAGTAATACAAAAAGGCGAATACGTGCGTAAGTGTCCGTGCTTTCCTTTCCCCACAAGAAAAATTTCTTTTTCCTCTTTGATTAAAGTTTTTAGCTAATTACCATCACATTTAGTACATTTAGTTTGAATTAGATGTGTGGGTTTTTGGTTTTCTGCATGGACCCCAGCGCGATCGCCTACCCTACAATTTCTCTATATTCACTTATTCATATAATATTCGCAACCGTAAATCTTTTCATAGGAAGTACCGGAGGCCTGCGCGCCTTTTAATTTCCAGTAAAAATTATTGTAATAGGGAAACGAAGACGCAATAAAGGCTGTGTTTTTTTACAACTATGTGTTCATGTAAGTCTACTCAACCGCCCGCTTTCGTCCACTCGTAAAAATTATTTCATCATAATTAGTAGCGAAAAAATATTTATTCGAAAATGGCTTCATTACAAAATGACTTCAGCAAACTTGAACTGGGTAACGAAAGCTAAGTAGTTTAATCTGCATATAAAACCTGAGCAAGAAAATCTACCATTGTCCACTTTCGTCCATTTTTTATACTAGTGCTAATGATGAAAAAACCTGAAATGTTAATGGGCTTACTACGTAGCTTCCACCAAACAAAAAGTGAACGGGCTGTTAACTTTTCATTTCCACAAAACTAAATTTCGCCAAAAGCATCGTGTACACTGTACAGCAATAGAACACAGGAAGAGTAATAACGCAGTTTAATCGTTGCTAGCCAGAACAAAAGCAGACATCAAAAAAAATTTTAAAAAAATTCAAGAACGGTGCACAATTTGCGCAACAGCTATTACTACTTAGTGTCAATAATACGGTTTTTACGATTAATAAACAATATAATGCTTTTGCTAATAACATCAAGCGCAGTACCGCACTGGTATGAGTAGCGGTAAAGGTTTGAGTTATGATTATGAACAAAAATATGATAACCGGTAGGATCAAAGTATGATTATGATAGTGAAAGCCGTTTTGAGTATGAATTCTGAATTAGGAATAGGGTTATGAGTATGAGGACCGTTATGAGAATTAGGGTTTGGGAGCGCGCGACAGCGGAAGTTGCCGTGGATACATACAAATTTGGTGCTATGTACCGGGCCAAACCCCTTAAGACCGCGAGATATTGAGGTACTCAGACATTTCTAGACATTTTTAAAATTCGAAACTCTGGAGGCTCAGAAAATTAGAGGTAACGGCCCCGCGCAGCGGGGCCGAGTCGAAATATTTAGAAATATTTAGAAATTCTGGAAATGTAAAAGCTTTAGAGCCGACTTTGGAAAAATTAATAGTTATTTTGAGGTATCCGAACATGTTTTAAAAACATCTTAGAGGTTTCAAAAATTTAAAAAAGTTATAATTTTGATGGAATTGACAATTTAAATAACATACACAGATCTGTAGTTTAGGTTGCTAAGCTGCGAAACAGACCACAACAGTACTACAACGGTACAGTACAGTACTACAACTGTAATACTGTACAGTATACAGTACTGTAATACAGCTTTTAATATTATTGTATTAATACGCTGGCGATTAAGTGATAGTAGTACTACATTTAATTGCTACAACTATGTACTGAGTACTGTAAAGTACTCATGCATTGCCAAAATAAGTAATTTAATTAGTAGTACAGTACCTTTAAGTACTAACAACATTTTAAGTACTGTATTGCAACATTTAAAACGTTTTTAAGAACTGCTTTAAAACTGATAATTTTTTTAAAGATAAAGGTAGGAACGTTTGTGTGATGCTCAATTTTATAAAAATAATAACTTTTTGAAAAGGTCAATGGTGATTTAGGAGATAATTTCCAAAACTAACAACTTTTAAGTACTAAAAACCCTTAAGTACTACAACTTTCAAAAATTTTATTTAGACTTTCTCCAAAACTTGTGATTTTTTTAAAGATAATGGTAGGAACGTCTGTGTGATCCTGTATTTTATGAAATTAATAACTTCTTGAAAAAATCAATGTTCATTTAGGAGATAATTTCCAAAAAATAAGGACGTAAGGATATATGAATCTATTGATACCGGTTATATGTAAACCTTACATATAGCGCTAGCGCAGTACAAACCATGGCCTAAGCAATTTTTAATCAAATGCTGTTTTTGTAATACTTGTTTTATGCGCCTTCAAATGGCATCGTAAAGGTGAAATCGGAAATACTTTTCTGTTACAAGTCAGATGGATCACTAATTACCCGATATCAATAAAAACATAATAACTACCCTTGCGGGCACGCATATACTTGAGCCTAACAGAATCATCACCCGTAGCAGAAGATGATAATACGAGGCTTTGTTAACGCGCGTGCGAAAATTACAGGGTTCATATTTTGAAAGGAAATAATTAAATTACAGCTTACAAGCCCTCCAGTTCCGAATACCAATTAAACAGACCAAAAGACGTATACTGTAAATTATGAAAAATGTTGCAATCCATTTATGGCTTCTGTATTAATTAATAACGTGGCTCTATTTTGTCGCCCAAATGGTGTTAGAAGTAGGCATAAAGTTTGAAAGCTCTATCTGTAAAACAATATCTAAGTAATAAAACAAAAGTTGATATAATCATCATTTTAAAAATATGGAGAATAAATTATCGATCGCATTAATTTTTATATGACCTAAACAACTTTGTAAATGCACAGCATTTATCACAGCCAGCTGAATGCTAACAGCAGTGCTAACAACAAAGTAGTTCGTGGACAATCCATGCATACATGCATGCGGCCAGGCCTAATGAAATATGACAAAGATGTTTAGTATTTTGAAAATTATATTATTTTTTCCTGACCGCAGTTGCAAATTAATTCTATTTTAGCCTACTAACCCGCTCAAAGCACAGACGTACGTGTTTTATGAATTTGAACCACAACCAATTTACATGCGATGTATAGGTTGTGGTTCAAATACGACAATAAATAAGAGTAAGCAATTACGATGGCAGCGCATCTTCGTGAACTTGTCGTAACTATACGGTAAGTACTGGCTCGACTCTGTAAATGACATCTACAATAAAATGCAGCGGTCTTCTATGGCGTCGTGCTTCTCGCACAGATTCGACATCCATTATAGCGACGAATACAGCTACTTCATCGATCATAATTCACCTATACGAAGCCGCAAACAGGCTAATAGGACATAATCGAGCCTAAATGTTGTTTGGTCAATGATATTGGCCCACAGGTTGCATCGGTACGGCAAGAGACAGAAGTCAAACGTATATCACGGCAAAGATCATAATCCGCTGTATGATTTGATGCTGCTGGCCAGCGTAAATTATATTTCTGTTGGATAAAAGTAAACCGGGCTGCAATTGAAACTTTGGCAAAACATGATCCGCCTTCGGATAACATTTTATTATGAGTTTAGTGCACAGACGTCGTGCCGGGATATTGCATGTTGATTTGAACAGGCGGCTCAGTCAATTAAAGTTTAAGTTACTGCCTAGTCCCCTCGATACGATGCTATCACACAAACCGCCAATTCCCAGCACCTCCGCGTTGGCGCGTCACGATTGCAAAATTGTCCAAACGGTACATATACAAATTTAGCCTACTATTCCATAAGGATTTACAAAGTAAAGAAAGCTAAGTTGGTTTTCTGATTCCAAAAATTTATGCAGGACTAAATTAATTTAAATGATGCTGAAAAATTCCAACCAGTGGTGTGATAACTGGTAATTACCAGAACCAAACCTACTCGTAGGTTACAAAAATATATATATCTTTCGAGTGCAAACCTATCAGTGATGAATAAAGGTTTGTACTCGTTTTACTTTTTTTAAAGAGCAATACTGAGTCGTCAATTAGAGATGGAAGGGTTTTGCACAAACAGGCCAGTGACAAACGAAAAACCTGAAATATCATGGCCAGTCGCAAGAAACGTGATTTAGGCAATTTATCCACAATAATACAACATATTTGCAAAGATGATGTTTGGAGCATCACCAAGTTTTCAATGTAAAAGTCAGAATTAAGGCAGCCTAGGAGGCATATTGGCCTCAGAAAAGAAAGCATGACCTCTTCCTTGGCTCGTGTTCAACGAGGATTCAAGCACGCCTGGTACGGGAATACGGAGCGGTGCTGGCATGCATCTGGGTGCGACAGGTTGCTTCCACGGCGCCGCCGGGTTGAATCCGTCTATCCCAAAAAGCTGCGACAGGGCCATATGATGCAAATAATTATATCTATCTGCCCACAAATTATGCAGATAATTTACAGGAGGCAGATGAGAACTGCCGGTGCCATTGCTGCCGTTGCTACACCCTTTGGAAAGATTGTGCTGAAATCCACTCGGTGGATGACCGGAAAGCCATGGCTGATAAAACTCGCCGGATCCTGTACCCCGAGTATTTCGGGAGCTTGAATTAAAAGGGGAATAATAAAAACCAGGTAAAGCACCAGCTGATAAGAGGTGATTGGTTTGTGAATTCGTGGGAGCATTGGGTGGATTTGGGTCAGCTCCACAGGGAATCGCAATTTCGTTGCCTGACTCACTGGAGGCCACTTTGTCCGATTTCCGCCATTTGGCTCGACGATTTTGGAACCACACTTGAATGCGCGCTTCCGTCAAATTTATTCGCAGAGCCAATTCTTCTCTACAGAAGAAAAAATTTTTGCACTGGCGACAGGAAAATCGCGAAATATAGAGAAATTACAACTACAACTATACTACTCGTATTTTGTGAATATAAAAATCAGAGTTGCTAACACGTTTAACTTAATTGATGCATTGATGCACATTATATTGTAAAATTTATGTGTGAAGGGGCAGATATTAGCACAGTGTGTTCACTGTGTAAATGCTATTGTCAGCGTGGTACAAAGTGTTATGGATGTGACCTTTAGTATTATGCAAGTTCACTGTCCACGTGTCTTTTTCGAAAATTTGTATATTTAACATCTGATCATGAAGGAAAAACACTGCTTTGTCAGCTCTAGATCTATGTAAGTGGGATTGCGCAACAGAACTACGAGTATAAAAAGCTGATGTTGTTTTTCAGAAAATTATCAAAAGAAATCGATTTGATATTCTAAGCTGACGAAACTTAATAAACTGCAAAATCCCAACGTGCAGATTATTTTCAACATAAAATGTACGCGCTATACAATTTCGCTTTTGTTACCCGCGAACTCAGCCGATAGAAAGTTTAGACAGTTACCCGTAGTGCTGGCGTATTCACATGGTTTGTTGACCGCAAAAAAATTACGACTTTTAAAATTAATTAACACCATAAAGTTTATTTACAAATTTCATCATAGTAAAACTGCACTATGGCGCATTAAAATAGCCCACGAAATTACCTGTTAAAAACATCCGGATAATGCGTTTTGCTGAAACACTTTTCCAGTTCCTGCAGTTGAAAAGCCGTAAATGTCGTTCGATAGCGTCGTTGCTTGCTGTTTGAAATGAAACCGCTTTCGTGTGGTCGCAGTTTGTGTTTGGAGGATGTGGTGACATCGTCTGACGCTGTTTCCGATAATTTGTCATCCGCGTTATCAAATGCAGTGGGAGAATTACTGAACGGGACACGAGCGTCGGAAGAACCCATAGTTTCGGAATTTTGGCTGGCTTCAACAAACATGTCACCGTATTTTGTTTTATTATGCTTTTCGCCATTCCTGCGTCGTTCCAGGCCGCAAAATGCAGGGCTCATGACCAGTTCCGATGTCGCTTTGTCCATCCTTTTGGCTTCAGTGTAAAAATTAGTTGAGCACTTTTTTCGACAATGTCGAACAACCTCTTCAGATTAAACTGACTATTGATTGGCTTGCGTTCACCGAAGTCATACATACGTTTTTGCGATACAGCTGGAAATATGTCAGGTCGACCACGGAGTCAGTGAAATACGCTTCGCAGAGAATACCGCACATCTAATTAATGATGCAATATATAATTATACAATACATCGTGTCCGCGTAAATTTAATTAAAAAATATCTCCGCTAACCACGCGATCGATTGCAATTTGCAACAACAGTTTAACTGCAACGAGAATAATAGAGAAAATTGCTGTGACACTATCAGTGTGCGACTGACAAACGAAATCAGCCCAAGGGTTTTCATGATCAGAAGTGCACCGGTAAAATCAAAAGCGCATGCGAGTTGGACGCGTGGGTTCTACTACACACGTACATGGACTGGACAATGAGGACCATTAATAATCAGCGAATGAGGAGACACGCCGAACCGGCTTTCGATAACTGCAGTCGACCTTTCGGCGCACATATCTACGCGCAAATCGTAGTCTGCCGTGCACAGCTCCCTGGCCGGCATAAGGAACGCTATTGTCCATAATTAATTAGTGAGTGCTGTGCGTGGCTTAATAATTGGTTGTTGACTTTCAGGTTGAATGTCGTTTGGCGGCCAGCAATGAGTGTTAGTCGGAGCTGGTACGGAAAGGGAATGGTGCAGAGAGCGAATTGGCGGTCAGCGGTGCGCAGCCGACTTATTCATCCATTAATTATGTTTTGCCACCTCCAGTAAATGGGCTGTCCTTTTCCGCTCTGAAATTAAAAATTTGTTCAGGGTTGGGTCAAAGTTTAAATTCAAACAATATTGTCCTTTGGCTAATGTTAGGACGAGTTAGGTTAAGTTAGCAAAAGAAGCGGCTGGTTCACTTGGATGCTGCTTATAATTGACCATGTGTCTCTTCCGGCCCGTGCTAATTTGTTTCGGGTTAAGGATTTTCAAAGTTGTTAGGCTGGGGCGGTGTGAGCGATAGCAGTGTCGAGTGTATACTATAGAATATCGACTGCTTACGATTAGATAGATTAGCATCGGTACACGTATGTAATTTGTGTGGGTGATGAAGCACGAAATTTTTTGTTATGTTTTGCGCTAGTATTAATTATGTGCACTTACATGGTGTAACCATTTGTTTATCAGTACACTCACTAAATGCCGGCAAATTGCTTGCCTATTGCCCATTGTCAGCCACATACCCGTGCGTAGTCTTTACAGATATGGTTAGTTAAATTACTTCCATACGAGCCTCCTTGTACTGTAAGTACCTATTACGGGACTTACATGGTCGAAATGCCAAACTTTGCAATCAAAAGTGTCGAGAACATAATGCGCGCAGTTTTAAGGTTCGTATTCTAATTACAACTGCAGTGTTTAAATATAAATAAAATATATATCACCATGAAGGAGTGGCGGCCATTCCTGGAATGCGAAATCAGTCAAATTAACAGTATACGTATCGTTTGTACGAACTACGAGTACTTTTAGTACGTACGTGCCTATATCATACCAAAATTATAATTTATAGTCCAGTCCACGCCGCTGCACCTGAAATGAGAGGATGGATGTTCGAGGTTACAACGGCCTCGGCTGCAAGAAACGTCGGGGCCGGAAGCCCAGACATAAAAGTCCAAACGCTTCTTTTAAACGCGGCTTCGTTGGAGCTGCCGTAGAAACCGAATTCGAACCATCGCGATCGAAAATAAGCGATCGGAATACCGCAAACCGGCGGCAAATACGGCACGAATCCGGCCGCCTCTTCCCGCTGCTTGTTTATACCGTTATGAATGCGGTGTTTCTTACTATATTGGGCAATATTAATTTTATTCACCCAGGATACATATTGTAATATTACATAATATTACTATTATGTTAGTTTAGTAATATTATGAATATTATTATAATTGCAGAATTCCCTAGAGTAATGTACGTACGCACCCCCAGTTAAGTCCCAAGCTGTTTCATCGCCATTAACGCTAAAAGCTATAAGCTGATAACAGTCTGTTAAACGCGAAGTGAGAATAGTAGGAACAATATACGTATATCTGCTAAAACAAATTTAATTTCGATATAATCACATCATGTAATCCTTAGAAAATAATGTTTCAATGCAATGTAATCCTTAGAAAATAATGTTTCTACAAAAAACTCAAGGATCTGCTGCGACAAACACAGTAGCACATGTACATACACTATGAATAGAAGTATTGTTGTATGATCATCCATACTTCTATATTTAATGATAATAAACTGGCAGCATAATGCTGGTGATAATTTTAACTACATTTTATTTTTGTTATATTGAGCAAAATAATTGATTTCTAATCACATACCTGCAATCAATTTGACCAAGAATTAAATCATTGGTTGCATGGCCCAAACGCAATACATATGCAGCGCACAGATACATACATACGGTATAATTATTTATATCAGTGTTAATAACTATCGCTGATGGTTCCTTTTAAAAATAAATTATTTAGAGTTTTTAGAAGCATTAATTCTTTTTTTTATTTATTAATAATGCAGTGTTGTTCTGGATCCTGGACAGTACAAAGCTGCCGAATTTCTGCGCTGAATTTTGAAGCACTAATGTTTTGATTTTCAAAGAATAGAACAACCTAACGAGCTGTTACGAATGACACTGAGAAGTACAGTACTATCTATCTATATTAGTAATAATTATTATATTACACGTATTTGTTTTATACGATTATTACAGTACACGTATTATTTAAGTTGTTTGTAATGCCGCGCGTAGAAGTACGTACGTTCTACAAAAATATAGCGTCTTGTGCGTGGCATCCATAAATTTTAACGTTACGGATATTAAAATTAATTCTGTTCAAGCAATCGCAGACAAAAATTTATATTAGGTGAGCGTTCAATTGTAAAAAATCCTGGAAATCAGACTAATAATTATAAAAGCGGAATACTCCGGAAACTGCGTTTTGCCACTAAAGTCTTTCACCACCCACATGTACAGGCTCTCGTCCCCTTTTTTCGCAGCACATTTTGTCTCGTGGCCGTGGGCCATCAATTTCAAAAACTCAACCGTGCATAAGGCATCGGATACGAAATAAAATCTCGCGGCACCACTTTAGAAGTGCGAATCAGATAAAAAGTGGTGCATCACACCAAGGATTATTTTATACTTTGCGGTGGTTGCAAAATTAAGCTCGAAAATAGGTTTTATTAAGAAGTTTGTTTTCCGGGTAGACAAGAGTACGAGTAGCCCATAAAAATAGAGGCTAGATCCCGAGAGGACAGTGTTGAGCTTTCCCTATAACAAATGAAATACCTAATTACCATAAATATTGGTTCGGTGAGCCTGGTTGTCGTTAAAGATGGCATTGAAAAACTTTGAAGATGAAAGTTGTGTGAAAATCCCGGAAATCAGACAACCGATTGCAAAAGGGACATCACGTTTGCTTCTGGCGGGAATGCCGCCATATTATAATCAATGAGCTGATATCGATCCTTCCTAATCTGATCATGTTGAGGAGTAAGTTTACCAGAAAGCAGTGGAACAGCAAATTACACAGTGTTTCCGAGGTACTTCAGTACTGGTAAAGGAAGGGATCGAAATTATTTCGGGATATGTTTCCCTATCGACTTTCATCAAGCGCTTTCCCGAACTTATATAGCGATTAACCTCCACGTATGTTTACTCTAGATGCAGCTCGTCCTAAAATTTTGCCGTTCAACTTAAAAAATAAATTACAGTTCTATCATATTTGAAATTGCTCATGTCCACAATGCACAATTTACAATCAATATTTAATGAGGGAATGCTCATTAAATATTGTCTGGCTTTCGGAGATCTTCTACGTACCGTCCCAAAGATTTCGCATTTTTTCACCCCCTAATTCCTGTTACAGATCGAAGATAAAACCGGCTTGACATGACATAGTAATAAGCTTGACATAGTAATAATTACTATAATTATGTAATAAAACTCTCAGCGTGAATTTTCGATAAAGTAGTGGTTTGCCGCAGGTATGTACCGTACAAGAAAATCAAAAACGTCGCCGAAACGCTGATTAAGTTTTTTTGGTTTGGATATACGAGTATATTTCACCGTCCTCCCTTCTGCTTTGCCGCTCCTGGTCTGGGTTATTTTATTTCCAAGTGCGAAAACGGTACTTTAATTTGTATACATGTACAAATAAATCTGTAATTATGTGCCGAAGTAGTCCACTGCAGTTCCGAAGTTCGAACAAAGGCGTGTATGCCGGCATATCATTTTTTCGCAGATTTTCTAGGATTATTTTTCTCAGTTGTCCAGATCGAGTGTATCGTTTTGCTGGTAGGCATTATACTGTATTAGACAATAATCGCTAACAACTGAGCAAAAAGTTTTGTCGCGTTTGAAGAAGCTGGCTGCATGTTATGGTTTTTTTCCCCACAACAAAGCGTTATATTGCATGGGTACTGCGCGATATTACGAATTTTTGCATCTGCGAGAGACTATGGTGAGCTACTTAGAGTAGGAAAAGGTTTAGAGGAAGTACTTTAAGCGTTTTTGGAGATTGTTCGGTTTTGGAACGCAGAGTTTATAAAAGTTCAGGAGATGGAGAAGTTAAGGTCTTCCGTTTTTATGAAACAGTACGTTATCGGGACCGTTGCTGCAAGCTGGCGCGAGGCCACATACGCATATCCCCCACCATAAAGGCGACCATGATCATGAGCGCTACAATTAGGCAACTTTTAATACAAATACTGTAGTATCTGTATAAATTTGCTTGAGCATGTCACCTGTCAAAACGACACGCTTGTTTTTGTATGTCATTTTAGATTTGTGTTCTGAAAAATTCCCGCCACCAGCTACTATTTCTTGTTGGCTTGTAAGCTACTACATTTGTAAGAGCTCTATCATACTCTTATGACGCAAGAAAGGCTTTGCCTCCGATGTGTCATCTACAGAGTACATCTAACATTAACCACCAAATCTGGGGTTAACTGCATTTACTTTCTTATTTGGAAGCAACTGTGTAGCTTATAATTATTTTCACATGTATTTTCATGCGCTTCCTTTTACTTACATGCTGACACTCATGATCTTTAAATAGTAAAGGCCATCGGAATTCTATGTTCTGTACAGTGTGTACTGCACGAATCTTGCTGTCGACGTTGAACACTTCCGGCACCAGGCGCTGTTTGGGTCATAATGGTGCGTGTTTTACATTGGCAAGTGGTAGATTACAGAAGATACGATAGGAAACCGGCGAAAAACGAGTCACGGAATATCTTCGTCAGCGGAAAGCATCGAAATCCAACGAGAGAATGCGACATCGATCACGTGGACAGCACTGATGGGAGCAAATTTGGATCAAATTTTCTCTGTGATTAGGCTACCCCTTTCGATTGATGCTTAATAAGTGATTGTTTTCGAACTTATTATAAAATTTTTGGTGAAGAGAGGTAGGTTTCGAAGGAACCTCGACCACATGAACAATGAAAGGTTAGCTTGTTTGCGATGCAGAGCTTTTCTAAACCGCGGCACCACCCTTTTTTAAACCCCTTTCTAATGATAGGCAGTTTCGAGATACTTCTATACTAAATTTGGTGGCATTTGAAGCTTTTTGCTCTATTTTGTAGTTTTTCTGTTCAAATGTTTTAGCATCATTTTGCGTAGTATTCTGCGTATGCACTTTTTGTTATATTGATGGCTTTTGCCCAATAAAGATATACACAATGTTTTAGCAGACCGCCTGGGTTACTTCTACAGATCTTCTCGCGATGTTTATTAAATATACAACACAAAGTACTGGAGAAATAGTTTTATGTGCAAGTACGGTATATATACAATATTTGTAGGTACTGCACCATGCAAAACCGCGCCATGAACACGCCGTAAAGATAGAAATTCTGTTTCCGCACACAGCTTGCAGTGGTGGGATCCTTCTTGCCGGCAATTATCAATATTACTGCGCATCGGTAATTCCCTGTCGGTGAAATTACCTTCATGTTCTACTATACATGGTGCGAGTACATTACACGTGAAGTGGCAAGTAAAGTAAAAGAGATGAAAAGTAAAGGGATATGGTAAAGTTCCCACTTCCCAGTCCAGGTGGAGAAGGCCTCAAAATCAATGATTGCACATAAATGACAAACTACCGCCGTTTACAGCCGCAAGCTTACAGCGCAGTAAAAACAACTGCGTTTTTCTTTACTTCACTTTGTTTTAAAAGTGCGTATAGAACTGGTAACGTTGGATTAACAATCCCAGCAAATCTCAAGTGAAACTTTCTTAAATTTGCCAGACGATTGGTGACGCCTAGATACTGTTTGCATAAGTGGTTCGAATTATTACTCAAATGTTGATCTTTTCATATTGCTCCTCCACACAAGAAAGATAAATATTTTTGGTAAAGGGAAGCATGGTCTCATGCTAGCAGGTGTTACCATTTGTCGATGACTTCGTATTTCCATTTCCATATCATGGATGGTTCTCGTACTGTATTCAATATGGCCACATGGACGACATTACGTTAGGGGCGTAGCTGCATTACTAACTATAAATTTAGGTAATATATATCACAAATAAGGTGCATGCCCAAATATATGTATAATGAAATGCATGAAATATGCATGTGCATGCATTTAATATTAAATACTTCACAGATCTTTTAGAAAGCAACTATTTCGCCTTATAACTGTACGTTATCAGTTTGAGTATATAGTAGTTAAGTACAGTTACTACAGTAGTACTGAATATAATTAATATCTGTATAGCTGTACCAACAATCCTATAACAGAAAGTTAAGTTTTACGCGCGTTACAAATCATTTATTATATTTTAATTATATTTAGGTCACTGGGTAATTTTCTTTTGCATTTTGCGATGATCACTTAACACTTGAAACAAGCAATAAACAAACAATTTTCATTTTTAATACTATACGCAGAGTGGCATGTTGACTTTTACTATGGAAGTACGCATACCGTATTTGCGACCTTAATATAAAATTATAAAAATGCAACAAAGACGCTCTTGTTTTTAAAAAAATAAGATTAAAACTTGCCCATTGAGTGATAACTGCATTCTATTCCAGATTAACAAGTACCTGGCCATTATGTGCTATCCAAGAGTGCAAGCAAATTCCCCTTCTCAAGTGCTTAATCCTGCTGCTGTTGTGAGGTCACCAATATTACTAGTTAATGCTGTCTTGCAGTATGAGCGGCTTTATCAAAGATGCTCAAACGACGATAATTAGCAGAAATATATAACGTGGTATACAAGTATAGCAATTAAATTGCTGCCTCAAGTACTATAGTTCAGCCAAAAATGAAATATTTGGTGATACATTAATACTAAATAAAGTTTCGATCGATAACGCTATAAATTCGCCATATCTAAGCTTTAAGAACGCTCTTTCGATGCAATAATGCGCCACTTTTTCTAATACTTGGAAAGGTCACCAACCGTTCCAGTTCATCTTCCGCAGTGTCGGAGCTGGATGACCTTTGTGCATGACGTGAGGAAGTATTGATTCGTGTCCACGTGTGCTGGTCGTTGTGGAGATCGGGAATATCTGTCCTTGCAATCAATTTATCGATACCGAATGGTAGCACTGAACCGGGCAGTCCATCGGCCTTTGTTGACTGCGCTTGCACCTTTACTGAATGCTCTTCTGTTGGCTGTTCTGATACGGGACTGCTGTCACGGGATGAATCGGCCGTTGCACTGCGCAGTGGCATACTATTGGGCAGCTGCTTCGTGGTTATCTTCGATTTTCGTTTTCGCCGACGAAAATTGCCGTTCTCAAACATTTCTTCGCAGTTCGGGTCCAAAGTCCAGTAGTTTCCTTTTCCCGGTTTACCTTTTTCTCGAGGAACTTTTATAAAGCAGTCATTCAGACTAAGGTTGTGTCGAATCGAGTTCTGCCAAAAACCATTGTATGTGCAGATAAACCACATCTTGGTAATACGTATTAATATTTCATGCTGTACTTATGTCATATATCATACTGTACCCTATACACCGTGCTTACGTATATGCATGCCATCTAATGTATGTTCACGAATTACCTGCCAGCCTTGTTTGTTTTCATGATAATAAGGAAATTTGTCCATTATAAATTTGTAAATTCCACTTAAAGTCACTTTCTGATCCGGAGCGGCGCGGATGGCCATGGCGATTAAAGCTATATAGCTGTACCTGTGTGTGATGGAAAACCGAAATCAGTAAATGCCAAAGCGTAACTTAAATTCCGTATTAAACGCATACGGAGGTTTTTGATGTTTGACCGGTTTAGGCGAAGAATCCAAAATAGTTCCACACTGCTGCCCAAATGGAAGCGGAGGAAACAGTGGGAACGGATACGATCCAAATGGAAATCCCGGAGCAATACCGGCAAATTGTGATGGATACAGGAAAGGATTAATATTGGGAAATAAAGGATAACGCGAATCTCCTAAGCGGCCGTACATTTTTTCTCCTGAATACTCTTAGTCTAGCAAAAAATTTCAACTGCGCAATGCCAACGAAACGTTATGGTTGTTATAAATGTCAATGTGGATCAAAGCGTTCAGCTATTGATCAAACTCCGCCTTACCGCAAATTCCAACCAACAACATTGTGTTTTAACAGCCTAAACATCACCCGTGTGTGACTAGTGTATTTGTCATCTGGTATGCAACCAGCTCCATTGGGCAAATAAAGGTTGTTTTATTTCGCTCACATTGAATTTCATATTTAATGATAACGTAAGTCCTTGCCTTTGTTTAACCCTTTGTTGTTAGCTTCATAATTTCCGTTTGGTATAAATTTTGCAAAATCTTCGCCATTTTATGTACTGTACGTCTAGTAAAAGCGCAAGAGTAGCATTAGTTACAAATTCGCTTAATTACATATAAAGGGGATACTATAATAATAACGGAGCACACAGAAAAACAGGCACACTTTCAGTACAACTTTTTTTTACGTTTTTAATTTCCAGTTTTAGATTTTTTATAAAGTGATATAACTGTGGGATGTCTCGTGCTAGCTAGATTTTATACAACGCTATCGAATTGGTACTTAAAGCACGATAGATTCCCTTAAAAACAAGAGTAAATTAATGGCAGATGCTCCAAGCGATCTGTGCTTCTGTGTACTTCGCTGGCAGCGTAAGTGATGTTTTTTCTCCTTTATTTGCAAACATTGCAAAATATGAAAGTCAGCAGCGCATTGGACTAAACTTTAAAAAGTCATTAATAATCGCGTTAATCTGTATAGTTATGTCAGCCCACATATGGAGCGATGTATATATAATATGTATGCTTACTGATGTACAGTAGTAGTAGTTGTTAATTGCGTTTGTAATCAAGTCACACAATGAGTATGCACGTACAATATATACGTATAAAAAATTACTGCTGCAGAGTTAAGATCCTGGGGTATTGCGCTTGGTACAAATTTCTTAGCTGACGCTTACGCAGGATAAAGTTTTCTTGCCAGTGCTAGCTCGGTACTCGGTAGTGAATTTTATACCATGATTATTCAACAGAAGTATTAATGTAGTGTTTCGCCATAAATAATATGGTTTGTTTGTTATCGTCTTATCAATACCATTTAGTAGCATTAGCCGCCTCACCGCTACTGCTGCCGGGCGATCGTAAAAACCATTTAGAATCATTAGGTACCACTGCAATACATACGAAATAAATACATTGAATTTATTTGTATAAGAATTTTATTGTTTCGAACCGCCTGTTTGCTTTATTAACACTATATTTAACTACCCGGTTCGTTTATATGCATAAAGACTGTACGCATATTATTATTTAAGATGCCAGGTTATATAAACATTTGCCGTCGATATCAGCAACATCAGCCTTATGATTCCATTTATGTTTTGCAAGTATCAAACTGAATAAATGTAAAGAATTCAAGCTTGTCAAAGTTTTCTTCGAACTGATTCCACTGCAACCTTATAGTGCTACAAACATATTTTGTATAATAGTGACTAACTGCTTAAAGGATGTCACAAAAACATACTTTGCGGTTTTTATTCCACACTGTCCAAGCTCTCCCTAGTCCCCACATAAAATTCTCACTGTCATCTAATAAATGCATGTTCTACATTTTGTAATTTATGTGATAACGTATAAACACAGTATACTGTAGTATTAACCTTACAGTTTAAATTATAATGTAGTTAGCAGCTAAAAAAATTTAATTCTATATAATTTTTTTAATGATATAATTTTTTTAATTTTGTAACTGCAAAATCAATGCAGCATGGAGTCCACATGTAAATGCAAATCGATAAAATAAATCGGTAGCATGCAGCGTCGTAGTGCAACTGCGTCGAAAAGGACCCGGCATATTGCTACTGCTTTCGGCGTTGTTATATTCTTTGTATATATATATATTTTGTATATATATATATATATATATATATACTGTATATATATATATATATATATATATATATATATATTTTGTCTTTGTAAATGCATGTTGGAAGCGTGGCCGCACTTTCTAATCTCTTTACGCTATAACTTGTTAAGCAAATGCGCAACTTGGACTAGTAGTGTAAATACTTGTACTGCCAGGACGGTGCATAAGAGCAATATTGCTGGTTTAGCCTTTCATGCCAACTATGTTTGCGTTCGTGGGCCATTGCTTATTTATTTTACTGACTGCAAAACCATAGTTAACACGAAGAAACATATTTCCGAGATGGATGGTGATGATGTTAACAATCCACTGTAAAGAGTGTGTGCCCTGTGGATGATGATCAGTTTATTTTTCTTTACTCAAATTGGCAAGCACGCAAAGAGGTTGACAGTTATTTTAACGCAGTTCAATTTTGTTACACATTGCTTTCATTGCACTCTCTTAAATACAGTGCAAGATAAATACAACACATGTTCCAATAATTGTCTGTATTTGCATATGGTTGTATACACGAAGGAAACGCATTCTGGTTGGCTATAATTCATTTATTTATCTGACACGAACATTTCTTCATGTAATCCGTATTCAGGACGTGATAAGTTGTGTGCATATGGAAATATTATTCCATCTTTACATAAAAGTTTCAAAGTAATGCTGACAGCAGGCGCTAGCCGACTTTATTGATATGGTACACATAGAGCTATTGCATCAGCAACTTGGAAAAATTTTTGCTTTGTGAAGAAACAACCCAAACTTTGGTTAATTCAGCAGAAATTGCTATAATAAAGACTGATGCATTGTATGTTATCGGTTTCAGTCAACTTACAATGTGGAAGGTTATATTAAGTACATTATTTATATAGTTCAAAAAGTTGAACTGACTGGGTTTCTTACAGTTTAAGTTCAAGCAAAAATGCTTTCTTTATATGTACAGATTATTGTTAAGTTTAGCGATATACAGCGATTGTAGGCACTCGTATTTACAAAATCGTATATCGTACAAAATTCAGTCAGATAAAAAAAAGTCAGTTAAAGTCAGTTAATTCAGTCAGTCAGGTATATAAAAAATGTTTCCCCCAGTAAAATGTTTTTTTCACCCTTCGCGATTGCTTATATGCTACCATTGCAAATATGTTTAATAAAGCGTGTAAATACGAGAAAGAAAAGTATATACTTGCATATACATATATATATGCATTTCCATGTGAGATGCACTGTAATTATTTGGGGCTGCATTAATTGTCACCTGCATGGGGGTCAAGCTTATTTTGCAAGTATTTCTACTAGATGTATTGTGCAGATACTGTATTTATTCTTCTTCGGTCTTATTGCTTTTGATTGAATGAGAAATTTTTATCGCGTCTATGATAGTATACAAGTTTTGAGTGACCATTAGGTCTAGCAAAATCAAGTTGGCAGTGGTCTTACGGCCAAAGATCTGTCACAGTACAAGATTCTGTGGCACTTTAAAGTAGCGAAATCGATTGATTAAAAGTTATTCGAAAAATCAAGCATACAAATTTTCCGAGATCCGCATAAATTTGTTTTAAATTGTTAAGTGGAAACAGAATTTTGTGTAGAATTTTTTGGGGAAACAGAACAGCATTTAACCGAAGTCAAGTATTAAACTGACTAAACCCCATGGTGTAGTTTTTTTAGTGAACAATTGCTATCACTACAATTAATTTGTGAATAATCGTAAGCTAATACTCATCCGTGCTGGACTTGTAATTAATTTATTTTTGCTTAGTTTGCCCAGTTTATTTTGCGCTTAATAGTTAATCCACAAAATGTTACCATAAAAATTAAAATAAACTGGCAAGGTTAAAATTAATTTGTACCATTGTGACAAAGAACTTTCGCAACGGGTTGCGAATTACCCCGTGCGTAATACATAATGTATACAATACTGTAATCTCCGACAACTGATTCGGCATTACTACCTTTGGTAGTTGTGATAAGTTTATGTATAAACGGATAACGCTTTTGCAACTGATTTAGATAACCCTTTGACTTCGTTTTCAGGTCATGTGGGTAATGAACTTCCGTAAATAAATTTTGACTGGCTCTCAGACTTAATTAAGTCGCAGTCGCCCTTTACTAATAGCGGTCGTTAGCGGCGCGGATGTTTTAGTAAAATATGTTATACATAAATGGAAGCGTGCAGTTCATTTCTTAAGTGAATTTTAATATATTAAAAAGCAGAAATATGGATGTAATGTACGCTGCTTTAATATATAATTTCCTGACACTAGTGGTAACCATTTTTGGTTCCTCTTCGTCCGAGATAAATGGAAAACCTTGGCGTCCGGAAAATTTCAAATCTGCCTTCAATAAATGTGATCACTTGGGCGAACCGTTAATTTTAACGCCGTATATCAAAGCCGGTGACATCAAAAGGGCTCGACAACTTAGCACGGTCCATCTGCCTTTCGTTCCCGCAGTCAGTCATAGTGGATTTCTGACGGTCAATGAAACTGATAACGGAAACATGTTCTTCTGGTTTTTCCCCGCGGAAATCGCCGAACCGGAACTTGCGCCGGTTGTCGTTTGGCTGCAGGGAGGTCCAGGAGCCACATCGATGTTCGGTCTGTTTGTGGAACACGGCCCATTTTATGTGAGCAAAAAAATTGTTATGACAATACTTAAAGTTAACATCGGGTTTAAGTGTTAGTTACCAAAATATAAATTCAAGCAGGCGTGCAGTGCGCTTTACAGTGTGTAACCACGCAGCCACGATATACATATAATAAATAGAACATGCTTTTTTGAAATGCGATATATCGTAAATTCATCATAAGGAAAATTTTTAATTTTGTTCGACCTGCAGTTGCAGAACTCAATTATTCCTCTGCCAAGACCGTATCGTTGGACAAAATTGGCCAACATGCTGTATATCGATAATCCAGTGGGAACCGGATTCAGCTTCACCAACACGACAGATGGCTATTCCAGAAATCAGAAGCAAGTTAGCATGAATCTCTATGAAGCACTGTTGCAGTTCTATACCATGTTTCCGCAATTTCAAACGGGAGAACTGTACATAACGGGAGAATCGTATGCCGGCAAGTATGTTCCTTCCTTAGCCTACCGCATCCACGTATCGAACTGGAACGCCACTCTTCAACTGCCTCTAGCCGGTAAGCCCTTAACTCCTAACAATAAGATTAATGATCCTGATGACAAGTTTACACAGAAACAAGATTCCCGTTTCTTGGTTTCTTACGTCTGAAACTATTCAGTGGGATTACTGCTAAATTATAAGTACATTATCTGTAGCATACAGAATTATTAGGTTATTCTAACATAATATAAGTAATATAAGTACAGCAGGTTGCAAAATGGATTCCGCAGTCTGTACAACATATTCACTTATCTGTTGTGCGAGTACTTCTGCTTCGAAGTGTAAAGATAATATTAGGCAAACTTAAAGATAATTTTATTTTTTATGTACTTTGTTTAAGGCATCGCTATTGGAAATGGTCTTGTCGATCCCGCTAATATGTTTCATTACGGCGATATGCTGTATCAGTTCGGCATGATCGACGAACTGCAGCGGGACTATTTTCATACACAGGAAGATGCATTTCGCATTGCTGTTTCCGATTACCGTTTCCACGACGCATTCCTGATTTTCGATAGCCTGCTCAATGGCGACAAGATCAGCTACCCCACCTACTTTTACAATGCCACCCATTCTGAGTATTATTTCAATATTTTGCGCACAACCGCTCCCCCGGACTTTGGCTACTACAATAAATATCTCGAGCAGTGCGATGTGCGCCAGGCCATCAATGTCGGCAATCAGACATTTGCCAATGGAAGTCTAGTAGAGGATTTTCTGCTGGAAGATATCCCGCAATCGGTTAGGACAAAACTGGAAACACTGGCGGACAATTATAAAGTGCTGATTTATAACGGTCAACTGGATATAATTTGCGGCCTGCCATTGACCGAAAACTATATTAATCAGATGGATTGGTCAGGAGCAGATGCGTATAAAACCGCTAAGAAAATTATTTGGAAAGTCGACGATACCGACAAGGAAGTCGCGGGTTACGTCAGACAAGTGAATAAATTCTTCCAAGTGGCAGTACGAAATGGTAAGGCCGGTTGACCACTGACCTGTAGAAAATCTTAACATCAATGAATATTTAGGTTATCTGTGCAGTTCGAAAATTTATTTGCGTAAAACCTTGAAAATCATTTCATCGTGAAAAAATTATTATTAAAACGGTTCTTACAGTAATTTTGATATAATGTGTCTGTACTGGAAGCTGTTAGTCTGTGCAGTTATTTCAAGAAAAAACTGTTTCTTGAATGTTACATTTTTTATTGCTTTCTTTCGCTTTTCAGGTGGACACATGTTACCTTATGATCAGCCCCGTGCTACGTTCGACATGCTCCGAAGATTTTTATTCGGAAAGCCATTTGTTAACCGAGGAAAATCAGCTTCCGCATCTTCTAATTCAGGGAAAAAGAGCAGAAGCAAAAAGCATGCACACTAATTGTTCTACGATTTATGATGAGCGAAACTAAAACGATTTTGCGATAACGGCTGGATCTGACTGTAGCTGCCGGATTTTCTGATATTTCTGTGATTTGTTTTCTGGGCTAATAGTAATTGTTGCACCGTTACTCTAAAAATGGATATAAAAATTCGATCGACTGCTGGAATCAGACTTCTGTGAAAAGGTGATTTTTTGTCAAAATAATTATGGAGCTGTAAAGTGTATGGTTATTGAAACCAAAAATTATTGTTTAATTCTGTTGCTCGCGTGTGCTGTAACCGATCGACGACGGGGTTTGCCGGGTATTTTAATGGGAAAACAATGATATACACAATGAATACAATGAATCAACAACGAAAAACACAATGATCTAACAACAAGCACAAACGCCCCCCATGGGGAATATTGAACACGATGAAAGAAAACACAATGAACCAATAACAAGCAAACACCCCTTCCACAGCCCTTCCCAGGAAAAAAGGGATAGGGTGGGTGGGAAAATCGCGTTCGACGTGAACTACATCAAAATCTTTGCAAATGAACACTGAGATGTAAAGCTGCTAAAGGCAGCATGAAACCAGAGCAATCTCAAGGAATACCATCTGACCACCCAGATGGCCAGCAATAAATCTCAACCGCGACAGCACATTAATGTCAAAGGCGAGACAAAATCATGCCGCTCGCCAGAATTAACATTCATTATCTCCGATAATTCCTTTTAATTCTGTTGCTCGCGTGTGCTGTAACCGATCGACGACGGGGTTTGCCGGGTATTTTAATGGGAAAACAATGATATACACAATGAATACAATGAATCAACAACGAAAAACACAATGATCTAACAACAAGCACAAACGCCCCAAACAAACCCCCAAACAGGAACATAAGAATATCCAATCAATGACCAACGTGGCAGCTGCAGCACTGATACGGAAACTGTAGAAAGGAAGGCAATGCTGGTAACAGACGACGCAAACTGCGCTTAAAATAATTCCGAAATCACGGTGACCGATTATAAAGCAGAGAAATGTGCATCAGCGCCAAATGTCAATTGACACACAATAACAGGAATATAGAATAAATAAGTACAGAAACTGTACAAGTGACGAATCAGCAGGATTAAAATATACTGCACAACCATAAGAGAATTGGTCAGTTTTGGAAAGTAGGATTATACGGGAAACTTGATGATCGCAAAACCGTAAAATGACGAAACTTATCGTCATGACTTATCAATGAGCGATAACGCAAATTCAGACACAATGGATTCAGATACGCTGTGTGACAATGAAGAAACCGCAATGCGGGTTTCAGTAAAACACAGATGATATCCAGGGATATAGGCCAACAAAGAATTCAACGGGAACCAATCGCTGATTTCTGTAAGTGCAACATGGGAATATTTGTTCCCATACCGGTATTAACGGACGATAAATTAAACACTTCAGCTTCATTAATGAACCACGGAACACAACGTGGAAAATGTAGGAACTGCAGAAAGCGACTCAGTGCCCCGGAATATATTTCGGCATGGACACAGAAATGTGATCCTGGATTACATGTCTGAAGGTAAAATTCGAAGAACTAAATGGGAATAACGTTGGCGTGCGAGATCCGGTTTGGTGATCGGCATATCCACTGCTTTCCATCTCGTCCCATTGCGAATCAGCTAATCCGAGGCGTTAGATACAGTAGGATCAAAAAGAAATTTGAGAACACCAAAACGAATCGGATACGGTTAAGTCTCTGGGATGATAACGTAAAACGATCAAAAGTCATGTTTGATGTGAAAATCCCACGGAAGCAATACAACACAAAATTAGCTGAGCAAAGATGCAAAGTAGTCAGAACGCAAACAACTGAAATCAGAATTTTACGCACCCGGCAAGTTGCCGGACTGAAAGAACAGAGCAGCCGCTGACACGCTGGCAGTCGCAAGTGAAAAGTGGAAATATAATATATACTATAATATAATATATACTGTAATAGTTCGACGTTCGACGTGAATAGCCAATAGGCTCAATACATGGTGATGGACTGTATAAGCAGAATTATGGGACGCAAATAATATCTCGCGAACAAGACGAGAACGCACTTGATATCCAACAAATGTCCAGATCGATCAGCAGGATTAAAGAACAAAACTGTTTAATGATGAGAGAACTGGTCAATTTTAGAATTAGGAATCACTGTATAAAGCGATTAGGAGAACTTTATGACTGTCATCAGGCGGCAAGTTACGTAACTGAACAGTATGGTCATCACTGAGGAATGAAGGGAACTGAGATGCAAGCAGAAGGCAATGCATATTGTACACCCGAATTAGAAGCCATCAAAGGGAACCGAAACGACAACAAAGGAATCATGATGCGGGTTTCCACTAAACACATGTGACCAACGGATATAAGCATTAAGCGATTATGAGGCTTGATTGAGGCATCAAGCGGAACCAAACGACAAAATCATTGAAACACAATGAGACACAATGAAATAAAATTAAACAGATAAGAACTGCGGTGCCGCCGAATATGCCGCCGAAACGTTTTCTGCGTAGACACGGAAATGTGATGCTGGTTAACGCATTTCACGGTAAAATCTGGAAATACTAACCAAAGGCCACCAGAAAATATTGGTAATAAGTATTCAACGATAAATACAAGACAGATATATTACGGAACACACCGTTAATGGCACCAGTGAAATTAATTCAAGAGAGGCGTAAAGTAAAGAAAAAGAATAATATTGAATATGAACAGAGATATAATAAATAACAGGAAAACGAAAACAGGGATAATAAAATACGATTATAGCAACAGTGGAAATGAGAATACAATAAATAACAGCAGTAACAATAAATGACAATGAATAACACATATAAGACTGCAAGAGTAAAGAGTGTGAACAAATGAATCCAGCAATATTCCAGACTGAAAGAACAGGGCAATCGCCCATGTGGTGGTAGTCACAAATTTACTCCGATTTCGAATTATAGAGACACCGTTTACTGAAACTTCAATGAAGAGAACTTAAACAGGACGCTCTAAAGTAACAACAAGAGCAGGGATGTAAGGATAACAGAAATAAGGATATACAAACAATAAGAACCGGATGCAACAAACAACAGGAATAGAAATAACAGGGAGAAAGAATAAGAATCGCAATAATTATCACACGGATAACAAATATCAGGGATGACAAATAGAGAAATAAATAACAGGGTAACGAAGATAAAAATAATTCGGATAACAATGGGGATAACAATAACAGGACGAATAAAAATTATAACAACAAACAATAGTAAAACGGGAAGATAATACAGCAATTATAACAATAACGATCATGACCACAGCCACAGGACATAATAACAATAGTGTTTTAAATAAAAATAAGAAAGGTAAAATAATAATAACTTTAATATTACCAATAACAACAAATAATGATAAAATAACAATAATAATAATAATAATACATAAAATAATATATATAAAAATAAGGTAAAAAATTTTGTACACAAATATCAAATATGTATAAGATATAGTATGCATACAATACGATAGAATACAATGCAGTAATAAAACGTAATAATACATCATAATGTAGTACAGTTAACACAATATTATAATACTGTATTATATATTATAACAATATAACAAAAATAAAACATAATATAAAATCAAACACAATACAATAATATATACATATAATCAACATATAATAAATGACAAATACAATATTAATGATGATATATAATAATAATATTTATAATAATAATAACCAATAATAAAATTTATGTTGTAATGCATATCACAAATATGTAAGTACAACATGTATACAATATAAAATAATTTAATATATAATACTAATATCTATGTACAAATAAAAATCTATGTAAATAGATCAGAGCACATAGCTCGTATTATATAAATGACCTAATGGAAATAACAAATGTTGACATAGATGGCCGTCCACGTTCTAGAATGGTAGCCAGAATGCAAGCAAATGAAGTTAGGCGTTTGTGCACAACCTATGCCGGGCTGAAAGAACAGGGCAAAACCAATATGGTGATAGTCACAAATAAAAAAGCAAATATATTATGCAAATGGAAATTATTACTAATCCTCGATAAAGAAAACGTAAATAGGGACCTAAAATTGATGTACGAAACACAAGCGGCTATATACAAATCATGAGAGACACGACGTAATAATTGTCGACAAGATATGCCGCGGATAGATACGCCATAACATAATGCAGGAGCATATGGCAGTAGCAAATACGCTAAAGCACAGCAACATGGAATTTCTTCCAGAAATTTTTACAAATCAACCACTTGGTGAAATCAAGAACTTATCTGTCTGTAACTATCTATACGTGAGTACAGCAGAACAGCATGGAAGTTTGAACGCGAAAAATCGCAAAATCGCGTTCGACGTGAACTACATCAAAAATCTTTGCAAATGAACACTGAGATGTAAAGCTGCTAAAGGCAGCATGAAACCAGAGCAATCTCAAGGAATACCATCTGACCACCCAGATGGCCAGCAATAAATCTCAACCGCGACAGCACATTAATGTCAAAGGCGAGACAAAATCATGCCGCTCGCCAGAATTAACATTCATTATCTCCGATAATTCCTTTTACTATCAAGCGATATTTGCTGTCATGAGAGCGGCTAACGAACATGCTCAAGCAAATGAAGTTAGGCGTTTTGTGCACCCGGCAATATGCCGGGCTGAAAGAACAGGGCAACCGCCAATATGGTGATAGTCACAAATAAAAGCAAATATATTATGCAAATGGAAATTATTACTAATCCTCGATAAAGAAAACGTAAATAGGGACCTCCAAAAATTGATGTACGAAACACAAGCGGCTATATACAAATCATGAGAGACACGACGTAATAATTGTCGACAAGATATGCCGCGGACGAGATTACGCCATGACCTACAAATAACAGGAGTTGATATGATGGCCGTACGTTCTAGAATGGTAGCCAGAATGCAAAATGAAGAAGCTTTGTGCACCCGGCAATATGCCGGGAATTGAAAGAACAGGGCAAGCCAATATGGTGATAGTACAAAGCAAATATATTATGTGAAATGGAATTACTAACTCGATAAAGAAAAACGTAACTAGGGACCTCCAATATTGATGTACGAAACACAAGCGGCTATATACAAATCATGAGAGACACATGTAAGTTGTGACAAGATATGCCGAAACGAGATACATAAATATAATGCAGGAGCACGTGCAGAATATAAAGCACAAAAACATGGAATTTTTGCAGAAATTTTACAAATCAACACTGAGATGTAAATCAAGAACTAAACGGTTTATGATGAGCGAAACAGAAGTTTTGCGAAAGCTGATCGCGTACCGGATCTGAATCTTGATGGCTGGGCTAATAAATGTTCACCGCAACTCAAAAAATAATATCAAAGATCGAGCATCCAACTTCGTGCCGCTTGCAGAATAATATGGAGCTTAAATTATTCTCCGATATTATTTTTACTATCAAGCGATATTTGCTGTCATGAGAGCGGCTAACGAACATGCTCATGCAGGCAGCTAAGGTAGGTACAATACTTATATTGGCCGAAAAATCCGATGTCTTAGGTCTTTCCAGTATCTGCGAACCATAACCAAAACGCACTTCCTCTTGAAATTTCCGCACATGCATCTGTAGTGCTATAAGTTTGAAGGTATCAGTAGATAGTTGATTTTGAGATGTGTGAATTATCTGAATTTTGCACGGTTCCAAATTGATTGATTATTTAGAGTACAATAAAACTTTTCACAATTTCAAGGAACAACGCTTTTCAACAAATATTGAGTGCACTGTGGCTATATATCGCAGAATGTTTCGTTCGACGTGTATTGGAGGCTATTTCTTAAGTCTTTCATTTTGCATCGTTTTGCTGTTGTTGCGAGGTGGGTGATTAAGTGAAAAAGTATAATAATGTTTTTGCGCGTTACCGAGCCGGTGATAGGCATTTAGCGGCATGACCGATCTTCATATTGATCACATAGTTAATATTGACTCCGTATTATATATAACAGAGAACTTGGTAATGCATAATTATTCAACCGATTTCCTGATTTCAAGAGCATGCAAGAAATATAAATACAAACGCTATGAATTTAAGCTAGAAATTCCGGAACTTCTAATTTTTTAATTACGCAGTTTAACTGCATGCTGCTAATACTGCTGGATCTTTTGCAACCTTTGCAACTCAAGTCGCTTAACCGAAGCCGAGGCACATGGAGTCTGTGCCACGGCTTAGCAGAACCATAGGTAAATATTATACTTATTTACTATATTATTGTATTTATTGATAGTCCAGCAAAACTCTGGTGTTTGCGAACGTGATAACGGTTTCATGTAAATCATAGGAACTTACTCCCAAACTTGTGTTGTTACCGATGACTGCCTTGATGCGGGAACGACTTGTCAGCTTGTGAGAGTTCCATACAAAAGAGGAAACGTCTATGGTGCCATCAACGAATACCGCTGTGTCTGTACAGAATATTTACGACAGGTTAATACGATGACAATACAAATGTATGCATTTATCACGTAAATTTATTCTGATAAGGTTTTAGCGTTTAAAATTGTCAAATTCGGTATAGATCGAGGATATATACATATTCTGTGGACTTATTCACTGATCATAACTTTGAGGCTCGAAGTTGCACCGGTATTTTTGTACAACTAGCACAGAGTTTATCATTGATTAACTGCTTTTTCAAACAGCCGTGTTTTGATGATGGCGACTGCACCGCTCGATGGCCAGGAATTGCCAACCTTCGATGTTTTGTTTCCACTGTTTGCCAAGGACAAAATAATATAGGATATTGCCGCTTGGATGGGCTTTTCAATGCCGTTGACTTGCGAAACGCCGAAGAAATTGCGACACTGCGAACGCAAGCAAGAAGTATTCAAGAAGACATAATGCCCTTTACGATACTATAGCGCTTTACCGTATCATTTACCGGATGTCATATCACAGTAATGACATACTGTGCATGGTTGTAACCAGAAATACCCATTCCCAGTCAAAATAATTCTCCTTCATGGATGCACATATAATTTTAGCAACTTTCAGTTTAATTTTTATCATTACGCAATTTAGTTGCATGTGCAGTATTGCTAACACTTTTGCAATGTGTGGAACGAAAATCAATGTGTCAATTAAAGTGCACATACGATGAAGTGTTGCTACCAGTTACCGTTATTTTATTGTTAAGTCAGCATGTGTTGCGTTTTACGCGTGCACAACAATTACACGGAGAGTAAAAATAAATAGATGCACACAAATAGGGTCGTATATCGTTCTTTTTTTGGGATTGAATTACCAGCTAGTCTAAACTATACGAACTAAATCAGGCGGAAATAAAAGCTAAGGCGCCGCTCCTGCGCGGCTTGCTTCGTTATGCAAAAGTCACAACACGTAAAAACTAAGCAAACACATCTTTCCCGACATATTGTTTGCTATGTAGATTTCGCACGATTTATGTTCGGTAGTTTGTCACTGGAGTTTACACGAATACGACGGACATTAAGTATTACGTGCGCAAAGTAAAAATGGATTTGTATTTATCGTACTGGTTTTCGTGGCCCATGGTGATTCTCTTTCTCCTTGTTCATCAAATCAATAGTAAGTGAGAAATTAATTCACTTTGCGGATACGCGAAATTCAGCAGCTACCGTTTAATATTGGACAACATCTGCCGGTTATTGATTTCTTTTACGATTCTCGGTATTTCTGTATTTGGGTGGGGCAGTTTAAAAGAAACGTAATCTGATTTCCTTCAAAGGTAATAAATTTTTTTAATGTTGTTTATCAGGAGCTTTAGGTCAAAGTTGCTTGACCACGGCAGATTGCATCGATTCCGGCACAACCTGTCAAGGTAAGCCGAATAAAAATTTGCTGTAATTACCAAATCATGAGAAGGGCTGCTTTTTTTTAAGAGGATTTTGTTTCCAGATGTTGATATACCGACAAAAAGCGGATCTACCTATGGAACCAGAATAGAGAAACGATGCATCTGTACCGAAGCCCTAAGACAAGTATGGTGCACCTTCTACGTCTATGCGATGAGGAAACTAAGTAGCTATTAAGTTTTATATTATTTGTACTTATAATGAATATAAGTTTTTTAATTTTTGCAAATTTATATATGTTACTGAAATTGATTGGAGCAATTTACCGATTTACCGCAACCTGCCAAAGTTCCCTAATTAAACAAACGATATGCCTATCGTTTCGTCTTATCTTGTTTTGGTAGCCGTGCTATGAGGATGCTGATTGTACGCAAAAGTATTCGGGAGTGACCGGCTTATTCTGCCAGCAATCCTTAACTTGCCCGGGACAGACCGGTCTTGGATATTGTCGGCTTGTTAGTTCCAATATAAATCTTGTCGATCTTCGAGGATTAAGTCCAACGTTATCAATTGTGTAGAAAGTTGTTAATCACGTGCTGTAACTCTCTGCATAAACGTCCTCCTTATGAATGCCTCATAGCTTTATCAGTAGTAGGTGAATCTTGATCATGTGTGCACTTCGGTACTGGCAAAAGCCGATGCAAAGGTCAAGTTGCCTGGATCTTTGCTTAACAATTTTGTTAACGGTGTGCTGTATGCCGAAATTCGACTTCGCATAAAAATTACGTGCCTCAACGAGTATATTATTGCGCAGTTTCATCAAACATTTCACGTTTTGCGTTGTATGTATTCAGCCGATAGGTATTAATTTATGACAACGGAAGGCGAAAAACATTAATGCATTATGACCATGTGTGTATCTGTAGTATGCACAACATATTTATTGAATGTAGAAAATTAATTACGTAAATGAAATCAACCCAAATGTGGAAGACCTAATTTTAACCGGTAAGTCATGCAGTTAAGCCAATGCATGATCGCACTTGTGCTCGCTGATTTCTGCTTATCGTAATATGATAGTCCAATCATTCGATAACTTCGCTAAAATTTATAAAAGAGTAATTCATTTGGAGGCGTTCGAGACATCATGCGGTCGTCTTCTTGTCGTGTCGATTATTGATATATAATTAATCCGACGGTAGGAAAAACAGCGGATCGAAGTCTTTGTTTGTGCACTGCCATTTTCGCACCTATTACTTGATAACCAGGATCGGATCCTTTTCGAAGTACGAACAAGCTGCATTTTGCTCACTTTGTATCGAAAATGCATACTTGTACTGTGCACAGTCTCTTAACTGCTTTGATTTTCGCCGTGGGGATAACCGCGGTTTCTACTAAGAAACACCGAACATCCGCTGTCAAGACTCGCACGCAGCCGTGGCGACCACAGCATTTTCTGTCTCAGCTGCCGCAGTGTGATTCCGATGATGGACCTCTCATCCTCACTCCTTATATCGAATCTGGCGATATCGCCACCGCCCAGAAGCTCAGCACCGTGAAACTATGGAGGTCCCCGATTCCCAGCTACAGTGGCTATTTTACAGTGAACAAAACTGACAACAGTAACATGTTTTTCTGGTTTTTCCCGGCGGAAGTGCCCCAGCCGGAGAAGGCACCGGTAGTCCTGTGGCTGCAAGGAGGCCCAGGTGCCAGCTCCATGTTCGCATTATTCGTGGAGAATGGTCCGTTTCGCATCCATAAATCGATGAAGCTGACTATGCGGGAACACAGATGGACCAAGTTGGCCAACATGATTTACATCGATAACCCAGTTGGCACCGGCTTCAGTTTTACGGCTTCGAACGACGGCTACTCGCGGAACGAAGATCAAGTTGGAAGGAATTTGTATCAGGTTTGTGTGCACAGAAAAGTTGAGGAAGCCATCAACATTTCAGTGACCTATACTTAGCGCATTTAAGAGTACATACTTTCAAGAGTTCTAACGATAAATAAACTGACTGTTAGCGTTTCTGTAAGAAAATTAACACCATGACGCAAATATTACACTTGATTTCGCAATATGGCAAATATCCCAGTTTAAAAACCTTAATGCGTTTTATTGAGCCTCAATTTGCTCCAAAAATATCATGACATCTTGACATGTACGTCCGGTTATAGTCCTGTATTCAAAAAAGTAAAATTAACTATCTGCAGATTGCTTCAAATTCATGGCCTCTAGCTGACGACTCAAACACCGATTCGAAATGTTAATCCCTTCTGCTAAATTCTAGTCTGTAGCATATTCATAAAAATTTGTACACAGGCTCTGCTCCAATTTTACAAGATGTTTCCCCAATATCAAAACGGTGAATTTTTCGTCACTGGGGAATCGTACGGTGGCAAATACAGTATGTTCCTGCAATTTCCTATCGCATCCACGTTGAGAATGCTAATGCCACATTAAAGATTCCTCTTAAAGGTTACTTATCAAAATGATTTTCACAATCAGCTGTTGACTGAAATAATGGATACATTTTGACCTCGTTAGGTCTGGCTATTGGAAACGGTTTGGTGGATCCCGGCAATATGATGCATTACGGAGATATGCTTTATGAGATGGTTAGTGTATGCTCTTATTGTGCGAGCATGCTATGGCAGTTGATGACTGCTCTATAAATTGTATTTTTGTTGTTTCAAATTGTATTGTTTCAAATTAGGACCAATGCGAAGAAATCAAAATTAATAGTGTATCGTTCGCAGGGAATGCTAGATGAGATGCAGCGCGATGTCTTTCACTCATCAGAAGACGCATCCCGGGTAGCGATCAGCGAGCAGCGTTGGAGGGACGCGTTTTATATCTTTGATCAGCTGCTCAACGGCGACAAGTACCCATATCCTTCCTACTTCTACAATGCTACCCATTCGCAGTTCTATTTCAACATTCTACGCACAACCGAACCGGCGGATATGGAATACTATAATAAGTATCTCGAGGAGTGTTTTGTCCGCGCTGCCATCCATGTCGGTAATCAGGAATACTCCAACGGGAGCCTGGTGGAAGATTTCATGCTGGAAGATATCGCTCAAAGTACCGCCAGCTGGTTGGCCACGCTGATGGACAATTACCGAGTGATGTTATACAACGGACAATTAGATATTATTTGCGGATTGCCGCTGACCGAGACGTATTTAACGCTACTGCAATGGAGCGGCGCTGATGCGTACAAAACAGCACCAAAGATCATTTGGAAAGTGGACAACCACGATGACGAAGTTGCCGGTTATGTGCGAGAAGTTGGTAATTTTACCCAAGTGGCTATTCGATTGGGTAAGCAATATAGTAATTTGTAAGTTCGAAATCCATATTGCAAGTTAATTATAAAACAATGTTAATTGTTAATTGCCACCGTACAACGCAAACCTATCAAAACTATCGAAAGGTTGACGAAAATTACGAAAATTAGTGCTCTAATGCAGCCATATTTTTAGCCGGACACATGGCCCCTTACGACCAGCCTCGCGCTTCCTACGACATGATTGCTCGCTTTTTGAACGACGAAAGTTTCCAAAATTGAACGTTAACTTACAAACCTAATACAAATACCCGAATGTTGGCGCACTTTAAATACTCGTACAATAACCGTGGGCCTGTACCTGTGGCAGATTGTATGCCTTGTACTGGCATCGCAGTTAAAAATCTTAATGTTTAATGCTGACCAATCCCTCCAACGTGTCCATACTTGAAGTAATGTTAGTAACAAGTTACAACAAATGTTTCTGTTAGGAATTTCTGTGGTGTTGCAACATTACATAAATTACAATAAGCACCCCAAGACCCGTGCAGGTACAATCGGATTTAAAAAAAATTGTAGTTTTCCCGACCTTTCGGTATATCTCAATTGGCCACATTCTGCACAAGAAGTCCGTCATAATATTTCAAATCATCAGTAAGCAGAAGCACTTTCAAAAATCTAGCCAGCGTCACTGATAGATAAACCCACTGCAACAATTCAAAATCTAAACACTCTCACACTCTCAAAATTCATCTGCACACATCGAAATCCCACACAGAAAAATGCGGTCAGTCATTGCATGTCCACGTCTCCACGATGAACCGCCTGATGAACGCGAATCAAGGTTCAGTCCGGGACAGCCGGGGAAACCGGAAGTTATCACACATTCACAACCGCCAAAGGATTTTTTATTGCTGGAAACGGCAGAATTGCTTCAGTTTACATTAAGATTGGGAAGTGCCCTTCGCTCATTCGATTCCAGTGCAAGTTTGCTGCTTTCATCTCTTCTCTTGAATTCAATCAAGTCCACTTCCCGAGCACCGTATCCTTCGATCGTTTTTTCACCCACTTTGTAAAATACTGAAATGGGAACAAGCATTTAAACACAAACATCTGCACTATGTATTTCAAACACTAAAACCGCATTTTGTGCGATGAAGCGCCAAATCCCACGTGGAAAGCAAATACAACAACTCATAATTTACGAATTCCGAGATGCAATATCGCGTGAATTCGCAAAACAAGATCATCAATAACGATCCCGTTAAAGCGGTTAAACGCAGCATTTCTTACGGTCGAGAATCATTGGCGCTTTTCGACTCATCCAGTACCGGAAATCTGAAACAACATTTTACTGATTGCTGTCATAACAAACTTTTTCAACACAATACGGATTTGTCTGAAATTCCCACTTAATGTTCCTCACACTTACGTTTGAACAGCACGAAATAACAAAATCTACGAACTAGGCTAAGAGACGAAACTAGATTATACACAGGAAAGCCGGAAAGGGGACAAGCAATGTCAGGCGATACCTTGGTTGTGGTTTAGATTACGATGCACTCCGTAGCAGGCTCCCAGGAAGGCTAATTCAAGAGCCACCACTCCACGAACTAGGGTTGAAATTCACGAGGCTTAGACCCGTTTGTGAAAAGAAGTGAAATGAAAGTGAAATGAAGTGAAATGAAACGTGAAATGAAAAATTACAGTAATTTTAAACTGATTATTTTGGCATTTTTTTAGGGCTGGAAAACTGCCGAAAGCAGTTAAAACATTAATATTGCAACTGTACAGTACTAGTAAAATTCAACTGTAAAAGTTTAAATTTCAAAAAAATTCGTTGTAAGTGGATTGCCAAATTTATTATTCAGTACAGACTATACAGTAAGCGCAAAAAGATTTTGCAATTTGCTTTTATTTTTAGTACAGAAAAAGATAAAACCAGGGCCTGCAAACTTGTGTTCACGTAACACAAAGTGTGTTCACGTAAAGGTACTTGTGTTCACGTAGATGAGAACTTGTGTTTAAAAATTCCCAGTACTCCCCTCTTTCTTGGAATTATTCAGCTTCTGGCTGTTATTTTATTAAAATGTTGTGCAGATTTAATTTGGTTTTAGATGCCGATTACAACAATGTTATCGCGCCGGAAGTCGTAACGGCCTTACTAAAAGACGGCATACATATACAGTAATACAACTGTAAAATCAATTCAATCGTCAGCAGCAGCGCTGCCTGAAATACGAGCGTCCTTATAACAGCTTAAATGTGTCGCGGAACAGAAAATCGAACCGAATGGCTACCACTAGTACTCAGTAGGCACGAAGGCATTTAAAATGGCAGCAGCAGTTAAATAGGGAAGCAAGCATTCCCAAAAGCATTAAATAGCAAGCATTAAATAGGGAAGCAAGCTCTCAAAGCATTCCTAATTACGTTGTATTCAAAGCTTGCTAGAAATTTCAAAACTGTGGCTCAACAGTTTGTGAACAATTTACTCGTTTACTACAACTGCATGAATGTGAGTAACTGTTAAAAATTAACGGAAACTAAATTACTGCTATATTTGCGTTCCTTGTACTTTTCCTGTACCCACCGGCACCGCCAGGTGTGCCGCGTGCAATCGCGTTCGCTCCCGTTTTTGCATTTCGTCATTTTACTTGCAACTGCAAGTTTGTTTTCTTCGCTGGCTCTTATCTCGATTACTACCCGTCCGCCCTTTTGGCACAATTTTATACTATTATAATTTACATCTTAATCATATTTTTGCATCTCACTCAATAAAGGGCAGGGGCGTAGAAATCGGCATCGGCGGAGGGTGTGGCAGTAAGCAACCTGTACCCACGGGTAAGACCCTCAGGTGCAATTGCACACCGCCACTCATGCCCGCAGTCATCAAATTAACACAAAACGCAAGGCAATGTCGTCTCCACGTTGGTCGTCCAAACGCCATCTCGGGTATTAGTGGTCAATTTACTGAACGGTTTAACGAATAACGACTACCTTGTTACCTTTAATTAACATTTAACCACTCGGTTTTTTTACAAATATCTAAACATGCTTGCAGTATACTGAGCGCTAGTTCCGCGTTTCGCGGAAACGTTTATCTTAAACCACAAAACACTAAGTTGATATCAGCCCTAACTTTGATTACGGTTAAAAATTAAATGCTGTTTATACCAGTAATGTTAGTTTGTTTCTAGTAATTAATGCTGTTTTTATTGAAATTTCTGGCTGGTTTTACTGTAAATCGTTCGCTGGCTTCGCGCTTCGCGCGAACGTTCCCGTTTTAACGGGATCCGTAATGATAGTTCGTCCTTGTGATTTGCATACCAAAACAATGTAAAATATCTTCCTTAAGTTAGTTTAAATCAATTCTCGTGGTAACTTTCTGGGTTGATTGGATGTGTTGAAGTTCTCATGTATTTAACGCCTCTTCGGGGTCAAGTCTACGCGAATAAACGGTTCACGCTATTTCGCATACTGCCGTTATGTACAACGTACAAGTACGCCGGTACAAAACACACACAAAAGACAAGCCTGTTATCCCTACCCCCCTCTTTGCAAAAATTAAATGTGTTTACGTAAATTTTGAAGATTTCTGGCTCTGGATAAAACTGTTTAAAACTAAAATAGGAGCAGACGTTTGAAAATGGTAATCGATATACGCTCTTATAAGAACAAGGCGTACAGTAAAAATGTTCATTTCTATTCAAGAAAACAGCGCAGTAGCGTACGCAAATCTTAGTGCGTTTTGGCTACCTATGAACTGAGATCTCGGAATTCTGAAATTACCTGCACTAAAAGCGTACGAGAAACGTTTTCTTCTCTTCCAGTTGCAAGATTAATGCTTACGCGCAGTGCTGCCTAATGCAGGGAATCGAATTAGAAGCGGTTACACGAAAAATACAACGGAGTGAACATTTTCATTGCAAGAAATATTGTGAATCGCTCTAATTTCGTCCGCTTTTAATGCATTTCAAGCGATTTCACGATTTCACCATTTCACGCATTTCACGTTTCATTTCATTTCACTTTCACATTTCACGCGAGGGTCCGCGTGATTGTGAAATGAAAGTGAAATGAAAAGTGAAATGTGAAATGGTGAAAGCGTGATTTCAACCCTACCACGAACTAGGTTCGAACTTGCGCGCTTCAGGTTCAGCATTTTTAAGTCAGGCTGGACAAACTCTGAGAATTCTCCAGCACGAAATCGTGATTATTCTTATCAGAATAGTTCCACACGGTTTTTCACATAATATGGAAGAATGCTTCACTGTTCTTATATAAACAACCCGTCTGACAGATAGACTGAAGAAAACATAGACTGACACATTTGTAGTATTACGTACAATGTGCAAATCCTGCAGCCCAAAAAAGAAAATCAGACTTTAACCAGCCAAGAGCAAAACGAACTAAAACACCAAACAGCAATACGCAAACTGTTTCAAATTTGAGATTCACATTTTGAAATTCAAGTTACAGAATTCGACAATATTGACGGGAATGCGAAAACAAGCTGCTGTCTGCGGCAAGTTTCAAGTTGCAGCGTTAATTCAGTATCCGCCCAGGTTATCCAAAGCAGCTTCAATTTTGTAAAAGCAGGAAATTCTACTTAAAAAAAGACCTGTGCGTACGAGAAAAGCAAAAGGAATCTGCACGGTAAAGTTGTAAATTCAAACGGCGATATTCGTAACGGCAAGATGAAGGTAGGTGAGCAATGACACATACATAATCTGAATTTCGGACATATTCGGCAACAACCCCCGGCTAGGTATGAGTGCCCTTCGCCTTCGCCTTCCGCCTTCCTTCTCCTCCGCCTTCGCCTTTTGAGCGGTACGCATTCGCCTTCGCCTTCAAAAACATGCACCTTCTCATTGGCTTTCTTACGTTATTCTTAGGTTTCTTGTGTTATATGCCTGGGTAATATTCTTGGGATATGTTGCAAGTTGTTACGCATACGCATAGCGGTCATTTGAAAGGCGACTCTGTTTATGAGCTTTATTGCTTAACTTGTGTTTGTGCATGATGCGTTTTATTACAGCTTGTTTAACTGCGTGTTTGTGTGCATGGATGAGCACGCTATGGCTTTGGCCATAACGCTGGACAATCTAAGAGATTGTTTTCATGTTTATTATCCTCATGAAAGTTACCGAACTTTCTAGAATCGTTGCAACACGGTTGCACCGAGATATAAGGTTTTGCTTTGCTGTGTATGATATCGATCATTCCAGCGATCGGTCTACCATTTCCTGTTGCTTTCCATCTCATTGTTATTCTTGCTTGTTGTGTGATTAAAGTTATAGTTAAGAACTATTACTTTCGCCTTCCGTCAGCACAGTACGATATAACGCAGTCATATACGGCACTGGCCCCTATTATTGGTGCCGAAACCGTGGACGGAAGCGTCCACAGTGTGAGTTCGTTTAGCAGTGCTTTTACCAGCTATTCATTCCGTCACGACGCGTGACCTTTATCGAACAGATACCAGTGTCGTACACTGATTACGTTGATTGCCTTTATCGTAATCGTTTGTTGCTGCTGCGGAATATTTTTTTTTCTGACACGTCGTCAACAATCATGCCCACCACCGAGTCAGGGACGACGAAAGTCGGTGAAACGCAAGACAGCGCGAATCGTAACATTATGTTAGATTCAAGAGCGCTGGCCACACAATTTTCCAACCTTTGTATCGGTACGGATATGAGGCCATCCCTCTACAGCGGACGTGCTGGTGAAGACGTCGAGCAGTGGGTGCGCCGGTACAAAGTGATTGTTGCTGCCCTGGAGTGGGACGATGCCAAGGCGCTTCGTCAGCTTCCGGCTTACTTGGATGGATTTGCCGCAACATGGTGGTACAAGGTGAGCGAAGACGGAGAGAAGAAACCGTTCGCTACAACGAAGTTGTTCCTGGAAGCCTTAGCAACGCGTTTCCAGTCCAAAGATTACTGCACCCGTCTCAAACGACAGTTGCGTGACCGAAAACAGGACCCCGACGAGCCACTCGAAGATTACTACAACGATGTTTTGACAATGTGTGACCGCATCGACAGCGACATGGACGATGATGCCGTCATCACTCGGCTCCGAAATGGTCTCCTTCCAGAATTTTGTCAGCGCCTTGCCATGAGCACAGCCAAAACGCCTATGGAGTTCCCTACGGATATGCAGCGAGTTTCGCAGGTACTGTATTTGGAGGCCAAAAACAGTGCGTATGATGAATAGCGCTACGTCATGGCATGCGACCACATACGGTGGGGGTCGCAGAATACGGCTGGGATCACGGATCTTGACTGGTACGATGTGTCGTGGCTGGAAGCGATACAGTCGTGCGCAGTGTCGCCGCTTACGAGAAGGAGCAGTTTGAATGTCACGTTTGGTGCATCTGGCATCGTCAAAGACGATGTTGCAGTATCGGCCAGTGTGCGGATATGGCCGATGAGGACAACGATGGCTGCCTGTGTAGTGCAAGCCTTTTGGTGCGTATTGAATACGTTGTCCATTGTGTTAGTTATCTGCAGGGATCAGCTGGACCTACGGCAGCCACGGAGCGTGTCGCGAAGTGTCCGAATCAATGCCGGCTTACCGAGATGCAGGATAGTTCCATATCCTGGAAACCCCCATGCAGAATTTACGGAAGTGGGACGTGGATCCCCTTGGCTCCGCCGGGAATTGAGTGCGGAACGGCGACAGTCTGATCAGCTGAAACCGTGGCCGGAGATACTCAGATGTCCCGGAGATGAAACGCTTTTGGAACAAAGCGTTGTACTGTAGTGAGTCACGCGCGCGTAGCGGTACAGTGGAGGAGCCAGTGGTCGGTTGTGGTTGCAACCCGGTAACCGATTAAGCACCCGGTTACACAATGAATGTCCGTTCGACATTCAGTTGCGGGACGTTGGACGCAACGGTGCCCAAATGCAATGCCAGTTTTACTGGCCCAGTGATGGCGACATCCTCCCCCGCCACACTTCCTCTCCAGCCAGTGCGGAGAAGCAGAGAGAAGCCTCATCTCTCTCGTCATGGAAACGTTCCATATGGTTATTTGCAAACGTTGCAAGCGGGCTTACGTTCGTGAATGCATCGCCTACGATCACCTGGATGGATCTGATGCCCCCGGCAGTTGGCGTTTCCGGTTGCGAGGACGCAACCGTTAAGGAGGGGAGAATGTTACGCATACGCATAGCGGTCATTTGAAAGGCGACTCTGTTTATGAGCTTTATTGCTTAACTTGTGTTTGTGCATGATGCGTTTTATTACAGCTTGTTTAACTGCGTGTTTGTGTGCATGGATGAGCACGCTATGGCTTTGGCCATAACGCTGGACAATCTAAGAGATTGTTCTCATGTTTATTGTCCTCATGAAAGTTACCGAACTTTCTAGAATCGTTGCAACACGGTTGCACCGAGATATAAGGTTTTGCTTTGCTGTGTATGATATCGATCATTCCAGCGATCGGTCTACCATTTCCTGTTGCTTTCCATCTCATTGTTATTCTTGCTTGTTGTGTGATTAAAGTTATAGTTAAGAACTATTACTTTCGCCTTCCGTCAGCACAGTACGATATAACGCAGTCATATACGGCACTGGCCCCTATTAAAGTTTCTTAATTTTTCTAATGTATCCCTAGGTTTCTTGGGTTATCTTATGTATTCTTAGGCTTCCTAGCCTTAATATAGTATCCTGAAGTTTCTTTGATTTATTACATTGAGCGTAAAAAAACCTAAGAAAAGATCATTAAAGAAAACTTTTGAAACCTAAGAAACCTAAGAAACCCGAGAAACCTAAGAAGCCCGAGAAACCTAAAGAAACCTAAGAAACATAAGAAACCTGAGAAACCTGAGAAACCCAAGAAACCTAAAAAACCTAAGAAACCTGAGAAACCTGAGAAACCCAAGAAACCTAAAAAACCTGAAAAACCTAAAAAACCTAAGAAACCTAAGAAGCCTAAGAAACCTAAGAAACCTAAGAAACCTAAGAAACCCGAGAAACCTAAAGAAACCTAAGAAACATAAGAAACCTGAGAAACCTGAGAAACCCAAGAAACCTAAAAAACCTAAGAAACACAAGAAACCTGAGAAACCCAAGAAACCTAAAAAACCTGAAAAACCTAAAAAACCTAAGAAACCTAAGAAGCCTAAGAAACCTAAGAAACCTAAGAAACCTAAGAAACCTCAGAAACCCAAGGAACCTAAGAAACCTGAAAAACCTAAGACCTAAGAAACCTAAGAAAAACTAAGAAACCTAAGAAACCTGAGAAACCTAAGAAACCTAAGCAACCTAAGAAACCTGAGAAACCTAAGATACCAAAGAAACTGTAAAATATCTTATTAAACCTAGGAATATATCTCATGAAACCTAAGAACAACATAACATTACCAAAGAAACATAATATTACCTAAGAAAGACAATAAGAAGGCGAATCTTTTGAAAGGCGGAGGCGAATGCGCACCGCTTAAAAGGCGAAGGCGGAGGCGAAGGCGGAAGGCGAAGGCGAAGGCCACTCATACCCAACCACAACCCCCAGCTTCCCCCCACACCCCAAAACGATGTTGCCAAAATTTAGAGATTTTGGCAACATCAGAAGCTGCCTGCCAGAGCCATGCTGCCGAGCACGGCAAGATTCCAAACGGGACGAAAATGGCTAGCCAATCACAATCGTTCAGTGACGTCATGAATTTTTAATTTCCGCCGACAGCATCCAAAACATTTATCGCCAGCAGCACGCCCTGAGTTTTCGCATTCGCATCATTAAATACCGTAGAAATATCAGAAAGAAAGAATTCCCCCATTGCAAAAACAGAAAAACTGAAGCCCACAAGTTTACAACCGCTCCTCGCTGGGAGATGCGCCTCATGGCACAAAAGCTTCAAAAGTTCAAATACTGTAAATAAGAAATTGTGATCAGAAGTAGCATAATCCGTATAATTATTCACTGATCACTATTAATTAATTGAAAACCTTGGAAACTAATAAAAAAAATCATCATAGTCAAAAAATGAGTGTTCCGCTTTACATAATGACATATTAAACTACTCTTGAAATCAGTTACATACTGTACATACCCAGTTTAAGGTCAGCATGCATGGAGTTTAATTAGTTCAATTGGCTTAACGTCTACAACAATCAAGAGTAACCTGCACGAGGTTGTAGACAAACATTCAAGATAGACTGTCGAGGACAGCCACGTACACAAAGTGACCAAAACCTAAAATTTATTAAATCAAAATTTATCCAGTTTTAATAAGACCGATGCGTTTGTGTAACTGCCCGCACGCCATGCATGCTTGCTGCTGAAACTGAAGTACAGTACATACATATGTATGACTATGTTATATAGATATTTACTGTATATATACACTGTACTCCACAACATCTGCCCAATGTCCATCCTGCAACTTATGGCACCTAGCCCCCTATGCCACGACTTGCTGACTTGTGAGTACGAGTACTTCTATACATATGAACATACAACACAATTATTATGATTAAAAATCATATTCATATTCATAACACCACGCCGCAGTCGACATGCGCAGACGCGCAGTGCTCATGCAGTATGATACGATTCTGACCAATGGCCAGCACATGAACGGCAGTTGGATACGAATACTGCACTTTCCCTGACAGCTTGTGATAAAGGTGTTTGGACCTGAAGAAACCATGCAATAACACCTATCGAAACCTATCGAAACCTTTTCAACATTAATTTTATTGTCAGTTAAACAGGACTGTAATCCTTTCGCGCGATAAAATCGTTGCAAGATAAATTCATACCATGAGGATGCTGTAAATACCATGATCATGATTTTTAAATTGTTACGCGAATTCTGTTTGGACACCGATTCTAATCATTAATTTGTCTCATATTATCTACTAGGCTGCGAATCGAGGTCTGCAGGAAATTGGGTCTTGTATCTTAAGGTTTACTTACTCGGTTCGTAACTTCATAATTATAATTGTATGGAAATTAAGTAAGAATCATTTATAAGTGAATTTGTTGTCAATCCAAAGTATCCGGTATGCTAATTCGGAGGTATGTACGTACACAAGACACACCGCTGGGAATTCGGAGTCCGTCTGGTAAGAAAATTACGTGATTCCTTATTTTAAACCATTCTAAATGTAGAAGCTATTTTGAATAAGGCAAGATAACGTTGCACTTTTGATTCCCTTATAAAATAATAATAATATTATTCTGCACCACTTAAGTTTAATTATTACGGAGGTAACGCGCTCTGTAACTAAACATACAATATGTACAATTGTATACCACGAGTAGTTGCTCAAAAGGATTACGGGACCCGGAATTTCGTACGAGCATATGATTTGGTTTTTAATTTTTAATAGAAGTCAATATCGTAAAAGATGTTTATGTACCACATGTTCGGGTATCTGCTGCTATTAATCAGTTTAATCTTTTGGCTGACCATGTATACCGCCCGCAAGAAGTAGGTAGTGATCGACTAGAGAGGACCCCCATTCATGTTGTCAGGAATTGAGTACCTATTAATTGAGTGAAGATACGGACTAACAAATATTGTACTGGCAAAACCGGAAATTCCACTTGCCGATATATTACTTTCAATCGAAACCATTCAGTTCCACACAAATTTATTTCAGAAGTTTCATCAATCAATTTCAGCGTCGAAGCTAGGCGCGCTTGGGCCGAACAACAATCGGGAGGAATAATTCAATGCCGCTCAGCCACCAGGTCAAAGACTAATGAAATAAAGATAAAATAATTCACAGAGAAATCTTTTCGAAAATGTTTTGCGACATTAAAGGTGCAATTTTGTACCTACTAGTACAATACCATATATCTAAATAACGTCCCTCAAATGAAAAATCATTTCCAAATGTTAATGGCCTTGCAGTCAGCTTTTCTTGTTTTAAAATTTGAGACTATCTAATAAATTACCTAACTGACTCTGGATAAAAAAATGGCGTGTAAAGATATACACTCCACACTTAGATATATAGTTTGTCATAGTATGGTTCGGCGCCATGGCCAGTAAGGCATCCATACAACAAAGTAAATAATATGAATGTGGCGATTGGCGATAAATAAGCCTTTATCGCCACTCACACCGGTATGAAGAAAGTAATACTACAGAGTATAACACTATTATTTTGTATTCTGCATTAATTATATTAGCTTCAGAATATATGCAGACGCGCAGGTGAATAAAAAATTAGTATTTCTGAATATGTGGGAAGCAGATTCAACGAAAACACGAATCACCGTTACAGCTAGATTGAGGTAGTGCTGTAGAATTAGAGATTGAACTTATCAGAACTATCGTATACGTCACGAAATAGCTCTTTGGTGTTAATTTTGTGAGTGTATTAAAATAGCAGCATGTGTAAAAAATTTTTATATTCTGCTGTATCACTTTGTGTATTTTTGAAATTTTGATGGTGTTATTTGAGAAGGCGAGCGTCGAAGAAGCCGATAAAAGCGGCGGATGCCTGGTCTTTGACATTAAAATGATACAGAGCTCTATTTAATAAGGGAAGAAGCTGTTACAGTGATCTATAGTCGGTGCGGATGTAAGTGCTTGTACAATACTTGTGGCTTTTGTATCTTCTGGCCTAGTTGCTGGCATGGTTTCCATAAATCGTTTTCTTGCTGGCTTTTTGTTGGATAAACATACTCAATCCCGTTGTCTGTATGAACGGAAGCAGCGTTCTCCCGGTTAACTTTTAGCTGATCACCCACCAATCGATCAGGGAGGGCTCAAATGTAATTGTGCATGTCCTTACCGATACAAATGCTAGTTTTCCCGCTAAGTCGACCGCTTAATACCAACCCCCAGTCATTCAACTCATTCGGGATATGATTCGATATTTTGAGACAATTTCGATCGGGCAGCAGCAGCCAGTTGAAGCTGTTATTGATGATCTTCTTGTGGGAGCTTAAACAGTGATGACATAAAACAATTGATGATCAACGACTGTTTTTCTTGCCAACAGGAAACGGCCATTTTCCCTCATTGAAAAGCCATCTGTAAACTGCATTCATCGAGGCTGTGGACCTCCAACTTGGAAATTATTGCGTGCGGAAAAACTCCCTTTAAGATGGCTATTGAGGAGCGGAAATGGAGAATAGGGTATCAGTGTACTCGTACATATGTGACGTTGTGAGGAGACTGGTCAGCACAGTGAGCACACCATGCAAATTAGACCAAACTGTGAATGCTGTTGCCCCTTGATCAGTTATTGCAGCGACGTCTCATGGCGCTTACGCACTGGGAACAGGCTGAAATAGAGCAGATGTAATGCAAATTGATCCTGACCAGATATTATGTTTCCGGCCACTCGGGATGGTTGTAGTATGTGGATATGTGTATTTTGAATTATCCGAGCTGTCCGTCAGTCAGTGCTGATGGGATGACTTTCCCCGTTTCACTTTCATACGCATCTTACCGGCTTCTGCAGTGTTGATTCCCAGTTGTCCTGGACTTCTAGTGACAGCTTACTAGGTTATGTACTCTGTACATGGTACATTAAGCCATCCAGGTGCAAAACAGATAACCGTCATGTAGACAATTCAACTGGACAGCTGCTTAATCTGGAGCGAAATGCGGGAGCGGTTGATATTTATTAGCTCTTCTGTTATCTTGTATTTACTGATAGTGCAGCTGACATTCTCCACTGGAAAGAGCAGTCCAGGTAAAACTACCAAAAACGGAATTTGAATGTACCACGAAATCGCATACTTCAAGTACTGTCAACTATACGTCCTAAATTAGGAAAATTTTAATGTTTCGTATCCGCGTACCATCATTTGCGGTGACTAAATTACAGAACAGTACTTGTTACATCGCAGATATTCCGTAGATTAGTGGCAGTGGTCAGAAGAAAGCTGGTAGCACAAGTTGTAGATATATTACGCCCTTTCTTCAGTATCTGATGCCTAATCCATAATAGTAATAATCTTTTACTTCGTTTGTCAATTTTTAGTACTTCTACTTAATAAGTTATAGCCAGAGTTCAGTGAAAACTGATCTTAAGAACCAGTGAATGTGCAGTGCTAAGATGCTTCTTTTAAATTTTTAGAAAATTCTGTGAATAACATCGGTGATGAGTTGATTATAAACATCAATCACGCGCGTGTTTTTAAAAAAGTCAAAACGAATTTACCGCTGAATTGTGACAACTTACCCTGCACTGACGGTGAGAAAGACTTCATAAATGACAAATGTATGTATAAGATGAATGAATCAAAGTTTCGCAATATAATTTTTTTGAAAATAAAAACAGGTGTTTTAATATTTGAAATAAAAATTCTGGCACAATTTGTTCTGGATACTTCCGCCTTCCGGTAAAAAAGGTGTTTAAGGATTGCTGCTTTTCAGATGCTCTGGCTACGGATATCGACCTTCTGCAAGCACTGTACTCTGTCCATCTGAGCAGTGCTAACAGCCATGCTGTTAAATTAACCGAAGGTCCGGACGGACTGCCGGCCTTCCAGTTAAATGGCCAGAGTAATCTGGCTTTTCCTCATGTGCTCTACTTCCCCGATATGCGCTTGCAGAACCGAATATCCCTCATGACTACCTTCATGGCGCATTCCGCGGACGGCGGCTATCTGTTCGCCGTGGTTAATCCCCTAGATACCGTAGTTCAGTTAGGCTTGCGCATCCATCCGGAGCCCTCGCAGGCTGACAATACCGTGCATTCGGACAGGGGACCTGTTCGGCAAAATGTCACACTGTACTGGACGGATTCCGGTCGCCAGCTGCAGGTGTCATCGCAAATACTCCTGGAAATGGAAATTCCCAGCACGTATAAGCACTGGACACGACTGGCTGTCGCATCATTTGGTACGTTACCGCACTCGAAAGCAGTGTTCTAATTTAGCCACCGGTAATTCATTACAGGTACTTCGTTGAATGTTTACTTGAACTGCCATCTGCATGCCAGCTTTGCCCTTTCCCATCGAGCTCCGCCGTTGTTATTCGATCCCGCCAGCACCTTGTGAGTGACCCAAATACACTTTCCTTTCTGAGACTGCACTAAATTGCACAGCTAATTACTCTCTTTACACAGATTAGTCTCGCATATTTCGGTAATGTTTAGAATGTGTTTGTCAATTTGAACCGTTTCTGGAAATATAATAGCCGAATTCTGTATGAATAATACGAGTACATACTTTATAGCCTAAAACTTTAACCTCTGCGCTATAGCGCACCGCATTGCAGGCCGTTTAATGCGTTTACCAGCTAGAGTAAGTCGGCAGTCAGCAAAACCCGTCTGCATCTCCGAAATCTGTATTTCGGGGATATTGTCGAGTTTTATACATGTTAAACATGTCGCATGGCATCTTGTTACAGGTACATTGGTCAAGCTGGTCCCCTGCTTCTAGGAACGTTTAAGGTATTGAAAAATAAACTCTTCTCAAGTTGCGGTATCTGAGATGCTTTCCTGCTGCAGGGTATTATCCAAGAGATGCGGATTACCGGTGATCCTCGTGATGCCTCAAAAATGTGTGAACAGGAAGTAAGCATTATGTATACAAAATTTCGGTTGCTATAATTACGAAAATAACACACACACTAGCGAATGCACAGTGCACACTAGCGGTCACCGACGCTCAAATACGAAAAAAACAGTATTTGTGCTTGTGGCGTAGGCATTTACTAATTCGAACCCGTATGCATACTTTAGGGGAATTCCGTAACAATACTTGGCAAGGATAAAGCGATCCCCGCGGCAGAGACAACTCGAAAGGAAGAAGCTGTTGGCGATGCAGATGGTGGCTCAGACGGCGACCAGGGTGACGATGATGACATGGATGATACCGATGACATGGATGTCGGCAGCCTGGATGGGCACACGGATACGGTGTTGTCACTTCCCGCCATCACACCACCGCCGCCGTTCCATCCCACAGTTAGTCTGGACTATTTTATGCAACAACAGTCCACTGCTGCCGCTCACGATAAACAGACATCTGTTGGTGAGGAGGCATCGCAAGCCGAATCTGTCGATGCTGCCAAGCGACCGCCGCAGCCAGCCATTTCGCCGCTTTCGGACACGACCGAACCGGATGGTCGCGATTCGGATCCGGAAGCAGGGACTATGTTATTGCAAAGTGGAGCGCATACCGTTGGTACAAATCCCACAGAAGGCTCCGTGCAGCAACCACCGGTGGACGGAAGCACCGGTGGTGTTAGGCATAATACTTTGGGCTCTGGATGTTCATCCACGTGCTACAGCTACTCCGATGAGGAGTTGGAGCGTAAATTTCTTGCTTGGACACAAAAATACCAGGTATGAAATCAATCTCGCTACCATTCTGGCAAAGGGGATAGCAATAATGGATAGCTGCCACGGCACAGTGTTATTTCGCTTGAATGGGAAATCCTTTTTTTGTCAGCTACAGTATCTACAGATGTAAATACCAATACATGTACATCATATAAATATACTGGTATACGTATATTAGCAAGTCGTGCCAGAATGACTTAAGTAATTGTGCAGTAAAGTTTTTCTTAACTAATTTGCGTTTGTTAAGTAATTAGAGCAGAATACGAATGCATTTTGTTGTGTTTCAGAACAATATTCTTAATCTTGAAGCGTGCAAGGCAAGTGTAATACGGTCTCCATCATCTTACCCTTCGGCATCCGCCTCCTCGTCGTCGAACACCGAATGTCCATTACAGGTATCATGTATAAATTGTATATCAATTACTTTTAAAAGTGCAGCTTGGAGTGTGGCTCTCCACGACCGCCCTAATTCATTTTAGCTACACGGTTGACGATCATATGAAATGTTTAGAAGTTGCAGGGACCCCCAGGACCGAAAGGTGAAACAGGTTTACCAGGATTTCCGGTAATCACAACAGCCTTCACATTTACATACTCTTTTCTATATGTTCTTTCTACTTGTTGCCCTTAGTCAAATGTCAGTCTCATAATATCAGTCTTGCCCGTGAACAGTGAATTCATTATGACAAAACACTATGACAAAATTCATTATGACAAAATACTATTTTCACCGAACAGGGTCACCCCGGACGAAAGGGCGATACGGGTCTCAAGGGCGATCCAGGCCAAATAGTTCATGTAAAAAATACATACAGTATAAGTGGTTGCGTTTCCCTTTACAGAACTGACGTTGTTCAACGAATTATCTTTATTAGGTTAGCACCAGCGGAACCATTGCTGGAGCTGTGCTACATAATATAAGTGGACCTAGCGCAGCGTCTTCTGGAGCTGGTCATAACGCGGCCCGGTCGAACCACGCAGATGCTATTAACAATTTGTCGTACGGTCCGCATCCACAGGTACCCTTGTGCTCCAAATTTTAATTTTTATGCTAAACGCACGCGATCTATTCCAAATTAAAAAACAGCCACCAAAGAAACATTTCTATTACGTAGTATATCAACGCTGAATTTGAGTGGCCTCATTTACGACCTGATGGATCCGAGGCAGTTCAAGCGCGACAAAAGTATTACGGGGTCAGTTCAGGCACCGTATATACTCGTATGATACGTCATACATCTCATACTAATAAAATATGAGCCCTTATATATTTATTGTTCGTTTTTTCTTGATTTATTTGGTTAGATCCGAATTATTCGAAATCGCGAAGATCTGCGAGGTCTCAGCTATTCCAGCAAGATTGCTTCTCTGGTGTATGTCATGCAAGAAGACCAGCTGTTCCTTCGAAGTGTTTCCGGTTGGCGACCTGTTGTGGTTTGTACCAAACATGTTTTAATAAATAATGATTTGCTTCAACTTCTTGCTTGAATTACCATACATGCTACGGACTCAACTGTAGCGTTTTATATATTCTTTCCTAATTAATTGACACTTAACTTTCAATCGCCCTTTCAGCTCGGAGCTCCGTTGCAGCTAGCAGATATGGCTACTAACAAGCCACCGGTGAGCGTGCAACTAGCTTGTAATGCCTTGTATCATTATCGATTCCATCTTAAATCTTGTAAGTTAAGCCTTTAAAATTCGTTTACAAGCCGATACAAATATGTAGTTATCCAGCCTGCAATTTTGCAACTTACCGAATGGTCTTGAAAACTTTGAAAGAGTTTGTTATGTTTCACAAAGTGCATGTATGAAACTACACTTATCTTTACTACAATATTGTTTATTGTATTGTATTGCATTTACGGGTTACTTACTTAATTACTTCCCATAGGATTTTAGTGAATAAGAATATTACATACTACTTGCACCTAATGTTATGTAAGTAATTCTCTGTTGATCAATAAATTCAAGTTAAAAATGTTCTATTTTTAGCGAAAATTTTATGCTAACGGCAAACCCATGGATGGAAATCATTTGAGGAATACTGAAGGAAAAGCAGATGGACATGATGGTCCAAAATACGGCTTACCTCTTCCACCTGGGGCGGTGCTCGGCCAAGATTCATTAAAGCATAAAGACAAAATTTCTTCCAAGGTAAAACGAAGCACTTTTAAACCAACGATTTAATGACACCTTGAAAACTGCGAATAACAGGACTAGATGGCCACATCGATAACATGCATACAATGTATTGTATGTTCCAGTACCGGTTGGTCTTGGTGGCGCTGAACGAACCCTACTCTGGCAATCAAGGTGGCATCAAAGGAGCAGATTTCGCATGCTTTAAAGAGAGTCGTAAAGCTGGATTACGTGGTACGTTTCGGGCGCTCTTAACCGGTTTAACTCAGGATCTCGACACCATTGTGGATCAGCGAGATCTGCACTCGGTACCGGTAGTCAACATTCGAGGCGAACCGGTTCTGCCTTCTTTTGGCTCCATCTTCGGCGGCCCACATCAGACAGCGGATGCCGATTATAATTTCCCTGGGTTCAATGGTAGCGACCATGGCCATCAGTCATCTGGAACACCGTCCTTGTATTCGTTTGACGGACGTGATGTTCTTTCTGACCCTAAATGGTACATCAGGGTCATGATTCTTATAAAGTTCTTTTGCTGAGCTGGGAGATACTATAGTACATCATAAGAATGGATCTCGAAAACACAGACATAACTCGAAAACATATATTTCGATTGTTTTAATTAGTAATATTACTGGGCTTACTTGTGTCGATATGCGTTAACAACATTGTACATTTATTCAACATGTCGCTTTGAGCGCATCAATTTATCGTTAAGTTATGCTGTCGACATGGTTGCAGTTCTTTTTTTGAATAGGCCGACTAAAGCAGTATGGCACGGGTCCGATGAGGGTGGAAAACGAGTGGAGAATGAACAATGTCAGGTAATGCGGAAAATGAGCAATGAGCGCGGTCTTCGACATTGAAAAAATACCAAAACCATGGTGTGATTAAAGTTAACTTGTGCCAAGGTGTGCTATGGTTTATATATATGAGCGCATTTTATAGGATTGGTCATCGGATAGTGCCTTAAGAATTGGTCGCGCAGCTTTCTTAACTGCCCCTACCCAGGCATTCCAGTATCAGACTGGACGAAAGTCTGCTAATCCGTGGATGCCTAGAAGTCAGGATGACTTCCAGCAGTTGAGCGTTCTGCCGGCTGATGATCCCTACTCTGCACACCAGTACATGAATGATTACCACAGCGCAGCGCACGACCAAAGGGATTCTGGTAAACCTATGAGCCGGCAATGGACCAATAGGCTGATGGGTCAATCATCGGTGCCTTGCAACCTCCCTCTTGTGGTGCTGTGTGTCCAGATTCGTGCCTTGTAGCACTGTGCAATAGCTGTCATCGTGCGCTATCGAAGCTGTGGAGCCTGCGGCATCGTGTACGTTGTCAAAACTGGACAAGTCATTTGCTGAATCCCGCGGTGATTGTTTTTTCAAGTTGCATTCCGAAAGCTACACTACTGCTAAATTTGCATTTAGAGTTAGAAGGAACGCTAGGTTTAGTATATATGCGTGAGAAATTGATTAAATCCAGTTAAACAATGGTCGATATGATGGAATGAGCCGCCATAACAATTCTTCTAATCTATTTGTGCTGAATGACCGAAATACCAAAATGTTGTGCCAGCAAAGCATATTTTCGCAAGTTTGAACCGTACGTAACCTTTGACCACATAAAAACTATAAGTTTATATTACGGTTTTTACAACAAACTTTTTTATGTCATGATGAAACGTTTAAATTTTCAAACTAGCTAAGTTGTATGGAGACAATCGATTTTCTTGAATGGTGAAGGGATCCCAGCGAATAGGTCATTTTGCGGCAACTCATTCAGCGTCCTCAGAACACGGTTTTCCATTACGTATTGTAGAAAAAGATATTTTAGGAAAAACGATTTTATTACTCTTCTGACTTACACAATTACACGTCAAAAATTTTATTGCATCTATCCAGGTACAGCCTACAGGTAAGCGCAGCTGGCAGTTGTAATTCGTACGATATAAAAATTTGTGGGCTGTTAACTTGGTTCAAGGATCCAATTTTAATCACTAAAGCCTGGTGGCACGTATCAAATAGTTTGCAAGTTTAATACGAGAATTATTTTTAATCGTTATACAGCTTGTTTGTCGTCATTACATAGCTAACCCGTTTGCATAAAAAAATAATTAAATCAATTAGCTATCCCCAGCTCCCACAGAGTTATACATATTCATCGTCCAGTCAATCAGGTAGCCGGTTCTCCGGAATCCCGAGCTGCAGGGATGTTCTGTCCAAGTTCGGAAGCCCATACATGTTGCGGCCAGCCGGTTCGGTTAACATTGCGCACTATGTTAGGTGTTTCTTTGTAGGCGGATCTAGAAATCCGTTCGGCATTGATGACAGCCTAAAATACAACAAGGATTCGTATTTAGTCAAATAAATCGACAAAACAATTAGCAACCAAATCACAACAAGAAAACTATTACCAGTAGCTGCGTCATCATACGTACGTGGTAAAGAACTGCAGTCTGTATATTATAATTATAGAATCGGAAATTACTGATTTTTATTTATATACAAGCAGACACTGTAATTTCAATCAAATTGTAACAGATAGTTTATGTATTGTCCATTACTAGTTTCCTTGTTTTGCATCGCTACTGTAGAATTGGAGGGCAAAAGTAAATTAAGCCACGGTACCGGATGGATACTACCACCGGTATCTAACTTCACTAGCTACCAAAACATTGCTACAACCATATAGCCATCTCGCAGCCAATTGTTGCAATAGCGAACCCACGATATCATTTTGGCAAGTTCAAATTGATTAACTTAAGACCTTTGTCGGTGGTATTTTTACTTTTGTGAATGACCCCGGAGTGGCCCATTGTGACACAGTGTGGGTAGGGTAGTACATTGTAGTGGCAGCCGCCATTAATTCCGATTGAGGGATTCTGCTGGAACTATAAATCCAGAGACATGCATATGCCGTAACATTCTATTTTGGGTAAAGCACTTTTAAGTTTTACCAATGAAATTTCTGACTGGAAATGAATGATCTTAATTAAAGATAAGCTGGCGTCGTGTTTGTGTATGTCTGAGCAAGTATCAGCTGCCCAAGGAATGATCCCGTCTCAGATTGTCATAATCAAGAGAATGTATCCGCCCCGGCCCGACGCTTCGTCTATTTAGATCAAGTTTCATTATAAATATTCAAGCTCGTTTACACCAGCAATCTCTGGCCCGCATCTCCACTTAGCCCCTCATTAAGAGCACACGCCTCAATAAAACAGTTTTCTTAAGGTGACTTTACTTGATAAGTAAAATTATTTATCCTCAAGTGTTTGCTTCATTAGTTCGGCTCTAATTTTCTATAGGCTTTTATCGCTTTGTAGTTAAAAGTACGGACTACGGAGGAGTAATGTGCAAAGTACTATTAACAAGAGAATGTAACTGTCACAGCAGCAGTTTCACCCAGACAGTTGAAGAAAGATTTCGGATAATAAATTATTGTGAGCTCAATCACGAAACGTGTATTGTTAAAGCACTATTAATACTTTAAATACGAGTACCGTACATTCGAATACAGAAAACGTTTCCGTGGACGATATTGCCGCTAATAAATAATTATTTCCTTTCTGGCACTATACACAATTGATGCAGTACCTAAAACGACGAAATTAGTATGTGACAAAGTTGCTCGTTATGGTTTCTCTTTGCGTTTGGCTAACTAATTGCTGTTAAAAACACTTGACTAAAAGTGCGTTCAGTATTTTTGCATATAAGATCAAGTTAATCGTATAATATGTAGCAGCAACTTTGGATGATTTTACCTTCAACAACTCTCGCTTTCTTCTTTCCCGAGTCTCCAGCGTTTTCGTAACCACCGTTTTAAAGCTGCGTTCGGGAATGTCTTTTTGGTTTTCATTGGCATCCAGGAAATCCATGAGATACGCAATATAGCTAGTGGCTAATCGCAAGGTTTTAATTTTGGACAACTTGGTATCAAGCGGAATGAAGGGAATACGTTGGCGTAAATTAGAGAAGGCACTGTTAATACTAAGCGTCCGTCGGCGTTCCTTCTTATTTGCAGAGGCACGGCGCTTAACAATCCTCGGTTTACCGCAGAACATTATTCCCGTTTCCGGAGCTCCCAACAGGCGTCCACTCTTATTAGGCGCCTTCAAAGGTTGACAAGCAGTTGACGGGAGATGACCTTCCAGACGGGAATTTTGTAGTATCGACTCATACTTAGAGAAGCTCCAGTTATTTTGCTGCAGCTCGACATCCCTCACTGGCTGGTTTTGACTGCACACTTGTTTTGGATTATGGTAATGATCTGACGTGACTGACGATGAAGCAAAACCAGCAGCAGCCGCATAATATTCGCTGGAGCAGTTATAAATAACTGACATGTTATCATTAGAGTTGGAGTGGAAAAAGTAATCGTGACATGGAGGTGCCAAAACACTACCGAAACTCATTTTGTCCACCTGACCTTTACCGACTAACGAGGCAGAGGATGTTGCAAGAATTTGAAGTGTGCGTCAATTGGATGCGACACAAATTAATGCCGAAGTAAGACGAAAACCAAAACCCGGCTTGCCACGTTGATAGAGAATTACTGCAAGAAATGGTCTTAATATTTGAAGAATATGAATGAATGGTGCTCGATTGGTGTTTTCAGCGCGTTAGAATTCATTGAGTGTCATCTGCTTGTAAAGCTTGACGTTCATTGGTGAGTACACAGCTATACACGTATGTTCCTACTTACTCTTGCTTACGCTTCTACTCGTATAAGCTAACCGTAGAAACTTCATCAAGATTGACAAGCTGATCTGTGGAACAGTGGTAGCACCGAGTTTGTCGCGATTGCGGCTATACTGGCATCGAAGCATGAAATCAGTGCCTGTATGATAAGAATATCCCATCCACTGCTGGATTTAGTTTCCTGCACTGCAAAATTATTGCTGAATTTTCTCTGCCGTTAGTATCTTTTGTGTTTCCATTTAAATCGTTCATTTTCAAAAGAAATGATGTATTAGATCTTTTCTTAAAACCAGTCAAAGCAAAAGGTAACAAAAACTTAAAAAATTTAAACTGAGATATCAGATTTCCCGGCTGGTTAAAAAATTTAACACACCATAAAAATGTTGTACTATGTCAAGTTTGTGCAATACGTAAACTTGTGTACAATGCAGTACCGTCGCCAGATCCATACGATCGCAGCTAGTCGTGGTTGATGAATAACAAAATACTGACATGCTATGCGGAAGTCGCACCGCGACAACCGCACTAGATGACCAAACCTACTCAATCGATAGAGTGGGAATATGCTCTGGACTCCGTAAGTGGTACTACTGCCTACTTCCGCTAGGTACGAGCGGACTGCTGTGCCTAACGAAAGTTACTGAAACCGAAACACTCAGGAACTTCCCAAATGTTTTATCACCAAACCGAACGAACGAACAAACAGAACAGAACAGAACGAAAGAAATGAACTTCCTTCTAACCTAGAGTCACACGACCTTTCAGCTAGAAACAAGCTCACAGATATAGTTGAAGTTAGAAACTTCAGACTGATCAGTTAGACCAAGATCGTGGATGCAATTAGCGATCAAATGCGTTAGATAAGAACAGCACATCGCACGTAACGGAACAGACAACATGTACGTCATAACACGTACGTAATACGCGCAAACTACGCATAGCGCGTTAATACATTGCATTTACTAATGCTACAATAATTATATGTGATCATAACGGCTCCCGTTGTTTTTTGAAAAATCCAATTTATATTTAACTTGTTAGAGTGCATCTGTTAAGCACCTTTTTTACCAATCTTATTGGGTTATTAACAAACTATGATATACTGTAATATACATTCTGTCTCGTCTAGTTTTTGGGCTCGCCACATATTCTCGAACGAAAATGTGGTACGTGTATGATTTGTAATGAATGTATTTTGGTGGTCATAAACACAATTTTAATTCGAGATCGACAGAAAAAATCGGCTTTTGATGAAGTGCTTATGAGTACGAACTAACCATCCTATATCACAGAATACACAGTTGTTGACTTTTAAACGCAAAACTGCGTGACGCCAACGGTATACCTTTGAAATAACGATCATTAGATGCAGCGTTCCTGGATACTTCTAGTCATTCAAAACCTACTGGGTTACCACGGATACAAGCGCTTTTAGCTAGGTGATGCCCATCACGTGTAGCGTCACCGACTCACCTGTGCGCTTCGTCATCAAGTGAAAAGTTATTGGCCAAAGATACAGGTTAACGGCATGTTTTTCATAACAGTCGGCCCGATAATCAGGCCGCTTTGGGGCGGTTTGGTAGTGCTAAATACGTGTTTATCAAATAACCAGCAATCAATGGTTTGCTGTACTAAAACGCGAAATCTTACGGTGCCACGGTTACCGTACATATACGGTCAGACTAGACTCCTTGCTTGTCACCGGCAATTAACTTCAAGGCTGACGTGAAACGTGCAATTTGATGGCTGTAATATAGCCAACGCCGCAACTCGACCTTCTGACACGAATAAGCACCAAAATTTCATATATCGTGCACAGCGTAATAAGCGAGCTTCGCCTCAAGCACTGAGCGCACAATATGTAAGCACAGGATCGGTAATTTCAGGATAGAGAAAAAACTGCAGCTGTCTTCGGGATGCTCGTAAAGGAGATGATTGTGCGACTTAGGAGTTAGTACGTGCGACAACTGATCTCTGCACTCTCTGTGTGGCGAAAGGTGTTAAGTGCAATGTCCAGACGAGCTTAATTTGCCTCCCATTTAGCAATAATTAAGATCCCGTCTGCGTGGTATACATCACCCGGCTACTTTATCTTACATTCTTAAATGCGACTTTTGATATCAGTCGACTCCAATGTTAGGGATCACCGATGACCTGCATCCCCTAACTGTCAAATATATGAAAACAAATTTTATCGCGACTGATGCACACTGTACAGGAAAAAAAATTTGATATGATGCCAACTTGAAGTCGACCGTCATGTAAAAGCTCGCAAACTCCTACTAGGCTTATCAAATCGCCAACCATTCGGCGCCATTCCACGTTCATTAATGCCCATCATTACCGGATCGTAAACTATGAGAGACATGTGGCCGGCTAAAATTGCGAATATAGATCTGTTTCGAATAGTGACCAAACTTCTAATGCAGCTTTTTAGAGTTTGTCCGTGAGGTTGTGCGCAATGACCAGATGCTATTGACAGGCTATGTAAACTGCCGATAGTGTAGAGCATTTCAATCAAATGCAGCATAACTTGACACCACGCTGAAACTGCTGCATGGAGGCCCTCCGACGGCTCCGTCGATTGGACTGAGCGACGGGGACACCAGCAGACATGGACGCTAGTGTTACCATTTGATAGTGTCTTATCTGCCACATCGGAACCAAGTGATCATTACTCAGCTTCCTGAATCCTGAGTATCAAATGCTTTCGTGCTTTATTTATAAAATTAACTGCTCAGAATTCTTATTCTCGTTACCATCTCGTTAAACCGACCATAATGTGCACAGCAAGGGTTCAGAAGACGGTTTTTCCGAATGTTTACATTTAGCGGTCAGCGGGCAGCAGTAATTACAGAGTGCGCAATCGGCCAGTGGTCATTGTTGGCGCAACAGTGACGACAGATGAGATACCGCCTTATGATTTTCATTGTAATAACTTATTATAAGCGCTGCCTTCCTCGCGACTTACCCAACTAATCGCTCCATAGGTAGATAAAGATTGCCGTAAATGATGGAGGTAATTGCTGGTTGGGCTTGCGCTTTGTGCTCTACCAGGCGTACAAATCGTTGTGGTCTGATCGGTGCCGAAAGCAGCAAGGTACCAAAATTTTATAGGGAAATATTTATTTATATATCAATATATCAACATCTCGTCCATTACTTCGGGTACATGGAACCTTAGAACATTTCTCCTGACGTGCAAGAAGCATTTTTTTGACAAAAATAATAGTGACTTATAAAGATCCATTACGTTTTAACCGCATATTATAATTATTACTATATATATAGAGCTAACCAGACTGATAAATAAGTACTCGAAATTACATTCTACTTGAACCGACCACAGAAATTGTATCAGTCTATGTACAGAGTTCGAGTACAATATCTAGCCTTTTCAGTTCGAAAGTGTCAGCTCCTATTTTCTGCCAGCCATAATTTTGTGTCAGCAAAAAGTCATGCGCAACATATTAAATTTCTTTAATATATATTTAAAGACGTTACCCGTAGTGTTCCATGTTCTCGGCTGTGTGTTCTAATTTTCAAGTACTGCTATATTTGAGTAGAATGCGGTACAAGTCGAATCCCACACGTAAATTCCTGACCGGACGATGTCTGCAAGGTAAAAAGATTTTCACCTTGGTCTGTTTTGCATGTGAAAACTGTTTCCGAATATTCATAAAAGCAGCCTAAGCAATTCTCCGATATTAAGTCATTGTAATATGTTGCAATTAGAACAGTTGTAAAGGAACTTAAAAACACACAGCACTCCGAATGCACTACTGCTCACATCGGCAGTTTTAACAAGCAGTGAATCACTGTACCAACAAAAAAAAACATTTAAATAAAGTTGCAGCCACATTTGCTACCGCTCAGTAGTTGTATCACAAATCATAAAGTATTAGGGCTAATGTCCAAGTTACGGGCATTCCTGGAGATTCAAGACCGTTGAACCCGTTAGGGTTTTGGCTTTTTGAGACTGCAGGGCACTCTGACCACCTGCCACTGCGGAACCACCGGCATGAATCTTGCTTCCGGTCGCACTCCCCACACTCATGGAGGCAACATTGGTCCCCTTGTCGGACGTATTCACGTTTGAGCTCTGATTGGACTCCGCTGTACCCTCACCCGCAGTGCCGGTTCCCTGTGCAGCCCCTTCTCCTTGCGACTGGCTCTGTTTCTGACCTTTACTACTACTGCGGAAGGCGTTATTTGTGCCTTTTTTAATGCATTTCTCGCCGTTAGCCAACGTCATAATCTGTGTGTCCTGAGAAGCATTCTCCTCCGAATCCTGGCTTTGACTCTGTCCTTGTGCTTTGGCTTGCACAGCGCCCTGTACGTTCAGTCCTTTTCCTTCACCCTTTCCCATACTGACGGAGCTGACTTGGCCAGTTTGATTGTTTGTAGCTCCCAGGGTATTTTGAGCGGATGAGACACTACCTTCATCGGCAGTTCCTTGTCCCGTTGAAGCACCACCAATTTGGAATTGTGACTGATGTTGGTGATCACGTTTTGCTGCATTATTTTGCAGTTGATTACTGAAGGACTGGAACGCATTATTGGCTGCGCCGCTTCCGTATCCAGCGCCCGCTTGGTTTGTGTTAGCTGTGCCCGTTCCGGTTCCAGATCCATATGCCCCACTCGTTCCCTGATTGGCGGCTGCAATCGTTACATCTGCTGTGTTACCGTATCCTGTCCCCGCGGCTTGATTGGTATTGGTAGCACCATTCCCGCCGGTGTAGGCGGTGCCTGTACCTTGATTGGTAGTCGCTGCTCCAGTTCCGTATCCCGTTCCCGCCGCTTGATTAGTTGCTGTCATGCCAGCATTAGCACCAGATACCGCTCCGCCGGCCGCTTGGTTTGCATTGCTAGCAATTCCTCCGTATCCACTACCCGTAGCCTGATTAGCAGCTGCATTGACCACACCAGTACCTGCTTCGCTTCCAGATCCGGTTACTATCGCTTGATTAGTATTACTGGTGGCTCCTCCATAACCAGCGCCAGCTCCTTGATTGGTTTGCGTTAGACCAGCGTTGATATCCGATCCTGACCCTGCAGCGTTGTTAGATTGACTGCCAGCTCCTGCTGCAGCACTGCCGCCGGCATTTGCTCCGGAATTAGTATATCCAGTGGATCCTTGTCCTTCGGATCCAAAATTACCAACATTGAAGGAACCTTGCTGTTGACCGGTGTTACCAGCGCCGACGACCGCACCCGATGATCCCACCACCTGACTTGCACTGCCAATGCCAGTAGACATTGATCCACTGCCGCCATAAGGCACGTTTACAACTGGTGCGACGGTTGTGGCAGGAGCGTAATATACTGTTGTACTTTCTTGCACAGCTGCACCGTACACTGGCACAGGAGCTTCGGTTGTTGGAACTTCCACCACACTTCCATAAGCGGGACTGGGTGCAGCATACGCGGGGGTTGTTATTTCCTTGTTGCTACCGTATATAGCAGCGAAGGTCACGGTAACCGGCGAGGTGACCACGTATTCTTCTGTGGCCACATTCACTTGCGAACCGCTTCCATAAACAGGGGCTGCGGTGGAAGGAGAAGTATAAACAGGATAAGCCGAGGTAGCTTCCACAATGGCCTCACCGCCATATACAGGCGCTACGGGTTGCGCAACTGCACCGTATCCCATGGCCTTTGCCTCAGTCGTTGTGGTCGTTGTGGTAGTAGTAGTTGGAGTTGTAGTGGTTGTGGTAGTGGTGGTTGTTGGTGTCGTCGTTGTCGTCGTAGTCGTAGTGGTTGTGGGGGCGACATACACACTCGTGGTACCATAACCGTATCCACTTCCGCTTCCAGCCGCAGAACCGGCCCCTACAGCCCCAGACTGTATTCCCGATGCCTGATAACCGGTGCTTCCTGTGTTAGAGGTGTCGAGTTCGCTTCCACCCACTTAAACGGAAAACAAAAGCCGTGTTAAGTTACAGCTTACAAATTAATTGAACAATAAGCGGTCCAGTGGCTAGAAAAATCATTGTTTACCTTTGCTAGCGCTGGCACTTCCGGCATTCGAACCAGTAGCCGCTGCATTGCTGCTACCAGAAGAACCCGCGCTACCGCTCCCACCGGCACTGCTGGATCCAGTTCCAGCGGTACCGGTGTTTGTAGCTGCTCCCGTCTGCGTTGATCCGGTACCGCCCACTGTAAATGCACCGCTAGTTGCGCCCGCTCCGGATCCGGTGCTCCCGCCAAAAGGCTTGAAGTTTCCAAAGCCACCGAAGTTATTGAAGAAGCCCGTGTTAAATCCGGTTTGCGACTGTCCTTGTTTCTGACCCGCGCTGGCAGCACTCCCCAGTGAGCCTTGGGACTGAAACTGCCCACCGCCCGTCAGCTGGGCGGCTCCCCCAATTTTGCAGTTGCCACCAGTGCAGCCACCCAAACTGCTGCCTATGGATGTCGTCCCATTGGCACCGGTGTATGTGTTAGAGTTTTGGGCACTGCTAATTTGTCCAGAGTCAGCTTCGGCATCTCCAGTTGCCGCGCTTTGTCCGCTAGTTTGGCTTTGTTTTTGCGTATTCCCCTGGCTTTGCATCTGGCTCATACTCATCGAACCGAAAGCCGGAAAACTGAGCGGCTGCATAGGTTGCATTGGTTCTAAAAACACAAAAGTAGTTTATTACGGCTGCGTTTGTTCCTTCGCCATTGCAGAATGCGCAGCTGTATTGTGTGAAGCAATGTAAGAGTACATACACTGCAGTATAACATGCAACGAAACCCTCATTGTCAGAACTGACTGCGCGAACAGCCAGATCAACGTAAAGAAAGCCCTTACCGAATGCCGGAAACGAGAACGCCACTCCAACACAATAAATTGCAAAAATCAATCTTATCGCCATGGTTCTACCTAATCGGGTAGTACAGGAATTTCTGCACTTGAGTATGTTTGAATATTTTAACAATTAACAAATAAAAAATTAATACTGCTGCGCTCTGCGGGAATTAAAAAATTAAAGGTCTGTGGGCAGAAGGAGCTAAAGCAACGTAAGAGAACAAATGAACAATTTCATAGCGGTATTTGCTAGCTGCAAGACGTTTTATATGCTTTGCAATCCATAAACATGAATGCCAACTAATTGATTGACATTTCTGTATAAAAATTCTCAGATCAAGTCCGCTTATTAGCAGCAGTTTGTTGGTATGTTTCCGTCACTTGATACTCTACCGGCTTTACAGAAGGTTATTAAAGTTTGTATAATACGCCGCTCTTTCCAAATAACTGGTGAGACATAACGGTAACTTCCTGGCAGTATTCATCAGACTGTCTAGTAAACTGTGCAACGTCGATGATCCGCGAAAAATGCCGAAAAATAAGTGTTAATTAAATCAGATGTCTTACACCAGCTACGGTAGACAGAACAGGTATCCTGCATTAATAAAAAACAGCACTGTTTACACCAAGAATAAAACTGTTCATTAATATGCCGGCTGTTTATTTGAAAAAGTATTTTAATAAACCGGTACTGCAAAAATCACACTGCACTTGGCGATGCTGCCTAAGCCAGAAAACATTATGGCTATAATCTGAATAATTTATAAGAAAGACTGATTTAAAACGGCGCCGAAATGTCAGTGTATACAAAAACCAAGTCATAATCAATAACAATAAAGACATTGGCGATTTCCTGGCAAGCCTTAGTGCTAACAATTTTGCTTCTAATTTACAGTAATAATATAACAGAAGCGGTAACCAGTAAATTATGCAGTTAATAATCGTATATTTAATATTAATACCTGATAAATAATCCAACAATTTTTCTATGATTTTGAATTCTAGTTTGCTTCTTAAAAAGATCTGGCGGGAATTTTGCGAATATTTATAGCTCGCAGTGATAAGCAATAAACTGCTACATATTCGTGCGTTGGGTAATCCTGACGTTAATTGTTTGAACTCTTATGAAACAGTAGATCCCAAAATTATAAAGGTGATATTTTCAAAGCAACAGCTCATTACGAATGTTATTTTCGGTGGAGTAAAAATTAAAGTTGCTCGGAAATTCTAGACTTTACATGGTAGTCTTTTATCGATATTGGCGCTCCTATTGTAAAGCAACGCACGCGCATATATGCATTAATATTACTTAACACTCATAATGTTATTTACCTGCATATAGATATATGGGCATAAATAATGTCGGTTTGGCCATTCGCTCCGTACATTATTACAATAATATATTATATGACTTACAGTCTTGAGCATGTTTGTCGGCCTGCATGTTAGCTATCCTTGAAACTTCGCCCAGGATTATGTTCTTTTACAGTATTTTCGAACGCTATACTCTGTGCATGGTCAAACGGTTGTATCTTCAGTGTGTGTGTGCATCGAATATTTTGTAATCTAGGCTTGCAGATCCATAAAGTACCGCCATATTTACTACCTTAGAGTAGTGCTTGAGTCGTAAAGCCATAAAATCAGAGCACGCACAAACGGAAGTTCAATTACGCTAAAGTAATTAAACGAGATCAACATATTGCGCTTTATAATCCAGATTTTTACTTAAAACCTAAAAGTCGAATGCAAAAGTGTCAAACAACCCGAAAACGTTACTGGTTACAAAGACTCTGTCTTTACCGGTATTTTAGTTTAATATTCTCTAGGCTGTAACTTTCTCAGATTCAGTAGTATTCCCATGAAATTACCAAAATGAACGGCAGCTACAGGATTATAAACGTTTTGCTGTTTTCTAGCTTAATTTTATGTCATTTAACACTGATAAAATCACAAACTGTTTGCTTTGATGTTAATCGGCCGGGCGTAGCAGGATTCTGCACCGATACTTTTATATGCCAACTTTTGTCGAGCACCGGCTATGTGATCAGTTCTTCATCGGTTGAATGTCTGAGCAGCCCGAATCCTTCCCAAGTGTGCTGTATGCCAGCTGGTGGTATCCCTGCCACCACTCCCTTTCCGCTGACACCGTCCTATTGCAGTGTTCCACAGAATAATAGCACGTTCCCCGGCCAAGGTCTATCCGGCGACGGAGGAGGCAATATAATCGTAAAAAGTTTGGAAAGGATGGGCAGAATTTTGGGTGGAACCCAGTAAATTGTTACTTTATGTTAACCGAAGCATTCCTGCTGTTATATTCTCATGTCTTCATGGTCATTTGTTTGATGACAGGGTCACCGATCCAAGCCGGCATTGCTGGATCGCCGGGATCTACCTAAACAATCAACTTGTTGCTTCCGGTGCGCTTGTATCAGCAAATGTCGTGCTGACCACATTCAGTCCTGTTCAAAGGTCAGTCAGCAAACTGCTAGCAAGATATTTCGGGATTCATATCCCTATGTACAGATATCTCGCTGTTAACGTTGACACGATAATTCCCAACTGATATTACGAGTATACAGATTAATTATGTTCTGACTTGTTGTAAATGTGTCATAATTAAAAATTAAAACCGCTTCTAGTTTCCTCACGATATGGCAATTATTATGAGCACAAAAACTCCTTGGGCAAAATGTTTTGTTTAAAATTTTTAACCACCTACCGATACTAATAAAATGTGTGCCCCGCCCACTAGATCTAGATTTAAATTTTAAACTTATTGTACCTTCCCTGGCCTTTCACACAGATAGAACTGAAAGTTTTATTTAGCAATGCAACAATATAATTTTTAAGGTACAATATTGGTGTTTAATTTTGTTAACATTTTAATTTAAAATTTTAATAACATTTTAATTTGTAAACAGTACATTATTTTCAGTCAACAAAATTTTATTTTAACATATGGAACCTTACATAATCTTTTGATGTGTTCAGAGCAACGGCCCAATCTTTAACCGTAAGACTCGGGGTACCAGGAATATCCGGAGCAACCGGAACCTTTAATTCGGCCATTTCGCTTCAAGTTGCCCAAATTGTTCGCTACCAGGGATACCGTGTCGTTAATCCACCAGGATATCCTGTCGGGAATCTCGCTGTCCTCCGTTTAAGCCAGTCCGTTGATTTCAGCCTTAATCCTTCTTTGTGCACAGCGTGCTTGCCGGGCCAGTCCATAACCACAAGCTCCTTTTTGGGCGACCGGTGCCATGTCGCTGGTTATGGCAGTATAACAGAAGGTAAATCAAGCAGTCTACAGTATTACGATGGCAGAGAAACCAATTTCGCGATATTTTCAAAATTTTTGTCCTCTTGATCGTGTTTAAATTTTAAAGGTACAGAAAGCGAAGCATAACTGTTCATCATAAAATTTGCTGCAAACGGGTATATTTTGTACGCATTCTAATTACTGTATGCAGAGAAAAGATACTTACCGTAGTTTTCAACGCTGTAATGCAACAACAAGATTTTCACCATCTGCTGTTCTAAAAAGGAACTACCACAATCTCCGACGGAATTCTTCGCGAAGTTATGGTTCCGATTATTCCGCGACAAATGTGTGATTTTGTGTACCAACGAGTACTAAATCAGTTTCAGTACGCAACCGATGCCTCATCTATATGTGCGGGTGGTGAATCTGGAAAGGACACATGCACTGTAAGTTCCGGAGGAAATTGTCCTCGTACGCTCAGATATCAGTTAAAGAACTTTTATTTATTCTTATTATTTTTAGAGAGATGGAGGAGCTCCGCTGTAAGGCAAACAGATACATCCTTGCCAGCTACTAACAGCACCGTAGCGTACTATATACATTCTGTATAGGCAGAACTGGGCGTATATTGTACAGATTTGTTGTGTTACATATTTTCATCTGCTACCTTAATTATAATGCAAATCGAAATTAGTAGCGTTTTGCGGATGCCTACAGTAGATGGCTTTATGCTGCATCTACATCTATAAACCAAATAACGAAATGCTTTTCTTGCTCTGTGTTATGCAAATTTTCTTCTTTAATGCTCTTTAGTAATTTTAATCCTTGCTCATTGATTTTTGGAATGGTTGTAGACGATGTACTGGTGTTAGCCGGCAATATCCGATCGTAGTCGGGCTCAGTAGCTGGGGAGTTGGATGCGGTAGATCAGGTGAAATATACGTTTTATTATAGTCCAAAGAAAGATTGTAAAGATTCAAATGTCACAGTGTTAGTGTTTTTGCAGTGTTTAGTTATTGCGAACACTGAACAATTTTGTTGTTGACGTACTAGTACTCTTTACGCGGGCACGCCCAAGACATTGACTGTACAAATGTTATTATGTGTTATTTGTACTTTTGCGCTCTTTTTTAGGAATTCCATCCGTTTACACCGACCTTAGTAACAGCCAAATCTTTGCGTTTATACAACAACAAGTTTCAGCATCGGGATCACGTTTGTTTCCCCCGCCAATTACTACAGCTTTTACTGCATCCGGTTTTGTGCCAGTGTCTGACTCCGGCAATCCATTTTTCGCTAAATAATAGAACCAATATTTTTAAATTACCACGGACTTAAACCTTGAGAATATGATGTTAGTAAACTAGAATTGTTTTATTATTTTTGATTGCGCAAGTAAAGAGATGACGTACGTGTAAAGCGAAACGATTACTGAGAAAATTATCCGTTGGTGTGCAAATACGCAAATAAAAAATTCCTTATTTTTGGACAAATTAAAAATCTGCATAATAGGCACTTTTATAGTACTCATCTTGCTGGTACTTTGTAGATTTAAAACTTATTATGTTGATCCAGTATGTAATTTTTAAGAACGATCCGCTGAGTATATCGACAACGATTTGCTTGAATTGACGTTCAGGGTTCCGATTTCAATACTACTTTAGTAGTACACAGAACGACGCAACGAAAAACGCTGTTACACTTATCACAGATGTACCGATATTGCAGATATTAAATAACTCTGATTAACAGAGATTCGTAATTAAGCAATAAAGAAAAATACGTCTAATCGTCGCTTTATCGGCCCGCTAAATGTAATATGCATATGGTCAGCGACGCAGCAACGCTAACTCATCCACATAGTACTTAAAATGCAAACCTTAATTTTAAAGCAAGTGACATAGAAGTACTGCAAACGGCTGTTAAAAACCGTAATCAGGAAGCAAAATTTTTGTTGTGAGGCACGTAAAACATAAACACTTTTCGATATGAGCGAAAGTTAATGTTTTACTAAAAATCATAATAAATTTCATAACAACAATCAAACGCGGCGAACTCCGCTTGACACATAAATCGTAACGAGCTAGATGCGGTACTGACCGTAAGTCATCAAACTACTCACATTATCCAGCAGTAAAGTTTTATGGCAGGGCAAAACCCTTACAATATCACAAGTAAAAGTAATCTTGTGGGCTTGACTGCATTCAAGGCGTGTTAAAAAACAAGTGACAAATACTGTCGAAAAATTATACTGCTGCTAATGAACGATCGGTCAGTTCATTTTTCCACTGCAGGATTTTCTCCCAGCTCTTACAAAGACTTTCGTTGAAATTTAAGTTTTCCAACGCTGTGTGAAAGGTGTAACGGTACCGTTGGTTATCTGATGATAACTGACCAGTGCATGGACTATTTTGCAGGCCTACTCTGGTGATCGAAACTACTCTGTATATAATATTGATACAGGAAAAAGTAATTAGCTGCATATTAAGCTGGAAACGGTATTACATTGGTCGCTATTGCAACATGGCTTTGAAAAGATTGGCTTTCCAGCGATACTTCCCTTGGCTTTTCGGTGTAGTATTATGTGGATATATCAGCCTATCGCTGCAAGATGACGGCATCATGATGGCATCATCCCTTGAAGCTACTTCTTTGCCAGGACTCCAGGGTAACTCTATTAAAAATTTTGTGTACTGCATAATTAATCGGAAAAACATTCATATGTATTATGACGTTTTTGCTGCAAAAGAAAATTAAACTGTTAATGAAATGACATGGGACAACTTTACATTGCTCTCTGTTGTTTTTGGGGTATCGGTAATATTACGAATTATCACAAACTTATCGATAACACCTCAACCTATCACTATCGTAACTCAGGATCTGGACTCAGGACTCTGTTCTTTGTTTCAAAATGCTAAAATTACTATTCTAGCTACATGTAAAGTTATATGTATCACTTGATTTTGTTCTCCATTTTCCCACCATGATGGTATTCTGTTATTTTCAGGACCTTGTATGGTTCCGGACAACAACGGAAAGCGTAGTTTTGGATTTTGTTTTGCCGACAGCATTGCAACCGGATTGTGTGGATCAGTTTTGAATCTGGACACCCGTCCGGGAAACTGTTCGGCTAATCATCAGTGCTGTTTTGTCAAGCACCAGAACGATCTCACTGTCAGCAACTCTAACAATGTTATGCTCATAAATAAAGATATCCCTCAGCTGCCAACTTCTGCCGCAGAATCGGCTGAAATTGTCCCTACTTGTGGAATATCCAAAAGTGGTCTCAATCGTAAAATGAATCAGAATATTGTGGATCCGACAGCGCAACCGGTGATGCTGATGATACGCTCGGGCGAGCAGGTGCTCACCAACAACAGGAAAAAACGTACAGCATGGCAAAGAGCGCGGCAAGCTAAAATCTTGGGTGGCACCCCAGTATCAGATTCCACATACTGCTCGATCGCTGCCATAACTGCGGACCAACGTTACGTAGCCGTTGGAAGCTTGATCGCGCCACAATGGGTGCTTACGAGTGCTACAATTATGAGCCGGTAATTCTTTGTACTCATTGCATTTTTCTTTTCGCGACTGGAATTGTCATGCATACTCATCTGCAATAAACTGAATTAAATGATTAATTTCAAAAATTTGTTGTCACTAGTTTGCAGGGCTTTTCCATCGGCTGTTTGTACCTTGAACTTTGCTCGAGTAACAGTTATGAACTTATTTCACATGATTTTATGTTACTTAAAGAACACAATGTTTCGTTTTCAGATACATTATCCCATCACAGCTGGGAGGTAGCCCACCTAAAATTGTCGTATACTTGGGTTACAACGATTTATCCCAAGTGAATAATCCGCCCATAGATATGAGAGTCATGAAAAACCGCAGATATTCCGTTAGCAGCGTAATTGTCCATCCGGAATTCCAGATGAACTCTCCAGGTTATCCTGTGAATGATGCTGCTTTGCTACGGCTGGAACGGGCAGTGGATTTTAACCTGGAACCCGATCTGTGTACGGCTTGCTTGCCTACGTCGGAATCGGAAGTCAACGCTTTTTCTACAAAACGCTGCATGGTCACAGGTTATGGAGTGACCGCTGAAAGTACTGAATTATAATTTCATGTTTGATTTTACTTAAAAAGAGGTAGAAGTAGAACGACCATCAGTTACCGCACAACATCGAAGGTCACTGTTGTAAATTGCAGATGACACTCAGGTCGATGGAATTCTCCGTACAGTAGATGTCCCTTTACTCAGCAACGCATATTGCCAAATGGCTTACCAGGTACATGTTTTGGAATTAAATAAGAAAGCCACTCAAATAACACAATTTAAAACAGAAAACAATACCAATTTTTGCATTTCAACCAAATGTTTTTCGTGTTTCTAACGTTTTCATTACGTCGGCTCAGGTATTTTACGTGGTAATTACGGGCATTTTACGTAGGAAATCTAGTATGGATCAATAAGACCTCTGTATGCTTAACAGTAAGGTATTTGGTACTGTCGTACATTATCACATTTGTAGAATGCATTGCGTCTACCAACCTTTCGCCTAGATCGAGCTAACATCTGCGCTGGAGCAGAAGGCGGAAGAGATACTTGTTCCGTAAGTTTGTAATTTGCATTGGTTTCCTGCAAATATGTGTAATGTGAGCTGTGAGAGCTTGTTAAAAACAGCTTTTTACGGTTGTTGGCAAATGTATTTCCCAAGCCCAACATACGTTTTGTTACGGTTTTTTGTAAACTTACTGAGATAAATGTACAAAGGATGCATATCAGTTGTTTGACCTTTATTATAACTGTTGCAGCGCGATGGAGGTGCTCCACTGTAAGTTTCAACACATTACATTTGTAGCGGTGTAAGCATATAATATGCATTAAAGCTGGTGGTCTGGAAATATAACGTAATTACAGAACTTGTGGAGTTTCATCTGGATCTCCTGTATTAGTAGGAGTGTCGAGTTGGGGATATCACTGTGGCCGAAGCGGTAAAAAGCGAGGAAATTATTCAACTGGATGGGTTGAGTTCGAATGCAGGTGTTCATGTGTCGTATTATTTTTTATAGGAGTTCCATCTGTATATACCGACCTATCCGCAGTGTTGGAGTGGATAAAGTCCAGATTAAGTTCTATAAGTTCGGAAAAATCCGCGCTATAATTTTTTAATTTGATTTTGCCACAAAATGCAGTAACATTATTTGTGAAACTATTGCGCTATCAGTATAACAATTTACTAGTGCGCATTCGCTAACTCAGATGCGTACTAATAAAATACAAAATTCCTGCTACCGTATGAATAACTGAGGGATTCTTCGAAGCAGTTTTACGGGTGCATGCATGGACACACATGTAAAGTTGCACTTGGACGCACTTGGTTTTCGCAGTTTAGTTTTGAAATGTGTAATAATGTTGCGAATACCTTCCTTCGCAATTCCGAAGTAAGAAATACGACTATCTCGTTGTGCATGATATTTCAGTGCGTGCACATTTTGTAGTTTTATGTTATGCTACGGCATATGGTGGCTCTCGAGTCGCGACGGCAGTTTCTTAATGCTGCCTTTTTAGATGAGTCCTTCAAATTCTGGTTGAAATGCCCGGTATAGAGCTAATTTAGCAGCTTATAAATGCCAGGTTAATTACAAGATTACAATGCGTTTATGTACCGAATTGCGGTCACCTGCTTGTATAAATGTACATAAAAAACATGAATCCGAAGGGTTATTTTTTAAGTGTACATAATCACTTTCCCAGAGGTTACAACAATAGCATATAGTTGGAGACCTGTAGTTGTAGTCGACCACGGGTTTGAAAAACATTAATATTTGGTTGACCGTTCATATATAAATGCTTATTCTTGAACTGAACTAGAAAGCAAGTAAGACAGCAAAAAAAACGCTTAAAAAGACATTATTGTTTGTGCTAAACAATAAGAAATGGCATAATCTTCTCAATTGGCGACCATGATTTTTCCCCGGTTATGCTGCAGGTACTGTCAGGACAATGAAAACATACAACATACATACAACTGGTTTCTGTTCCATCAGCAGATACTACTTACTTATTGATCTGCTAAGGATATACAAATTTTCTTCATGCTTCAGCACTCTTAAAAAATGCTGCTACATGAAGCGAATACTTGTCTAAAGAATTTGTATTCACCTCATCTATTGATAATTATTAGTAGATCTATTAATAGTGGTGAAAACTGAGCCTTATGGAATTAAGCTGTCACGCTGCACAATGTTACGCAAAATTTTATTAGCCTTTGGGTACACTATTTGGATTTTGTATTCGCTTAACCTCTTCCCCTGTCAATCAGGTTCTGTGAAAGAAGTTTGAAAAGACTCAAAGTTGTTACAAACCCAATTAACACCGGAAGCTATAAATCATGTCTCATTTCAACGGGCGTGTTAAGCGGTATATTGATGATTCCGACGATTATTCCAGCGGTACTTTTGAGAACAGTAAGCGCCCAATTTACCGCTCCACGGTCCATATTTACGTTGCTCCAGAAGAAGATCTCGTTTACGGTAAAGCAAGTATGAATATTCAGATATGCAACATTAAACATTCAAATACAAAATAATAATGTGGTACATCCATCAATATGGTACAGTTCTTAATTCCCGAATTTCTGTATTGACATTTGGTTTTTTTATATTACTGCAGAGTCTGACAAATTTGTGACCCTTGCCAGGCTTCCCCACCTGGAAAAGATAAGAAGTGGTGAATATGCAGATATCGGTTACGGAGCGTATTTCAATCCCAACGTAGGTGCGTGTCGTAAAATTATGGATTAGTGCACATCTTTAGAAAACTGATTACAAACTACGTAGCAGTACTTCATAACTGTTATCAAATTTTTTGCCTTTTAACATTGTACTACCAGATTTACCACAAAACTTTCTCAAACTCATTATTGCCAGACGCAAATTACTTTGTGTACATAGATATATCAGGTATGCACCTCAAAATATTCGAAACAAGATATAAGTGGAACGTATTATAATGTCTTTATAATGATTACAATTTTAGCTTCTTGTTTCGGCCTAAAATATTTTGGTGATAGAATTAGTCAAGCTTAATTTTCAGTATAATAGGGATCGAATCAAAGGTCCTGTCGGCGAATGGTAAATTGCCCGTAGTTTCAATCCGCCGCACTTGTTCAGTATACCGTACGGTGCGTTTGGGTGTAAAACATATTAGGCTAGAGTATAAGCAGGTTGACTGTATATACTGTATATACAGAGTATGTTGTTGTTGTAGAATGATAAAATTATTATATCTGTGTAGGAAGCACACAGCCGGCAAAACAGCCGTGGCGCACACGTTTGCATATCGCAATGGACAGTATTAAAGAGAAAATCTTGTACAAACGCAATCCACTACCAAAGAACCCATCCCGATCTCAGAAAGTTCGTTATGCCTTCTTATGTCCCCCGCATGGATTTTTGGCCAGCTTATTGGCCAATATCCTTGTCATACTTTTCCTATGGCTAACGGCGTTCTTTCTGGCTCGCAAAGACGCCTTGCCCGGCGGCAACATATTTGCCTTGTTTGTGCTGTATGGAGCATCGTCGCTGGGAGGATTTGTGGTTTCGCTACTGCGATTGCCACCGTTGCTCGGGATGCTGATTGTCGGGTTTATGTTGCGCAATGTCCCGGGCATCATCGTCGCTACCGACATTGACCGGAAATGGTCGTCGGTGCTGCGGAGTATCGCTTTGACGGTGATCCTCACCCGAGCCGGTTTGGGGCTGGACGGGAAAGCTCTGCGTAAGCTGAGCAAAAATGTGCTGTTGTTGTCATTTCTTCCGTGTGCGGCAGAAGCTATCACCGTGGGAATTGCAGCATATATGATTCTGGGGTTTCCTTGGCTTTGGGGATTTTTACTAGGATGCATACAAGGTGTGTAGATGCACTATGGGTTTTTGCTGGCGCATCATGGTTTTCCGACCCATTGACAGGTGCTGTGAGCCCGGCTGTCCTCGTGCCGTTCATGATTCAGTTACAGGAAGAAGGACTGGGAACAAACAAAGGCATTCCGACGTTGTTGATGGCTGCTGGCAGCCTTGACGACGTATTAGCCATTAGCGGTTTCAGCATTTTTCTCAGTCTCATATTTTCAACTGGTACGTGAACCTAATAACGTATTATTTTACCAGCGTTGGATTAAATTATTATGATCCAACAAACATCTCCTGTCACATAATAATGACAGTGTGCATGAACAAATTATATAACTAGAACCGGTGCATTCGTGTGAGCTCAATCTTCCTGCTAAAAACTGATCACTACGAGTGCAGACGATAATGATTCGAGTTTTCGTATAGGTGCGGCGATCTGGTACCAAATTATCCAAGGACCATTGGTAGGAGTTCGTAAAAATTAAAAATCTTTATATTTTCTAGGGTCTGCATACTTCAAACACGTACTGTATTTAATGAATAAGGAGGGTATTGACTTAGAGGTAAAGTAAGCTTGAAATGTGAGCCCGTGCAAAAATTAGTTTTAATTGCACTTCACTAACGTTAATTTGTATTGCATACATATGGTTTAGTAGCGCATTAACGGGTGTGCTGTTGTATCGTTCCAGTATAGGTATTATTTTAGTTGTGATTTGGTCACAGTAAGTACAGTAGTTTTCAGCAAGTAAAAGCGACAGCAGCTGCCTTTGCGAATGCCAGCGTTTTAGAACAGTATAGCCATGGTGGTATAGCCTAACAGTAGCTCCAATTTCGCAAATTAATGAGCTGGATTAATCTGCATTAAAAATGGATTGCGTGTTTATTCCTCAGGAGCTTGCAATGGGTTTAACCTATGGAATATGCGTGGGATTGCTGCTGTGGTATATCGCCGACAGAAACCATGTGAGTAATTTTTATAATTAGTTGCATCCCAGCATTTCGCGTACGTCGGATGGCGGCCTGCAACGTGGAGTATTGTAAGCTGGGGATGGAAGAGGAAGTGCTTGCAAAGTGAACTGTCATGAATGTGTCAATATGCCGGCAGAGCAAATAATCATAGCGAATACATGTCAAGTGAGAGGTCTTATAAGCACACATTTTTGCAAAACCTACCCGGGGACTGTCCCCAGCGCATGCGTGTTCTACGTTTATCTCCTGATTGTTTACTCCTGATCGCATTAAAAAATTTCTATGCATCGCATATGACAAATTTTAAAGTAGTGATAATTTCACGAGGGGCAGCTGAAGCAAGTTGTGAGCATTATTGCGATTCTAGAGGTTTATTCCTTAAGGCACAACCTACTGAATATAATTCTGATTATGTTGTATAAAGGGGACCCTTATTTCTCTTTTCTAGATTGACCTTTCAATTTACCGGTTTCTTTTGTTACTATCTGCCGGACTCATAGCTGTATTTGGCTCTAAGGCAACTGGATTTGGCGGCGCGGGAGCGTTGGGCTGCCTGACCACAGCCTTTGTAGCGGGATACCGTTGGCGACAGCCCGGTTGGAATAAAGAACTGGTAAAGGCTGTAATTAATGTGAATCAGTTCAATTTATGTACCGCGGTATCATCCAACCGTCTGTATTTGCCTCAATAAAAATTTTATGTCATTGTGCTGTGCATTACTGTACTTTGGTGGTAAGGATTTATGTTGTAATGTTTTCAGGTAAAACCGTCGACAGCGTTCAATCATCTATGGAACTACCTCTTCCAGCCACTCTTGTTCGGGTTAATTGGAGCCGAAGTAGCGCTAGATCGTATTCAAGCAGAAACAGTTGGACTGGCTATTGCAGTATTAGTACTGGGATTGATTGTGCGAATGATCTTCACTGTAATTGCCGTTAGTGGAGCGGGCTTAACCTGGCGGGAAAAGTTATTCTCCGCAATAGCATGGATTCCCAAGGCCACTGTACAGGCTGCATTGGGATCGTTGGCTCTTGATAGTGCACGAGAATTGAATGCCGGACCGGAATACATTAACCTTGGAGAAAAGGTGATTTAATCATTTTAAAGCGATTAAGACATGCGCATTTGCTTGTGCATTATGATATTCACATGCATTTATTCCCGATCACTGAAGTTTACGTTCTCAGGTGGTGACTATTGCGGTGCTGCTGATAATTATCACTGCACCCCTGGGTGCGTTGGGAATAAGTCTTACATCCCATTCGCTGTTGGTGAAAGAAACCGCAATCGGAGAGGATGTCCATGCGGATGAGAAGTATGCGCTTGCGGATATTAAGCAAAGTCCACCGGAAGAGAGAACAAAGATGATCGGAGCACATTAATGTACATGTGGCATAAAAGATGAGGTCTACCGTGACGTTTCGGAAAACGTTGAGTGTTGACTTCGATCTAAAATTGTTGTCTTTTCTGGGGACGCTGTAGAGATTAAAAGAATGACATTTAATTCTATATGGCTGTATTCATGGTACGAGGTATTTATTGTCTGCTCCTTTATTATTGTGTGTAGCGCTACTTCGTTTATATTTATTTGACAAAAAGAAAACGTACATCTGGAGATTATCTGTGGACTTGTAGAAAAAGCTGTCTGGACTCTGGAGCATAATAATCGTACACCACCAATGTTTAAAGTAATTTTGTCGGTGTAAGAATTGAAAGTTACGAGTGAGCGTAACTACCCTGGCAGTATTAGCCAGCCATTACATTTTATAATTAGCGCATGCTTACTGCATTCATTAATTTTTTAAAATGGCTTACCAACGTTCGTCAGAACCCCGGATACGATGATTAAAATGGCTGGCAAGTAAAGTCAGCGGCATTATTTATCGTTTGAGTGATTCTATTTACGTCTTTTTATTATGAGCATGTTTATTTGTTTCCGCGGTCCACTAACCATAAATCATAACACTGTTTTAAAATGAGAACTATTTTGTTTTCCCTCAGTTAGGATATTATCGTACGAGTATACTAAGCTAAAGTTAGCAGCGTGAGTAAGTATGTTGTGGAATATACGTAATTTCGTAAGCCAGAAAGTTTCTTTGGCCGAAACTAAAATTAATATTTATATGGCGGGAGTAAAATAGTTGAGTTTTTGCTGAATTTATGGTGGGAATATAAATGCCGGGCTTTCGCAAAACAAACGTTGTATCACTTCGACGAAATTCGGTAAAATTATGGTTATATTACTCATTTCTAGTCACTTTTTTGACATCGAGAAATCTAGAGTAGTTCAATTTGACAGGTGGACAAATGTTTTCGTTTTGCAAGCGCTTTTCGAGATTAATGGAAGCATTTATCGCGCCAACTGTAGCCCGGAAGCGCATGCCGCATAAAAGCACGTCGCTGTAGCTGCTGTCGAGCGGTTAGCTGGTTTAGTCACACTTTAAAACAGTTCAAGTGTACAGTGTGCGTTCTACCAACTTATATTTTTTCCACAGTTCCTTGCTTTTTTAATTACCTGACTCTACAGTTTCTAGAAGATAATGGAAGATAGTGATAAAAACGGCTTTAACGGTACGTGTGCGAAGAATTTGCAGCCATGCTCGACTTGCAATGGACGTGGAAGGGCTGCCACCAGATCGGAGGAGGTAAGTACTTACTGATGAGGTTATATAGACCGTAGAAGCTCTTCTAAATTGTGTATTGAAGCTGTTGTTAAGCATATTTGATATTTACCTTTCTTATACATACATTATACTCATAGTAATCTCATCATTATTGTGGTCTTTATTAGCAAGATGATCCGCGAATCCTTATTCCAGAATTATGCCGCTTATTCTACAATTTGGGATGGTGCACAGTAAGCGCTTAACAAGTTAGGGCTACTCTCCGGAATTGAATTCTCGATTATCACTGAACTTAAGGACGGGAATTTTTTAATATTTTTGCAGGGCACCGGCGGAGGAATAAGTGTGAAACACAAGTGAGCAGTGCATAACGTATCTTATCAATTTTGACATCAAAAGTTCTGAATGCAGTAGCGGAATCTCATCAGGTTTTGCTAATACCGTATGATCGCATCCGGTACTGACTGTCTGCGATTTCTAGTTGCAGTTTTTGAATAGTTATAGTGGTTAGTGGGTAAAAAAGTACTTAGTTAGTTCTTCACTCTTGCTTTTAAGGGCTTTGTGAAGCACTGTTCCCTTGAATTTCTCGTGGCTTTTTCTGTACAAGTTGTAATTTGTTATTTAATACATGGAAATTATTAATAATTTTATAATGTGACTACAATTTTTGTTACAGAGATTTGATTTATATTGCGCCATCAGCTGTTCAGAAAGAAAGGATTCAGGTGAACCACGGTTGGCTTATTTGCACTTATAGTTTTCGCTTCCTGTTGTCATATGACGTTTCAAATTTTCAGCCGGAAGACATTTTCGTTCAGGATATAAATGGAAAGGATATTGAATTGCCCCCAACCAGTAAAAGGCTTAGAAAGAGCCAGTGCACTCCACTGTTTATGCTGGCATATGTTCACAGAAGTGAGTTTGAAAAAAGCTGATCGTACATCTAAATTACTAGAATAAAGCTTATAGCTGTTGCCATTGTCGCATTAAAAATGTCAATCAAAACTAACAAGTACCGAATCCCATTATCTTCCGTGCTTCATTATTAGTAAACACCCGAACATAATAATTACGTTGTTAATAGTGTAGCAATTGCTGTTTTGAATTAGAGGCTGGAGCTGTGATTCATTCCCATTCGAAACACTCAGTTTATGCTACACTTGTCTACAAGGGAAAGGAATTTCGTATCCGTCACCTGGAAATGATCAAGGGAGTGAAAAAGGATTCCACGGGAAAGTACTATCGCTATGACGAAGAGTTGGTTATTCCGATTGTGGAAAATACACCGGAGGAGCGCGATCTGGAGGTTAGCAGGGGTTTTATTATGTGGTTAACTACCTATTTTCGTACGCGTTGCCGAATCACAGCGGGCTTCATTAGCTATACTGTTGTAGGACCGTATGAATCGTGCAATGATGGATTATCCAGATGCATGTGCTGTTTTGGTGCGGAGACATGGATTTTATGTTTGGGGAGACACGTGGCAGCAAGCAAAAGCGATGTGAGAACGGCAAACTCCGGCAGTAATTCATTGTGATTCCTGCAGTTGTTTACTTTTACAGGTGCGAGGCTTTGGATTATCTCTTTGAAATCAGCGTTGAATTGCATCGACTTGGTATCGCTCCTGTTGTAGATGAACTGAGTGTGCCAGAAGAGGCGTATGTGTGATTTGTTTGCCTAAAGAGATAGAAGTAGTGATATCACTGATATGCTCCCCTGAATTTATTCCCACGATTGCGATCCATTCAGAAATACAGCAAATATTAATGGGAATTTCGCCATAAAATTGATTTTGAGGCATCTCCAGTCTTCCTTATGGTTAGTTTGTTTGATGGTGTCAATGATGTTCATTGTCTTAGTTCATCTCGACCTAAAATGCTTTTTAAGCCTGTACTATACCTTAAACGAACGAAGAAGTCATGACTGTGTGTTATGTTTCTGTTTTCACTTAAGCGAGAACTTTCTTGGTTTTCACCGTACAGCTAAAGCAAAACTAGATCAGTTTAAATGTCTGCATTATGCAAGTGGCAAAAGCACACAAGGAATCCTGAAGCAGCAAACTTCTGTAGAAATTTAGAGTGTTCGATTAGTTCCGGTTTTGCTACCGTTGCCGCCGATAAAGTTTTCGATCAGCTTTGTGACATTCTTGTTAGTTTCCACAACATTGGATACAGTGGTTCGATCACGGTGGATAAGCTCGTAAACAAGGATCTGAAAACAAAAAGGAAGGGGAAAGTAAAATAAGAGTAAGCGAAACTAACAAAAATATTGTAGTAAGTGGCATTGTTGTTAGCGGTCTGTGGGCCAAATTTGGTATTTAACAAGTGCATACCGCAGCTAAAAATGATTTACTTAAGTAACTACATGGATATTTTTTAAAGTAAACTTTATCCTTCTACAACTTGTGAGTTGGCAACCTAAAAATCAGTTTTTTTGGCAATTCGTTACGTATCGAGTGTACAAACAACCGCGCGCCAACTGAGCGCGACATCGAAAAGGACATCTTACCGCATACGATAACAGCAATGTTGTAATCTGAAATCGACAATTCCAAAATTCACAGTATGACTATCAATAAGTATTGGCTTGTAAATCATAACCTTACAGCGCAGTGTTGTACCTTCTAACGTATTTGGAAATTTGAATCTTACCGTGACACTCATGTGACGAGAGAACATCAAGACCTTTCCGGCAACAATTCCAAGGTATGTGTGCTTAGTTGCAAGTATAAAGTAAGTCAGTTCTTTTTCTGCTTGTTCGTGCTGAAAAAAGGCAACGCGTCTGAAGCAACCTATCACCTTTATGGTCTAAGTACTCTAAGAAGGTGACAAAAATTTCTATTACGACAGCTTATCTGTATGCATGCTTAGCAGATAAAGACACTATGTGACCTATAAGAAAGTCGCACACCAGTTGTAATGTGCCGGCACGCAAAGACCTAGTGCACTGTACCTACCATACCTTTGACGCCATTGTTGTCATGTCGGGGTTTAGAGAAATCCCTTGGAGGTGGTGATAGGTTCTTTCCGCCTACAAATCCCGCATTTGATTTGTCATGTCCAGCTCGCAACGGATTACTGGTGACTGAAGAAGGCATTCTCGTACGCATAATATAATCTCTGAATTCATACTCAAATGTTCGAACTGGTGAAAGAGATTTCGCCATTAACTAGCTTACCTCTTCCGGAAGTACAATTACCGCCCAGTATTGTCCACACAAGAAAAAACCAGCCCAACACAGCGCCGAAAATGTGTAGTACAATCTGTCATACTGAGGAAAAACCGAATTCTTCGAGTCCGCTTTGCCTGCAAAATACGCTTACCATCATTGCTATCGTACAGAATATTCCCGTACCCCAGAGAATTAGCGTAAACCGAAAAACTTTAGGATAGCGTAATACAAAAGGCATTACTGTATAATAATTATTATATTTACTACTTAAAGTTCTTTTTCTTACTGTACAGATTAGACTGTCTGTGATAATTTGTGAAAGTCTGTCGCATTTTGTGCACTGCTACAAAAAGTCAGAAAACCATAAACCTGCGCTACATGCAGTAATATTAGCACGTCAAACAGATACATGTTGTAGATTTTAAAAGATTTAGCGATGTAATGCCAATACCGTCATACACCGGCATAAATACTCTTAATTACAGTAACTCCATCGGCTCTAATTACTGTACCGATTACTAAGCCGACATAACCAATCGCGGCAGCGAAATCCGTTCCCATAGCACATAATAATGTCAAAGAAGCTGCTTTAGTGACAGCGTTAATATAGTTTGTGATCTGAAAATGAACCATACGATACATTCCCAAAGGGCCTTTCTCGGAGTACGGATAGGGATGCTCCACGTAGTCCGGCGCAGAATCCAGCAGTAGCTGTGGTTTCGGCTTACGTAAAGCCTTCAGGCGTAAATTCAAACATTTAAGCAGCAACAGTCCGCCTGCCGCCGTCCCCACATAGCTGATCAGGACGATTTGCGCCAAAAAGAATGGGACAAACGTAAACACAACCAGACATATCGTCACCTGCACACCACCCAGCCTCATCGGTAACGGACCGAAATCCCAGTCAGCGTGCGCCAGCAGACTCAAGTCGACGCTGAAATAATGCAGCAGCGACATAAAGGAAGTGATGAGGATGATAATCCAGGAAATTAGTAACGTCTTCTTGGAAGCCGTTACGAGGGATTTAAAGGAACGATCGTCGGATTCGAAATAAAGGTATAGAAGATTTTGTAGACGTTCGGACAGCTGCCGGATGTTGTTGGACTGTAAACTATACAGGGCCAAGATGGTCACATTGCGCACCATCGTAGCCACCCAGGGGACATTGTCCAGTATTTTAATGATCAAGTCGCTCTCTCGCGCAATCCCGGCTGCTCGGTCTTTGTGGAAGCGATTAACTTCGTAAGAAAACACACATATTCCGAACAGAATCATCCAGATAAAACAAGCTGCCAAGTATAAAATATAGAGCGTCCTTCTAAGTAAGTTTACACCGTATCCGAAGAGCTTCGCACTGCCTGTGGGTACGTGGTGGTGAGTGTACTGAGTCGAATAACCCACGAAGTTTAACAGCGTTACACCCGGGAACCGATATTCTTTAGCGTCCGAAGAAAGGTCAACGCTTCCTTTTTTCTGTGTTTGTGGTACCATTGTGCCGAATTTAGTTGAGTGAAGAACTTTCGCTGAATAAATATTTGATATTCTCGCCGATCTAGGACTGCGCAGCAGTGCGAATTGCTCGCAACAAATTGGTGTTTTTTGGACATTTTCGGCTCTTTATATGCACTGCTGAAAATTCCTGTAAGGTACTAATGCAGTAGAAGCAGTCATGAGAACCGACACCTAATCCAGGATGCGAATAATTAATGTTTGCCAAATATCAGATTGCGATGTATATTTTGATATGGCCATTCTAAACCGGAAATGAAGTCCTTCCCATATTTACATTATCACATGCACCTCATATGAAAATTGTGTAGACGTAAATAACGTAATTATAGTATCTGACAGATACTATCTGTATAATTTATCCAGAAATATTTTAGCTGCAGTTTGAAACGGCATACTCTATGACGCAAATGATGTACATAGCGAGAGAACTATCCTTTTCGCTACGCTACTGCAACAGAATTTCAAACACAAAAGTAATCGTGCCGGTTTTTTTTGCCACTGTATTATGGTATTACCGTATTATTGCCCTGTATTACGCGTACATTCCAGTGATTCCACCGGCAAAGGAAACGGTCCGGTCAAAAAGGCGCAAATTTCTCCGATTTCTTAAAGGTCAGAGATTTTACAACAGCACACAGTCGTCACTCGTTAACTCTTATGGTTAAGTGAAATCCCTACTCTACGGGATACACGTGCAAAAGCATTTTTTATAGTGGCAGTCTAGCAGTTCCCTACTAACGACATTACGCTCATGTACAGTTCCAATGACAGAGATGGAAAGCTGATCTGCAGATGAAACAGACAGGAATAAAGCCAAATCATTCCACCGGAACTCCATTATTTATCAGGCAGACTTCTCCAGTAAAATAGTAACGAACTGAAACTTATACTCACTGATTTATACTGGTAAAAATAAATCCAAAAAACATTTACGATCATCCAAAAGGGTTTTAAAATAAATAGTACTTTCGTTAAAAAGGAAGACTCTGGAAAGAATTGTAAACAATCATCTTAACAATGAATGCACAACAACGAAAAAAAAAGTAAATAAGAAAAAATCGCAGGCAATCTGAATACCATAAACTATGATACAGCGAAATAACTCCGCTCGTTTTCCTTCGAGTCCAAAAAACATCAATGCCAAATCCACGTACTGACCAATTTCGCCCGCTTGCGCTGCAGGCCTGAACAGAAATTCCTACAAAACAACACAGCATAATGTGATTGGAATGGGGAACTAACTGTAAGCAGAGTAGAAGACATGTTACACAGCAATAAGGAGCTTTTGCATATGAAAATGGTAAATAACTGGCGCCACCAAAATCTTACCAAATACGTTTTAAGTCCAAAAAAATCTCGCAGATGGATCCATTGAACGGCCAAAAACAAGCCTTCCAACGTGGAAAAGCAAGCAACGAATTTAACCTAAAAATAATACCATATTTGCGCCATTGCTCATGTGTCCATTAAAACAGTATTAAACAGCTGCAAAGAAGTACAGAGAAGCAGATATCAGAGAAGTTAAGTTAATATCAATTCTGTTATTTTATGGATAAATACTGTTGAAGTGCAGCGTGATAAAATAATGGCAAAAAAGTAAAAATTACAAGCTGAAACAGCAAACGTTACAGCGTATAAACTAGTACAACTTACGAGCGAAACCCTAAATATTTACTAATAAATAACAATTTAATAAGAGTAAATAATGATATCTTGATGAAACTTACGAAAGCATGATTCAAGTCGAGCAATGCCATCAGCAATACGGAAAGGAGTGCTAGTAACAAAACCCGCCACGTCCATTTGTATACTCTCAAAGAAATGTTTCTGGATACTGAAGATTTTGATGGATTGTTTTTAAGGCTAGTGTTTGATGCATTCTTCGGACTGGGTTTAGGCTCTGCATATCAACCAAATAAGGAGAACGGATAAGAGAACGGGTTAGTGAAACGGTAACTGCAAAATTACTGAAGCGCCTACAAGAAAGAAGCATCCAGACCCAGTACGCAAACCAAAATGTGCCTACCTGGCGTACGCTCCAGTTCTTCAGACTGGCCAGTAACCAGCTTCAAACGATTGTTGGAATTGCCAAGAATTTTCTCGCGCCTCCGCTGGGCAGCCATTTGTGATGCCGACAATTGTTCCGACATTAGCCAGCGTCTAACTTTACCACACAACTCAAAAAGATCAAACGGATATTCGTGATCACCTAAACACTTGCAGTTCGTCAAAATGAGTACCGTAAACCTATCTCGACCTCGAACAACCAAAACAGACACTTGTTTTTCAGGAACAAGTAGAGAATATGGAGTCGAGTAAGTAGTATATTCTAATTCTAGTAATTTAACTTTTATCAAACTAGATTTACCGTTATTTATTAATTTCAAATACTGCAACTATAAATAAATAAAATTATTAATTTTAGAGAAACTCTGCGATAAGTTTGGAGCACTGGCCACTGAGTGCACAGTGCACACACGTCCGGCGGCGTAGACCCTAATAGCATCGATCAAGGGAGTGGCACCCTAACAGTACATAGAAGCAAATTAACCCCCGCGCACTGCAGGCCTCACTCGCTATTAACTTTTATTGTTAGAATTTTTTTCGAGACATCTAGTTGTGGATTTTGCACTGTACCTACTTCACTTTTGAATTTTGATTTCCGAATTACAGATACAGCAGTGATCTTGGAGTCTAGACACTACTGTCAACGAGAGGCGAAATCATCTTGAAAATATTCGAGAAAGCATTCGAGTTGCGCACAGCGATCCATACTTAGCTAAATACTTACTACGATTCGAAGTGCTGTAGTTTGGTCCTGTATGGATTTTGGAGATGTGATGATGTTATCATTGTTATTGTTATTATAATTTCTGCTGTGCCTGCTATCGTCGATGCCGTTGGCTGCGTGGGAGCATGTACTTCTAAGCAGGAGCACATATTCCCCTGAAACGAATATAACAATGGCTGCCAGAAACAATGAGGAACGAGAGTACTCTCCGGAAATTATCACCCCGAGCCAGTACCTTGTCGAAAACCTTCAGGATGTTGCGATCGGTACGTACGCACGCTCCTTCTCATTACTATTGTTCTGCAAAACAGCAAAAGTTTTTACTCGGGATGGTTTCACGTTTTCCCTTGTTCGCCAGATGGGGAGCAGGAAGATGATAACGATATCATGGTTGTCGATGAAGCAGACGAAAAGCAGGGGGAAGAGTTTTTTGTGCCAGACGCGAAGGATGATTTGATCAGCAAGGAGGACTCACCGTTTTTCATCGTTTCGCCTTATTCGCTGGATGAGATTGCTGTAGTATTCGGAGATGACGGAGGTAATTACAATTCCGAACATTGTCGGGAGATGTTTTACACCCGGATATTATTTTAAAAAATTTATGAGCGCAATGTTTTGTGAGTTTTCTTAGGAACAACTTACAAAAGCGTTTGAATTAATATCACTGAACGTGAATAGTTAATGTAGACTATAGAGCCAAAATGGTTAGTATAGACTATAGAGCCAAAAACGTGCCTTGTCGTCTCATGGACAGTTGTTAGAGCTGAAACTGTGAACACCAATACCATGCGTTTCGCAAGTTATGAAAGTGTAGTCACTGTGTCACTGTTCGCAGGATTTTGTTGTGGGGTGGGTGATATATGTATTCTACCTTTCCATTCTGATTTACCAAAAGTTTGTTTCGCATTTTATATTTTTCTTTTGAAATTTTTGTGCTTAGGTCTGGAAAACAAAATTCGGGAGCAAGGCTTGAAGGTGTTTACGGACGAGTTTGCGTCTGTGGCCTCCACTTTATGGTAATCCGGTTGAATATTATCAATATTAGTCTTCTTGCGAATCAGAAATGTCTAACTTGCCGGAAACTGTGAATATCGAATTTTTAGGCACTTCAAATTTATGACGACGGAATTTTTCCAAGGGATGCTTAATGGCTTTGTGGCAGGTTGGTACGAGTATTTGTTACAGTACTTGACTACTTGGTCTTTATTTTTTTGGTACAGCGAGTACCTATCTATCGTGTTGCACAAGTAGCGATTTCATTTCGTAAATCTCTGAGTGGAGCACTCTTGTCCAGCACTGCAGATCTAATAATATGTTACTGGAGAAGTGCCTTTTGTAATTAAAATTATTAGACACATGCCCAGAATATCGTATGATTTTGATGAGGTAATATACTCGTACTACGAGTACATTCAGTACGCCTACGGAGTATCTACATTCCTTCGTGGTAACACTAATTTTTTCTTCCAGCCGTTAACTTAGTAATTGACCGTTGCCATCGAATGCAAGATGCTACTCCACAAGCCAAACTGACATTTCGCTCAAATTTCAAGATTTCGTTTTATCATATGTGTCAGTTTTTGGAGCAGCTTGGAAAGCAGATTCATCAGAGCAACGCCAGTGCCATGGCTAAAAAGGTGAAGCAGATACCACTTTTTGAAATAACTGGTTTGAATGTAGTTCTGCCACAACAGGGTGGACAAAAATTTCGAATTGAGAACTGGATGCAAAAACTTCGCTTTCGTGCACTGACATCGCTGGCAAACTATACCGATCCATCACGCAATTGGAAAGGCATCTGGGAGAAGAAGAAAATTGATACAGAGATCAGCAGGTAATACCGTAATTGCAGTAGTTGCGATCTAGTCGTACAAGGGATTCAGTGCGTACTTTTCTTCCAGATTATTGCTGACGACTTTATTACGGTTTTGTGAAGATGTGAATATTGCCTCTTCGAAAAGCGATGTGCAGGCGGAAAGCGAACTGGCTACGAAAGCCTTGGCCAATGCTATATCGTCGTTTCACTTGACCGATGGTACGACGATACTTTTTTTGTTTTACTGTTACTTGCGATGAGTTAAGGCTGTACTTTTTGAATAAATCCTTGGTAATTAATTCGGAATTCCGTTGCAGATTTTCTGACTGGCTTGCTAAAACTTTTTCACCGACATGATGCGAGTGGTTGGATCGCCGCTGACGTGATTGGTCGGGTTTGTCAGAGATCCGCGAAGCGCTACGGTAACGAAGGTGCTGCATTCCATTACAGAGCTGGCAGAGAAGAGTTGTATTACCAAGCGGAAGTATCGTATTATTTTTGAGAAGGTTCTATCCCGAAGTGGATTTGGGGAAAAAACCCAAACGGTACGAAAAGCAGCGTTACAATGTCTGACAGCGCTGACTGAAATTGCTCCGGAAGTGTTAGAGGTAATTATTCTTGGTTTACTGTTTACTTTCAAATGCACTGTGTTTTGCTCGCTAACTTATAGCGTCAGAGGTTTTCGTCTGTAATTGGGCGTCGTTAATTGGTCGAAAATCCTGCTTTACAACCTTTTTATTACAGAACTCTCTGGAAAAAATGATGCATAAATTAGTTCGCGATGGCGACTTGTTGGCTCAAAAATTACCAGATGAAATTGGTCAAGGTAATAGTAAATACGGTCATATACTCCTGCTGTTACTTGTTAGATGCAGTGAGATCCCCATTTTTGTGATAAATTTTGTTCGCGCATTCTTTGTAGATTTTACCAAGAACTGGATCGTTCATAGTAATTGGTTGCGAATTCAAAAGAGTGTTGTTAAAACCATGAGAGCGTACCTTGCAAGTCGTACTACTCCGGCACATGTGGAAGAAGCATTGGATGGAAAACGTTTTGAAAGGTCTGTTTGGAAAAATGCCTATTGAATGAGTAGAAATTTTATCTTGCGCGTTTTAATTTCCCTGGTTTCAGTACAATTTATTAATAAGAGGCGTTTGTTCGAAAAATCAGTTTGTCGAGCTGAAATCCAAAGCTAGATTTTATACAAAGTTACTGTGAACTAATTTTAACACGCTGCATTTATTTTACAGCGTCATGGACTACATTTCCGCCGCTATTGAGAAAATGGATGGAGAGACTGCTGTTTATGGACTTCTGTATGCTGCAGAGAAGTTTCCCGAAAAGAAGCTCATCATGGATTACCATGTCCAGAGTTTTTTATCCGAGTTAGTATTCTTGATTTATTTTAGTTTTTAAGCGCACCTTTTGTATTTCAAATTGGATTCCTACACAGGTTTGATAACGACGCGCCTCCGTACCGCATGCTGTCTCTTCTTGATTGTTTACGGGATGTTCTAAATTGGAAAGATCAGAAGGAAAGAAAAGGCGTCAAACGAATCGATGCTTTATTAAAAGTTCTGCCTCGGGATATGGATGACGAGACACGAACAATGGTGTCGGAATTCAGGCTTTTGCAGGTGATTTTTTGGATTTTTTTAAAGAGTTCCGAACCAAATTTGTAAGAACTGAACCGAATTTTTGAACTGAACCAAATTTCTTGTGTTTCTTTCTTTCTACCTGTAGTAGTTTCAGTGGTAGGTGCCAATTTTGCAGTTCATTGCCGAGGTCATTTGGGTTTCCCGTTTTCTTTAGGACGATATAGCGGTACGAGCGGCCTTAACTCGGGCGATACCAACGTGGGAGAAAGTGTTGCAGATGTCTAACAAATCCGATATCGTCGAAATCTCTACATTTCTAATCAAGATTGAACGAAAGGGATTTAAGGAAGCCGTTTATATTCTTCGGGGATTAACAAATTTCTTCGCATCTGAATCCAAAGAAATTCGGGAAGCAGTTATGGGAGCCTACCGGGAATTCTTTATCGGGGAGAACGCCGATGCTTTATTGTATTTATTTCGTCAGTTATATTAATTTGAGGTGATTATAAGTGCTATGGGAAACAAATGTCTTTTAGGGCCAACGTGGATCCGCTGGTCAATAAACTAATGCGTGAATTGCCATGTAATTCCGCGTTGAGTTTTCACGCGGTCAGATTGTTGGTATGTGGCCGATGTGGCCGGTATTTTTATTTTACCGGTTTTACATCACTGAACTATAATATTGCTATCAAATATCTGCCTGACAGTTCAAAAATGAAGACGAACGCATTGTAAAGAAAGCAGCAAGGAAGCTGATGTCTGCAGCTGTTACTTCGGATGGAAACGACGATGTGTGGCGGGCGTGTTTGGCCCTGTCCATTCTACCAGGGTAAACTTTCTTATTTTACTGCGGGTTGGGACATCATTAGCCTAACCTATCTTGCATTGAGTAGAGCAGCCGATAAAGTGATAATGGAGCAGTTGGAAAATCTCTATCCCCGTTGCCTGCAGAAAGACGGCTATGATCCACGTTTGGTCTGCACGTTTTGTGATGTACTGGTCAAAGCCGGAAAATCACCTCTAGTAAGTTAAGGACTTTGGTATTAAAGTTTAATTGTTCGTTATCACGAACTCTCTCTATTCTTAGGCGAAAGAGGATATAACAGAAAAAGAAACTCGTAAAATGTCGCTGGATGTCTTGCATCCGATTTTCCTGGCATTACTTGACATTTGCCTTATGTGTGAGTTCCGTAGTGATTCATTATTCGCGTGTCGTCTGTATTTAAAATTCGACGTGCGTATTGCTGCCGGCTACCCCCAGTACACATATTACATATTAAGGTTCTTTCAGCGTTTGCGGATAGCAAGGGATTTGCGCAGACCCAGATGTATGGTAAAATCGCCGAAGCGCTTTTTGCCATCTCCGAAGATCCGAAGTCTACAATGAAGCACTTGATGTACTTCACAATTATGCGTTTGAAGATGAACCTCAGTAAACTGAAGGCCAAACACAACGCTGCAGCAATACCTGCGCAAACTGGCGAGCCCGAAAGTAGCATGGAAGGAAGTGCAGCAGAGACTGATCATGGCCTTCTGGAGCTTCAGTAGTATGCACTTGTGTATTTGATGTATTTGAAATTGCTGTGATTAATGTGTATGTTTTTACAGTATTTTATACTTTGGAGCTACTGTTGTGTTTGTCTTTGGTAACTGGATCGAAGACATATTTTCGGTTAGTCAAGATAGTAAAGGGAAGCCTCAGGAAAATGCTGGCCAAGGCGAGACAAATGAAAATGAAGTGGATGGTCCAAGCGAAGATGACCGTAGCAAAGCAGTGGTGCTGCAGATTCGAAAAGCATTGTTTGAGTGCTCGGAAGATGGTAAAACTGCCTTTTTTCGGTGATCGTCAGATCGTGCCGTTTCAGCGGGTTTCACAGGTGTTTTTCGTCTTGTTTTTCCTAGGTCATGGGTCAGCTGTGTATCGTATATCCAGAATAATAGTACAACTGGCGCATACGGAGGCTGTTATAACGGGAAACATTGGAGGCGTCGTTACTTTTATGGCTTTGATCCGACTTATGCTAGTCAGGTAAGGTGTAAGTTTATTGTTCCATCGTGGATGAGTTCCCGGGACCGGTCCACAACGTGATTTAAAATGAGGTTCGCTTTAGTAACCTCCGGAATTGATTGCTTTCCTTTTATAGCGAACACTTCTGTAAAGCCCACATGCGATATCTTTTGAAAGTTTTGGAATCAACGAAATCGCTGGAGTTGAAAAAAGTTTTGTTAATTGGATTTTCCGACATCGCTGTGAGATTTGTGAACCTGATTCAACCATACACCGATAGCTTTACGAACCAGTAAGAAATGCTGTGGTCAAATGGTCTTGTCTGGACAGTCGTTTAAAATTTTTGTTGGTGTATTAGATTGCGAGATCCTAATCCCAGCATCCGATATCATGCTCTGATGGCGGTGGTTCGCCTGATTGTTAACGATTTGGTTAAAATTCGGGGGCAGCAATGTGACATCGCTATGCTTATTTGTGATTCCGATGAAAAAGTTTCCAAAGTGTCTCGTGGATTTTTCTCTGAGAAAGTCCCAAAGGTATGTTCATTTGTATTTCAGCAGCATGATCAAAAGAAGATTTGTAACCTGTCTTGATAGCAAAATGTGATGGGCATGATCCCCGAGCTTATAAATCGTGCGGATCTGTATACTAAGTTGGACCAAAGCCACGTCGAAGAGCTGCTCAAGTATCTCATTGGTTTGGCCGGCAAAACTCCAACTGACATGGAAACATTGGCGGACGCTTTTCTCGAAATTTTGACGGCTTCGCGGTAAATATGAAAATCCAGGTTTTAATTTTTTGGTATGTGGAGAATTGGTTGCCTATTTTTTTGCGTATTACGTTATCTCGCCCTTTTTGACAAATTCGCGTTTCTTTCCGGTAATTATGAATAAACTGTTGTTGGTAACTAATTTTCATTGCTTGTATAACATTGCTTCGGTGTTATGTTAGACCGGCTCGGACGTGGCAGATCGCAGCGTATGGCCTCACCGTAGTCGGGCCACAGGTTGCTGAGAAATTTGCCGCTACTTTTCGCGACCAGATCTCAAGCTTGAAAAAAGCTCTGAAGGACGAAATTGTGTTTACGTTCGTGAACGATATGATGCAGTCGCTGCGGAAGAAGCTTCCAGACGATAAAAAGGTAGGTTAACACATGTGGCCGAAATGGTTTGAGGAGGAAAGTTTGGATTTTGACGAGGGAATTTTTGCAGCGGTTGGCAGACGATCTGTTGAAAATGATTCAAGCCATCAAAGGCGACCCGTCCCGAAGACAAAACCGAAGCCCTCAACCGAGTACGTCACGACAAGAGGACTCCGTGGAGGAAGATGATTCGGAAGGATCGGACTCCAACTCGGAAAACGATGACCATCGTCCAGTTGCAAAGCATGCCAAGCGTGGCAGGAAGCAGCGCGGAACGAGTGTTTTTCAGCCTAAGCGAAGTCCCGCTAAGCGATTGGGTACTGCTCAACGGGGAAATACGTCCCCACAGAAGAGACGATTCAGGAGATAAAGTGGACCGGTTCTCAGAGCGGCTTCGTCTTTTCCTTTGTTGGTTATTGATTTTGTTCTGAGAAATTAAAACGCTAAAAAATGCAGTTTATGTATGGCCTTCTTTATTGTTGGGTTATTTTGTTGTCCTCTATTCGGTGGGGTGTTTGGTAAACACTCTCTTATCATGTTGCTCAAAATGTCCTGGATTTCTTTTGTTTCTTTGTATAGTTTTTTTATTGGTTTGTGCATTCGGAATCTCCAAGATTGTCTTGGATCTGTAAATTAGCGAGGTTGGTGAAAGAATTCTTTCAGTTCAGTTGTATTCGGGAAGGGCAGATTGCGACTGTATTTTAACGTATGTACTGTAGTATGTACTACGTGGTCGATTAAGCACGAGTATTTGTACACCCAGTTTTTTGTCGTAAGTGATTCGTAACAGTACATAGTTACTGTACTGTACATCAACATGAATCTATTGGTCGACGTTTCTAGCTTTGAAATTAAAAATGAAATGCATTGATGTCGAATTAGTCTACGAGCTTCTAATTTGCGAGTAGTCTGTCTGGCGCCGCCGGGAAGCCAATGAGACGAACAGCAAAATTTCTTGCAGATTACAGTATTTTATAGATATTAGCGAGACATTACGAAAGCTAAGGCATAAAATCGAACTGGCAGCCTGTACGATGACGTCACGGTAGGGGAGACCCCATGTTATGAAGTCCATAGGCTTGCACACTTTTGCGTTCCAGCAGAACGAATTTTCCTAGTGCCTAAATGATTTTTCTTCTGTTTAAAACTCAAAAACATTATGTTCCCTCACCGTCCCCAAAAATTCTAGCGGAAAAAAGTGAATTATCGATTTATCGCACACTTTGGCCTCTCAAATGGTGGATCCAAAAGCCAAGGTAGTGGTGTGTCTTCAAAGAGTGGTTAAGCTGTAACCACTTTCGTTTCCGTTATGATTGAAGTCCAGAAAACAAAGTCAAGTAAAATTATAACTTTCTGGACCCATACGAAGTATTTGAGAAAATGAACACACACTGATATTCAGCAACTTGGTCGGAAGACCGTAGCCGTCCACAGTAAATCCACACCATAAGTGCAGGCTTCTTGCATAGACTTCCATGTTAACTGAAAACACTCATATCGCATCTAGTTTGCAACGGATCCGCGCTAACTTAGCATCAAAAGAAATAACAAATTATTCTCTTTCTTTTGAGATGTTTCTGTAGGCTTATTAACAAATATACAAGGAATTCTAGAATTTCAAAGTTGTATGTAAGTCTACGGGCAACACAGTGCACCGTCTCCACTACCCTGACTTCATCGCAGTCGATTTTATGCCTTAGCTTTCGTAATGTCTCGATATTAGTTACGAAAGACCTAACATTTCGAATGCCTTTTCTGCGCTGATGGCAACCCTCATAGAGCGGTAGTTTCATCGTTCGGATGATTAGCTGGCGCTGTTTTCGATCGCGAAACTCGTTTGTTTTATTCACTTTTATAATTTTCTTTGAGTCTACGACTGTCAATGCAATCTCTTCGTTTCTGAACTTCGAAATTTTGTTGATCTGGTGTTTATAAAGTACGAGAGACACAGCCGTCGTCATTTGTATTTTTTTCCGTCTGCTGTTCCGATAACTGCTAGGTACTGTTGGAACACTCACGTTACACGGCGATCGCCATTGAAGCACTGTACCATTTCACAGACGGCTGGTTGTTCTCGTTTTCAGATGGAAAACTTCCTCAGATTGTGAAGCGCGTGTTTGTTAATTGGAATGGTAACATGAGCAGATATAAACCGCACCGGTTGTCTGAGCCTCGCATACCGAAACCCAGCTGTCGCACCATGGCAGTGATAGTCGCAGTTGTCGTGGCAGTCTACATTTTGCACAGCCAGTTTGCCGCTGTATCTACTGAAGAAGGACTTCGTCCCGCCGAAAGCAGCCGTCCAGCCGCCTCTCTTGCCGAGGCGAAGTGGGAGCCAGACGAAGCAAGTGTACGCTGCAGTTTTTCAAAGTAAAGGCTTGTGTAGCAGCCGACTTCATATTGTTCTACGCAGGAGATCGCCGCTGTCAGTGCTGTGACGACAAAACCCAAGAGTGGTCGCAGCTTCGTGATCAAAGGTAATGTCTTTCTTAAGGATGGTGAAGAGTTCAGCTTTCACGCCGGAACCGCACATTACTGGTAGGTGTGAATGTGTTTTTTAAATGCAACTAAATTTGAGGACGCCATACGCTGTGTAGGCGACGTATGCCAGAGTACTGGGAAGACACCATGATCAAGCTGAAGGCAATGGGATTAAATGCGCTTGAAACGTAAGCATGCAAGATTTTTTAACTTTCTAATGCGGCAGTTTTGGCCTTTTAGGCTTCGAATAGATATTATATGGTGAATTGTTTCCTTTTGTTTCGAACTTATTGCGATGAATGTTTTGTATCGTTTGCAGTTAGTCTAAAAGAGATTTTTCAGTTTAGTTACATAAGCTGGAATTTACACGAGCCGGAGCCAGAACACTACGATTTCGAGGGAGCGTTGGATATTATACACTACCTCAAACTTGCGCAAAAGCACGGGCTTCTCGTTGTTCTACGGCCTGGGCCGTTTATCAATGCCGAAATGGTCATGGTAGGGATCCGTTTAAAATATTTGCGGATTTTGCACTCACTTGTGGCTATTATTTCAGAATAGCTTCGTTAGGTACAAGAATTTGATTCAGTGGATTTTGCTTGTATTTATGTAGTGTGCACTGCATAATACGCACGATAACTGGCTTTTCTTTTTAATTTTCGCAGTGGTTTTGGTTTTCATTGTTGAAGCAAGTTTCACCATCGTTTTAGGGTGGGTTGCCTTATTGGCTACTGCGTGAGAATCCCAGCATGCGATTACGAACTTCCGATCCATCGTACACAAATTTCGTTAAGCGGTGGTTTCAAAACTGCTGCCAATGTTGAAGCCCTTACTTTATGTGAACGGCGGGCCGATTATCATGGTGCAGGTACATCTTTCGCAGCTGATAATAATTTTATTTTACGGTATGTGTATTCTCTACTTATGTCGATTAGATTGAGAATGAATATGGAAGTTATTTTGCCTGTGATCACGATTATGTGAATTCCCTGCTTGATCTGAACCGGGAAATACTGGGACCTGACGTGCTGCTGTTCACCACGGATGGACCAACCAAGCCAATGCTGGCGTGTGGACCTGCGAAAGGCGCACTGAGCACGGTGGACTTCGGTGGTGGCAATGACGTTACCAGCATCCTGTCTAACTATCGCGAACTCTTTCCCGAAGGTCCTTTTGTCAATAGCGAGTTTTATCCTGGCTGGATCAATCACTGGGGAAGAAAATACAAGATAGTCCCATCCGCTCCTATATTGCAAACGATGAAGGATTTATTAAAAATCAATGCCTCGTTTGTTATCTATCCAGCAGTGGGAGGTACGAACTTTGGTTTCCTGGCTGGACCGAACATGTTCCGCGAAGGATTTACTCCGGGTACAACATCCTACGATTTTAATGCACCTGTGAGCGAAGCCGGAGATACAACGGAAAAGTTTATAGAAATTCGAAATCTCCTGCAAGAGGTGCTCACTGCTCAGTTAGAAACAAAACGATACTTTATTGTGTGAGGTTTGTTATTGTAATATAATGTGTATTTTATACAGTTTGGCTATAAGGCGACCATTGATATGCCGCCGGAGAATCCGAAGAAAGCTTACGGTGGCGTTCAGATGAAATATTGCGGACATGTTTTCGAATTTTTGGGCAGCCTGTCACCGAGAAAAGCCGAACAGCCGTTATCATTCGAAGCACTGAACCATCCAGATGGTTTTGTGCTTTATCGCACAATTGTGCCTGAGGGTAGCTATCTGGATCCTTCAATATTGAATGTCAGCATTCTACACGATCGAGGAACGGTTTTCCTTGACAAGGTTAGAGTTTTGTGCTTTCATATCTGTAGAGAAAGACGTGTCGTACATGTTCTGTTTCAGAAATTTGTTGGGATTTTGAGCCGCGCTACCAACTTGACAGCGATGAACATCCCGGTTCAAAAGGGACAAGTTTTGGATATCTTGGTGCAAAATGAAGGCCGGCTTACCGCGGGACCGTTTATCAACGATAGTAAAGGCATTTTGGGACCGGTTTACCTCGATACCACAGTGCTGCTCAATTGGGAGCATTTCCCTATCACACTACCCTCATATCCAGTTAAGGAACCCGCTCCGCTTATTTTGGGGGATCCCAAGGATCCTTCCGCAGATGACCTGTCAAAGCCAGCCTTCTTTTCTGGGACATTCCGCAGCGATCCTCCGCAAAATACATTCCTGGATCTGACTGGCTGGCGACAGGTAATTAAAAATAGAAGTTCTTAACTGGGGATCGTTTTAGGCTCGGCGTCTGTTGGTAGGCTTAGTTATTTTGAAACTTAGTAAAGTAGTATGTATGACCGTTCTTTGTTTGGTTTAAGAACTAAGGGAAAGTGAAACTTGTACAGGCTGTAGTTTGGGACTTCGTTAATGTAATTTCGTTTTATACAGGGATATGCCTTTATTAATGGACACAATTTGGGTCGCTACTGGCCAACGAGAGGGCCTTTCGTAAGTGATGTCGCCTTGTTTGTAACCTTAGCAGCTGAATAAGTACATGTTTTTGTGGTTTGGACTTGTAGGTGACGTTATTCATTCCTGGTGCGATGCTGAAGCAATCCGGTGACAATGTTTTGCAGTTGTTCGAACTTGGTGGATCTCCTTGTGATGCGGCTGGGTCATGTGCAGTTAAATTTGTTGAAACGCATATCATTACCGAAACTGAAATATTCAAACATCACGTGTGGAATTTCTATAATGGACACTGAAAGTGTTTTCATAATGTTTTTTTATCATTCTACTGTTTTTATAGTCTATTCTGTTGTAGTTGAATATATTTGCTCATTGGAAGCGAATTGTTGTAGTCACTAGTCATCCGTCTAATCCTTTAAAATATATATATATATATATGTGCGCCAAAAATTATGATGGTATTATTAAAATATCTGAAGAAGCAAATGAAACTTATGATCATTCGGGTCCGAGATTCCGCGATAAAGGTATAGTAGTTCTGCCCAAAATTAAGTACTACATTTCGCAATGAATACGCTGTGTAATAAAACACAGGCTCGTTCTTGCTTCATGATTAAGGATGTATTGTTGCATATTCGCTATGTCAAAGAATCGTAACGAAGATTAATGGACGACATGACCTTTGTCGTAGTCGGCCACCTTGTGCCGCAGAATCATGTTTTAAATAGCACAGCTCATACAAGGGTCGATGTGTGAATCCCATAGCTATGCGAAATTAAGATTAACGGCCACTAACCTTAAGAGTGCTCTAAAACGTACTTTTTCCAACTATGTACGGGAATTTTAGCAGAATTTTTTATCTTATTTTGGCATTTGAATGTTTTTCCGCAGTAAACTGCACCACGCGCTACTATAACTCCTACACAACTTATGGCTCGGTAAGCACTTTCGTACTTCTGGATCACTTCCGGATCCACCGTGTGTAATTCTCTATATGGATTATTAGGCCGCGATATAATTATGCACTTGTTTTCCAAATTTGGTGTAGGGCGATACAGTAATTTTCAACTATCACATTCATGGTGGACCCAGAATCCCCAACCGAAAATGGAACTGCGAATGTCTGGATGGAGAAGCTATGGTTAGTCATTTCTAGTGCAAAATCCTCAAAATGTTGATAAACAATAAAACACGATACTATAATTTCGCAACGATTGCAGATTGGAATTGCGTGAGTCTTACCGCACCGTCAAAATTAATGGATTAAGCCAGCAGTTAATCTGATTGCAAATACATCTCTGTAATATTGTGTATTTTCATATATCCTAGTTTTAATTACTGAGTTTGTTTTCCCACTGTATTCGAAGGAGTGGAGCAGTATCTGTACCTTAGTGTACCCGTACTTGTAATTTATAGTTACCATTAACAAGTCAGCTATTTGTCACAAGACGCTTTACCTGTGTCTTAACACCTTTTTGGTAAATCTGGTCAATTCACATTACTTTCCATGATTTTGTTGTAGAGACTACTACGACGATTTCTCGGTAAAAGTTTCTTAATTATCTGCTGTTTTATAACGATTTGGGAAATATCATACAATATTTGATCTTGCGAACAGAGACTGCAACAAACATGGTGCAAATTTACTTACCAGTACAAGCCGCCCGCGCAAGGAAAGTATCCTTATTATGGAGGGTAAGATGCTGTAGAGTGTAGATAGTTGCTCCGCTTTAAAAAAATAATGTGTCCAGTACTATATAAATTATTTAATTTATACTAATTATCAGCACGTGCAGAATCGATACTGTTTGCTTAAATACAGTAAAATGCCAAAAACTGCATAAGAACTCACGATTCTTTTTTATGCATTTTTTACAACACCCATTGTTATATCAAATTGCAGATGTCACGTTAGGAATTATACGGATCAATATTTCTGCTTTGATCCAAGAAATGCCGAGAAAACTTTCAATACCTTTATTACAGGTGTGGACGCATCACGTGTGATATAATTAACTGCAAGTAATCGTCTAACTACCTTTCAGTCATGGCCATGTTAACGACAAAAATATTTAAAGATGCGCACATGACAACGTAACGACATTCTAAGATTTCGGTCGGACTATGCATGATTTTATTCAGCTATTTTTGCATATTATAATTACTGCGTTTTCATAAATTTTCGTTCGTATTGTTCATATTTTACCGTGTGTGACCTTTCTAGCAATGTGGAGTAACAGCTATTTCTGGTATATCAACAATGTCCTCGTGACGGAGCTTAACCAGCAGCAGTACAAATGCTGTCAACCACCAAACGGGTCAGTATGAAATTTTCCAGTAAATAATTTTATGCAAGTTTATTTGTCAAGTTAGGGCTAAAATTCGTTAGATAACTTATTTAACCTAGTGCATGATGTTCACATATTTGTATATGCACTGACGAACGTGCATAATAATAATAACTCAATATGCCTTTAATAATTTTGTCGTCTTCAGCTATTATGTGGACTACACTTCCTGTTACTACGTTTCCACCCATGATTTTCAGTTCGAATATTACGACAATTATGACCACTTTATTGTATTTTGCACCACGGGCTATGTGATGACGGGAATATCAAAGAAGATTAACCCCTATAATTTTGACTATCACATCGACTGGATTCAGTGCTGTCGCATGGGATATGGCGCACCGGAAGCTCACAGTCCGCCGGTTATCTATTCGCCGTCAGGAGCATCAAGCTATTACTCGTATCCTTCCGGCCGCAGTTTACCGGACATGGGCTATCCACCTCCACCAGCGTATAAGGCGCAGTATTTGCGAAAACAAACAGTAAACATTTCCAGTACCCTTTTACTAGAATCTCACATTAATAATCCACGAGATTTCGGGGTACAACCAACAATATACAAAGGTTCATTTGTTGATGCTGAATGAATTAGGATGTGCAAAACTAATTCGCTGACTTGAAAGAAATACACATACGAGAGATTCGCAGAGTTGCTGCCCTTTTAAGTTCCTTGAATAAATCAACAAACATCTCTTAAATACTATTTGTGGAAGCATAATAGCTTTCAGATACATATGTACGGACAGTACCGTACACATAATACACGTATAAAATCATAATTTAAAGATATACCGCGTAAAGTAAAATCTACTCTAGAATAAATTACTTTCTGTGACTATACTCTGCGCAGTGCACATACTTGTATCTTCCAAATGCTACAGCTAAACAAGAATACGATGCTCCGGCTCCGCGGTAGCTGCAGTACAGAGTTCGTACTTCTTAAGAGACAGTATTTCCGGTCAAGACTAATGCGTCTGCGAAACTGTTTCCGTACTTTTGCAGATTTGCAGATGTTTTGTTACAGCGTTGGATAGACCGGTTATCCAAGCACATGTTCATTTTCGTTCTTTACCTATAAAATTTTATTTTGTGCACTATCAACCGGTTTCCGGCTTTGCACCATCATTGTACTCGCTGCATGTACTTTCAACACGTTAAAATGCGATAGGTTTCCTGACAGTTATTCCAGGCTTGAAATTTGAGTTTAGAGCCGATAGGGATACCTGCATCGCAGCTGTTTGCTTACGCAGCAGCCTTGTCAGCACGCGCTGTTTGATGCAGCACTGTGTACCTACGTACTGTACTATATGTCTCTTCAGCAAGCCGGTAGTGAAATCAAAATTTTGCGGCAGGTTCATTGAACCGTGACAGGTTCTTATATGCGGTATACGACTAGAATCAGTCGTAGCATATATGAAACTGTAGTTTCGGTTTTTGGTCTTCGATATCCGTGTGTAAACAAAAGTAATTTTTGGCGCCCGTAGAGTACGGAAGGGTCCGGCCGGTTGAAGGAAGCGGTGGGGCCTAACCGCCCTGTGACATGAGTCATGTGACATGAGTCGAGTAACGATGCGTGAAACTTGTAGATGGCGTTGTTAGCTCACATTATGTGCTCCTACATTATGTAGGAGCACATTGGAATGTGCTCGTACATTATGTAGGAGCGCATTGCATCGGTTTCATCGGTTCTTGGAGGAGAAAAACGGAACTGTAGTATCCAAACAAACGTAATCCAATATGCTTCTGCAATGTGCTCCTACATATGTAGGAGCACATTGCAATGTGCTCCCACATATATGTGCTCCTACATATGTAGGAGGACACTGGAATGTGCTCCTACATATGTAGAAGTACATTGCAATGTGCTCCTACATATGTAGGAGGACATTGCAATATGCTTCTACATAATGTAGGAGTACATTGCAGGAGCATATTGTATGTGGAGATTATAAGGGGTAGGTGGTAATTATTGTGGTGTGAAAAATGGTTGGAGCATAACGTAGGAGCATATTGCAGGAGCTTATTGTAGGAGCATAATATTAGATACAAGTATCGGGTAGTAAAGACAATATCAACAGAAATTGCTCTGTAACCAATTTAATAGGATAATAGATTATATTAAAAGATGATATGTTTGAAAGAAACTGATAATGAAGGGGTGAATGTTGTAACAGAGGGAAGATTGTAGGGGGTTTTACTGTAGTCTGACATAAGTGTATTCGACTCATTGGTTGTTCATACTTCATAGTTTAATGAAGTGTAACAGGAAGCAGAGAGTGTTGTGTGTTATGAGTTGTGGTGGTGGATGGTGATGGATTATTGTGAAAAATTCATGAAAGTTCGAGAAAGTTGATTGCTTAATGGAGCAGACTATGATGTTCTGATCTGATGGTTATGGATGTTTAGTAACAGGTGGTTTTTATATGGGAAGTAGGTCGCGATGTACATTAAAAAGTTGGTCGAGAAAGTGTCAGGGTGATTCGGTTTGTTGACTGGATTGTTTTAGTTCGGTGGGTATAGAAGGAATTCCGGAATAAGCAGAAGTTGCGTGTGAGCTAATATAGATTTGAAGAAGTATGCAGTGAAGAAGATTTTTCTCCTGTTAATTATTTTGTGGTGGTCGGTTTGGATTTTAGTACAGTGCTGATTCAGGCTGCCGTGTTTTGTTTGACTTTGGTACGTTTTTTTAGCTTCAGTATGGGTTAGTAAGTTTTCTTGCACAGAGATCTGCGTTAAATTTTAAGTATTACTATCCTTAATAAAATAATGGAAGGTGATTCTAATCGGAAGAAATATGCGTGAATACATCCGTGAATATAGAAAACGTAAAATGCAAATTAAGGGTAATTGTAGTAGGAAGATAATGAAGAAAGTAATGATAAAGTAAATAGGTTTACGAAGCGCTAATTATTTTGATTTGTAATAATGTGTTTTATGCGAACTGTAAAATTCGTGATTTGGAAAATTTAAATACCAGTGAGGCTGAAATCATCATGGAAATCGGTTTTATGGATAGTGCTGCTTTATTAGATACGAATAATGTCATACCGCTTAGGTGCACACAGGGTTATGAACGTGTTTTTCCAGACCCAGATTAAATTATAATGATAATTTATTCTGGGTCTGAAACTCAGACCCTGGACTAGAAAAAAGAGCTTATCTTCGTTATGATGGTTTACCAGGTGATCGGCTTTGTAGTATTTCACCTGAAGAATATTTTAAATTACGTCTTTAAAGTGCAGACAATAGGCTTCAAAAAGATTGCTCCTACGTTTTTCGAGCTCTGAACCTCTGTCAACGGGATTAGTTAAAACGGAAAATCAGTTATGTTCTCAAAAAGGACAATTTTTGTATAGGAAAAGATTAGGTAACAAAAGTGTAGCTAATTATTTTTACCCAAAAATTGTGTACTATACTATTTTCCTGTTTATGTACTATACTGTTCATGTACTATGCTCCTATTCATGTACTATATTATTTTCGATAACAAAAGTTTCAATTTCAAAGCCATCAAATTAAACGTCCTATTTTCATCAAGCCATTGCCGGCATTGGTGTTAACTCTGCCACTAAACAGACCGACCGTTTCATCCTGGATAAGGAGCTTTATTTGAAATTAATTCAACAATGAACATATAATTTTCATTCTATCTGGAATTCTGTATGTATAGCAAAAACTAGTGAATATTAAACTCATCATAATTATTTTGCTTATAATTTTGATTAAGCTTATCATAATTGAAAATTGATCAGTTTTAATTATGATCAGCATAATCAAAATTCAACAATTTTAATTAAACTGGAGCATAATTAAAATTGGCCAATTTTAATTTTGCTTATCATAATTAAAATTCAGTTTTCGTATGATCAGGCTGTTTATAGTATTCATAATTTGACTCATAATTAAGCTTAAGTATAATTAAAATTGAACAATTTTAATTATACTTAAGCTTAATTAAAAATGCGCAATTTTAATTATGCTCAGCATAATTAAAATTGGTCAGTTTTAATTATACTTAAGCTTAATGTTTAATTCCCAGCATAATTAAGAGTTTAATTATCACTAGCAAAAACTTGACTACTTTCAGTCAATACTACAGAATTCTGTTAGAAATCGTGCTGTTAGAAATCAAAATTATAAACCTCCTCGAGGCTGCAGTTAGATTTAGTTGGGCTCAGCAGGGCACACAGTTACAACATACGATACTCTTAAGTTATTTACTTATATTATTTTTTTTTTGTGAACCTGCCGCTATACAATCGAGTGAAACGAGATTGGGACCACGTAGTGTATTATTGAAGTTATTACAACTCTGCATACGTGTTGAATTTCTATCAAAGTGCAGATCTTGTTAAGTTTGTATTTGGTTTACATTTTCTCGATTGGAAGCACTACCGAGAGAACAAGTTATTCAGTCGAGTTTCGATAACTTCATTTTTAATTTCGTTTGTGTGGTTTGTTTGGGAAATGGCGGACCAGGCGGATATCACAGGACGATGGGATCTGTACAAGTCAGAAAACTTTGAAGAATACCTAAAAGCGGTTGGTAAGTGTCGCGGGGACATGGCCGTCAACTCTTTCTGCTATGTCGAGTTTTTGTTCCGCATTCAGGTGTAAACTTCGTGCTGAGGAAGCTAATCGCGAGTATGGCTGCTGCTACTTTGGAAATCACGAAAGACGGAGAACACTACACACTAAAAACCATATCCACTATGAAAACTGTGGAAACTAAATTCAGGTTGAACGAAGAGTTTGACGACAAACTGATGGACGGAAGAGAATGCAAGGTACAGAGTACTTGTACACTGCATAACACAAGCCTAAATATTATACTACGGTATGTGGTTGTCGATAATAATTATCATTACGCATTCATCGTTCTTTCTAGATTACCGTATCTGCACAAACTACTGTACAATGAATAGTGTGTAAATTTTACACGAGCATTGAAAATGACACATATCTATATGCTGCTGCAGAAGTGTTATACAGAATTTGCTCTGATCTCACATCGCTCAAAACTTACGAGCGTATAAAAAACCATCATAGACGATGAAATGTAATACTGCAATAAATAGCATAAAAATCCTTCATTGCTTACCATGGTCAGTATTTTTCATTAACCAAATTCCAAAGTATCTACTAGCACATTGTAGAGCATGTTGTAACAGCATGTTGTACAGTTAGCGATTAATTAAAATTTCGTGTTTCGACTGCTTGACCGTAAACTCTTTAATTTCCCAATGCGTACGTGCAGGATGTGATCGGAAAACCTACCGTAATTGCACCGAACAGATTACCCAGCTTCTCAATCTGTGACTATGCAGATGATAAAATTAACAATTTTTTTCACCGCTGCTTTTTATGGTATATAACACTTATATAACACAAAGTTTTTTGGCACAGTAACCTAAATAATGGTGTGCGAAACGACAGGTATATGTATAAGCTTACGGTAATTATTTATTGATTTTTCAGACATTGTTCACTCTTGAAGGGAATGTTCTAAAACAACGCCAAAGAACTGCTGATGGCTTCGAGACCATGATCGAGAGGGATATTACACCGGAAGAAGTTACAACGGTATATTTTAACGGCAGCATATAATTAATTTCTTGAAATTATCATATGATTTTTTAAATGCTTCTAGAAATGTATGAATACTTCTACTTAAAACCGAGATATAAGTCCGCCAATAGTCTAATGCTGTTACTTTGCAGACGATCAAATACAAGGACGTGCAGTGCATCCGTCGCTTCCGAAAATCCTCAGCCTGATGCTGCACAGCATCTACAGAAACGATTAATTAAATCCAGTAACGATTCCATGTTATCCAGCACGTACGTTTTTAAAAATTGATTATTGTTAGTCGTTTTTTTATACTTCTTGCATGTTTACGAATTTTTACGTTGTTTCTTGGCTCACTTTTGTAGCTTATCGTACGGCTACAGATACAGAAATATCGTGTGCAATGATTGGGATCTTTTATTTCCAATATTTCTGGTGCGGCGATTTCGATTTCTAAATAACTGCATATCGGCGAATACAACCAGTAACAAAATAATAAAGTTTATCCTATCAATAATCCTCATGGCAATTTGAACTAGCACGAACATGAAAACAGAGCTAAAAATTCATGCTGCAGAATACAACAAACCGAATCAAAAGAGTGTGGAAAACTGGAAATCAATTCTAACAACCATCAGCTGCCGAGAGCCTAACAATATTCTACGAATATCTCATTTTGCAAACCATATGTCACGTATTCATAAAAGCAAAGAAATCGCCACCGTACTGCAAGAACAAATTAAAATTACGAACTCAAGTACCAGAAAGGAAGAGAAGTTAATTTGCTCAGTGGAATACTGGTCTTTTACTCTTTGCGTGCTCGACTAGATTTCGCTCTTCGCGTAACCGTTTTGTCGCTAGGCCTGTCTTCACCAGATGCTCCCGAAGAATTTTCCGATACGGATTCGGAATTGTGATCAACGTCCTCATCCCGCGGACTGTCCATCACAGCCGTACCCCCGCCATTTGCCGCTTCAGCGGCTCGTTTTTCGAGCATTTCTTTGCTATAGCCATACTCGTTCACTCGGCTAGGATCCACACGGTAAATCCAGCGCTGATATAGGAATATGAAAAATATCACATCTACAAGAGAAAAGAAGAAATAAAAGTAGTACCACTTCCGCTTCGCAGAGGGCAGCGTAATGAAATATTATCGCTAGTTTTGCAGGTATATGCTACAAGTTGCAACAAAGGCACCAAGTTGTAAATTTGTAACCATATTATGACATAAAGTCAAACATTTCCCATACGGCACAACGTACCATCGCGGAGGCAGCCGATTCGATACATGGTGGGCATCTTGATTACAAAGGCAAAAATATCATCAATGAACCTGTGAAAATTTCAGAATAGTATTAATACAACTTACAAGAAACACACAACTTATGATAGCCCCAAGTTGCCCCTAATCACCGTTCTTACGTGTTTAACGCCTTGTATGTCATCATGCGCCAAGGAAGATGCGCTACGGACTTCAGTTTGTAATTGATGAATAGTTGCGGCGTCATTGAAATAAATCCTGAAAGAGACACCCCATTACACATCGCAACCAATAATTGTGACCAAATGTGGACGTCATGGCTTACCAAATGTTAGTAAAAACCCGTACAGCATGCCTAACACCCAGCTGTACCATCCCTTGTGCTCTTCGTACATCAGGCTGTAGGCGCCGTAGGCCAAAATCAACGGGAACAATATCCAGGATAAATATTTGAACGCCAACTGATCATACGTGCGTGTGCTAGATTCGACGTAGCTCTTCTTGTCCTCCAATCGAACACGGGGAAATATTCCAAATACCAGATTATTTCGGTCTAACTATTAATAAAAAAGACACCATTTTGACATTTATCAAATCATGATCACGTAATAAAATCAAAAAAGCACGACGCCTTAAAAAATTTTCTAACTGTAAACAAATTTAGGAAGTTAGGATCCTATGAATAAATTTTAAAACAAAAAGCAACTCGCAAAAGTAACTAAAAATGAATGCTAAAAGGTAAATGAATGCTAAAAGGCATACAACCAAGGTACCGGTAAAAAAGTTAAGCATGTCACGTACTGTCATTAAAAAATTAACGAATAGGTTGAATCTAAATGCAAAAAAAGAAACCATTGTACTATTTACTATATACTTGAAACCATTGTACTATATACTTTATTTGCATATTTACAGAGATGAGCATCGTTCACAAAAATACGTTCAAATGAAAAATTTGTCCCAGTTGGCACGAGAAGGGATGCATATGCATAATCAGGATATTTAAGTACTTCCCGTCGAAGTGCTCGTACTCTGCGCAACACGTCAACTAAATTATCGTTGAACTCACCGAAACATTCATCACTTTCTTGATTTTCCAAATCTCAATAGCCAATCCAATGGCAATTGAGATTCTCACCATGGGGTTAGTGTCATTATCCATCACGTAAAGCAGGACGATGACTGACTGAGCGACATTAAAAAACACCGATCGCACCGACAACCCTTCCAAATCTTCGCCCTTATTTTTCCAAAACTGAATATCGTTCTTAAAAGCCATAAACTCGAAAATCGTGTGCAAGATAGACACGATCATGGTTAATGCAAGCAGGATAGGATTGGTATCCAGCAAAGCTTCCTGCAATAGAGCAATAAAATATGGTTGTAACAAGCGCAACGAGAGTATCAGCATTCAGCAGCACTATGTACAGTACCTTAATGGAATCACTGTCATCGCCCAAAACGTTTCCAGATGAGTCTCCTCCATCACCTTCCAAAAATCCTCCATTCAACATTTTTGTCCACTTGTTGGACATCGACTGGGATACGTACAGCTGCCATTTCCACAAAGACAGTGGATAATACGTCAAAGTCAAATTAACCGTTCTGAAAAGCGAAACATTTACAATTCACGAGTCTGGCTACGAACTAACAGAAAGGATATCAAGGCCATACTTTGTTGTTTCATTCAAAGGCATGTAGTCCTTGTTCAAATTCCAGTAGTCATTGAAATACAAAATCGGGAAGTAATTTCCCTCCGCATCAAATTCCAAATCTGTAAGAAAATCCGATAAAATACATATCAGTCTTTCCAACAACCGGCTTACAGTCACTCAGCGGCGACGGAGCTCTTCCTTTCGTCCACATTGTGCGATCGTCCACCAGGTTGAATGTCAAATTCGGATGCCAGTGGCTGACCATAATGGAAGGAGGAACAACCTTGTCTGGTTCCTCTTCTTTCACCGGTGTTTTCGATTCACCAGTCAGAAGATTCTGTTTCTTCGGCGATGTCGACACTTTTTTCATTTTATTCAACTGAAAGGATTTGTACAATGTCATGCCTGGGTTGTATCTGGAATCGGTTGGTCGAGGACTGGCACCGGACTGGACGAAATACACATGGATGTACAAATTGCTGGCGTTTTTCTGAACAGCCTGCAAAATATGGAAAATCCTGCCTAAGAAGCCAAAGGCTGAAAATGTACAAATGCTTTACTTAAGCTCCAAAACGTTCTGCACGACACAAATTCGTCGGGATCAAAACTGGCGTAAATTACAAAATAGCTTAAACACTGCAGCTTTCGCCTTTCTTAATGAAAATTGTATTGTTGATATTTCGTTACTGTAACAATCCGCAGCAAGATGATTTTAACAGCATAAATGAACCGTTTAACATTTTATTTTGATGTATACGAACGCTTGTCAAATAGTATACGCCTTCATAATTATGTGTTTCAAGTTTCCACTTTAACTGAACTAATGTTAAACTCTAGTTATTAAAATCATATTACTGTGAATTCTTACAGTATCAACACACAAGTTGGTGCCACATTTGCTTTAGTCAATCCCGCACTCAAATGGCGAAACTACTCGCATAACTGACATAAGGGATGAAAGCAATAAGTGCTCGAAGCAACTCTAGTAGTAAACCTAGCGCAAATAAGCACAATGTCAATATTATCCTTACCTCCGGAATTTCCAGAATTCCCGTTTTTCGGAACGTCCCTTCTCCGTCAACACCGGACTGATAATCACCATACAGGATTTCATTTTCCTTCCAGAATAAACTCTCCTCATCAAACTTGTAAAATCTGGGCCTCTCACTGACATACGCATAGAGATCCTACAATGCACCGACGCTTTTAAACTAACAAGAAAGAATTCTGGCAAATTAAGTTCCAAGTAGTGCGACAGAATTTATTCACATATAACTTCGATACTGTGCTTATGTAACTCACCATGGGCATCATGGGTCCAAAGACATTCTGTCCTCCTTTAACGGGCACGGCCACTCCATCCGGACCCGTCGTCGTCGTAGTGGCCGGTGCATTCCGCCGACTGCTCAGGAAGGTGGTAAGGAAATACATAAAAAGGGCCCGGGTCGCCAGCATCTTGGCGATGTCCCAGAAGCCTCGCTGCTGCTGCGGCGCCGCTCCACCAGGAGCTCCTTGTTGGACGGCAGCCGCGGCCGCGGGGGCCGCGACAGCATTCTGGCCGTCGGACATGATCAACACCACTCAGAGAGCCAAAAATATCAGGGAAATGCGGAACGGATGCAGAATGAGGGGGCTTCGAGTCTATGCCATAAGCTTACGACACATAGACGGAAATCGATACTGGCTAAAGACAGGACTGATATCATGCGCTATTACCAATCACTTTCCGCCGACCTATCGCTCACAATCAGCACTTTTCAATGTTCGTCGAAAGCGGCCGGCTGGGTGGTATATGGCTGGGTGGGAGAGCACGTTTTGATACGGTGTCAACAACAAGTTTCCCCCGTTTTTAAGGAAATAATTAGTTTCACTACACTAAATTTAACGAAAAACTTCAGCTTTCATGAAATCAAAAATTAAAATGCGAAAAGGTATTATAATTCATAAACAAAGTAAAAGTCTACAAATAACGGTAAAAGTTAAAACCGTAAAAATAGATGCCGGATGAGTCGCCAGAGTCGCTGCTTGCAGCTATACTGCCGCAGGCGCGTATTTCTGGTGGAAGGGAAGCCTTTCGGTACACATGCCGTATGTATACGGCAAGTCGGATCGGGATGGCCAAATTTATTTAAAAAAAAAGAAAGAAAAAAGTAAATAAGTAAATAAGAGAAAAAAGTAAATAAGTGCATTGCCCATGCACATTCAAAAAAATTAATTGTGCATGGGCAGTGCGCATAAGGCAACGGTAACGCTAATCCGGCAATTATGCATTTTGAATTTTGATTAGCGGAAAAGCGATTCAAACTTTTGTACAATACGTATGCAAAACTAACAACCAGTTATTATTATTTACGATTTAAAGCACATACGTACAGTCAAAGTCTGGCAAACTTATTGCATGTATACAAAATTAATTCCAGAACATACTGTAATCATATGTAAATCAGTACTTTAATGAGAAAGTTCGGAAAACAAGAATGCCAATAATTAAAAAGCAATAGCAAAATGCCTTTATCCTTTCTTCAGCAGACTGGAACAGAGCAGATCGTAAACGATCTCAGCCTTTCTATGCTTTTGCTTCTGAAACTTTTACCGGCGAAATATTATTTGAAATTTGCCCATATGGTGTCTAAATGATTCATGAAGTACATGAGTTACTGTATGGCGTGAAGGCGTGCAAAAAATTTATGTGCATCATAATTATTAGCATCTCACATTGACCGAAAGGCGGTGTTTATTGTGGTCAGAACTAAAGTGGCTGCGATACCATTGCGTGAACACCAAAATAACAAAAATTCGACAATAAGCACAATAGCACTGCTTAGCGAAGCATTTAAGGCGATCCGTTTATATAAATAACCAATTCCTTCAAAATCTGCACATAAAGCACACCGAGAGAAGACTCATATGATGTGCGAAACCGGGCGTTTATATAGTTCCCTCTTCTGTAGGAGCGTCGACTTTCCCACGCATTTAATTAATAACCGCCTCGATCCTGTCGTTGATCCCAGTCATTCCGCTAACATTTGCAAAAAGGACAGATAATGAAACAAGTTTGTGGCTGCCTTTTAGAAATTGTTTGTATTTCCATAGATAATGAATGGATTATGAACCCAAGCCTTTCGTTGAATTTCAATGTTACGTTTTGGCCTTGCTAATCCACAAATGGCTTGAATTTGATCATGGAAAGCGGAAACAACATTTTCATTAATTTTCTAGCTTTTTCTCTCGCAAACAATTGCAATTGCACTGGACAAAATGTTGAACTGGTTGTTTACGGATAATTAACCATCTTAAATTTGACAAAAATCTTTGCTCTTGATCAACGAAACTTTTGTGCACATACCATTCATCCTGATTTTGAATACCTAACCAATTTGCCTATCTTCATGATCATGTATACCATAACCGCGATTTACTTTATCCTGGTTACTGGAACTGTTGTCGCTCATATTAGACTGACTTATCCACCGGCAAGAAAACCAGATTTTGATTTTCTGGAGAATTTTACCACACCGCCTCCTTGTGGCGTCCCAAGAGGTAATCACCAAACGTATTTATTAATTTCTGACATGTATGTCGCAAAGTTCTCATCTGATGGACTGATGCTAACTAACACACACACTGTTTGAATGTTATAACAAAAACTGAGGGAACATTTCTTAAATAGGCGTGTCGGGCCCGACTAGCATTCAAAGCGGAATGACCTTTGATCTCACATGGGCAGTTGAATCGGCTCATCCAGTAAGGAGCACCTACTTTAAATTTCGTATTTAACGTCGCAGCTGGAATTATTGTACCGCTGAAGTCTAAACTATGCACATACATATGAAGACAGTACGTATTATTAGAGCGTCAACTACAGTAACCAATAACTGACCGCGGTGATCATCCCAAATTTTAACTTCCAGTTTTTTCCCATTCACGTTATCACATATAAAAATTTCGCTGATTGTGAATGAAACAGGACTGAAAGTCAGTTTGATACTGTTAATATAATCCTTTAGGGCGGGATTCGAGTAGAACTGATTAGCGAAATGTACGATCGAACGCTGCCCCTCATTCCAGCGTCCAGATCCCAGAGTGATTGGTTCGGAAATGATTCCATTGCTACCGCTCTTCGACTTACCCTGCCACAAGATTTTTTTTGCACGAACTGCGTACTGCGCTTACTGAAGCAAGATCTGACCATGTCGGCACCTGATGGAAGTCCGCATGTCTACTGGAGTTGTGCTGACATAAATATTGTTCGCAATGGTAAATCGATACAAAAGTAGATACGTACTGCGGAATCTTGATAATTAAAACAGATATATATGTATTTGCAGTACTAAATGGAACTGCGTAAAGCTTTAAAATGTATCAGCAGATTTTAGCAGAAAGCCAATGCAGTTTTGCTGGTGCTGTTGCAAATATAATTATAGTTCATATTGTAGATGTCGTAAGTTTCTGCTCTGGGCGCGGGCAGTGGGATCCAAGAATGGGTGAATGTATTTGTTCTCCTCGCTTTTCCGGGCCTGTTTGCCAGTACGAAGGTATTAAATTTGGACTGATAATTTTTTAAAATACGTTATTTTTCTACCAATATAGTAAACAGTACTAAACACATATCTATATACTGTACATGTTTTATACGTTATCAGTAATTTTGGTCATGCTGTTCAACACAGATGAATGCAGTCGAGATGCCGAATGTGGAAACGGACAATGCGTGGACATTCAAAGCAGTTCGTTTCCGTCAAAGCAATGTTACTGCGCTGTGCGTAATTAAAACTTATTTGCAAAGCGGGAGTTCAAATCAAATAACGGCGAGAAATATAAAATTCCGAGATTACAAGTACTCTGTACAACTTTCCACAAAAAGCTGTTGTACAACACATGTACCGTGCTAACGAGTAGCCCGGTTGCCCTTACAATTGTTAATGCTTTTGTTCCAGATAGGTTTTCATGGCAGCGGATGCAGAATGCGTTCTTCTGTTACTGACCCGTCCACTTTTACTCCTCAATCATACCAAACGCATCAGTTAACTGCTGGCATGAAATTCTTCTGGCGGGTCCTACCTGATCTTGGCGAAATAGAAATGGTTCTCCAATTTAAAAACCAAAATTGGATTGCCGTTGGCTGGAAACCATACGGTAATAATATAGTTTTTTCATATGAAATGGGTCAGTTCTTCTTCAAAATAGTTTCTGTCTAAAATCGCTACATGTAAAAATGGTTGAAATGTAAAAAAGCAATTTTAATTATGTTTCAAAGTGGACTCATTGACACTCGTATCAAATGCGGTGCCGGCTCTCTTCATTTAGGAATTTCTTCTAGCTGCAAAATGTTTCCAAACCTTCCAAGAGAACGTCGTCAATCTCGAAATAATGGTATAAGTATGAAACTAACGATAGAGTACTCGTTCAGAATACATTTGCTTCCGATTTTCAGATGGTTCACTTCGAGTGCAATACGTGGACTATTTCGACAATTCTTCGTTGTTTTTCCAGAGTAGGTGTACATTAAACTAAAAAATCAGTTTCATTGTTATGATATGCGAGAAACACTTATTTTTGTACGTACGCATAATTATTCAGTACTGCTTAGAGTCTGAGCAATGGACTGATCGTGAATAACATTGTCCGTACTAAACTGTAAGATTTAAATTTGTTTGATTGCCATTCAAAAAAATGGAAAACCCAAACAAATAGATCTTAATTAGGTCCACTGCACCCAATGGCATGCAGCGATATCGTGTGGGCAGCAATCCGAGGATCCTACAGTCGTATCCGGGACATGTACACTCGAGATATGAGCACGCCACGGGACGATGCGTTTTTTAATGGAGCTGACTCTCTAACCGCGGCGGTTGGGTCGGAAGATGTGTCTGGAATGGCAACGCTTATCTTCCGGAAAAAGCTTCAGAGTAAAATATCGATTATGCCGACAGTGAAAAGCTGATGTTCTCTACCTCGTATATCCCATGACCTTTGGTAACAGATGAAACATTGCTTGTGCAGCGAATGAACTATCCGACCAAAGTATCGGGAACGGCTGGACCACGTTAATATGGGCAGTCGGACAGGGATTTGGAATGCCCGGAGATGATCCACAGTGGCAAGTCAGCAGTGACAACGAAGCGCAGCGTATAAGAAACTTCTACAGACGGGGCGAACTAAAGAGTCATGGGCACTCAGCGGAGGTATGTACGTACTAGTACACCGTTTCACATTATTAACAATTACTTAAAATAGTTAATATCACAATATATACTCGGAAGCCGTACCAAAAGGTCACATGATTTACAGATTTAGTGATATGTCCCAGACTCTCTGTGTTTTTTTTTTCAGGCTCGAGGAACAGTGGACATAAACTTTTACACCGGTCAAGTGCTATCTAGCCGCTCGTTTCAAAACAGCAATTCAAATGCTCTGATACAAGAAAACTTGGATACTTACAATAATTCATTACAAAAAACGGACGAAATGGATCCAAATCATGCAGGCAACAAATTGGGCTTTACTTACTGCACTCACTTATTAGTATTGCTCGCTCTAAATACTGTTGTTTACGCCTCGCTGTTTTGGAGGAATTAAAATATTAATGTGAAAACAGATTAAATCATACGGCATGATCACAAGAGCGGAGCACATTAGTACCAACCGGAAGTTGTATAACTGTAAAAATCGGCTACTTAGCGAGCTGGACATTTAGGGAAATCCCCCATAAAACAGTAACATTTGCTATTGCCTCTTTAACGGAAACTAAAAACAAAGAAAATAATAACGAACAACTAAAAAATGCCAGCAGTAACTATAGTTTGTAAGGATGGACCAGAGAAGACACAGGAAGATCTGCAAGAAACCCGTAGCGGAACCGCGGGAAAGAGTTCTTTTTGGTTTTTCACATGGAATTGCAGTACAAGTATTCCTGTTATTATGGATCACTTTGTCAGCTGTTTTGGTAGGTCTTAAAGTTAGATCTCAAAATTATATGCGATAAATAATTGAATACTAAACAGCAAGCCTGGCAGTAAGTAAATTTTATTAGAGCGACCTGCTGTTCAGTCTCCGCCGTTATTATTTTCCTACTACTGTACTTGCGCGCTACTTGCTAGTTGCTGACTTGCAAAATGCAGTGTGGCCAACGAGGAGCGCGGGGTTTTTTTCGTTTAAATTTTACAAGTCTTCACGAATTCACTCTTCGCATTTCTCTTTTATAAGTACTTACAAGTAGTTTTACGTCCTGGGTCTTTGGATGTTTAATTGTTTCTTCGATTTTACTGTTAATTAGTTGATCAGCGTGCTCGGAATTCATCAGCCAAATGTAGTCGACGCAGGTGTTTTCTGAGAATGGTGTTACTATCAGAAGATGGTTCTTATAATCTTATTGTTAGCAAATATATGCGCGTGTTATATCTGTAGAAGTACTGATCATACAGTTCATTCTTCCTTGTATTCATTCTATCATACGTTTCGCTGCACACCATGTCGACCATTATTCTAACCGAATGGTCCTTGGCCATGTTCGAGCCAGTCCTGGACTGGAACCCATCATTCCCTAATTTAGAACGCGCAACCCAGAACTTCGCTGCGCGAACCCTATCTGGTGGCGTATCTTCAATGTCTTTGAACGAAACGACATCACGGCTTCTGTCCCAGCCAACACGATTAGACATTGCGTTGACGGGAGTGAAATCATTATCAAATAAGATTTTGCGACTGACGGGGGGCTCATCTAACGGACCAAATACGGAAACCCTGATCTTCGCCACTTTTGATAGCTCACAGCAGTTGGGGAATCCCGTCGGTCAGTACCAGGAGTTTTATGAAAAATTGTGTAACGGGATCAATTCGTCTCCCCCGTCCAAGATCTCCTATGTATCCATGATTCAGCTCCTGCGTGCTGTGGTTCCCAGTGTGAAATCTCCAGCTGTGGCTGTTATCTTCGTACCGTCCAACCGGAACGTCGTGGCTGTCAACGAGTTCCTTGATCTCTCCACTGAAGCACGCGACGCCTTGCTCCCTCTTCCGAACGGATGCTCATTGATCTTCGTGCTTGTTCCTCGTGGAAACCCGGATCCTCTGTCATCCATGGATTTCTTCAAAACACTGGTGGCGCTCAACAATTCGCATGGGCAGATCTGCGTGTGTGATGAGATGTCGATCGACAAATTCTCGTCCTCACTGTACGAGCCTTTTTTTGCCAGTTTGAAATTAGGCAGCATTTCGGGCCGGATCCAGCTGCACCCGAATCCACATTCTTGGCGCGGGGGGCAGCATGATTTGTCTAATGAACTGACTGTCATCGGCACGATGGATCGCATGGCGATGGATAAATTATATCCCACTCGTCCGTATTATGTTCTGCCAGTTCCCGGTCAACAGAACGGCGACACGGCCGATTGTGGGTTGGAGCCGCATTTTGGTCCACTTCTCCACGCCGCTCTGCGCTTAATGCAGGGTAAAGTGGTGCTGGTGTCCGTGGCGACTGATTGGTTCGGCTACATTGAACCGGTCGAGGATCCCAAAACGAAGAAGCGCTCCATCCTCGTGTTGAATTTATTCCCGAAAGGTTTTTCGCTCGCTCCGGGAGGCGTAGCGGTTCTGGAGGAATCAGACACTGTGAAGAAGGATGAGGATGATGCGCCGAGTTATTCCTCGAAAGATTTCACGCCGGTATGGACCAGCGCGGAAGCCGTGCAGTCGGATGTCGGACGAGTGCTGCGATTTGCGCGAAAATTACCGGACAAAGTGGAGACATTCTATAAGGAGCTGAATAAAGTGCGACTGCATGCCTTATCGAGCTGTAATTTTCAGTTGCTTGACGCGCTGGCTGAGATGCTGATGAGGGAGTGCCAGTTGGCGGCCAGTTCTGCCGGAGCGGCAGAGCTGAATAATGTTGTTCTGCAGCTCAAACAGGAAGGACAGAGTGATGCTTGCAGCCCTCTGAGATCGTCGGATGGCCGAGTGTTTCCGCTGTACGAATGATTGTTATGCAGATTAAACTTATTCCGCATTTTTTATTTATAGCAAAGATTTTTTATTCCGCACTTTGTTAATTTTTACAGTTTTCATTTTGTGGGAACTTGGACGGAAGTTCGTACGTTTAGTTGACTTCTACCGTACCTATTCCTTGCGAATCTGTGAACGCGTATCAAAAACTGCAACTGAAGTCATTATTGCCAGAAATAGAATACAGTTCTTTTGACATTTACTGATTCATGATTGCATATCAGTTCATTGAATTTGCCGGTAAGGAGTTCAGATGCATCAACATTAACGTGCACCAAAATTTAATACAGAAACAATAATCGAATTCACAGAGCACCACATAAAGTGCACAGAGCCACGAAAGTCAAAATTACACCAAATAAAAACAACCATGAGCCAACCCTTATCGAACATATCACATGAAACCGGGCATAGCAGACAGACCACAAAATACTGAAAAGAACAGCGGCGAAAAGTTAACAAAACGCAGTCAGAATATCACTGATACAAACAACAATCTTATTAATACACTTTCAGAAATGCATCGCGCACCATTATGTTCAACCAATGGTGATCAATCATGGCACGAATAAATCCAAAAAAATATATTACGGACGATTTACAGCAAATTTTCCAGTTATGTTTTCGGGAGATGCACAAAACGATTCCACAACAATAAACCACCGGAAGCGAGCTTCAGCTGCCGCTCGCCATCCAGCCCAGCAATTTCGTCAAACTGGAATATGAATGGGAAATTCATCCGACGTACGGTTGGAAAAATTCCAACATATCATTTAGCTCTTCGTTTCCGTCGTTTCGGTTTTCGACGAGTGGTCGTCGTGACTTTCCCGTTAGCAGTGCCGTTTGGCGTGCCACTCGTTCGAAACTGAATAAAAAACTGGCGGTCCTCGTTGGGCATACGGGCATAGAACTGTTCAATCTTTTTGGAGGCCAGTCTGCAATTGGATTCCGGTTCCCAAGTTGGCACGGGGAAGCCAACCCACGCCACCAGATATTCCAAACGTCCCAGATGATCCAAGCGGACGCCCCGAATATCGTCCACTGTCCAATATGCCACTCGATTAATCACCACCTTCTGCTTGTTTCTTTCGTCCCTCGCCATTGCCATCCGTGTTGGGCGCGCACTGCGCCACCAGAAAACGATCGAGATTATGATTTATGCAGGCACTTTCACTTCCCCTATCGCGACTTATTCATCAGATATAGAAGAACACGCTTTACTGCCTTTCAGGACGACTGTGGACTTGCAATTTTGCAAACCAAGTTATATTATTAAGTACATCCATAACGCAAAATTAATAAAAGAAGATCAACAACGCTTTCGCTTATTATAACAACTCACCGTTTCACGGTTACAGCACATTGACATCTGCTCCAGTCTCTAGATATCATGTATCGGGTTCTGTACCCTTGAATTCAGCGACGAAAAAAACTTTCAAACAGAGAAACACGAGCACAAACTCCATGGCATCAAAAATTTTATTAAATGTGATTAAATAATGCGTTAAAAACTGCAGGGTTTGTGGAAACTGGTTGCTAATCGAACACTTTACCGTCTTTACGTTAGCGAAAACTACAACTTCGAGTTCGAACTGAAGCACTAAACAGTAAACAGCATTTAGCGGGTATCACTCGTAAACACACTATGTAGAAGTACAGATAATACGCAGTTGCACTATATTAACCACAAGCAGTGTAAAACTAATTTGTGGCTGTTTATGATAAACAGACAAAAAGTTATCTACTGTATTTGTTAGTAGTTTTGTTATGAGAGGTATCATTTAAACAGAGTTTGATCATCATCCAAAATGTTCGAAATATTAAATAATAATTATTACGATCTACGAGGCTATGCCGCTGCCACATTGCGGCATTTGGTACATAAATCATGATAAATGCATCAATCGCCGCATCGATCTAGGTAAGCGATTGCAATAATTATATAAACAATAAAATTCATCAAACCCGTACTGTCGTAAACTATTATTTACAGTATGAATCAAATTAAGATATTTTTCTACAAGTTTTTATCCTGTCGACAGTGTCTTCACGTATACCTTTCTATATTTTTTATTAAGTAGTTATTATTTACTGAACTACACATATTTTTATTGTCTACAAGAGTGACATCAACATTGGTTTACAATCCGCACAAATGCATCGTGAGTTTTGCTTGAAATTTGCGACCTTATTAACACGGGATTTAAAACAAGGTCACTCAACACTTGGACACATAAGCAACAGCAACAAAATGTTGACCAATAAATCCATACATAAATCAATAAATCACATTAATTACCACGACTACGACAGAATGTGCTTGCACAAAATAAATCGTAGTAGCGCTCTTACTCGCTTGATCGGCTGCGGATGCTACAGGGCGCAGAGTTTCCGTTTTGTTAGCGGCTCGTCCAGCTACTGCAGTGATACGCCCAGATCCAGGAGCGTATTTTGTGCGAATCCTCCCAGGTGTCGAACACTGGATTCATCGGTCTTCCGCTTCGTGGAAACCACACTATTGTGGCACAAACAAATAAAATTCGTAAAAAACTTTGTTATCACTTGACATTATCAATCTACCATCAAAACGCAACTATCGAAGAAGTGACAATTTTCCAATGAATCCAATATCAAATTGATATTAATCAAATTGGTATTAATTAAAAACAGATGGGAAATGCAACAAGTAACCCTTTCCACGTTAAATCGTCAGAAACTCAAAAAGGTTTTTACAACAACGATGCACAAAAAATGCGCAGAACAGGCGCTGTGGTTATTTACCTTTCAATTCGAGCATGTTGTGCTTTATCCCCGCCTGCGCTCTCCTGCAGTAAACTCTGAATCAGAAAAGCAAGCAGTGCCTTCTCAGGATCACAGACTTTTTTCCAGGAGATAGGCTGCTGCTGTGACGTTCGACGTTTGCGCGTTCTAAATTAGGGAATGGCGGATTCCAGTCCAGGACTGGCTCGAACATGGCCAAGGACCATTCGGTTAGAATAATGGTCGACTTGGTGTAAAGCGAACGTGCAACACTTTCTGATGGAATGAACTGTATGATCACCATAACACGCGTATTGTATATGTATTTGTCAACAATTAAAAAAAACCATCTTATGATAGTTACGTGTGGCAGAGTGTGTTCTCGCTGGCTGCATCCACTATGCCACAGTGCTGTGGCAAATCCACTGCATGCGTTATTATGCGCAGCTGCCAGCCTAATGTGCAGTGATTGTCTGAAGAGTGGAAGACTGCAAAAAATTTTAGACGATCTAATTATTCTAATTGTAAGTTCTCCAGATCTTATATCTGTGCTTCTCGGATCTCAAGTTTTTTTCTTTGTAATATCAAGATAACAAAAAATGCTGGGATTACGTATATTTTCTCGGCGGGTTAGCTTGCCTTTATGTCTTGCACCTAAAAAATGTATCTATACGACACGACGTACTCAGGTGACTGATTCTCCTGTAACTGCATCCTCGTTTTTTGGGAAGTTGTTTCGCCAAGCATCCAAAGCGCCCGGCCAGATCGACTGGGAGTTCCTGACGGAACAGGTGAGCCACTGTGGACAGACTGTTTTTGTTCTCTCGGTGCACTCAGTATAGTTTTGCAAAGTTTGCATATGTAAGCTGGTGGAAGAATGTTTTGCTCTTGCTGTCATGAAGATGAAAATTTTTGTAATTCATGTTCGGAGTTCCGATGTTCCGTCTTTAATTTTATTGACATCCGTGTGCAGGTTTTCGGGAATACGCGGCGCTTTGTATTGGTAGTAGTTGGTATGTTTTACCTACCGGATCCGTTTCTTGCAGGCGGACGAGCATGTTAAGGTGAAAGAGTTTGAGCTCGAGCTCGAGCTCGAGCGTGAGAAAAAGCAATGGGAAATCAGCGAACTAAAGTTCAAATATCAGGTACTTTCAGCTTGCTTTTTTCGTTCTTTATGCAATTTGTGAATTGTTTCTTGTTATCGATGTTTAGGTAGAGCGCATGGACTCAGAGTTGCGGAGACTAAATTCGGAGTGCATGATGCTGAGAAATTGCTTAACGCTGCGTGGCGCTGTTGAACTCTTGGAGAACAAGTGGAGGCTCGCGGCCGAAACTGCGGCTTCTGACTTGAAAGGAAAAAGCGTAAGTTTTTAGTGCTGGATGAGCTGCTAATTAATATAAATTTTGCTTAACGTTAGCACTATACTTACAAACTTCCGATGCGCCAAATCATTTCTTCATACGTTTTATTTATTCCTTAATTTTGTCTTGCTCTGTATTGCAGAAAAAACCGGAGGATAACCGCTCTACGCTAATCGGTTCACAGAAAGGACGTTATAAAGCGAACATTATCGAAAAGCTCAAGAATACCCTGCAGAACATAGAAACTAATCTTCTTCCCCTTGATTTTGACACGTTAAGTCCACATGATCAGAAAGCCGCGCTCGATAACCTTGCCATCGGACTGTTCGAGGAATTCGAAAAGATAGTTTCAGAAATGTATTTGGGATTAAGTCTTGCGGTTCACAGCCCGTGGATACTCGCACAGTCTATAGCATCGGACGTTTTAATTGATGCGGACCGCTTAAAACCGCAAGAAGTTGTTGTGGCATGCGTTATTTGTGACTTGATTCCAGTCAGATATAAAGTTATTCAATCGTCGCGATTGCTTGTAGCAGAACATCAGAAATAAAGCTGTACAGAAGTTGCAAAATGGGTATTGCAGTTTATGTTAGTCGAGTTATTGCAGTTACCCCGTTGTAGTATGAATTACAGTACTGTTTGCTACTCGTAATTCGTGAACACTGTGTACTTACTTTAGTACGCATTTGAACAAACCATAAGCACTGTTGAAGTGGAACTTACGGCTGTTTATGATAAACACTAATCTACTGTATTTGTTAGTAATTTTGTTATTAGTGGTATCCTTTAAAGAGCATTTACTTACTCATCATCGAAAATGCTGTAGGTAAGCACTTACGCATAAATTATTGCCAATAACCAAAAACATAGCACAAATGAATCACACACAATACGCGCCTTCATTCATGCTATGACAAAAAATTACCTAACGCACACACTTATACTATATTTATACACGTACTTACTTGTAGTAAATTATATACCTACTACTTACAGTAATTTACGATATTTTTCTAAAAGTGGTTGTCCTGTCGACACTGTCAGTACGTAAACTTTTATAATCGTTTTCAGTAAGTAGGGAATAATCAGTTATTTTCTCATCTACCCATATAATTTTATTGTATACAATAGTGACAATAACATTGGCCTACAATCCGCGCAAATGCATTGCGTGCGCCTCAAATTTTGCTTGAAATTAACATGGGATTTAAAACAAGGTCAATTAGTACTTGGACACATAAACAACAGCAACAAAATGTTGACCAGTAAATCAAGATATTGATAACAATAATACACATTAGCGCGAAATCTTGTTAACAAAAGACCCTTGTAGTGATAACACTGCAGATCCCGCAAAACGCTCGAACGATCACTGTCGCTGCTGATAAAAAGCTTTCAGCAGTTTAGTACGAGTAGGTTCCACTGCAGCGGCTGCGGCACCTGTTCCAAGTCTTTCTGCGCGGGCATCCAGTTCTAAAAACAAATAATATGGTCATGCTAGCACATTGATATCACATTAATTACCACGACTACGACAGAATGTGCTTGCACAAAATAAATCGTAGTAGCGCTCTTACTCGCTTGATCGGCTGCGGATGCTACAGGGCGCAGAGTTTCCGTTTTGTTAGCGGCTCGTCCAGCTACTGCAGTGATACGCCCAGATCCAGGAGCGTATTTTGTGCGAATCCTGCCAGGTGTCGAACAATTGGATTCATCGGTCTTCCGGTTCGTGGAAACCACACTATTGTGGCACAAACAAATTAAATTCATAAAAAACATTACTGTCGAAGATGTGACAATTTTTCATCGAATCCAATATCAAACTTATATTAATTTAGAAACAAATGTGGAATGTAACAATTAACCGTTTCCACGTTAAAATCGTTAAAATTTCAAAAAAGCTTTAATACGACAAGTATGCACAAAAATGCGCAGAATTGGCGCTGCCGTTATTTACCTTTCAATTCGAGCATGTTGTGCTTTATCCCCGCCTGCGCTCTCCTGCAGTAAAAATCTGAATCAGAAAAGCAAGCAGTGCCTTCTCAGGATCACAGACTTTTTTCCAGGAGAAATGAACTGGAGCCTTGAAATGAGGAGGATTTCGACAGAGATCAAGAATCAGAGCTTCACTGTTGGCTGTAATCCGGCGCAATGTTTCCGCTTTTTTCTACACAATAACCTGTCTCTTAAAAGTAGTGCTCATAAAAAGTGCTGCGAAGTTCATCAGTTTAGCATCCACAGTATTTTGCTTCTGACTGGTGCCGGCAAACTTTTGCATGTGCAACTGCATACAGCGGTTGAAGTACTGCAATCTAGAAGCAATAATTACAAAAAAGTGAACGATGACAATAAGACATAATATAGAAAACAAAAACCTCTCACTCCCACATAACTGTCCGTGCTGCTGAAAATCTTTAAATGCATCAGCCTGTTCAGGCTCTGTAAAAAACTGTGGATGGGCGTTTGCCCAGTGTATGTAAAGCGCTCAAGAGACACTCAACAGCCGAAAATTCCAAAGTCGGTAACGCTTCTGGGTCAGCTAACTCTCCAATCGGTGGCAAAAATAAAAATTCCTAAATAAAAAGGGTTTATCAGTCACCGGTCCTCATAAATCGACAGACCTGTTTCGCATCGTAACACACCCGACTTACCAAAAATTTGGACATCACAACGCGCAAATTATCTTTATTTATAGTTTTGCAGCTCTCGCACCGAGCTGCACAATTCAGCGATTACTTGCAGGGTAGGAACCGTAGCCTCTGAGGCATCTGGGATCACGTAGGGAATGATCTGCTTGCAAAAATATTAACCTAGCTTAGTCGAATAGATGACGCGCTAAAATTAGCATTGTCCACATCGCACAATATTAAAAAGTACTAGAAGATGTCACAAGACTTTCGCCGAAGGAACGCAACGACAGGCGGCAGCAAGTGATCGTGCGTTCTTTCTGTTCGGTGGTTTTTATTCCGAAAGGTGGTCCACTAGAGGCCAGGTCGGTGAGCAGTCCCACGAGCAGCTGTGTCCCGTTCACAGTCTGGAATACTTTCATATTGAACAGCGACATGATCAGCTGTTCCAGCTCATCCAGGGTCGCATCCGGTATTATCTGAAAGTCCACAACGATTTTTCATCGGTGATCGCACAGGCAAGATTCGAAAAGGGCCACATCACACTGCAAGAAATCTAGAAGTTTCTCATCATCACTTACGACGTGGTTCAATCTGAAGCAACTTGATCAAACACTGCTGGTACCCTTTGCTCTCGCTGGCATCGGCAATGCTGAATAACTGCACGAGCAGATCCGCGACGCGTTTCACGTACTCCAATTTGTGGTTGCACACCTCCAGGAGTGATTCCGCTGCTTTTTTTCTTATCTAAGAATTATTAAGCAGTCAACTCAAACTACACATCCAAACACTAAATGAGTCTAAATCAAACGAGACGAGACCCCCCAATACAACCATAATATTATCACATTTCTTACCGCTTGATTGGCATCAGAACATCACTCAATTGTCAGTCCTTCCTGTTTGAGCTGGACAACAACATTATTCAGCTCTGCCGCTCCGGCAGAACTGGCCGCCAACTGGCACTCCCTCATCAGCATCTCAGCCAGCGCGTCAAGCAACTGAAAATTACAGCTCGATAAGGCATGCAGTCGCACTTTATTCAGCTCCTTATAGAATGTCTCCACTTTGTCCGGTAATTTTCGCGCAAATCGCAGCACTCGTCCGACATCCCACTGCACGGCTTCCGCGCTGGTCCATACCGGCGTGAAATCTTTCGAGGAATAACTCGGCGCATCATCCTCATCCTTCTTCACAGTGTCTGATTCCTCCAGAACCGCTACGCCTCCCGGAGCGAGCGAAAAACCTTTCGGGAATAAATTCAACACGAGGATGGAGCGCTTCTTCGTTTTGGGATCCTCGACCGGTTCAATGTAGCCGAACCAATCAGTCGCCACGGACACCAGCACCACTTTACCCTGCATTAAGCGCAGAGCGGCGTGGAGAAGTGGACCAAAATGCGGCTCTAACCCACAATCGGTCGTGTCGCCGTTCTGTTGACCGGGAACTGGCAGAACATAATACGGACGAGTGGGATATAATTTATCCATCGCCATGCGATCCATCGTGCCGAGGACTGTCAATTCGTTGGACAAATCATGCTGCCCGCTGCGCGAAGAATGTGAATTCGGGTGCAGCTGGTTCCGGCCCGAGATGCTGCCTAATTTTAAACTGGCAAAAAAAGGCTCGTACAGTGAGGACGAGAATTTTTCGATCGACATCTCATCACACACGCAGATCTGTCCATGCGAATTGTTGAGCGCCACCAGTGTTTTGAAGAAATCCATGGATGATAGGGGATCCGGCTTTCCACGAGGAACAAGCACGAAGATCAATGAGCATCCGTTCGGAAGAGGGAGCAAGGCGTCGCGTGCTTCAGTGGAGAGATCAAGGAACTCGTTGACAGCCACGACGTTCCGGTTGGACGGTACGAAGATAACAGCCACAGCTGGAGATTTCACACTGGGAATGACAGCGCGCAGGAGCTGAATCATGCAAACATAGGAGATCTTGAACGGGAGAGAGGAACTGATCCCGTTACACAATTTTTCATAAAACTCCTGGTACTGACCGACGGGATTCCCCAACTGCTGTGAGCTATCAAAAGTGGCGAAGATCACGGTTTCCGTATTTGGTCCGTTAGTTGAGCCCCCAGTGAATCGCAAAATCCTATTTGATAATGATTTCACTCCCGTCAACGCGATGTCTAATCGTGCTGGCTAGTGGCTGGGACAGAAGCCGCGATGTCGTCTCCTTCAAAGACATACAAAATACTCCACCAGATAGGGTCCGCGCAGCGAAGTTCTGGGTTGCGCGTTCTAAATTAGGGAATGACGGATTCCAGTCCAGGACTGGCTCGAACATGGCCAAGGACCACTCGGTTAGAATAATGGTCGACTTGGTGTAAAGCGAACGTGCAACAATTTCTGATGGAATGAACTGTATGATCACCATAACACGCGTATATATATTTGTCAACAATTAAAAAAAAACCATCTTATGATAGTTACGTGTGGCAGAGTGTGTTCTCGCTGGCTGCATCCACTATGCCACAGTGCTGTGGCTAATCCACTGCATCTAATCACTGCAGCCTACTGCAGCCTGCACCCTTCCACTCTTCAGACAATCACTGCACATTTGTGCAGTGATTGTCTGAAGAGTGGAAGACTGCAACAAATTTTAGACGATCTAATTGTAAGTTCTCCAGATTTATATCTGTGCTTCTCGCATCTCAAGTTGTTTTCTTTGTAATATCAAGATAACAAAAAATGCTGGGATTACGTATATTTTCTCGGCGGGTTAGCTTGCCTGTATGTCTTGCACCCAAAAAATGTATCTATACGACACGACGTACTCAGGTGACTGATTCTCCTGTAACTGCATCCTCGTTTTTTGGGAAGTTGTTTCGCCAAGCATCCAAAGCGCCCGGCCAGATCGACTGGGAGTTCCTGACGGAACAGGTGAGCCACTGTGGACAGACTGTTTTTGTTCTCTCGGTGCACTCAGTATAGTTTTGCAAAGTTTGCATATGTAAGCTGGTGGAAGAATGTTTTTGCTCTTGCTGTCATGAAGATGAAAATTTTTGTAATTCATGTTCGGAGTTCCGATGTTCCGTCTTTAATTTTATTGACATCCGTGTGCAGGTTTTCGGGAATACGCGGCGCTTTGTATTGGTAGTAGTTGGTATGTTTTACCTACCGGATCCGTTTCTTGCAGGCGGACGAGCATGTTAAGGTGAAAGAGTTTGAGCTCGAGCTCGAGCTCGAGCGTGAGAAAAAGCAATGGGAAATCAGCGAACTAAAGTTCAAATATCAGGTACTTTCAGCTTGCTTTTTTCGTTCTTTATGCAATTTGTGAATTGTTTCTTGTTATCGATGTTTAGGTAGAGCGCATGGACTCAGAGTTGCGGAGACTAAATACGGAGTGCATGATGCTGAGAAATTGCTTAACGCTGCGTGGCGCTGTTGAACTCTTGGAGAACAAGTGGAGGCTCGCGGCCGAAACTGCGGCTTCTGACTTGAAAGGAAAAAGCGTAAGTTTTTAGTGCTGGATGAGCTGCTGATTAATATAAATTTTGCTTAACGTTAGCACTGTACTTACAATCTTCCGATGCGCCAAATCATTTCTTCATACGTTTTATTTTTTCCTTTATTTTGTCTTGCACTGTATTGCAGAAAGAACCGGAGGATAACCGCTCTACGCTAATCGGTTCACAGAAAGGACGTTATAAAGCGAACATTATCGAAAAGCTCAAGAATACCCTGCAGAACACAGAAACTAATCTTCTTCCCCTAGATTTCGACACGTTAAGTCCACATGATCAGAAAGCCGCGCTCGATACCCTTGCCATCAGACTGTTCGAGAAATTCGAAAAGATCGTTTGGGGGATGTATTTGGGATTAAGCCTTGCGGTTCACAGCCCGTGGATACTCGCACAGTCTATTGCATCGGACGTTTTAATTGATGCGGACCGCTTAAAACCGCAAGAAGTTGTTGTGGCATGCGTTATTTGTGACTTGATTCCAGTCAGATATAAAGTTATTCAATCGTCGCGATTGCTTGTAGCAGAACATCAGAAATAAAGCTGTACGGAAGTTGCAAAATGGGTATTGCAGTTTATGTTAGTCGAGTTATTGCAGTTACCCCGTTATAGTATGAATTACTGTTTGCTACTCGTAATTCGTTAACACTTTGTACTTTAACTGTAGTACGCATTTGAACAAACCATAAGCACTGTTGAACTGGAACTTACGGCTGTTTTTGTTAAACAGTAATCTACTGTATTTGTTAGTAATTTTGTTATTAGTGGTATCCTTTAAAGAGAATTTACTTACTCATCATCGAAAATGCTGTAGGTAAGCAATTACGCTTAAATTATTGCCAATAAACAAAAACATAGCACAAATGAATCACACACAATATGCGCCTTCATTCATGCTATGACAAAAAATTACCTAACGCACACTTACACTATATTTATACACGTACTTACTTGTAGTAAATTATATACCTACAATGCACAGTAATTTACGATATTTTTCTACAAGTTATTGCCCTGTCGACAGTGTCAGTACGAGTACGTAAACTTTTCTAGTAAGTAGTGAAAGTAAGTTGTGAATAAACAGTTATTTACTCATCTACCCATATAATTTTATTGTATACAATAGTGACAATAACATTGGCCTACAATCCGCACAAATGCATTGCGTGCGCCTCAAATTTTGCTTGAAATTTACGACCTATTAACATGGGATTTAAAACAAGGTCAATTAGTACTTGGACACATAAACAACAGCAACAAAATGTTGACCAGTAAATCAAGATATTGATAACAATAATACACATCAACGCGAAATCTTGTTAACAAAAGACCCTTGTAGTGATAACACTGCAGATCCCGCAAAACGCTCGAACGATCACTGTCGCTGCTAATAAAAAGCTTTCTGCAGTTTTCGGCTACACGATTGGCTTCCGTTTAGTACGAGTAGGTTCCACTGCAGCAGCTGCGGCACCCGTTCCAAATCTTTTTGCGCGGGCATCCAGTTCTAGGAAAAAATATTATGGTCATGCTAGCAAACTGATATCACATTAATTACATCGAATACGAGAGAATGTGCTTGCGCAAAATAAATCGTAGCAGCGCTCTTACTCGCTTGATCGGCTGCGGATGCTACAGGTCGCAGTGTTGAAGTTTTATTAGCGGCTCGTCCAGCTACTGCAGTGATACGCCCAGTTCCAGGAGCGTATTTTGTGCGAATTTTCCCTGGTATCACTGGATTGGATTCATCGGTCTTCCGCTTCGTGGACACGACACTATTGTGGCACAAACAAATAAAATTCGTAAAAAACTTTGTTATAACTTATAACACTTGACATTATCAATCTGATATCCAAACGTTACTGTCAAAGAAGTGACAATTTTTCATCGAATCCAATATCAAATTGATATTAATTTAAAAACAAATGTGAAATGCAACAAGTAACCGTTTCCACGTTAAAATCGTTAGAAACAAGAAAGTTTAATACATCAAGGATGCATAAAAAATTCGCAGAACGGGCGCTGCGGTTATTTACCTTTCAATTCGAGCGTGTTGAGCTTTATCCCCGCCTGCGCTCTCCTGCAATAAAATCTGAATCAGAAAAGCAAGCAGTGCCTTCTCAGGATCACATACTTTTTTCCAGGAGAAATGAACCGGAGCCTTGAAATGAGGAGGATTTCGACAGAGATCAAGAATCAGAGCCTTAATATTGGTTGTAATCCGGCGCAATGTTTCCGCTTTTTTCTACACAATAACCTGTCTCTAAAAATAGGGTTCATAAAAAGTGACTGCGAAGCTCACCAGTTCAGCATCCACAGTATTTAGCTTCTGGGCGGCGCCGGCAAACTTCTGCATGTGCAACTGCATACAGCTGTTGAAGTACTGCAATCTAGATTAGGAAGAATTATGAAAAAGTGGACGATGACACAATACAGAAAATAAAAACTCTTTCACTCCCCCATAACTGATCGTGCTGATTTGAAACTCTGGTGTGTCTTACCTCTGCTGCAGATCTTTAAATGCATCAGCCTGTTCAGGCTCCGTAAAAAACTGTGGATGGCGTTTGCCCAGTGCATGTAAAGCGCTTAACAGACACTCAACAGCCGAAAATTCCAAAGTCGGTAACGTTTCTGGGTCAGCTAACTCCCCAATCGGTGGCAAAAATTCCTAAATAAAAAGGGTTTATCAGTTACCGCTTCTCATAAACCGACCGACCTATTTCGCATCGTAACACACCCGACTTACCAGCAATTTGGACATGACAACGCGCAAATTATCTTTATAGTTTTGCAGCTCTCCCACCGAGCTGCACAATTCAGCAAACACCTGCAGGGTAGGAAGCGACGCCTCGGAGGCATCTGGGATCACGTAGGGAATGATCTGCTCGCAGAAATATTCCACTAGCTTAGTCGAATTGATGACGCGCTAAAATCAGAATTGTCCACATCACACAATGTTGAAAACTTTTAGGAGATGCTCAAGACTCACGCCGAAGGAAGGCAACGATAAGCGGCAGCAGGTGATCGTGCGTTCTTTCTGTTCGGTGGTTTTTATTCCGAAAGGTGGTCCATTGGAGGCCAGGTCGGTGAGCAGTCCCACAAGCAGCTGTGTCCCGTTCACAGTCTGGAATACTTTCATATTGAACAGCGACATGATCAGCTGTTCCAGCTCATCCAGGGTCGCATCCGGTATGATCTGAAAGTCCACAACGATTTTTCATCAGTAACCGCACACGCAAGATCAACCAGCCCCACTACCTTTTTGTACTCTTGAATCAAGAAATTGGCCAATTCCGAATTGTTGGCCGACGAGGGAATTTCGCCGAGTTTATTGCGCAGAAATTTAATGGCCGGTTGCCGAATTTGTTCTTCGCCAGTAACAACTTGATCGAGAATACCTTCCAATGCTTCTACAAAATAGATTCACAACAATTTTCAAAGTCGAATAACTAGGTGAAAGATCTGTAAAAAACAATAAAAACACAAAAATTCCAAGGAAAACTTGAGAAAACTGGAACCAATTAATCCCGCCAACTAATTCTGCACACAGGCAGAAGTTTCGATGTTTTCAAGTGGTCACATCTACTGAAAGAAATTCACAGGTTTCAGATCCTGACTTACGACGCGGTTCAATCTGCAGCAACTTGATCAAACACTGCTGGTACCCTTTGCTCTCGCTGGCATCGGCAATGCTGAATAACTGCACGAGCAGATCCGCGACGCGTTTCACGTACTCCACTTTGTGGTTGCACACCTCCACGAGTGTTTCCGCCGCTTTTTTTCTTATCTAAGAATTATTAGGCAATCAACTGCACATGCACCCATAGAATCGAACATGGATGGCTGAACTACACGTTTTCCACATTTCTTACCGCTGGATTGGCATCAGAACACAGTTGGCCCAGAGCCTGTACAGAGCGCTCTGTTTCATTTGGGAAGAACTTGAAAAGACGCCCGATAAAATCAGCGCTCAGCTGGCGTGCGCCGTCATTGTCTTTGATGTACACCGCGGACAGGATGTACGCATATTTATCGCGATTCTGCAATATATGGTGTTCATCGTTAGTCAAGGATAAGATTTTTCGCGATCTACGAAGAAATACTTCTGTCGTAGCTTTCTGATCCTCCGCCGCTCCATCAATCGCCATGTAGTACTCGTACAACGTGCCAACTGCATCGGCGCTCTGTGCAGCCATTCTGTCAACCCTAGAGAGGAGAAATCGCCATTTTGAAAGAATGCAAAGCCAGGTCTTCGGTTGGGATTACCGTGTAAACCGAACGCCGCCTGTCTAACAAAATGAAACGGGCCCGCGAAGAAATGATAGTGGACAATCAAAAATATTCCACGGGTTCCGAAGTTTTGGCGAGCTCCGACAGATCGGACAAAAGAACCCAGATAGCAAATGATATTATTACGAGATCATAAATTCAAATAAACGCAGACAGTAAAACCTAAATATTAAATGCCGTAATTCCAAAGAAAATCGAAAGATCCACTTCGTCCAGTCCAAACAGCAAACGCAAAACAAAAAACTGCACACGCTTCGGCTTCTCTCAAAATAATAAGACAATTTCCACTGATAAAACGATAGCTGGATTGCAGTGATCTTATGAGCGTTTTGCCACTGAATTCGAAAATGCCTTGAAGGATAACCTAAATTTGAGCTGATGTCGAACTACACTTAAAGCTAACAAAAACTTCGAAAGTTTTTTTTAAAAAAAGCGCCGGAAAATTAACGCTTTAAAAATTAAAGGCCTAATGAAGCTGCAGCAGCTATGTAGTACAGGATGCCCGTACGACAGCTCCACCTCCCCTGCATTTGTGGTGTTCTCGTGAAAAATTTTGGCAGAATTAGGAAATATTAGCTATTTTTACCGGTCTACCGACTCTACCTATACGAAGTTCCCAATCCTCTTGATAATTGATTTCAAATTCGTGAAGTGCTGAGAGATATTGTACATTCTATTCGCCGCTGTTCATAGTATTTATGGCAAAAATTAAGCGTATAAACCAGATTCCTGCAGTAATACCATTTCCCGTAATTAAATGGCTTGCACGAATTCGTGCACTGTTTCACAATGCGCGCATATTTTGGTATTTTAGAATTCATGGCTTCTTAGTTAAAACTACCTGTACAGAAATAATGCAATAACCGTAATCGAAGAATCTACACTGTTCATTAAAGATGCAGCCAAAATTCCAAACGGCCACGGGCCAACGCAATAATTAAAGCACAATTATATGTGCTCAGCATTAACAGCCAAACAACATGCGTCTACTCGGGTAGGTATTTAAAGCAACAATACACTCTAAACGCATCCACTGCAACCAATGCCGAACTACTAAATAAAACGAAAATCATAAAAGATACAATACAGGCACAGGAAGTGGAAAGTCGAAGGTAGGTAGATACGCTATCTGCAATTGGCCCAAAGTGAATAATACCCGGGGATTTCTCTTGAGGTCAGGACTGGGAAAGCTTCTCATAGGTTTCCGACTGCCTATTTCTAGCCGCAACCGGAGTGACGAATCCTTTTTTTGTGAGTTCATCTCCTGTTGGGAAGCAAGTAAGTAAAAACAAAAGAAATTCAATGCGACCAGGACATGAAAACGCACCATGAACTTTCAATTTTTCCAATTCGTCAATAAGCTTCTCAGTCTCTCCATCATTTAGTAAGTCATTGAGCTCTTTCTCTAGTTCTTCGTCTTCTGCGTCCAGTGTAGCTCTGAGTGGAGAAGAGATAGCCTGGTTAATTTCCTCCTGGATTTCCTGAGCTTCCTGAATTTCATCCACAATCCCTTCGATTTGCTCCAAGCTTGTATCTTGCTGAGTTTTTTTCAAGGCGGACAAGCCGGCTTTGTAAGCCTCGACCACCTAGACACATGCTTATAATTATTAATATAGATTTAGTAATACCGGCTGTGAAATGTTTGTGCTAACGGAATTTTATGTATAAAATGTTTATACGAAACCAGAAAAACACGACAACAATGGTTGTGATTTTCTACGTACCTTTTCATCGGTTTCTGAATTTTCCAGACGGAACAATATGGTGCCGATATTGTTAATCGCAAAGTCTGTTTGACCAAGCACTTTGTCCGCATTTTTTTTTCTCCTCAGAACCCTCAGTGCCGCTGCTTTCTGCCCATCCCGCAAAAATGATCTGGTTTCCGCATCCAGTTCATGTATTCTGTTTTGTAAAGTAACCGCTCTGGATTCAAGTTTCTGGAGAGATTTCCGAAGAGTGATAACGCCCCGATCCGCTTCGGAGATTCCTTGAGCAGTGCGCTTGTTATGAGGTGACAAAGAAGAACCGGGAGATAAAAACTTTATCGTTGCGTGATCTGGCTGGTCCAGATCGGTCACTAAAATTTGTTTCGTACGTTGGAGATGTTTCAGCACAAGGGGCACTGCAGTTTCCGACAACAGATCGCCAAATAGCGCTCGGAATGTGGGTAAATCCACAGCGGAAGAGGGCAAAATTCCGGAGTTTGCCCGATCCACGACTTCAGCTGCTATGGCCTGAAGGAATCAACCAAATTAAAAACTTCAGAGTAGAATGAACACTATTATAGAAACAAAATATCGAAACAACACATACGGCATAACTAATCACTATTGATTGTAAATGAAACCATACACCGATTTCCAATAATACTCGTATAGTACTTGTACTTTTATGGAAACCATTACAGACACCCTCTCCCACTTCCGTTTATTATAGGCACTTCTTGTAAATTAATAGACGTATTTTCTGTAACCAAATATACTTCATTTTTTTCACGCATCAATAACGTATTCGAAGATCTATTACGGTGCGCGCATGGACTGAATACTGTCTTTCCAAACACTGAGGAGTCGAAAGCGCTTTAAAACGAGTAATTACGACACGTTTGAAATTAATGCAAACAAAAATCAACTATGGACACTAACATTACTGAAAAATATAAGCATAAGCCTCTCAGAAAAATCTAAATCAAATATCCAAATCAAAATGAAATCACAAATATCGAAACACGTGACTGAGGAACACTAACTTCAAAAGAGTGCCTATATGACAAACGATGGTAAGATATTCTACCTTTATTTTTTCCACATCCACGAAACGCGCCTGCTCTGCATCCACCGACTTGTAACCCAAGACCATGCCTGCTGACCACCACAACGGTTTTTTAGCCATTTCGAACCCCCATGACACCCACGAATCTTGAGCAGTGGAAAAGAATTCGTCGAGGGTGACAAAGCGCTTCTCCCTAAAACAATGTTATCAAACTAATCTGTCTCCAACAGCTTAAACATTTACAAAAAATTTATTTTCACGTTATTTTCGTGTAAACGTTTCCCCAACTAAAACTGCTGCTAGTAGCAAACGAAAACTGCTATAGAAGTATAAAGAAAGTTGATTCAGCGAAACACTAAAGATGTTTTTTTGCAGCAGTTCTGAGTTGCCCCATAACTTACGTCGCTGTAATCCATGATTTTAAGGCAACATCATAGAAAAGTCAGCAAAAACTTTCAAAAAATTTTGTCATCAACATTATATAGTAAGATCAAACCTGTGCATTTCTTCCAGAACTTTCGCAATGCCTTGCGGCCTTCGTCCCTTCCTCTGCAATTTCTCTCGTACATCGCTGGCGGTGAACGAAATCAAGTTTTCAGCCTCCACGCACCGATTAACAACATCCGTCCAAAATTTCATTTTACTGTCATATGCTGCAGGATTCACCTCGCGTGGACGAAAATCTGTGAATAACACATTCATCCGGGTTTCATCTTTCCATATTTCGGGCAGATAATTAGATGGCACTTCCGCTGGCTCCCGCAGCCCGAGTTTAGGAAGCTCCATGTCCGATTCATCTTCGCTAAGATTCGCACTGTGTAAAACAAGAGAATTAAGTATTTAATGGCAATAAGCCTAAATAAAGTAACGAATCCTATTGTTAATTTATTAGTCCTTACTAATTCACAAGTTAAATAATTTCAATATTTCTGCAATCTGGTAAATAACCGCGCGATCACATGAAAAATTATATCTATAAAGTATGAACTAATAAAGCATTTGCAAGTATACTTAGTATACAAATAACACACTTGCAGGCCTTGACAATTTTTCTAAAAATTTCAAAATGTTTAAGTAAACGACTCCTCGAATTTTAATGCTTAAAACTTTAAAAAGTTGAAACGAAACCTAGAGTTCCCGTTTAATTTTTAGACAGTTCACTGCGCACCTTTCGATCTTCGATAAGGATCTGGCAGATTGCTTCACAGCTTGATTCATCATAAATGCTTTTCAAAGAATCCAGGATAACTATTTTGAGAATAACTAGTCTTTCAAGAACAAAGTCAAGTAAACTATTCTTCCTTCGTAAATTAGTGCGATCAAATGAACGATTCCATTCAAATAGATTGATTTCATCCTGCGTCTAGAGTATTGATTGGACGAGTTGAACCAATCAAATCGTTCGCGGACTTTGCAATTGGTGGAAAACAGCCAGTTAAATTTGAGAGGTTGAGCAGAAGGTCTGTTCAAATTTAGCTTCGGTGTCGGATTACCCGTCCACCCCGTGGGCCCGTATAAATAATGGAGCTTAAAAGAGGAATAACTTCTTAACGCCACATCGTCTAAAAAACCAAAAATACTCCAGAAATAGAGCAACCTTTAATTAATGAACGGTTCGGGTGCTGCCAACTCGTCCAAGCCGACTGACTGATAAAACGCTGTAAAACCTCTTCGGCGCATGTAAATTCGCGGTACATTTCACCCATCTACGTCACAGGGGCGGGCACTACGCCACCGTGAAATCAATCTATTCAACTGTTGTGATTTTCGTCGTTGTGTTTACTAAAAAGCGCACGTATACGCGCACGGTAAACCACTTTGAGCGATACAGTACGTGGGTTTTGTTCTTTTTATGTTCTGCATGATTTTTGGGAAAATTCTGTCCAGTCACTACAGTTCTGGAATCTGGACCTTCTGGCTTTCTGTTTTAATTTCTGTTTAGTTGCACAAGGCATTTATCAGAACTTGGATTTCTTTTGGTTAAAAATATTTGAAAGCTCTTCCAACTCTTGAAAATGGACCTTTTTTCCGCGTTGTTTGGATCGGCTCCTGAACCAGAACCAGTAATCCACTCCCGAACCCTGCTCAGCATGTTCATCTCTTGGATTTTTCGCGCCTTCATTACGATTGCTGTATTAATCGCTGTTTTGGTTATCGCGTGGCAAATTATCAAGTACTTTTTGTGAGTACCCTGCACCTATTACATTTTATGATTTTAACAGTAGTTTTCAGATATTTGTGCGGTCAAGTGTTTTTGTGCTCCGTGATTTGTGTGACTCGTGTTACTGTAGATCCAGTTTTGATTTTTAAATTGATGCGGACTCCAATCTTGATTGATATTATAATTATTATTATTATTATACTTTATTGTTAATTGTTTTCGCAGTTTCCGCCAAGTGCCTAACGTGGTGCGACCTGAATATACGGATCTTGTGGATAGGATTCGGCAGTGGTTCAACATTCAGCACATCCGTGACGTACCAGCGGCAAATCAACAGCGTCCTCGTCATGATGCAGACAGTAACTGTCCCATATGCCTGTTGGATCCGGCGGAAATGCCGATTCAGACCAACTGCGGACATGTATTTTGTGGTAAGTAATGCCGTAGCGAACGGTTTGTTTGTCGGCATAACTTTGCGGCAAGGATTGTGCCTTTTGTTAATACCCGCTAGCGGTGTATATTTTCACTCATTTTGGTAATTTGGATGAAGAAAGATCTTGTGCTAAAATAAGTTGGCTGTGCTGTGGTTGTCAGGTTGTGTTAAGCAATAATATTAAAAACCCAGGAACTTCAATTTGAAAGCTTTAGTTATTTAAATTTTAAATTGTAGGGAATTGCATTGTAACATACTGGAGACAGGGAACGTGGGGAAACGATGGCGTGAAGTGCCCGGTGTGTCGTCAGAAAGTGACACTCTTGATGCGGGATATGCGGCCGGGAGTGGTCATGCCGCCTGATAGTGATCGTGCTGCGGAGATCGAGGAAGATATTCGCCGCTACAATCGGCGATTTTCAGGCGAACCTCGATCGTGGCTGGAAAAGCTGCGCGATCTGCCGAGCATTCTGCAGCATTTCACGCAGAATCTCACCTTTGGAAATGGGCTGGGGTTGATTTTTCGCAGCCGCATGGTTATTTATATTATTCTTTTCCTGGCCTATTTCATTCTGCCTTTCGACTTGTTGCCTGAATCGTTTCTAGGGATTTTTGGATTTGCTGATGATTTTATCGCGCTAACTATGCTGCTGACGCAGCTAGCTCAGATCTGGAGAAATGTTGTTGTCCGTGATGAGTTATAATTTGGGAATATCTTCTTCCAGCAGTCTTGCAACCTTTCGACACCCAGACGTTGGAGATCATTTACTTTTACTGTGTAGCAGTTTATTCAATATTTTATTGTGCAGTCTGATACGATAATGCGTCCCAGATTTTACTGTTTTAGAAATTTTGTTTGATTGCTTTTAAACACGTTGTTGCAATTGTCGAATGCTCAGGAGCCTTAACTTTGTTTTTGTTGCTGAAAAATTTTTTGGTTAGCTTGTAAAATTTTTGCTTGTACTGACTGTAAAAAATGTTAGGTGGTTTCTGTGGATTTTCCGCTCTTTATCCCGTTACCTGTTGCTTGACGCCATTCACGATTTTATTTTACAAAATCACGAAACTTCCATAACAGATTAAATGTCATAATGACAGATAACTGATCTCGCAACTGTCGAAGCTCATCGCAGTCTGGAACGTTTAAAAAAGTAAAAGTCTAAATACAACGATGTTAGTAATCCAGAGTAATCCTACATGTAATTCAAGTTTATCCAGTTATCACAACAAGCTGCCGTAATACGGCAAGGCACTAGAAAATGGCAACATCAAAGTAACTCGCAGTAGTAGGCCGGATCATTCGGATGTGTCCCAAGTTCGCGTAAATCATACCATAAACTTCACTCCTTGGTGAAAAATCTTCCCAATGGATTCCGCTACTGTCGTGCTCGGTGCTTCATGCTGACTCTGTGGGTTCCAGGGTTTCCATAACGAAGGGTTTATTTGCGTCAGTGTTTCTCGTCTTTAGGGTTAGACTGCTCTCCGTGATCATGTTCCGCATGATGCTGGTGCTTGAACAAATCCATAATACCCACACCTTGTGGTTGCATGGCTTGTGCGTCGACAAGAGAGAGATTAGGGTTAGCTTTCAACTGTTTTGCTAGAGCTTCCTCTTCTACTCTGTTATGATGATCCAGGAGCAGAATGATTAATCCCGGTATCATCAATGAGAGCATAATGACTGGCGTAGAACAAAAATTAAAAGCCATGGCTACGCGAACGCAAACCAGGTTGTCTGCGGCAGATCTCCAGATTCTTTCAAATTAGTGCTGGAATGCGCTTTCTATAATGTGATACAACAACACTGCAACACCTTCAGTTATTGACACTGTGATGAATGCGACTGCATGCACAACAAGAGATACGGCCAATGCAGGAAAACAAGCACGGTGATCTCCGTATTCTTACAACTACACTTTTTTAAAATTTGAGAGAACTCAGAGAAGCACCGAAGATACGTACTAGTACTTTGTAGTTTTGGGATACGTAATCAGCAACCTGGAAAAACCACAGATTTTTTAGTGATTCCTTTTCCTCGTTCCCGTCCTCCAACTCTTGAATTCATCAGTCTCATTGCCAAAGGCAATTTTTCCCGTCGACAGATTTTGAATAAATAGAAGATAATGTCAAAGGGCTGACGAAACTTTAGAAAATTTCGGAAAGTCTTATTTCAAAATCGCTATTTCGCAGATCGATAGCTCATGGCCCATATTCAATATTAAAGCATATAATAATTATCCTTCTGATACAATGCGTATGCGGTATACTGCGACGTATGCTGCGGCAAAAGCAGCAAAATTTGCATATAACAGTAACAACAGCTAACCCGATAAATGAACCTACTAATAATTATTGCTAGTGCTACTAAAATTATAATGTACAATATCTTTTTGCTGTTTGGCGTTCGCAAACGAAAAGAGATAAAGAAGATGCAATTCTGTTACACGAAAAGAGAGCAAAGCACAGATGTCGACAAAAATGGATTTCACCTCCGGCGAAGTACAAATACGACAATAATTAAGCAGTATGTACTACCAGTCGAGCAACACGTGTTAACATATTAAACAACTACAGCTGATCGAGAACATCTAATTGCAAAACTTCCGTAAAAATACAAGAAAATATACTGCAGATTTTGAACTGGCTACAGTTCTATGAGTACGTAACTCCCTGACTGTAGTACTTCCAAGGTGTATAAAGGTAAACCATACCTACACTTTGATTCTGTATTTCTATGCGAGCGCATAAAATTTAGAAGTTAGAGTGCCAGATTTGTTAGAAACGCCAAAAATGCTTACGATGCGCTACAGCAAACTAGCACTGTAAAAATTTCAAATCAGTAGTTGTCAGCAGTTGGTGCACTGTGCTTTGCAACTAGACATAAGTGACCTTTAATTGAAAGGTTTGCGGAATTTCAAATAGCGTGCATTAATGAGTCCGCCTTAGAACCGCAGTTATTCCGGCTGAAATGTCCATAAATTTGAAACTTTAATAACAGTTACAGTTACCGAAAAGCTGTTTCCGCAATGCCCAAATTTAAGTTGCAGCATACAACATATAACAGAAGCCACAGAACTGCCATTATTTATTTTTTAAACATCGTGATTCCCCAGTTCCAAGCCCAGATGTAATGTTGTAGTTATTCGTCTAATTATTAAAGTTTTAAGTTTTAGACCAAGTGATATTGTACATGTACAAACTATCTGTACAGATCGCCTACCCGTAGCAGTTGTTAGTGCCGAATGTTCTGAAAAATGATACCACGAACAATATTTGCATGCGGAGACTTCTATTCACAATAATATCGTTAAGAATAAATGCAAAATTTATGCCTTCCCTATTACAAAATAGTCGGTGCCCTCTTCTCGTAGACAATGAGCATGCCAAAAATCGTACTCGATACAAACCTTCCTTTGCGACAGTTCAAAGCATTTCGGCTTCAGTTCATTAAAATACGCATCGTAAAATTTTTTCGCTTGCTCTGCTTGCTGATCTTTCAGCTTGGGCAGCACACTTGTGAAACATTTGCGGAAAGTCTCTTCACAGGAACAGCTTCGCATTGGCCACGGAAATGGATTGAACAGGTGGTTATTTATCGAGAGAGCTGAAATGGGCAACCCAAGTACAACTTAAAATTAGTTTAATTTTAATCAAATATGTTTATATAATTATAATATCTTTTGAATCGACTGCCATAAACTGCAGAGTGTTGGTAGGATCTTCTTAGAAACAGAAACCCACCGTCAATTGTTTCTTCACATTTCTGCCACGGTTTGCAACAAGTGTCGATGTCGGCATACTCGCTTGTACTTTTAGCTGACTGGTCGTTGCACGGTTCAGTTTCCGCAGAGCGGATTTCGCTATCATTTCCGGAAGGTTTGGTTATTTCCTGATCTAGTTTCGCCTCTTCTTTCTCCGGCACTCTCTGTCGAGCACAGTATTCCGTGGACGGAAGTATCGAATCCAATTCTAAGCGACTTAAAATTCGTTGTTGGAAAAGTGAGCGCTCCTCAACCGGCATACGTTTCTGTAATCAATATTTTCGTCACTAAAAATTTCCAATACAACTATCACAAGATCTGTTGATCTGTAATACCAAATCTCGAATCATCTTCGAGCACTTCCTTCCAATGCGCGCGACGTCATCCTGGAACAAATACTGGTCTTCGGTCAGCGGATTTTCCACCGCTTGATGGAAAAGATTTTGGGCTATTTGCGGGTCACCTTTGTCCACATGGCATTCCAGAATTTCATTATCGGGAGTGAATATCACCGTAACAGTATCTCTACCGTCCGAATAGTGTTTTAGCGTTAGTCCGTCATTCATATATGCGTGTGCCGCTGTATGTACAATAACTTCGTCCACTTTAGCCGTGACCAGAATAAATGACGCATGCGTAAAAATTACCGCAATCATGCAACACCACATTTTCGGAACAAACAGTGCATTTACTCGGATTAATATTTATTGTGTAGTAGCAATGCATCAAAATTTTAAAACAATATTCTTCCGAAGTACTCGTTACTTTACAGTTAAGGGCTTCATGCCGCATTAATTGTAGCCATTGTAAAACATTGGGCCACTGGTTCGACATGGAAAACAGACAAAGTGCTCCTTTATCGGTATCAGCTATTGAATTAGATAATCGTGTCGGTTATCAGTGAGTCGTCTTTTATAACGTTAAGGGCGCTACCTACATATTAGTGAATTTAAATCAATACATAACACGCTGAAAGTAGCGCGCATTTCGCATGAGCTTGTTGGGTTATTTTCTGTGGGATACGAACTACTCGTACAACCTGAACAGCAGATACTAATTCGCAAAAACAACAATTCTCTTGTAAAGAAACTGGCCGCTTTAATTAAGTCTGTTAACATCTTTTATATCGCAGGGTTCGCAAATGTGTTAGCACTGAATAACTGTACTGATTGGTTAGTGTGCAGTAATATACGGGAGTAAGCGACAGTTAAAACATGCACGTAACTATTAAGTACTAAAATTTAGTAATAAGGCTGAATTAAAAATATTACGGATATAAGAGACTGCATGGGCATGGCTTTGCAGGAGGAAAAACTGGGACCGATTCTGTTTCGCTAGTGCAACTAAAGGCAACGGGTAGCATCCCTACCAAGTGTACGGAACAATATTATGTTACTGTAATTACTGCAGCACGCTAACAGCTAACACCGCTATCAAAACCTTGTCAAAACCAAGAGGTTACTTTCAGTTTTTCGTTTTTCTAGAACATAGATACAAGTGTACGTACAGGTATCATAGAGATTGCAGGTATGGATCGCACAGTCGCGCTTACTTTTCTGTACATACATTCGCTTTGAAAGTTTTTGATTTTTTCTTTGTTTGAAGTTTCAAACAGCTCTCTCTGCGTTTCTATTTTGGGGAGAGTGGATCTAAAGGAACGGCTATTACAAGGGGATAAAAATTTAATATGGTGCGAGAAAATAAACCCTGTTAATGAGAAAATGCGGTACGAGTAGTGGTGTCGTCGTCGTAGGGATCGATAGTTGATATATTAATCATTTTGTTGTAGATTAGCGGTATACGCAGAGTGCAAAAGGTGAATGTTGTCAGACTATAGTGAACTTATTTGTTTTTATTAGAGCTATACGTATCTTAATAAAGATTTAATTCAGTACAAATTCTTCGACTTCACCTTTTGACGTCCTTCTTTTGATATCATGTTTACCAGTATTAGAGCGTCAGCACAATATATGACAAAAAAAAGAGTAAAACTCAACGAATAGAAACTCTGAGATAATTAAGCTAGTTGCCAAACTTCACCACACTTAACAAAATAAACTGTACAGAAAGGAACTATCACGAAAATATCGGAGGTCAACTTGACCGCGACAAACTTAAAAATTATTAAAACTGATTCGCCATGGCGATCCATGTGAGGACCAATAGAGCTAGTAACGATGGAACAACCGATGATACGCCGCCACCTGGCGTAGGATCCGTTCCTGTAATTGCAGGCACATGAATAACGTAAGGATTTCACGAGAACCATGTCCATTACCTGTCGCAACTGTTGTTGTAGGCAATCCAATCGGTTGTGTTGTATTGCTACCCACAACAGGCGATGTTGTTGTACTACCAACAGGCACTGCTGTGCTGGTGACCATCGGTGTAGTTGGTATGGATGTGGTCGTTGTTGTGGTTTGGTCTGCGGGATATGTCCCATCGAAGGGTACGCATATCGGGTCTAATGAACGCACCGTGGTAATTATTGCACAAAACCAAAGAATTCTCAGTTCAACTTTCCAAAAATACTCGCATCGTACGAGTTTCATTACTGCATCAACATTTTACCTTCGCTCCATCCAGCTTGGTCTTGGTTGGCATCGTTGATGGCCTGCAAATGCCGTGTCAAAGGTTCGAAGAACTCAATGAGTGGTCTGGCATCGATTTCTCTGCTTCCGGTAATTGTTTCCATAACGTCCTGCCACGGCATAGATGAACCCATTTTCAACGCATCCCTAGACACGCGACATGAAATTACTGTATGCAACACCGTGGTTAATTACAGAGAAGAATATGTTATCAGTAACAAATAACAACTGTCAAAAGTTGCACATATGTTTCCTTCTTGGCGGTTACGTGGAAGGTTCTGCTTACCCCAAAAGTTTACCGGCATTTTTGTTACCGTCGATATCGCACTGATAAAGCGGTCCCGTATGGTTAGCAGCCGCACACAGTGCCTTGTGAAACTGGAACTGGATGACAAAGCTGACGAAATACCTGCCAAAAGAATTGTTTTCGGTCAACCAGAGCGAATACACACAATGGATCCAGTAATTACCGCATGTAAGGGACATCCGCAGGAATGTGATATTTCGCACCTAAATACGACAGTTACAGTAAATTACGTCTCTCGTATGAAAGTACAATGAAGTTGCGTGTTCTGATATTTCTATGTATTTTCTATGTAAGTATTGAAAAATATATGACGTGTTTTATGGTTTCGTGTATATGTAGGTGTTTCGTGTTCTGAAGTTGCGTGTTCTGATATTTAGTGTTCTGATGTTATTTTTTCTGAACACGAAACACCTACATATACACGAAACCATAAAACACGTCATATATTTTTCAATACTTACCAGGATCGAAATCACCCTCCGATCGATTAACTGGGGCACAGATGCCTTGGTATTTCAGCCTGCAACAATGTATAACGTTCAACGTTAAAAGCAAAGTACTACTCTATTTAAAAGAAGTGCTAGAAGAAGCGATCGTAGTTCGTAACACTTACCGGTAGTCCCACCACTTCGTATTATAATTCAGTGATGTGATTTTGCCGCTAAAAATGTCGTATCGATACATATCCATCATTAAACCGAAGGGCAAGAATGCAATCTTTTCCAAAGCAGTGGAGTACATGAAATTAAGATCCAGCTCTAAAATAAAAACCACTGAGAATTCTGACGATTCTACTCAAATTTCATTGGATCACAATACATCAGAAAACATACGGTTATCATTCGTTGGAGTGTTGGGGGGAAGCAGACCAATCTTCTTCAAATGTGCCGGTGTGGAAACACTCAGTGATAGTACATCACCAACAGCTTCGTGGAATCCGTCATTGGCTCCTCGACGGAATGGAGTTGGGAGGTGTTTATACTAAAAATCCGGAATGTTAAAAAAGCGGGTTTGTTTTATTACTTTTCATTATGAAGTGGTTTACCTGTAGGTAGTATTCAACGTGTCCCATCTCGCTGAAACATAAGCGTTTCGTCACGAAACGAAACTTTCGTGAACAATCTAGATCTGTTGTCGACATACCAGAAATAGAATAACTTACTGGTGTACGGTGATGAAATCGTCCATCGTAACGGCAGTACACTGTTTTATACTACAACCGTAAATTGTTAACATCTTGTGCTCCCGAAGTAATGAAACTAATTTCATGCATATTTATAACCGAAACGTATACGCACCGGAAATCCTGTTGATTGTAGAAATCCCAAGCCGACGCGTGGCAGGTTACATTGCGACCTTCTGGCTTTTCCAACATAGAATAATCCCAGAATCTCTGAGGCATTGGTTCCAAGCCCAAATCGGTGAAGAATTTATCGGATACATTGAACATATAGCGAGGAGTGTAGCCTTGGTCAGCCATGGCTTGAGTGACATCTAGTGGCTCTTTGTTGGGGTACAGTTGGGTAAAGTTTTGGATGGCGCCCCATGTCTGCGCCCACATATTACCTAACGCAAAAAACAATATAAAAGTCAGTATATCAGAAGTACATATAGATTCTTCCTGGAACCAGTTAAAAGTTCTAAGTTTACCAGTTACCAGTTCAGAGTTCTAAGTTTATGTTTGGGTTAAAATACTCGACGAAAAATTCACCTGCTAATATAATTTAAACAGGAAATCATAGATACAATGCATACGAGTTATTGTAATATATACTCGTATATTGTAATATATGCACAAGTTATTCATAAATTAATGTATTAGCAATTCAACATACAGTTGCACGCCGACAACAGCACTCTGTCACATCACTAATACGTCTCAGTTTGCATGGTTTCTTAAGAATACCTAAGAGATGGGCGGGAATGGGACCACGTGGATTAATTTTAGCCGTAGGATATTGCTGCCATAACTTGCGACGCACAAACGTATGCAGAGTTTTATACAACGGTTCCAGTTGAATCCAGACACGATCAATGTCTTCCAAGAACTTGGTGTCGTTATAATTCAGGCTGGGCTCGACATAAGGTGACCTCCAGGCTTCAGCATTATTAGCGTACTCTATATAACAACGAAAAACATCCGTATGACCAGAAAGGCAATTCATTGTTCGATTCTGCAAAACCTAAATGTTGGCAGAATACCTACCATCCAATACCGCGGCTTCATTTTTCAGGACAACATATCGTTCGTAGAACGGGCGCATTTTCTTGCCACTGGCATCTCTCCAAGCCTTCCACAAGTACAGAAGAAAATCCGGATCCCGACTTGTAGACAACTCTTGAGTGATATGGGGTTCCAGAGCCATCTGCTGCTCTTTAGGGCACTCTTGGATATTGGTAATGCTCTGGTTGCGGCAGACCAATGCGGTCGAATAGATCTCCGTCATGTTGGTTCCGAGATACTGAAGTTCGGTGAACTTATCACTCGGTAGACCAGCATCACCAAGTTTGGTCAATTTGTCATAAAGCCGCTTGCTGGTGAAATCTCCTGTTTGGGTAACGTTGGAAAATTCTTGTTTGATTCTTCGCGCTTCATCTTGGTCGAATTTCGCACTCGCTTCGGCTTTAGCGTTCTAGAAGTACATTAATAATAATATGCGGCAGCGAGGCTAATTTTCGGGTGATTAAGCAAAATATTTCAAGGAGGAAATTATTTGAGTAACAATTTTAATTTAGTGGAGACTTCATCCAGAACTAGATCCTGTTTTAACAGGATCTAGTTCAAATGGTTAACAGATCTCATGAATCAGATCCTGTTATAACAGAAGATTTTATCCAGAACCAGATCCTGTTTTAACATGATCTGGTTCTGGATGAAATCTCCGAACCAGTGCTCCAAAAGATGAGGAAAATTTTGGGAAGATTTCGATAGCAAAGAAATTGTCGAGCATGATGATAGAATAAAGTTATAGCCATTTTGAATCAATCAGTTTTGTGTATTCGCAAAGCGATCCGTTGGGTGCTCGAAATCTGTATTTGTTTGTGCTCGCTAGAGGAGCGTTCGAAATCATGCCTTGAGACCGGGATATATAATTACGTCGCAAGTATTTTAATACCATGATTTCTCTGTTGTAATCCGTGATGTTGGTATTGTAATTCCACGATGCCTCAACCGATGCAAAGGTCACTTCTTGCGCACGTGGATTGTAGTCAGTATACACGTAAGCTTTGAAGGTGTCAGATGCGCCGCTCTCGCAGAATGGCTCTGCCAAAGTATTCCCCAAGTGGTATAAATGGAATTTAAGAATATTTACAGTGCACCTTACGATTTTTCCATCCCACTTGGTTATTCTTATTCAGTTCCTGGAGCTTCCTGTAAAGAGGCTCGAAAAATTCCAGAAGTGGCCGCGCATCCATAATAGTGCTGCCGGTCAGTATGCGCATAGCTTCCTGCCATGGTTGGGTAGATCCCAGTTTCAAAGCATCGCTGGAACAAAATCGATTTTTTCATGACGCCGTCGCTCATAAAATGTTAAATAGAACGTATCGAATAATGTTCTACAAATTAAGCAATGAAAAATAAAAATGAACTATTTAGAACAGTGCACTTACGCCACTGCCTTTCCGGCTTCTTTACTGCCATCAATGTCGCAAGTGTACAAAGGCCCAGTATGACCAGCTTTTTCGCATAGGGCTTTGTGGAACTGGAACTGGATAATAAAACTAACGAAGTATCTGGAAAAAAACAGGAGTGCAAAGCTTAGTAATAACAAAAGAATTAATACATGACAAAGAATTGGTGCAACATAGACAGTTGCTCTTATCTTTTGATCTTATTTACATTACATGATACGAATATTAGCGTATATATCACACTGCAAGAAATTTTATTTGCACTCCTCATTCAAGTTTCATAATTAAACATGTAGGAGGAGCTATATAGCTTCTTCTACATGTTTAATTATGAAATTTGAATCTTGGAACTTGAGGTACATATACCTCACCTCATGTACGGGACGTCAGCGGGAACATGAAATTTAGCGCCAGCATCAAAATACTCTTCACCTCGCGGTGGACTTGGCGCGCAAATACCTTGATAGTTGACCCTAAAAAAGAATTTTATAGTGCAGAATGCATTCAGTATTATTATTAATTTCGATGTCAAAATACCAGCACGTATTAGTTATGTATATTATAGTGGTTATTCTATTACTTACACGTATTCCCACCACTTGGCGTTGAGTTCTTCCGGCTTAATGATACCGGCAAAGACGTCATACCGATACATATCAAGCATGAGCCCGAAAGGTAAAAAGGCTATTTTTTCCAAAGCCGTAGAAAACTGGAAGTTGAGGTCATTTTCCATTCCTGTCAGGTAGTCAGTATTACCATCTAGCCTCCATTCGTCGATATATACAGCCAGACCCACTGTGTCAAAACTTACGGTTAGCGCGCGTGGTGTCGTTAGCCAAAAGTCCAATCTTTTTCAAGTGGTCAGGAGTGGACACACTTAGTGCTAACACGTCTCCAATTGCTTCGTGGAACCCATCGTTGGCCCCATCGCGGAAAGTCACAAGCTGATGCTTGTACTGCAGGAAGTATCTAAAGGTTCATACGATGTGTTGGTAACAAACTATAAAAAAACTGCAGTACTTCTTTCCTTACTCGACATGGCCCATTTCACTAAAAAGGAAAATGCATTAAGCGCAATAACAGACGTAATGCAAAATGCTTTCTTACTGGTGAACAGTGAAGAGATCCTGCATTGTAATATCCGTGCACTGCTTAATCCTGTAGAAAACAATTATTTCGAAGTATCCGTATTAGAAACTATGAACCTATTTAATTAACTTCGTAAAATTTACCGGAAATCTTTGGCATTGTAGAAATCCCAAGCCGAAGCATGGCACGTAACGTCGCGCCCGTCAGCAGGCTTTTCAATCATCGAATCGTCCCAAAATGAAGGAGGCATTGCTGTCAGGTTAAGGTCCGTGAAAAACTTGTCGGAGATTTCAAACATTTTGCGGGCAGTATAATTTTGGCGCTTCATTTCCTCGGTTACGTCGAGTTTAGGCAATTCCGGATACAGCTGAGTAAAGCCAAGGGTACCCAACCAAGATTGTGCCCACATGTTACCTATGTGTACCACAACAGTTAAAGGTCACTGCTACCCCATACCGGAAAAACCATGCCCAGCTGTCAAGTTAACCGTGTACGAACGGTCTCAAGTACTTACCTAACAGATGTGCCGGAATTGGTCCCAATGGATCATGTAAAGATCGTATTGGTCCGTGCTTCTGTGCGAGCTTTGATCGAACGTAGGCATGGAGCTGTTGATACAAAGGCTTGACTTCATCGTACAGTCGTTTGACCTCGTTGACAAAATCTGCATCAGTATAATTAAATTGCGGTTCGACGTATGGTGCTCTCCAGACCAAGCCGTTATTTTTTTCGAAGCCTGCAAAAGACAAAGCTAAAATCAATATCAGTAAAAATAAGGAACTGTTAAGCTCCCACAACAGGTTTGAACCACAGCATCAGCCTGAGATATCTGTATTTGTACGTAGTAAGTACGTGCACGTGGTTCAGATTTTCCGTAGCTGCAATATCTTTAGCGCGCGTGGCATTTAAGTAATTATTTACCCATTAATAAATGAGAAATTTATCCGTTTATTATTGGACTATTTAATTACTGCAGCTGTTTCTAAATCAATCACATGAGTGTATCTAACTTTACGATACCGTACCGTTAATCCAAGCGGCTTCGTTTTTAAGTTCAACATAGCGTATAAACTGGTCTCGCATCTTTTTGCCGCTTTGCTCGCGCCATTCATTCCACAGATGAGCCAGTATATGTTCCGGCGTGTCTGGATTGTCGAATTCTCGAGTAATACCCGGTTCGAGATCCAGAAGTTCTTCTTGTTTACAACTGGCAAGCGGCGTTTGAGGCGATCGACAGACTTTTGCGGTAGAGTATATTTGGCTCATGTTTGCCTTTAACCTCGCCAGCTCTTCATACTGCTCAGCGGGCAAAGCCGCGTCCCCGATCATCGCTAACTTCCGATAAAAGCGCTGAAGTAAAGGGTCCTCCGGCTTTACATGCTGGAATGTGCTTTTCATATACTGCGACATAGACTGTGAATAGTTGGCGGTTTGGGAAGATGCAGCCACCTGTATCAGTCGGAAAGAATGTGCTTAACATTACAAATGGAATTCGTACGAAAATTACGTATGCATTAAATTAAAAGAATTAGAGGATAAATACGAGTAGAAAAAAATATCTTAAAAGATGGTCAGCAGCAACATCAAATTTACAAATCACCTGTACGGTTCTACCTATACTTTGCTTTTAGTAACTCGAACGTTATCGAATATAATTATAAGAAGGTAGAAAAAATGTTCGAATTGTAGAATTCAGTACCAAATTCTATGCACTGTACTGCAAACAGTTTGCGAAATCTTTTTCGTACCAATACACTTCGTTGTTTGCCGTTGCCTATATATAACAACCAAGAAAGAAAGGTTACTACGAAGTGCTTATCTACCGTACTGTTTTGTTTAAAACGTAATAGTGGTGTGAGAAACAAGAGCCGAAAAAACAAATTCACATAAAGTTGCTCACATTGCCGTGAACAGCCGTAATAATGCCTATTTGGAACTTTGGCATAATAATAATCAGTCACCGGACCAAAGTCAGTAAGAGTAAGAACTATCTATTTCACAATCACGCCAGCAGCGGATTCACAAATAGGTGATTGTGCGAGATTCAATTCAATTACCATAATTTCTTGGTTGTGGTCTGTGATATTGGTTTCATAATTCCAACTGGCTTCCACTTCTGCGGCCATATGCGCACTGATTCCCACATCATACACATTATGAACCCAGTTTCTGAAGGATTCCTCGGTCTCTGCGGCCGTAGCTGAGCCGACAAGAGCGAGAACAAACAGTGCTGAAAAACGAATGAAGATAAGTACGTTGCACTATCAAATTGTTTTACAAATTTATGATGGTTCTACATTTTATCAACCGTCAAGCAAACATTACCCCAAGCTTTAAAAAAAATATAGCAAAATATTGTTCTCTTGTTAGCAGATTTCCCGAGCTTCGCATCAGTTTATTTCTTCTACGTATTTGCTAACCAGATACGGCTGCTCACGAAGTGCTGATCACACTGATTCACACATACCGGCAAACGTAGTCATTTCCGCTCCTTTCATAAAACTTCCGAATCTCGATCAGAAAACTCCTTAAATGCGACCATGCAACCCAGGACCAAATAAGGGACAAGTCTACAGTGAAGTGACAGATGACCAGTGCTCCTCTCCGGTAGACTGATTTTTGGTTAAGCTGCTGTTGCAGTCTTGCAATGACACTGCGTTAAAGGTGTGATAAGTTTTCGAACGTAAATCGCATCTGATAAGGCCGCAGTTATCGCCGTGTATTGTTCAGTCCCATCCTGTCACAATAAGCTATAATTGTCCAACTTCCCCAAATGAATATTTACAACACCGATAAAGCCAAGAAAACAATTCAATTCACCCCAGTCTGGAAGGAAATCGATAAGCGTACCATCAGAACAGGCCCCGGGTCAGTTACGAAAGAGATGCGGAAATGATTAATCAACTGTTATATTCTTTGCTCTAATTGCAGATAATAGTCCATTATGCTGTCAATTTTAATGGAAATGATAAGAAGGACAAGGACAAGGTGGCGAAAGTAAACAACATATTCTGCAGCTGTAAAAGAGATCATACTTTATAGTTTGTGTTACCATCGAAGGGTATTAAGGACACGGAAAAACTTACACCGGAAAATACCAAAGAATATCCGGTATTGGTCATTACCGTGAAAACTGTGAACAGTAAATATTCAGCACATCAGCAACAATGTACGCTGCAGTAAGTCAATAACTGAAGAACAATATTAGAAGATGCAAAACATTGGTAATGAAATCATTCGCAACATGATAGCCAATTTCTGCTTAACTCTCAAGCCCAAGCACAACACTGCAAAATCAGTGAAATTTAATAAGCCTTGCTGGAAATATACCGCCGGTTGAAGATATTCAACCCTGCTCCATCAATAAGCTGGCTTATACATCTATACAATCACAGCAAACAGCAAAATGGTATGGTATGGTACAATGGTCTCAATTTGAAATGCACTTGACAAATTAGCTCGGGCTCAGCGCTGACCGGAAATACTCAATGCGAATTGTTGTGATAGGCATTCGTAACTTCACTGCAGAATGTTCAGCTTATAGTTCTATTTCGAATACAAGAATCATAGAAGATTATTACGCACAATTTACGATATCCAGAAATCAATACGTCACCGCAATTGTATGAAACAATACTCGTGATCGTGCAATTAGCGGCTCCATTATTTCAGCAGTACCAACTACCAAGTACAGTACTGTACATTTTAATACGTACCTACTCTGTAGAGTGTAGATGAGCAATGATAGCTTCATAAGCAGTTCAGTTTTGCAAGCCAAAACAGGCGGGGACATCTTTACCGAAGTAAAAGTTTGCTCAGAAGAATAAATGCCCTACAATAACAAAAAATGGGGTTCGAAACCGTATACGTCGGCTACATGTCGATAATAATATGGCAATTGGCAAACATATTGTATGTACATACATCCATGATCCATCTCTGCCCAGAAAAGCAGGAAATGCTGGGCTGATAAAGTTAAACATAAATCTCATTGTCAAAGAGATCGCAGATCGATTAATCATCCGAGTCAATCGAACACCCGTTGAAAGATAATGCTGGATGACCATCCAACATTAAAAACAATATGTTCGCCGAACCACGTACGGTTCATATTAATTTTTGCTTAAGTAGAAATTTTGTTCGTTCGACTATTCTTGATTGTTTCTTTCTCATGGCGCCGCCTGCGACAGCCACAGTATAATCAATGTAGGCACACGCTGACCACTACAGCGATACAAAAAAGGGTACGCAATGGATTACACTGGCTCTGCTGGAAGCACTTCCGTTCGCAGCCGTCCAGATGTTAGACTCGTCGTGTTGCTGCTAATACGACGTAAAATGCGATTTTAAAAAACTATATAATTTCGTTGCGCCGGCGCGTTGCTCTTGATGGTCTGTCTTGAGCTATTTGTAGAACAATCATCTGGATGCAGTAGGAACTTTTATATATCGGCAATGAAAATCTTAATGGAATCGATATTTGCTTCCAGCGAATCTGCATTGAGAAACAGTATTAGTACAGTGTTGCTCAGTTTGCGATTGCTCAAACCATACGCTGGCATCCCATACTTCTTGGTGGTTGTCAGTATTACGTACGCTATAGGACCACAACTGGAACGGCTATGTGGTTTAGGTACTTAAACCAATGTGTCAGGAGCCCGCAAAGTGTCTCAAAAGCGCCCGCAAAACACATATAGCGAAGTCAGTAAAGTTCACTTATTATAATATTACATCTTCCTTGGTAAACTAAATGCTATAACCGATTTCGAGTAATACAATACTTCGACGACTTTTATCACATCCCGGACTCTTTCACGATACGCATTCGCGTGCCGGACACCAGAGCTAAACAGGGTATTCTCCGTGTTGTTCCACAGACCACAGTAGATTTGATAATTTTTTATTAATCTCGTCATGAAACTTACATAAAAACAAAAATTACCACGTAATCAATTTATCATGTGGAACAACGCCGGCCGAGAATACTCTGTCTCCGGGGTCCAGGACGCGAATCTATACTGTGAAATCACTGAAATGTCCGGAATGCAAAAAACGTCGAAGTAGTATTACAAAAAAACGTTTAAAGTTCGAAAAACACGAAAAAACTGCTTTCGATCAGACTATTGCAGTTCTAAATTATCTGGTGGTCCCTTGGCCGAAAAAGTTTTTAATAACAAATAAGGATTGATGCGGAACTTCCGAATCATTACCGTGCTTAGATGCTGCAATGTGTACTTCTACCCGGAGTATCAAGTGCGGTGTACCAAACGGTTCTTTGTACTTCTACCCGGAGTATCAAGTGCGGTGTACCAAACGGTTCTTTGATGCATATTTCGAAGTTCTTGAAAAGAAAGAGCAGCAAGAAAGATTCCAAATTTCCGCCATCCATGGACAGTGATGGACTTCGCAGTAAATTAGCAGCACCTTCAACATACTACTGGTATGTTGAAAGAACGGTCCAGAGCACTTATGCAGAGTGTAAGCCGTAGAAAGCGAGGTCATATGAGCTGCAGTGACGGTAACTGGTGACAGGTTTCACCCGTGTTGCGGCAAAATACATTTATTAATATTTATCTGATTTTAAACTGTTTATCTTATTAATAATTATCTAATTGGTCGCTTCGATAACGTAATACCCCGGGCCCTCGAGCAGCAATTTCTGCAAAGTTGCTCACCGGCTGGATCATACCACTTGGGTATCCTCTTCGCTGCCATTCAAAACAATGTTCCCTGTAGCTTTACTCTTTTCCTTTCTGTAGTAATCCTGAAAGTTTAAGAACATTCGCAAGCGCTGGCTCCGTTCTACGAGTACAAAAACCCCAATACAAATAGCGACAATACGAGTTAAGGTTCCACGAAAATAGTTTTAAGTCGTATTTAGTACATTTTCATGAGCACTACACTGAAAATAATATACGCATTTCAGGAAAATGCAGATTACGATACGGATGATGTTGTTAATATCTCTTCGCAACTTAACAAAAGTCGAATCAATCAGCGTAGTTACGGTACATCTAAAAACCTGGTTGTGGTCATAAAAACATTTGGTCTGTTGCATAGGGAGATAGGCCAGCACAACAGTTGCTGACAAGGTAGGACGAATGAAAACCACGGCCGGAAATAATTTACTGCCAAAAAAACTTAACAACCATTGATGCCAGGGAACGCTTAGCTTGTCCGATGCTATCCTTGCGACATCCGGCGTGTCAAACGAACTTCAACCTGGTTCAGGGGGCTTTCGCCACCGCTGGTCCGACAACGGGGACTTGGTATGTTCTCCGACGTACTCCGCCCATTAGGCATGGGGAAAGGTAGCAATTTGTAAGCCACGGAAAATTCTATGCCGTGCACGATCTGCAAAAGAGAAAAGTAAGCTATCAAGCACGGTTACACCACAGCCTGACCAGCACGTGAAATCATTACATAATTGCAATCAATAAACGCTCAAACACACGATCGTGTACCCTTAAAGGTATTTTCCAGCTTTTCCACTTATTAGGCAATTTGGCAATACTTGGAAAGCAACGCACGAGGTATCTATCTCTGTTTTAAACGCCAAATTGGCATGTCGTCGACAAGGTACTAAACGTGAACCAGATAACATCATAATAATTTATTATTATGGTATTATGCATGATTTACATCATCCAAGTTCACAATCCGGCACCGTTCCAAAGGTTATGCCTTATCGACATTCGGATGGGAAAGTCGATAAAATTAACTGCGCCCATTCAGAAAAAAATTCTGACTGTGTGTAAGCGTACACCATCCCGTTGCTGTATTACTGCATTCTGCTAATTATGGCTGCAATCGTCTTTATTTCGATTCATAATTGTTACGGCATTAACGGATTAACCAGACACTACTGCTTTGGTATTAAGTTTGGAAGGAATAACTTCAATATTAAGTTCTGCTTATTATAATACTAACGTTTACGATTTAATCTTGAAAGACTAACGAAAAATTATGAAATTAAACCAAATGCCTGTTTCACGGGTAGGATGAAAAATCAAGAGAATGGAAATTTATCTAAGCGAGTTTTAACATTTAATTTGATTTTTTAATATTTAAGGGATGCTGAATAACCATATGATTCTGAAATCCAAAAGTTTACTTATTGTTGCTTTCACATATGCCGTGGTATTTAAATAATTTACACAATTTTAAAAGTAAAAAATATTGGTCACATTTGGTTACAATTGCTAGTTTTCCACCGTGATACTCTAAAGCGTATTGTAAAAACACGGTGGAAAACTGGAACAAGTAGTAATGTGCAATGCGATGCCACAGGCATAGGGCATAAGCGTAAATAAATAAACTGCCATTCCTGTAAATGGCAGTTTATTTCAGTAAGTAAGGGACTAAGGGTGCATTTATACATGCACAAGTTTCTTTAATTTAAGTTACCGTATGGAATAATTACTAGTAAACTCTTCGTTTTTACCTTACGTAAATAAATATTTATGTACAGTACTCTACACCTATCGGTATATATATAAAATAATTATGCAGCAATTCAGGAAGCTTTACACTCAACGTACCACGCTACGCAGATAGACGATGTCGGCTCCTTTGCGAACAATCTTATTATCTCCAAAATCTTGCGCATATGTTCCGAGTTTTTCAAGTCGATCATTTCTAAACAGTTCCAGTGAGAAGTATTGCATCAATACTGCGCAGACCTTGAAACAGAGAGATGAATAGTACCTGACTTGCTCGTAGAATTTATGAAGGATCAGATCGCGCAGCGAATCTGGCAGTGATTCCGTGCAGGCTCCTGATGATCTGCATTTTTCGCAGAAGCAGGTTTTGTTGTGTAGCAGGCCACAAACAAAGACCTGCTTATTGGCTAAGGAATCTTCTGATGACATTTTCGTAAACGACACGGAGCTGGGATACTAACAGTCGCAGATTGACGGAAATCTGACTGGTTCATCGGGCTCTACTCGGGAACTTAAACAAGAAAACTACGTTGTCTAAAATGGCACCCGAATTTTTGAAAACGTTAATCTTTCTTGCAGGTTCGACAATTACACACGTTTACCAAGAAAGACTGAAGAATCTTCAGGCAGCCATTTTATAATATCCTTGTCAGCGTTATTATTAAAAGTAAAGTGTTTCGTGCATCAAGCAGTAGCTGCGTCGACGCTCACAATCAGCAAAATAAATTATTACGAAATCACTCTGTAAAAGCGGATGTTGGCAGGGCGCCAACAACAAGCCAGACAGATTTATTAAAGGGTATAAGTACTTACTAGTACTTACTGTATGTATGTATCGTACGGTGACCAAGAGGCGTAGAGTACACCTTGGTCTTTGCGACTGCATTTCCGAGTGTGAGGTGCAGCCGTTTGCGTCAAACATGATTCACGCTCATAAAATGATGCAAAGGGTCCAACTTGCATTATTGACGATTGAATATATGCAGTTTGAGGCAAGCACCGGTCGGGAATCGGTCGCCTAGTGGAAATTTCGCGCTTTTTTTTGTGAATGCGTAAAAATAAAGCTTCCAGGTCCACTTGTGCATTTATGCATTGATAGGTGCGCCTGGGAGAGGGAGTCTGGACTCTGGGGCGGATCGCGCGCGGTTTTGACCGCCGTCCACTACATGTTTGCAGTCATGTTTGGCAATGTAGGAATATGCTCAAGATTTGATAGGGCTAGCTAAATAATCTTACATTTGCATATTATCTGTAGATGAATATGGTAACTATTATTATAATTACAGATATGTTCGCATGGCTATGTTCGGCATTTAACATCCCTTCCCCAGTAAAACAACTTGCAAAAAAAACGTTAGTTAAACGTTAGGAGACGGCTAAAATTGACACACATCCGTTCACCTAACGGTAGTTACACGTTAAACTAACGTTTTTCCTACAAGCTGTTTTACTCGGGCTTGCGAGTATATTGGTGATTATTAAACAACACCGTGTATATGTATTTTGTTATGTTTAACATATAGACATATGTACTACTACAGTACTACTTATGTACACGGTAGCATATTAATTATTATGAAGAGTTGAAGACAGTTTTAGAGATATGCGTTAATGGAAGTTGGCTGCAGAGGCTTTAATTGGAGAAACGTTTTCAAAATAGGCCTGGAATTATTATACTTACGGATAGTATATGGATACTTCTACAGACAAATCAATACCGATAGAAACAAGATCAAGAATACTTGTATATCGTCAAGTAATTCGAAAAACAGTAAGTATTCCAGTCCAGGCCTTGTATAAAACCATGTGAAGAATTAAAGTGACGGTATATCTATATTTATATGATAACCGAAAATACGTACAGACGGCACAGTTATTTAGCATGGTAATCACTAATCACAATGATCGGCAGGCCACCATTCTGGGACTCGACAGGAAACAGTTTTATTTGTAAATATTAACTAAAATGTCGTTCGATCGCTCCAGTATTACTATACGAGTACTTACATGTAGACTATAAGCACATGCGAAGTATTCGTACTTCGTCGGCATTTCTCCTAACTTCTTTTAATTTTACTTTCTCGGTGTTGTCAACAAGAACATGAAAGTAAGCTGACAATTGGTTTGCTTCGTGGGCACATTCAAGACTAGAAATTGCGCAGTATCATTATACACACGTGCTTGTATTAATTTTGGCATGGTATTCAAAAGCAGTTTTTATTTATAAATTGCATAATGATCATCGTCGTGGCTAGTAGAACTGCATAATGTAATCGTTTCTAATAAAATACAAAACCGGTACCATGCATTTTCCTGTGTATTGATTGTACGAACGACCTGCCCACAAATTCACAATCTATTCCAAAATACATGTGCCATAATGCCACCAACCTTCATTTAATAGAAGTATGTATGTAAATAAAATCGTGATGGATACGAAGTTATCAACTGCATCACCTGACATAGAACGTAACTTGCTCTGTGCCTTGCCTGTTACGCCAGTTTCGTTCGCGAATCTGAAATTGTTCGCCTGGTACTAATATCTTACCATTATTTAATGTACTTATAGTATAGACGGGGAAAATCTCAAATCCACATGGCTTTGGACTATGGAAGAAAAATTAAATTGTACGTGGACCCGGACGGGGAGATTCGGCGTCTCACGTTAAGCTCTACAGCAAACTTTGAAATTCTCCGAAACCGCATCTGTCTGCTGCTAAACAGAGAAAACTTTCGGGTATTCTGGAAAGGTGAGAATACATATGTTGTTTGATTCGCAGACGCGAAAATATTTATGACACGCCTTAGACTGTTTAACTGCAATGATTCTATTGTTATCATTAACTGTAGATTGTTTATTTTCTATTTAAATAGCTGGATTGTACAGTATATAATACTCCAGTTAATTTTGTCATGCAGATTCTGAGGGAGACCTTATTGTTTGCTGTTCGGAGGATGAATTCGTTGAAGCTTGTGCGTCTTGCCCGCCGCACGACCTTTTACGCATCTATATTAGGAATAAACCGGCAGAAACAAATGCTAACCGTGGTACAAGTGCCTCCATATACCTACATGACGCAGTTTGTGACGCGTGTAATAAGGAGATTTCCGGCAATCGTTGGAAATGCTTGGAATGCGCGGATTATTATTTGTGTTTAGCATGTTATCACTCAGGAATTCACAGCATGCATGATGTGCTGCTTATTTGCAATCCGGAAACTAAAGGTTTGAAGGTAATAAAAATCGGCTATTTGCAACCGCGATTTAAACTAATTATTAAATCTTTTATGGAAGAAATACTTGGAGTTTATATCGATCCTAGGAACAATGCTTGTGTTTATTCCTCGAAAATTGAGTGTAGCACAATTATGGTTGTTTTTGTGCAAGCACTACAACATACATACTCGTACTGATCTATTCACATTTCTTGCAGAGATTGCTTGCAAAGCGTTATGATGCAAGTGCTCCGACGAAAGGTCACTGCGATAGGAACAATGGTTCAGTGGGCAGAAATATGCAAAGACTTCCACCCGAGAAGGGAGTTAACGGGGACATCCCATTATTTTCGCATGGTTCAGGGTACGGGGGTTATTTCCCACCGCATCTTAGAATTTTATTAGATACTCTCAAGAGAGTTGAACGGGACAGCATGGACTCTAATTTACGACAAAATTCTGAGATTGTTTCGGATGTTTCAAATGATATTATGTTAGATGATTTAAATCGTCTAACTATGATGAAAGGATTGAGTGGAATGTCACAAGACGAACTTATGGCTTCAGCAACCTTGGAGAATGGATGGATGGAGCTACAGCCTGAGTCTGCAGAAACTGATGAAATATCCTTCGTAACCACCGGCACATAAGCATTTTCATGCAACTGCGACGTAGATCCCAAGGTTATGCAATGCGGTGTCGTTTTTTGGTACGAATATTTGTAGAAAAGTACAAATATATACGTAAAGTATTAACATACAATACGATATTATGCTGTTTGTGAACTGGACGACTGTATGGAGTTTAGGTTTTTTCGTTTTCTGAGAATACATATGCGTTTAATTTATCGGGAGTAAAGTTTGTCCCTACTTGGTAGCTACTCTGGCTTTTGTCACACTGAAGAGAGTATAATTCAGCAACTTTAAGTTAGCGACGAAGAGTAAATTTGACTTTAAGATTATACTGTGAATAAAATATTAGAAAGGTCATCTATTATTCAAACTGCACACATGGAATAGTATTTTACCGTGACAAATAAGTTAAAAAACTTCATCTGGAATAAAAAAAGATCAACAACTCGAGCCTGCCTTTATGTCGATGGAGCAGATCTAGATGCATAAGTATGCTAAAGTGCAGTTCAACGCTGCTAATTATATAAGGACCTGAATATCATATTACAACAAGGTTCGACTCTGATACAGCTTAAGTTTCTTCGAGGTTAAAGGTAATGGATATCGCTGGCATAATAATATTATAGGAAATGCCGAAATTAGGAAAGGGTGACTACTTTCCAGAGTTTAAGATTAGCTCATGAACACTACAGACCGCTCAACATCCTCATATTGTTTACCTCCCTCACAAGTCAGTTAAATTCGTTAGATACAGATTGAGTTTATTTTCCACATAATCATCGATCCTTCCCGTCGTGATACCGATGGACAGGATGCCACATTGCGATACTGCGTATAATTTGGGAATTTGCCTGTTGCTGCCACTGCAAGTATCCGGCATTTGCAGAACCACCGAATGGTCCCACTGTACACTTTCCGGCAATCTTCTCTTTCTTGGCTTTGGTGCGTTGTATGATGTAAATAAGCAGTACACAGTGATCCAATTGGGCATATGTGACGGGGAAGGCAAAGGACTCGTTCCATGCTATAGTCGAATTAGCCGACTGCGAGAAATCCCTGGAGCTAGATCGCTGCTTGTTTTTGACATCGCCGAGAATTAAGCATACCTTCAGGTATAGTTCTGCAAAAAAATAACAGTTTCCTTTGAGTTGAACATTACATATACAGAGTATGTTCGTGTTTACTCGTAGTTTCATAGCAATATATAATATGATCTCGGCTGTTCTTAACACTAAATCCATTATTCTCTACTCTTGCCCTGAAGCAACTTACGAGTTAATACAAACTGCATAGCATGGCATAAAAATTGAATAAATTACCTGAGTCTTCCTGACTGAAAACTGGGAATAATCCGGCAAGGTTTTTAGCTTTAATAATGTCTACTTGCAGTTCATCACGTGGAATATGGAAGCTCAAGAACACCAGAATTTCTGGTCGTGGCCCACTTATAGAGTCTTTGGTATTGTGTTCCACCGGTGACGAGGATGAGCTCAGATCAATCCATACATCAGTGTTATCTAATGGGTGAGCCTGCAGCGGGACCGAGAGGCTCCCAAGAGATTGTGGTCTGGAGAAATTGTTGTAAAATAACACGTCAAAATGAATCCGCTGGTCCTGCGGGAATACACAAGAAGAAGATCAAATGAGATAGCAACAAGACAACGACACACTCGTTAACTGTCTTGGATTACCATCCGAAAACTATTTAGCTAGATTTGTATGACCACAATATTAACATGTTGGGTGTTCACTTCGCGATACGATCCTTTGCCGCGCGCACGCAGCCTAATTCATTTTCTCCCACAAGACACCCACACTGTTCTATGTATGCCGGGAAGTGGGCGTGATGTGTGAGCGAAATGTCTTGAAATTTAAGGAAATTACCCTTAAGGTTTCAAAATTGGCTTGTAGAGCGAAAATTTCCCCATAATTAGTCACTGCTGTTGCATTGACGCGAGCAATTTTCGTTTGACCAAATCGTCGATCGCCGTTTGACGTGGATAGATGAAAGGTCACGTACGTATCACGATATTTTTGTCGCTCGGGGGATGAACACACAGATTCTCCATCGGCAGTTTTCTTGCAAAATTGCGCTAAAATATATACACTATTAGGTTGAGGGTGATGCATCAGGTTTGTGCTAGACTGGATTCCATAAAGGTTGTAGAACTATACAACGTACGTTGTGATAAATAATGACCTGGATTGCGTCCATATATATGCAGACAACAGTCCAATAAAATAACATCTAGCTTAAAGTTTATACCAGAGTTTTACGTTTGCAATCACTTTTACTCAGCATCGTGACGATAGGGCTATAAAAATTAAGCAACGTTAAAATATCAGGGATACCTGACAACGGCGTAACTGTGCAATTTGAAACTTTTACGGAATAGGTTACAAGGAAGACTTTTACAATCCAGATTGCAGATGATCGAAATCTGATGATGAAATTGGCCAACTACGGCACAGCTGTATGCATTGTACAAAAATCTGGCTACCGGTTGTACATCCTCGTGATTATTACGAGTTATAAACGCCAACGAACCCAACCAATCATACGAAGTTTTCATTTACGGTATATCGTCAAATTCTTGAATTTATTACTGATATTGCGACAATTGTTAAAATAAAATTCTTTCAACGAGCACAAAAACTTTCAGCACGACGTACCTTCCAGAATATGCAGTATGAGCTGGGCATTATCGAGATCATAGTACATGCGGTAATGCAGTTTTATCTCTAGAGGATTTTCGTTGGAGCTGCGGTTGGTGTCGCTTGAATGGGAAGAGTACCCCGTGGAGCAAGATAGTTTCCGGTTGTAATCAAGCGGGAATAATTTTTCTGCAACAACAATAGAAGATAGAAATCGGTCGACTCATCGCCATTTAGCTAAAATGCCCCTGCTGTGTAAATCCTAACAAATACAGTTTTCGGTTATACAAATTCATGGTCGAAGCGTTTTTGGTTTAAAATTCAATATACTCCATATGACATAGATACGCTAACTAAGGTTTCATATGTACGGTCAGTACAAATTGAAAAATTCAGTAAATTCAATGTGACTTTAAGGGAAACAACCTGGACTGTGCCTATTCCAGCTGCAGTTCAATCAGGATTACACCAGCTGCAAGGACGTGCCATTACGTAAACACTGGAATTAGGTATTCCCACGCGCAAGACCGAAATATTACCGCCTATTTAGTGGATCATGAAACAGCCACAATACAGGCAATCTAAATCAGGCCACGCAAAGAAAAAAATCAAGGATCGGTCCGGCTTTATTCTGCGCTCACGTATGGTTTAGGTGCTTTCACCCCACTTACTCGCTTAAATATCTTGTTCCGCGTAAACCCTTAATTGTGATATTTGATATGAATGCTCCAGATTTCTCAGTTAATTTGACTACATTTTGTAATTTCATGATCAAAGTACACGGAAAACCGAAGCTTTTACAGCTATTCGAATCGTCAAGACTTACTTTTCTAATGTGTTCGAGACTTCGAGTAGATATTGTATCGTTTGTTTAAATTAATGCTCCAAACAAAAATTTAGGAAACAGGGGAAGTGCAAATTGTAACAATACAGAAAAGATAAAAACTCTGCAACAAGTATTTGTACACTGTACTGTAAGTGCTGTTTACCTATACAATATAAATCATGCTCAAAACAAAAAAAAATAATCTTGATAGCATATGATTTTACGGCTCCCTCCTAGCTCATAATGTTTTCATTTAAATTAACGCTTATAAGCCGACAGTTTACAACTTAAGTACTCCGCGTATACTAGCGAGGCCATTGCAGACACACGGCAGTTTTTGTAAAAGGTTCAAATACTTGTACGTTGTCGAATAATAATGCAACTTAGTTATCGACCTTGTCAAGTGGCGCTGGCTAGGCGCGCACCGACCATCGACGGCGGAACAAAGCAAACCCGGATGAAGGCTTTAATGCCGAAATCTAACACACACCGCGCTTTGCGCGCGAGCCAAAAAACCAACTGCCAAGATAACGGATCCTGCAGCCAGCACAGCTGTGCTGCAGGCCGTGAGAAAGCATGCAAATGCCCAGACAGGAAAAAACCCAAAACCAACCAATGACAGAAGGGCTGAATCATAAGCCCGCCCTGACATCCCTGTACGGTCTAACACTGAGCTCCTGCGAAGTGCAGGTAAATGGCGTGATGCGCCGTAAAAGAACAGTGGATACAGGGACCGGTACGGTCCCTGTACTGTGTCTAATAGACTGTACTACCGGGTGGCTCGGTTCCAGTTCGGTCGGCTCACGTGGTCCGGTATGGGATCCAGTTCGGTCAGGTTTGGTCCGGCTCGGTCCCGGTTTGGTCGGCTCGGATCTGGTTCGGTTTAGGAATGGTTCTGGGTCGGTTTGGCTCGGGTTCGGCCACGGGCGGTCCAGTGCTTGGGTCAACGCACTGTCGCGCCAGAATCCAGGGTCGGATGCGGAAATCGGTAGATTCCGCATTTTATCCGTCTGGAAAAAGGTCACGGTCTGGGAAAATCGCGCAGGGTTTGGGGCACAGGTACGGCCATGACCCTGCAAACACAAAAAATACGCTGCTCCGGGTAGGGAAAATCAGCTGCTCCGCCGCGGGAAAGGTTGTCCCAGGTAGGACGGGCAGGGTTTTGTTGGGGGAAATTTCTCGGCGTGCGTGATGGTGGTCGATCCGGCCGTGGGGATCGGGGTTGGCATGGCTGTTGGTGGTGGTGAAGGGTCCGCAGGTTTCCTGCTGGTCCGGGTTGCGTCCACCGTCGGCATCCGTCATCGGTACGGTGTGGCTGTGGGTTTGTCCGTCCATCGCTGCACTTCTGGCTTGGCGACATCTCCATCCCCTTCTGGGAGAGGCAGTTTCCTCCGCGTTCTGCGGGAGTGACGGCACAGCTCCGGCGACTGACGGGAAATCCGGAGGAGCGGGTGAGCTCCGTACCCGGGGGGTGGCACAGGACGCGATCTGGTCCACAGCTCAGAGGTGGCCCGTGAGCGGGGCAAGCCCGCTGTGTAACACACGATCGTAACCACGATCTGCTACCATGTCAAGTGGCGCTGGCTAGGCGCGCACCGACCATCGACGGCGGAACAAAGCAAACCCGGATGAAGGCTTTAATGCCGAAATCTAACACACACCGCGCTTTGCGCGCGAGCCAAAACCAACTGCCAAGATAACGGATCCTGCAGCCAGCACAGCTGTGCTGCAGGCCGTGAGAAAGCATGCAAATGCCCAGACAGGAAAAAACCCAAAACCAACCAATGACAGAAGGGCTGAATCATAAGCCCGCCCTGACAACCTGATAAAGTCTGTGATTTTCTCAGGTCCATGATCTTGTTAGTGGCTACTAAATTTAGCAGGTATGGTTTTCTACTTATCTATACGGCATCTTGATGTACTGCAAAATGCGCTCTCATTAATTTTGAATCAATCGAAATTTTAATACAAAGTAGAAGCGACCGGCGCACGCCGGATAGTCGATGAGCGTTTATCAGTAAATGATAATTCGTTACCGAAAAGATCAAAAGAGTAACCGTGTAATACTAATCGGCATTAAATTTGCAAAACCTACGATTCGGTGTCAGGCAGTGTGCGTCGGTTCCAAAACCGCTACTGACGCTGGACGCTTCCGGTTGAATTGGCGTGGCCTTCAGCTGACCGAGATTCTTTTTGGATACAGAAGAGCTCCATGCCGATGACGTGGATGTGGGGGATTTTTGTAACGTGGAAGACAGTACACTTTGATTACTCTAAAGCCAGCAAACTTTAAAATTCAGTAAACAAGTCTCCGTAAAATCTAATTTGTGTGCCGTTATGCAACAGCAACTACGCCCTACCGACACACCTAGTTGAAGCAACTGTCACTCCTGTAGTTTCTACCACATAACCAGCAATTGTCACGCGGTGTTCATGACATGCTGATCGGGCCGGTGCCGCGAATGCAACAAGTACGCACTTGTTTACGATGTAGCATAAAAGTTAATCAATTGGATATGCCACGTAAGCTTTATTCTAATGAAAAAAATTACATTTAATCAACAAATCCTCTAAAATTTTTTTTAAAGTATCGACTGGAAGGTTGTATCTGATCCTTCTAAACTGTTAATCCGAGCATAATAATATGTGGATCCCCGTTTCGAGTACAGCTCACTTTAATTTATAGCGCGTTGCTTTACGACATGTACTTGTAGAGTAGAATTACTGTACTTCGTCGATTAATTGACTTTCATGCTTACCCCAAACTGGTCTTTGTCAGCTGAACGGCGGAACAACCCCCAGCAGGAAGTTTCATTTCTCTTAAGTTTGTGGCGAAATATAATGAACGCTAGCACTATTAGCAAAGCCGATCCGCATCCGACTGCGGCGCCAATAATTCCAGCGGAGCTGGTCATGTTAATGATGACGAAAACGTAGTAACCGGTGTTCCTTTCGTTTTAATAAAGGACCTCTTGTCCTGTTGCCGAACATTTTTCTATTATGCGGTGTAGCGTTCTGCGATATTATTCATTACAAAGAGAAAGTTTGTGGTACAAGTGTTGGACAAATTTACACATATTCCGGACTATAAACGATAAGAATGGCAAAGTTCCGGTTAGGGCAAACAAATTAACTTTCGTGCGTCAGTGAAGGTGATAAGCATATCCCGGCGGGATAATCTGGTGGGATAATCTCATAGCTTTCCTCGCTGCACACGGAAAACAGATCCCGCTACAGTGGTTTGCCGCGAATACTGGGTTGATCATCCCACTGGCTCGGCTTTAACTGCCGATGGCCCTTTTATACGCCCGAGCATTATATTGAACCTATAGCTGTACACACGGTTACAAACCAATCTCGTACGTCCTCTGTCAAAACGGCTCATCTGTGTATAATAAATGCTACAGCAAATTATCGGCTGGCAGCTATGACAGAGCCGTTTTCTGACGCTCCATCCTGTTTTGTCCCCTAAACAGGAACAACGTACGCTTGTGCAGGATGTTGGTGTGATCCCTGACATTCAACAAATTTCTTCAATTGAGTACGCGCTACATATGTATTTTGGTGTATGCAGTTGATGTACGTTTCTCAATTAGCATTTATCCTAAATCCTTCGGAAGAGTGCATGTGGTTGCGAATTCATCATCGAAATGGAATGTACAGGCTGAGTTACTGACAATATTTTATTATCATGGATGATTCCACATTTGATTTAATTTCAAACTGGTCTTTGTCACTGCGAACATGAACGAGCACTATTAGCAAAGCCGCAATAATTCCAGCGGAGCTGGTCATGTTAATGATGACGAAAACGTAGTAACCGGTGTTCTCTTGTCCTGTTGCCGAACATTTTTCTATTATGCGGTGTAGCGTTCTGCGATATTATTCATTACAAAGAGAAAGTTTGTGGTACAAGTGTTGGACAAATTTACACATATTCCGGACTATAAACGATAAGAATGGCAAAGTTCCGGTTAGGGCAAACAAATTAACTTTCGTGCGTCAGTGAAGGTGATAAGCATATCCCGGCGGGATAATCTGGTGGGATAATCTCATAGCTTTCCTCGCTGCACACGGAAAACAGATCCCGCTACAGTGGTTTGCCGCGAATACTGGGTTGATCATCCCACTGGCTCGGCTTTAACTGCCGATGGCCCTTTTATACGCCCGAGCATTATATTGAACCTATAGCTGTACACACGGTTACAAACCAATCTCGTACGTCCTCTGTCAAAACGGCTCATCTGTGTATAATAAATGCTACAGCAAATTATCGGCTGGCAGCTATGACAGAGCCGTTTTCTGACGCTCCATCCTGTTTTGTCCCCTAAACAGGAACAACGTACGCTTGTGCAGGATGTTGGTGTGATCCCTGACATTCAACAAATTTCTTCAATTGAGTACGCGCTACATATGTATTTTGGTGTATGCAGTTGATGTACGTTTCTCAATTAGCATTTATCCTAAATCCTTCGGAAGTGTCCGAGAGTGCATGTGCTTTTATTGTTGCGAATTCATCATCGAAATGGAATGCATTACAATTACAGGCTGTACCACATAGTTACTGACAACATTTACGCACACGGCACAACCAATATTATCATGGATGATTCCACATTTGATTTAATGTCGACCCGGCGACCTTCAAAGTTGCGGTCTCACAATAAAGGCAAACTTACGCGTACAACAATAACTTCACCATCAGCAGGATATACTGTATATATATATACTTGTAGTTGGTCCTGCCATCAGCTTTAAACGAGCATATAATTATGTAATACAGATACACAGTAAGTATTTCTATACATACTAACTGGTATGAAACAGGCGATACTAACTGGTATGAAACAGGCGATTTGCCATATCTGCACACCATCACTAACTCACAATTTTGGCTTTATTATTATAGGGCAAAACTGATCAAAGATTTGGTTTTCCTACTTTTAGCCATATCTAAATATACCAATTCCAAGCTAAAAGAATTCCGCTGTACATGCACGTATTGTACATTCGTATGTAAAACTGCCGGTATGGTACTACATAGTACATACTAACAATAAATTTTATGATTAGTACCTTCACTACCTTGTATTTATATATCATTGTAGATTACAAGCGCAAAAATTCTTCACAACTTTTGAACCGTTCCAAAACCGTTTTATAATAAAACTTTGACAAACTTTCGTAAAACAAAATTGATTATTATCATACGAAGTATGTGTAGTAACAGTATGACTTTTAAAACATTTATTCCTAGCTTTCCGATAATACCGCGCTTATTACATTTTGGAAACTAACTTATCGACTAAAACAGATTCAACGAAATCTATTTTAAATCTTTTACGAAAGACGCACTTACCAAAAATGTTGTTATTGTATCTGCTGGCAGATACGTTACAGAGATACTTGAGTATGCATCCAACATCACTAATTGGAAGATGCCAGATAGTGAAGTTAGCTCCAGTTTTTTTGTTCATCCAGTTTTGAATACGTACTCTATTAAGACTTGCTGGTGGTCGCGATTAGAATGATAGCAAAATCTTTTAGTTCCTGCTTTTACACTTAGATATAATAATTATATGAAGTTAGATATAATATAATATAGTTAGATATAATATATGAAATGAATTTATAGAAAAAGCGCTGAATTAAGTACATCTCCTTCTTGTGACTGGAAGTCTGTACTGGATGATATACGCGTACTGTACTCGTACTGTAATTTGTTGTTTGCTTTCATACTGTCGACTGCACGAATTGTTACGTAAGTATCTACACGCCTTTTTTGAATTGCGCAAAACTGCAGCTTTGTTCGTGTGAAAAATCCGTAATATTACAAGATTCTGTGTATTTGGTATAGGAGTTAATTTTTACTAATAATTATTGTGAGGAGGTCACATTACTGGTACTGCGCGTGTTTGCTCGCTGGACTTCAGTGCTGATCTGTCATGGTAAATTACTCGTACATCATCTGCGGCTTGCACTTTGTCAGTTTCTGGCTGTATCCTTACAGTTACTAGCAGCTTTGAGTCTTTGACTATGAAGTATTCTTGGTCAATGTTTAGCAAGTACCCTGTCACTTTCCGGTTTCCATGCATGGTCCAAGGGTTTATGAAGCCCAGCGGTCAGAACGGTTGAGCAGGTAGTTCTGAAGGGCGTTTTGGTATTTCTGTTCCCTTACAATCCTCCATTAGATATAAATCATGTCAATTTAGTGTGATCTTCTTTCCCGAGATTTCAGGGGGAAACTGGATTGGCGTTATTTAGTACTTAAAATTCAGCTTATGCGGAAGTTAATTTCATAGAATTACTTAAGTAATTTTGAGCGTGTTGCTGTCTGTCCGAGTCAAATCAAGTTCAATCAGCAGCGGCTACTGATCAAACATCAGTTTAGGACAGTCAGTAGTGAATAAAATTACTAAGACGATGATGATGAAACTGAATTTTATAGACTGTATAATTTACTCATTTTCAGTATTTAAGTACTCACCTAACTGGTCGTTCTGACATTTCTCAAGAGGATCTGCTGACGTACCTCGAGGACTCTAAATTTTTTTCATGCGTTTCAAGATTTTTCCTAGAAAACAGAATGATCTATAACCATTACATGGGAAAACAATAGGCATATAATTATATCGGTAAAGTCCAATGTATATTTTTATTATTACTTTAAATTTCGAATTTCGCGTTCAATTTTCAACCACTTTTTGATTCAAAAGTTTCTATATAATTATGTAAACACATCGGCTAGGTATGTACCTAATACTCATAACGGTCCTCATACTCATAATCCTACTCCTATTTCATTTTCATATCGGCTCTCATAATCATAATCATACTTTTGTCCTACCGGTCATCATACTTTTGTTCATAATCATAACTCATACCTTTGCCACTACTCATACCAGTGTAAATGCATTATATTACTTGATAAATAATGTACTTAATTTTAATATAGTAAGTAATAGTCTGTGTTAACTCTACGGCTTCCTCTCTTGCTTGATGTTGCTAACCGCGACCTTTCGTTAACATAAAGGCTGGAATCTGTGTATTGTAGCGAGCCCAGTTACTGTACATGGTTTTCAGATATTTGTATGATGTATCGTTTCAACTTACACCAGTTTAAAAAATGGACAAAAGTGGAGAATGGTAGGTTTTCGTACTCAGTCCGTATTCTCAGTTTTTTATCACTTAGCTTTCATTATCCAGTTTAAGTTTACTGAATTCATTTTGTAGTGTAGTCATTTTCTGATAAAGTGATTTTTTTCTTCAATTTCGGATGAAATAATTTTTACAAGTGGACGATAGTGGACGATTGAGTAGGCTATCGTGGTTTTTATCGCATATACTAGTAATATTTTTGACACGCTAGTGAGCAGTACGAGTAATGGCAGAGGTATGACTTATGATTATGAACAAAAGTATGATGACCGGTAGGACGAAAGTATGATTATGATTATGAGCGCCAATATGAGTATGATTTTTGAATTAGTAGTAGGATTATGAGTATGAGGACCGTTATGAGGTACATACCTAGCCAAACACATCATGTACGGCGACCTGTACTTACGTCAATCAACCAACTAACATACTGTTTTCAGTGAGGCAGTGACTTCTTCTCTTCTGTTAACTTCTGTTTATTGCGATGCTGCAAACTTTCCACACATTTGTTTTATTTTACATTGTTACTGTTATTTAACTTCTTTTTTTAAACTACCCTATAAGATTGTGGCATTAACGAAGTAATGCCTCTACCAGGCTAAGAGCTCTGGAGAGTAACCTTCTTCTTGTACAGTGGACGCTGTGATCGAGTCTTGTCAGCTATGAGATACAGTGAGTACTTACTACTTAGTGAGTCGACTAACTGCCCCAGTCCGTACCGAATCGCTCTCGCGTCGAACACCGCTTCGACTCCTACTTGGCAACATGCGACAGAGCATGTGATCTTTGCGGAGCACTCTGAGACCAGTTTGTTTGTGTTTCCAGTTTTCATGGGCAGTCGAAAGTTCAAAACGATAAAATTTATTGGTTCCGAATTATTGTGATTCATTTTGTAAAGAAACTTGATAAAGCTGAAAAAAAATAAAATGTTGCTGCCAGTAAAAGTTCATTTTGACCAGGGGCAGAGCATTCGACGTTTCAATTTGTCCGTAGAGAGCTGCAGCAATCTCTACCAGCAACTGCGCTGGAAAATCTCGGAAGTTCTGGGTCACGATGCATTTCACCTGTTTTGGAAAGGTAAGAAGCAGAAAATGGTTAGCATGCCATTGAACAGCTGGACTTAATACAAATTTTTGAATACGGGTATTTTTATGTGGTAGATCTGGAAGGTGACCGCGTTGCCTTAGAATCTCAGGACGAACTGGAAGTGGCCGTCTTTGCTCAGGGCATCGATATTCTCAACTGGAATCCCAAGCCTTCGGATGGAGGCTTCGTTCGGGTTTTTGTGGAAGCCAGTGCACCTGTTAACCAGGTGAAAGGGAAAGATTCTAGTGAACAAACCGAGAATATCAGCGGTCCTGTCGGTGAGCATCACATTGGCGTCATTTGCGATGGATGTGATCATCCGATTGTGGGAACACGCTATAAAGTAAGGCTTCTGATGTGTCGGAACTGACTTAAATCGGGAAAAAATTATGGAGAGTAGAGAATAGTCATATTGACTTCGTTCTGTTTTCCGCACAGAGTCTGTGGTCGGCTGTAGCGATTTTGCCCAGCTTCCTTTTGATTTGTGCCATTTGCCACTTTATCCGGTTTAATTTTTTTGCTGGAAGTTTTATTTTACTAGCCGCTTGCCCATTGCATAATTGTTTTTGTAAGTTAAAGATGATTGGAGACATTTTCTGTCTGCGTACTACTTACGTGAATTGTCTTGTTATTAATTCATTAACGGATTTATTTAACGTGGCTGAAGTAATTATGAGCAAACTTGGAGCCGAAGGGCACAGAATGCCGTGCGGCATTCGCAACCTATAAAGCACCTCGTAACGTGTTGTTCGTATGATCTTCATATTTTCTAGCCGAGCGATGATGTCATGGCAAAGCGTTTTACCGATTCAGCTTGAATGGTGTTTCTGAACGTTTTGAATGCTTTGCAATAATAATCGTTGCATTGCATAAGTCAAGGGTTTCAGCACCGTTTTGTTAATTTGTAGTTTGCACCTGAAATATTGTTTTGCGTTTGCAATTTTGAATTACGTTGTAGTATTGTAGTCCCTCTATTTACTGAGGAATAGTTTTTCCTTATTTCGTTAGAGAGATAAATTTACACCCTCTGCAATTTTTTTAAAGGCTTTTTACCCCTAAAATCAGTTATGCTTTTTGTTGCAGTGTCTTATTTGTCACGATTACGATCTGTGTGTGAAATGTGAATCGAGAGGACTTCATCAGGAGCATGACAGCATTGCTATCCGGAAATCACTTGGACATGGTTGGCGAGTAAGTAGCGTAAAGTTGGTGTGATCACATACCGATTGATCGTTGTGCTACTTGTAATACTGTGGCGACGTCACTTCTTGGTTTTTGTGGTAAATGGACTCACAGTGTCACACCGAATGGATCAATATTAAATTTTCACTACTCGTACCCATTGAACTGATTACCACACAAGGGGTCATGTGCGCTTTTATTTTGGTAGAAACTGTTTGCGCTGCGCCATGCGGGTTATGGGAACCCCTCTGCGGCCAAATCTGTGCCGATGACGCTTATCTCTCCGATGGAGATCATCGCTGAGCGCGAGGAAAAGCCAAACAGATCCGTCTGGTCACGCGGTGGAGGACCCACGGTGGAGCTGGATGTAAACATTAATCAGCCCCTGGAAAGTCTGCTAAAAGATGTGCATAATCAGGTAACAAAACCGATAGGCTTTACTTTTGTTATAATGCACACCAAAGTTTTATAGTTAAAAGTTAAAGATCATAGCATCTTTTGACCACGCCGTTTTCTTCATGGCATAACAGTCAGTTAAAAAGGTGTTGCATGTAGAATTTCGTTCTACGGTTTTTGCACTCACATTTGGTGTGAAGGTTTTTCCCCCATATTCTAACATAAAAAACGCGCACTCACATTATTTGGTAGTTGCTGAAGTCTAAACATTAAAAGAACATACCTACTGTACTAGGGTTTATTAACTGGAGCAGATTCCCAAGCGAACATATTATGTACGAACTTGCAATTATGGCCGTCCATTCAGTTCATGACAGTCCGAGAGTGCGAGTACGCTTTATAGAATGTTATTACGACTTCACTGTTCACACTTTCTCACGACCTATTCGATATAATTTTCGCACATAAAATAATTTCTGTTTAACGTTGGACAGTTATTCGCTACCAGCATGTGTTGTTGTTATATCAAAAATATAACTTTTATTTCCCATGGCGCCATCAGAGAGATATTTTTTAACCACATGACGAACATTTGATGGAAAAGTCACAAGTGCATACTTGTCGCAGTGGAAGAAGCCGTGGTTTGTGGTTGATTTCGATTCGTAACAGCATTCGTTGAAGTACAGAATCTGCGGATTAGTTTCTGGTTTACATAGTATCTCTACGTGGCAAGACCATGCCACAATAACGCTTGCAACGCACTGAAAAAGCTGCAGTAATTGGTTAGAGTATAACACAAACATATCTACCTACATCGGTTGTGCGAACGCAAGCAACCCGTGTTAGGTAATTGCGATTTCGTTGTAAAGGTAAGTTACTGCTTGTCCTTTCCTTGCGCTTACCGGTGGATATTGTCTCAGTTTAAGTGTACAGTATTCTTAACCGTATTCTTCATAACGTTATTGAATCTCGCCGAATCTTTTCTAGGTGCAAAAAGTTTTGAAAGGATTTCTGCCAACTCCCATTCCTGCTGTCGTGCCCGAGGCATCTGCACCTGTCGCCATCCCGACTGAACCCGAGCCGATTCCGGATCAGTCTAACCGAGAACTTGCGGAAAGCCAGCAGGAAAGCGTTGTAGAGGAAGTTAGTCACACAGTGATCACAACTGGCGGCAACCATCTCGAAGTGCTGCACGAGAGCGTTGTGGAACAGGCGTTGCCCAAAGTGGAGGAGCGCAAAGCAGTGGAAAGTATCTATCCACAATTGCATACAGCGTCCGAAGAGGCCCAGACAATTAGTGTGGCGGAATCACGGCGAACGGCGTCGCCATCTACTAGCGCCTGCCTGGATTCGGATTCGGAAGTCGAAAATGGTTGGTCATATGTTTCGGCCCAGGATACCGCTGTTCTGGAAAAGAGCATGGAAGAGGTGTGCAAGGAACCCAGCCCAAGTAAGCGAAGTGGACGTTTATACAAACTGGTAGATTTACTTACTGTTCTCAAGATTTGACTGGGGTTGAATGATTGATTGTTGCAGGTGAACAGATTCAGATAGCCCTGCAGGCTATGGAGGAAATGGGTTTCAAAAACGAAGGAAATCTGCTCCGGGCATTGTTGGAGAATTTCGATGGGGATATTGGCAAAGTGTTGGATACCATCCATTACGGCGATAGTTGAATTACTCACTTGTCAGATATAATTCTGTATGTATGGGCTTTTTGACCTTTTTGGGGTTTTTATTCACAGTGGATAACGGCTTTATTTGGGTCAGTTGCTGCGCTTGCGACTACCATTTCATACACTTGTATTGTAAACGTCGATCATATAGAGGCATTCATTTTCAAGTTTTAAACTTTTTCACGAAGCTTTAAGCAATGCCTCGCACGCTGAACGCTTTATTTTTCAGCTTTTCCATTTTTTAGGTCTGGGCAGTTATATTACTCAATTGGTTTCTTATTGATTTGTAAATATACTGATGAAAATGTACCTGGTTGTGCAAAGGTCTGCTTGAATAAATCTCATCTACTGGACTGCTCGTTTCTCAAACGTATTTGTCTTTCTAATTGCGCAGTCTTTTCTATAGTGTCAGCCACATATGCCTAACATTAGAGTACGTTCTGAATCTGGTCGGCTACTAATACGTACCAAATCGGTTTGGAAAATATTTTATGGAAAGCACTCTGAAACTTGAATCAATTTAAATTTGTGCGATTCTCGAACAAACAGAATTTCCCGTTTTACAAAATACAGCAACTTAAACGAAAAATTTATCATTCAAGCCGCTAAGCCTTGTATTGTAGCCATACAAATGAGATCTGTGTACATCTCATTGGCGCTTGTTCTACCGGAAACATCTGAATGTGTACTTGTACAAAATGACCAGTTCTAACGTGGATTTTCTGGACTTCTGAGATTGTCTGAATGTTCTGAAATCATTCTTGCTCTTGCCCTTGCCCTTGCTCTTCCCCAAAGACTTTTCAGCTGACTAAAAATGTTTGTGCACTTTGACAATCGCGCCGGTATCGGTTAACATGTTCGCAATTGCATAACTGACTTTTGGGTAATTCGCTAACTCGTAACATCACCGACGAACCATCAAACCTCGTTTTATCGTGGTACGGGTGGATTAACCCACTCCCACTCCACTAGGGGCAGCTTAGAAGTTGCCGTTGTAGTATTTTTGAAGCGTGTAACCCAAAATATAATCTTCGATATTCGTGCTGCAGATTAATTAAATTTGTCACGTAAAACGTACGATAGGTAAATATAAGTGGTAGAGAAAAATAACTGCCAAATCAGCGGCAGCGTAGCGATGCGGCGATGCCCCATCAATTTACTCCCTTTACCGTTAGCTCGCAATAGCCATTTTACGCATAGATAATGTTCTTCTCCTAGTACAACAATCAATAAAAACAAATTAATGCTCATTTTTCTCGTTTAGTACACTTTTGAGTAGACAAATCAGCAGCAGGCAGTCATTAGGTTTGGAGATCTAGAATGTCCACTGCTGACTATTCAACATGGTGTGATGTGTTCTAAAAAACACTAAAAATTTACATATGTTACCCAGCACCCACTATGTATTCCACCATATAATTATTATGTAATTGTAAAACAATAATTCATATGGTTGCACGGCGCCCGTGCACATTTAATTCGTAAACTGTAAATTCGGCAAAACAGCAATGAGTACAACTGCGGATGATTATCTGTATCGAGTTAAAGCCGAGCAAAAGTAATTCGTGATTGAATAAGCCACATCAGAAACAATAAGTTCGTACTATTCAAATGTTAACGAAAGCGATCTTCATACGACGGATCCATTGTTCATTTATACGTGCATCGACAACGGTAGCGTCAACATTACAGCGACAATCAGCATTAGCCCAACGAAGACCACCGCAAACTCACCATGTAATTGAACGTCGATGTCAAACAAACCATTTTTAAAGATGACCATTACCTCATACAGACTCGGGAGCTTGTAATCAGACTAAATCACGACATGGAGGATTATAAATTTGAATACCGCTCATTTCCATCAGATCATACGACAATCACTTCTGCATTCAGTGGTATTCGGCCTATGCAACACAGTCGTCGTTCTAACAACTGCCCATCATGTTCCTCACCGTCTTTATGTTAAATGGTATTTTATATGGCGTTCTGGCCGGTAGTAGCGCAAACCAGCAGACGGAATCAGCGCAAGCATCCAACTGGGGAACCGGAGAAAGCCTTCCTAGTGCAGTGGCACAGGGCTTGCCATCGATTTTCTCCAACACCAAGTCGGGCGCCGGTGGATTCCCAGGCTTTTTGAATGGTGGGAATCTGCGCTTGACCGGTGAACCGCCCAGCGGTATCCATGGCATTCAAGGGGGATTGAATATCCCGTCCGGAATTAATTCTCTGGGTGAAAGCGGTAATTCAGCATCCGGACAGTACAGCGGTGGAAGTTTACGAGCGGATAGCAATGGTGGCGCGGTTGATTTCACCGGCGATGCCAGTGGGCGGCGCCCCGCCGGTCTCGGCCAGGTTGTTGTCGGCATCCCCCGAGTGAATACCGGTGAAAATCCCGCTGACCAGTTGGGAGCTAACTGGGGATCGTTTGTCGGATCAGGTATGGGAGATATCGGGCGACTGAGTGGGCTGAGCCGAGGGGAAGCGGGCGCCGGCGCTGGCGACCTGACTGGTTTCTTTGGAGGTGGCGCCTTCGGCAAAGGGGACACTGGTGTGGACGCCACTGGTGGCTATCAGGGCGGAGAGCGTCGCCGGGAACGAGAGCCTCAGAGCGGATATACCGGCGGCGCTGAGGGCGTCAGCGGACGGTTTGACAAACTCCCGCATGGTGGACGCTTTGGTGGACATGGTGGTGAACATATGGGTCATGACGGGGCATTTAAGCATGGACTCGGTGAATTCTTCTCCAATCTGATGGATAACATGAATGACGGATATGGCTCAGGTGGTACCAGCACCTGCTCAGGGTTGTGGAGTCGGTTAGTATCGTTTTTCGCCGGTTTGGCTTTGTTGATGCATTGAGCTGAGCTGTACCGTGATTTCAACAAAATTCGATGTGTTTTTTATCTGGGCCAGGCATGCAAAAAATTGCTGCTGTCAGTCTAGAGACCATGAATTAATCTGTCTTGTTTTTAGCAGAATTCGGGTGTTTTGTACGCTTGCACTTGTGCCCAACAGTTATAATAAATTATTATGTTTATACTAGATATAAAAAGGTCGTCAAAATGAGTTTCAAGTTTACAAAAATTGCGTACGTGCGTTTTGCTCTTGCAGAATTGCTAATACTCCAAATAGAAGAACATCGTTAACACTGAAAGTCATTTGTAAATTTGCATTGCTTTGGAAACTATCAGAAGACGAAATTATAAACTGAGCAAACGGTTCACACGGATATTGAATAAATGCACAGAATTATGAATCATTCTCCGTGTATGACGGTACATCACACCTTACACCTGGCTAAACTAGTAATTCCAGAAAACTGAAGTTCAGCTTTTGTGCCTTAGGTTACAGCAGCGACTAATAAATATGCGGTCAGCATTTTTCTGGTATTTTGCCGTGCCCGATTGTTGGCGCAATACTGTATATCAGGAGTTTTCTCGTTCGCTCCACCAGTTGGCATTTCACAGGATACCGGTCCACGGTTTGGACTAATTCGCACACAATCATTGTTGCTACTGTCCGCTTTTTCAACAAGCACAGTTTCTTTTCAGAATGCAGTGTTTCGGTGCACTTTCGCTGTTTTTAGTGGTAAGAAGAGAGAGATTGTTAAAATTAAGATTATAACCATTTATGTCATTTTGTAATTTTTATCTAGTTATCTGTTGGATATCACTCTGTACATGCTGCCGGAATTCTGGATTCGGTAAGCTCCCTATGCGACCATGATTGGCGTTAAAGCGGCTGCTTATCAGTAAACTGGTGGGAAAGGTGTAAAAGCGGAAATAATAAAATACATACCAGGTAAAACGGAAACTGTAAATCAAAATCTGACGACTTCCGTCTCCTTAACAGATCAAAAATGTATTCGGCATTTCATCGAACAAAGAGCAAATTGTAGTGCCTTCTGGCGGCGAACGACTACCAAACTATTACAGGATCGAAGCTTTAGTGGTGCGACTAGAAAATCAAGCGGGCATTAAGAGCAATGGAGGGTCGTGTGACACCTTTGGTATGTGTTCAAAGTGCCAGTACTAGGTTCAGGTTCTACAGAGCCTGCAGAAGTACAGTACTTACTGGTAGTAGTATTGCGATTTCGATACTCTAAATAATTTAACAAACTTTTTTTTCACTTTACAAGTTACTAAACATGTTGTTAACCTCTTTTATGATAAGCTACGAGTCTCGCACAGCGCACGCACGGGCGAAATTACTACTACACAGTAACTGAGCTTAATCGTGATCCTTTGTTCTGCAGGGAAATGTGATCCGATTGTTTACGCTTACATCGATACGTAAGTTAATTAGATTCTGCGGTTTTCACTTCTGATGTAGCTTGTAATGAAGAACATTCTACTGTAAAGGGAGAACTGTAATAGACGATTCGCACGTGCAGTATTTCCGGGCTCATTACTGCACGGTATACTAACAACAGCCCGCACTTACAGCTAGATCAGTAAATATGAGTGGGCAGTAGCCGGCCAGATAGCAAAAATGTGCAAGGGCGGTGACATTACATATTATGTAATTATATCACTTTTGAACTAAAATTTAAGTCAGTAAATAACTTAACATACACTAACTCCACAATCGAAAATATTCCTTAAATGAAATTTAATACGGTAAACTGATTGCTTTCCTGAATCTTGTGCCGTACTTTAATTTGCATCGGCACAGTGCATGCCCTTGTTGTTTATTATTTATTTTACGTAGGGATAAACCGACAAATACTTTCCCTGGATCACTGGACGTCAAGGCAATTCCCAAAATTTTCGAAACAACAAACAACAATAGCCCCGATATTAACTACAAACTGACCAAAGATATCTGCAACAAAGATCCTAATGTACGTAAACTGATCTGATACGAACATCGATCACATTTTTCTCTTTCCATATCTGTATTTATACTCGTATAACAAAATTTAATGGCTTATAAGATGTTATAGAAGTACTGTACAATACACACATACGAACATATCTGACATAATATCTATATTATTGTATTTGCAGACTCAGAAAGCTATGCTACGGGTTCATGTTACGGACCATAACACCATCCTGAGCAACAGGTTGGAGAGCTTGTATTCCAAATCATTAACAAATTAATATGTCGAAAATGTTAGAAAGCATGCTAAGTATAGATATCTGTACATGTATATACGTAAACTGGCTGTGTAACGTATTATTTTATGTGTTGTAGCCTAATTAGTGATTTTGATTGTCCGCTTGGAGGAACTTTAGCAAATGAAGAGAGGTCTGCTACGTGGCAAGACGCGATTTGCACAGGAAAATACCAGGAAAAAAAGATTAGGTACATTTGGTTCTTCATTAATTTCCGACATCCCGCGTTTCTCTTACTACAAACTTTAATTTCGTAGGCTCTCCGCACGAGTAAAAATGTATCGCGTGCCCCAGAATGACTGCACAAATGCCCGACCACAAGGAGAACCGGCAAAAAAGAGCTAATTATTTGTTTAGAGAAAGCATCATCGTGATCGGGCTTATAAGGTTTTTAATAAATTATTGACAGGCAATTTTTAAAAAAGCGGCGCTTTTTTGTCTTAGAGGTGAAACGCTCTGGAGTATTAAGATTGCATTGCTAATATAACTTGTGACTGCACGCTAGCTTGTGGGTGATTTCAGACAAGAATTCTGCTATCAGTGATTAAAGTCATACCGTACATAGACGAACAACAGGGTTTTGGCATGCTTGCTGAATTATTTTACACAATATTACAAGGCTAAAATTTCTAAATATTTAAATTTACCATAGCAGCTGTTGATATTGACACATATTCGCTGATGGCTAAGACTATTTAAAGGTTTTTAATAATCATAAAGACTATTTAAAGGTTGGCTGAGACTATTTAAAGGTTTTAGTTACTCACAAGTCACAGCCAATTAGTTTACCTGATTTTAAACAATGCTACTCACGTCTTTACTCTGCCTGGTCCTCGGCGTACCTGTTTTTGTCACGTGTAAGGCTATACTTATTGTTTTATTTATTTATAACAGTTAAAGTTGTTTTTTCATAATTTTTAAGTTTATAGCGCCGCCCACTGTTACGACAGACCAGTGGCAATAAACATACTTACTGAAAGCCAACTGCAGCAAGGACGAAGTATGCATACCCAGAGATTCATAAAAGCTAACAACAGCTTCCGGTACAGTCATCGGCTTATCCTCTTCGCAATCAGCAGTTTTCCAGGTGTCAACTCGTCCACGGTCAAGTGTCTGACTACTGCCACTTGGTTCTGATCGAGCGCCGTACGTATATAACCGACTGGCGCGATCTATGCGGGAGAGTTAATTGAGTCTGCAGCACTTGTTGAGTCTGGATCACGCAAATAATCTCTTCGCTTCATTTTTTATCACCTGTAGCACTGATATTATGGCTTCGATCCGACTCATCCTTATTCTTTCGCTTCTTGCGGTAAATACAAACTCTGAAGTGTTTTACAGTTACGACACGACCGCTTTCTTTCGATGAAAATGTTGTGAAATATTAACTTTGATGGTTTTGGCAGATCGTCGGGTGGTCACCGGTGTATGCTGGAGGAATTCTTGACTCGGTATGCACATTGCAAACTGGCCGAGTTGCTGCAATTATACTTTGTCGTTTTACAAGCAGTATTTGTAGATCAAAGATGTTTTGGGATTTGGGACAAAAACCGACCAAATTGTTATCCCTAGCACTGGCGCCAGCCTGCCTCCGTTCTTCCGGGTGGAAATGGAGATCGTCCGACTGAGCAATCAAGCTGGAATTCAGGCTAGCGGAAGTTCTTGTGATAAACTGGATGCTTGCGACACCTGGGTTTATTCCTACATCGACACGTAAGATTAAATTATTAACTATAAGTATTGTGATATAGCCCAAAAATAAAAATATAGCTGATCCTCGGAGAGGCGGCAAGATTAATCCTACTGAGAATTTCGTTTTTGTTATGATCGTGATCCATAGAATGCAATAGAAAATTTGGTGATCACTGAACGAAATTTGTGATATTCTGTTGTTTTACGAAGAGCAAGAACCTCAAAACAGTTTCCCGGCATTTCATATTGCATGCAGATGAGTGCTTGAATAAGTGCTTGAATACTATTACCCTGTGGAATATTTATGAAGAAACGGAGAATACTTTATGATGGCTTAAATACTGATACATGCAGTGCATTGTAGTTAAATTGTTAACTATTAATTTGCCGATATTTAGTGAAAAGCCAACCGCGTCATTCCCGGGATCGTTGGCTGTTTCGGCGATTCCCAAGGTGTTTGAATCAGTGGATAACAACAGTCCAAACATCAATGCTCTTATCACCCGCGACATTTGCAACCCTAAAGACGTTGCGGTAAGTGACAAATTGGATTAAAAGGTCTAGTTTTGAAAAGTGATTGTCGGTAAACAGACCGCGGTGTGTATTTTGGAATTTAAGCTATATTCTTGTGGTAACATTGCTGACATTTGTCTGTCAGTGCAACATGAAAAGATACAGGTTAACGTCTTATTACAGTAGTATGTTGAACACTGCAGTTTACGTGTAGGTGTGTACTTGCACCTTAAAATTGCATAATAGTTTAGTAAAAACCTGAATCTGATTTTTGCTTTCTTTGCATTGCCTCTTCGTTACACTTAATGTAGTAATTAGTACTTCAGTCTTGCGTAATGTGAAGATGTTTTCTACAGCACCTTTTTTATTCCAGAATATCAGAGCAGTTGGACGCGTGCATGTGATGGACCACAATAAAGTTTTGTCGGACAGTCTTATCAACGACTTTGATTGCTCTGTTGGAGGAGCGGTTGCCAATAATCAGCAATCTGCAGCATGGACAGACTCGCAGTGCATCGCGAAACATGTGCCAAAAAAGATGCAGTAAGGCGATAAATCTTGAACGTTTCTTATTACGATGGAGAATTTCCAAATGCATGGAATCAGAATTATTGATGAACAGTACAAAATGCTTCTGAATTTGTTTCAGATTGTTTGCCCGCACTCGAATTTATCGAATTCCTCCTGGTGACTGCACTAACGCTCGGCTTTCTGCCACTACCGAAAAGCCGGCCAAAGGTTAACGCGGGGAAGCGATAGTGGGAATTTTGAAATTTGCTCTTTTAATATTGTCTTTCTGGTTTAAATGCAAATATTTGTAATAGAGTTTTTCAAAAATCAAAACCTATTCCAGACGTTTAGCCAACGACTCAGCACTATTTTTGTCACGGCCTTTTTTTGACTTCTACCTCCAGGGTTCTTTCAGTGCGGGGGACGCCGTGTAATTTGTGGCGCGGTCGATGTAATTTCCAACAAAATTTATTTTATATTTACATCACAGTGAGCGTAAATAACAAAAAAAACTTACACACTAGTGTAACTAAATCAAAGCGTAACAGCATAGGGAAAGGAAAAGTACACTGTACTCTGCCAAAAATGTAAATAGAATTTACAAATGAATAACAAAACAACATCTGCTTCTGAAGAATGTGGAAAAATTTAACTTTTCTGTGGATCAGTTAAGCGATTTGAACGCTTGGAGCGAGTCTAATATTTGACCGTCGTCCAGCCATGGCGCCCATACCCCATCCCAGTTGGCCGGGTCAGATCGGAGATCGAAAGCCCTTACAAGCGGCACAGCGGATGTGCTGTTGTATGCCTGTATTTTTTGCGATAATAAGTTTAGCATAGACGGATTGCTGTCCGCGATATTGTTGGTTTCACAAGGGTCATTCAGCAGGTCGAACAGGCAGGCCTTTTCCCAGCTTCGGCAAGGACTGACTTCTGTTCCCGGCTGAAAATTGCATTTTATGGCGGCAGCGCTGAACATAGTCATTGGGTTATCCATGGTTGTTCCTTCAGTGCGGCTCCTGTGCAACAGCAAACAATTCTGTTGATTGTACCGGTCTAAACAATATCAGTAATCGCCACACTAATCGGTATACCGGTAGTGCGGTTTAAAATTTATATTAGTACATACCATCCTGTAAAGGTGTTATCAAATACACTTCCGGCAACGTATCTGTTGAAAAAAATGACAAAATAAAGTCATCAGTGATCAGTCGTATTACAGATTCCTAACTGTACCGCAAAAATAGAAGAATATTACTAACAGTCTGTTAATTGACAACCTAAGCGTACAGTCTTGGTTATATGATTTTTGAAGTACGACTCACTTATATAAACTTCCATCAACATCCCTGTACACCAGTCCAGCTTGACCATTCATCGGGTTAATATTCAATAAAACTTCCGTTCGGGGTCCATCTTCTAGTCCTCGCAGGAGAGTCTGCCACTGACTGACGCCATCCATGCTGTTAAGGTCACCCAAGTTGCCTCCGGCCGCTTCGTACAGCGTGGGCAGCCAGTCAGTAATGTGAACCAACTGGTTAGAAATCCGTCCGCGTTTAGGTATCATGGGAGTCCAGATGAATGCCGGTGTTCGCACTCCTCCTTCGAAGAGAGTCCCTTTTCCATGGCGGAGTGGCCAATTGCTTCCGTGATTGCTACCTATCAGAACAAACCAAACAGCGTGAATGTATGCAAATCCGAACGTAGGTACCACCATTATATCTTATGTTTTCCTTTGTTAGGTTGGTACTGGGTGTTATTATGAGTGCTACGGATAGTACTGCACATTGCTTGGAGACAAAGGTAATTTTACCGCGTAAAAACGTGGCTGCCGGCGGTACCGGAGCGCCGTTGTCCGTTAAGAAGACTATTATGGTGTTGTTCAGTACATCCTTGTTAACGAGTGCATCATATAAGCGCTTGAACGATTCATCCAACGCTTGGATAACTCCTGTATTAACATAAATTATAATTGACGTAATGTTAAGTATTTGGAAAGAAAAATTTTGCTGGGACTGTCAATAATTACTACTGTACTGTGCTTGACTAACCGAGTTGCTTCTTTCGCTCGGGGAACTGGTCGGAGAACTTAGCAACAGGTGATCGCAGGTCAAATTGCGGCATTGTCTGCTGTATAGCGCGGTATTCCGCAAAGGCCGTGTGCGGAATCGGCGTGGAGAAAAACATATAAAACGGTACATTGACATCGGAATCCCGAATTATCTGTTCTGCTCTGATGGTAAAGAGATCTGGCGCATAAGCGTTATTGGTGACATTGCTCGGCACGGCGATGCCTTGATCCCGCAGCAGTCGACCGGATGTCGGGTAAGGTGAAACCTACATGTCAGCCTTATTAGTTAACTGTTCTGCTTTGCATGTTTTGTGACACCTTAACAATAATGTAAACTGTTTTATTTAATTTGTTGAATTTATATATATAGATAATTTTAGAGATTACTATAGCTAATAAGGAGGTTTCTGTTGACGGTTTACTTACCCATCCTTCCGTGTAGTTGAACCAGTTCATGCTGGATGCCGAGAATCCATACCAAGTGTCAAAGCCCCTGTTATCTAAGCGAGACAAAAGCGATATTAAATTACTTTGCCTTAAAATACACGCTAACGTGTAATACTAATAGTATAAAACCATACATACTTGGATAAAATGCTCTCTGTGAAGATCCCAGATTCCACTACAAAGAATAAAGCGGTAAGCAGTTTGATCAAATACTCTGTAATACTTTCACGAAGATATTTATTGTTAATCCTTGGTTTTTTTTACTTCCTACAAAGTCAATAATTATGGAAATTTAGGTTTCCTCTTTCTACCGAAATGAGGTGGAATCTGAGATATATGTACCATGTCTACCATATCTGTAGTGTCGTAATAATCGCATACTCTTCCGTAAGATATTTATAAACTACATTCTGGTTTACACTTTACGGTACCTTTCCTATAGCATGTGTAGAGTATCCCATTTCTTTGAAGTATTGTGGCTGTATCTTTAAATTAAAGGGCAAACCCCACGGTTCACCGGATTCAATAGAAGCCGACTGCATTCCTGGGACAAGAAAAACTGAATATTACAAGAGAAATCTTAATTAATTGTTAGATGAAATATTCGTATCTCATAAATCTACTGACAGAACTGCATAACACAATCCCAAATTTAACCAACTGTCTTTGTGCATAGAACTAATTGGTGGTTAAACTACATAATTAGTCGAATGCTACATAATTAGTAAACGTAAATTTGTCTGGCCGGCTACTTTAAAAGCTTACAAGATCATAAAACGGCTTTTATTACTCGTACAATCATCAGTAGCATACCTGTTGTGATAGCATGTTTAGCAGTGAAGAAAGACGATCTGGATGGACTGCCCAGTGAATTAGAATAATGACGGTTTAGAATTATGCCATCCCAAGCCAATTTGTCGATGTTTGGTGTGGGCGTCTGTATACTGCCCTCTGTGTAGCTCAAATCGGCATGACCCTAACAATAACAATAAGGTAAAAAAATGGTCAACCTGTAACACAGAACTAAGAACAACGGCGCAATATTTACCAAATCATCGGCCATAAATATTAAAATATTTGGTCGCTTAGCTCCAAAATTTTGCGCAATCGGTATCCGAGCATTGTGAATAGAATTTATCGATTTGTCAAAAAATTGTCCATTCGATCGCAGAACAAGTACCAGCAGTATAGTGCTCAACGGTATTCTTAGCAAACGTAAGTTTACCATTGTCGGTATTTTAAGTAAAATTAGACTGGTTTAAGTCCTCGAATCAAAAATTTCAAAAATACCAAATCTGCGGCAAATACAGAAGATAGACGGACAGTGAATTTCAATAGGCAAGAGTGATACTGGTTCCCACACACGACGGTTATGTACTTGTAACAGCGTTTTCAATATTATTTAGGAGAAAAGACGGAAGTTAAAATATTAAGCACTGCGGTCAGTGCGAAGACTTGTTGCAAAGTATGTCACAAGATTTCAGTGTCACAGATGACCTTCGGCTACTTGACCAAATGTAACTATATCACTTTTATAACGCAGATTAGACATTTTCAGCTCAAATTCTGAATGAAATAATGTTGATTATAATAATGTTCGGTTAGGCGCAAGCTAGCCTAATTTCTTAAGAAGATGTGCATATCTGTAGCTGAAAAAAAGTCTGAGCATTTAGCAATCGGCATGGCATAATTGGGTTTATAAGTGTAAGATGCTGGCAGCAGTTTGAACTTGACCTACCTATGTATTGCTAAATGAAGAACAATTAAATACAATTTCACACAACGCATGAAACAGCTAACAAATTACGCATCGGTCAGCAACAAGCCACTAGCTTGTGGCGCTGCAGAAAAAATAGAAAATAGGCCGGTTTGGCATATTGCGGTCAGCTATACTACACGCAAAACTGGAAAATATTAAAATATGCTGCACATTGCAAACAGGTCTTATAACCGTTCTCTAGTAGAAAGAGTTAATTCTAATAAAACAATCCTAATTAAATTCACCGCTGAACATCGCCTGGTTTTCATCTCGTTTGCAATTTACTGTGCATGAGAAATGTCCACTTCGATTCAGTCACTCATTATTTGCCTGTGCCTCGTGTATGTTTATGGTAAGAGCAATAGAACAGAAAGTCTTTCGTTAATTATCATTAATGAACTAATTAAAAAATTAATTAAAAAATTTGAAAAATTTAATTAAAAAATTTGAACAATCAAAACGAATACATTGTGGTTTATAGCAGTAACGTTTGTATGCAAAGCGGAAGTATTAAACCCAAATCTGCACAAAAGCTCCCTGTGAAATATTAAGGCTTTTGTTATGGCTCTTATTGAGGCTCTCAGTTATCGCTTTTATTATGTGTATGGTTGAATATGATCAATTTAAATATTCAAGAAACTGACAGTCTTTAAACATTTTTTAAATCTTGCTACAGCCGCAAACAAAGGGGAGCCATGTGATTCTACTGCCCAGTGCGCCGATACAGGATTAACTTGCTCAGGACGCCGCTGCGTATGCCTGATGGATTTAGGAAGAAGAGCTGCGCGAGCCTGGGTAAAAAAAATTAGATTGTCTCAGTAAATTACACAAATTTATAGTTAATTGCAAATATTTTATGTCAGTTTTTGCCAGTACCGGTAGAAAGCCAAAGTGCCGAATTACTTAAATAATCGTGGTTTCGCTGCCGCAAACAGTCTCTAACTTTTTCCGGGCAACACCTGTTTGACCCTTGTACGTGCCCTTCCCTTGTTCATATCATCACCTTCTCAATGTAATGTACACATACACCGCCATTCACCGTCGACTCCGCATACCACCTTTTAGTTAAATTTAGCAATATTCCTTTAAAGTATTTTAGGTGGAATTAAATATTGATAATTATTTAAATTTTCAGGCTTGTAACAACGTTCAGGACTGCTTGTCCATCAGTGGAATAGCAAAGCGTACGCTTGAAATTACTGACCTAAAGATTACCAGAGATCCAGTGTGCACAACTTCTTCCTCGTGCCCGAATTTACCGGGGACGGTTGGTTACTGCGACGTTTTAATGGCTGCCAAGTGATTGTTGACTGCCATTTTTCATGTGTGTTAGAATTTTAAGAAAAGTAAAATGTGTGAGTGTTGTTGTTACTTGTGGATGTTACTAATATTATCTTGTTTACAAACTAGCGGTACCACAATAGTACGCAATCTGCGGTGTGTTGCAGGATAGCAAGAACGTACGCATCCGCCGGAATAATTGTAAAAATAAAATTGGCACGTTACAAAAATTATGCAGCGTTGTCCAATGTCAAATGTGTGTACAATAAGATTTTCAGCCAAGATTTTCATACAGTTGCTGTTGTACCTATATCTCGTGTTTGCCACTTGCAACAGTAACGTTCTAAAAACTAAAGATCATAACCGATTACATACTATGTCCGTGTGGTAATGAAAAGAAGTGCCACCAAAATTATTGCAGTTAAAATTTAAATACTTGGACAAAAACTTTGCCACTCGGTTTGATTTCGAATACAGTACGAGTTGCCGATCCAGAGATCATCGGCGAAACCGGCGAAAGCGAACCGTGATCGTGCACGCGATGCGATTCGATAGACTGCAAGGCCAACAGACAGTTTTATACCAGACAGCCAGTGTTGTGCAGTATTTATCCATCAAAAGTCAAGCCGTATTATTGTTAGCACACTCTCTGTACAATAACCATAATCGGAATCTGGAAATCCTTTTATGGAAAAATTTTCAGAATAATTATTGGCTGATCGATTTTTCGCCACTGCTGATTAGTTTTCACACTGACATATGTGGTGGATTGTTAACTGATGATCTGGTGTAATTAAAATTATCCGCTAATTTAAAACTGATGCAAATGTCCCAGGAATTCGACACACAGTAAGTGCACTGTGAAGTGGGGTTAAGTTGTGCATGGAGCTCTAAGGATATGCCTGCATAGCATCTTTGGTTGTGATTATTGACGCGAACAAGGCATGTTGCCCAACTAACTGGAAAATGAAATGGTCGTTAATGTTAAACGACAAAGCGTCCTATTTAGAGAGGATGGAGACTTCCAGATGGAGCCTGACAGTGAGGAAGAGGACGACAGTTCGGAAAAGCAAGCCAAGGATCCTGATTATGATTTCGACGACCAGGAATCGGGCGGTGGTTTTACAGATGACGATGAGGAAATTGATGACGATTCCACCATGCAGAGCACAAGTGTAAGTAATTCACGGTGCATCTGCGTAACGCTTTTGCAATGGTATTGCAAAGTAACCTTTCCCAGGAACCACACCTTGATCAGATTGGGTCCTCGGTAAATGATATATTTAAACGACACAGAAACGTGTACCTTTGACCGATGCTCGCCTGCACGAAACTAAATAAAGTAATTAGGGTCATTAAGCGATAGGCAAATTTAATATGCTTGAAGATCCCAGAATTGTCTGTAATCAGGATATCGCAGAAGCTGCGCTCAACAAGGATCAAGTTTGGGATGCCAGTGGAGAATCTTCGCAGCAGCCGACGACCCCAGCGATACCTTCATCATCACGTCATAAGCACAGAAACTCGTCCGGCGGTTATTCCATTGGCGTAGTGACCGAGTTGGTATGTCATTAATTAACACTATTATTTTTTCACTTCCAGTTTTCTGGGCTTAGCGATCTAAATAGTGGCTTGATTTTTCCAAATAATTTATCGAAATATTTATTGAAATATTCAGTGCATTATTTAATAGATGGTATGTTTTTCTGTAATTTTGGATATAGTATTACTATGAATTACTTATTTTTTTATATATTTGTATACCATGTTGATTATAAAAGCATTATGTACTTTTTATTGTATTTTGAAAGATTCCTTGGCTGAAAAGAAATTTCCGGTTGAGCCGAAACGCCAACGCCATAATGCCACGCAGTGAGCTGTATGCAAAGTATGAGCGGTTTTGCGAGCAGAACAATTTAACAGTGGTCAACTCAGCGTGCCTGGGAAAAGTTTTGCGCCGTAGTTTTCCCGGTGTGGACACGAGACGCCTTGGTCGCCGGTAGCTGATTCAACAAACCCACGCACAACCATTTTTATTTCGGTCAGAGTCGATGCATTAACGAACCTGTTTTCTGATCACAGAGGAGAGTCCAAATATCACTACATCGGTCTCGAAGTTAATCCCGATGGAGAAAACACTGACCAAACTGAGCTCAATACACCGACGGAGAGTTACACCAAACGCCAAGTCGCCGTGGAAAGATGCAAACCCAGACGAAATCTGCCTCATATGCCGTAGGTGTAATTTTTCTCGTAATTTTAATAGTTTATTAATTTTTTATTTCTTAGGAAAAAACGCAGTTCGCTGTTTCGGATTTTGGCAGCGCTAGACGATAATGACCGGATCGCGGTTGTAATAGCACAGCTGCGAGAAACCATTCACGCCATAGGTGCACAACACACGTCGTTCCTTCCGGATGTGCTGCAAGGCGACGAGAAATGGACACATGTTCTACCGTTGCCAGAACTGCAGGCTGAAGAAATGTCGATGGGGTTTAAAAATGAAGATGTGACTAATTTTGTGGCTTCGTTTCGTATTCATCTGGGAGTAAGTACGAAATCCATGCAGGCATATAAATAAATGTTCTCTAGAAATTCTCACTACTTTTATGGAAGTTTGGCATTTAGAAGCACCGCAGCGCAACAAACTAAACAACCTTAGCCTTAGAAGTTTTAAAGCGTGATATGTTAAAACTTATATTTTGACATATTTCAAAAATTTACCCAAATTAACGAAATACAGACGAAATTGACGAAATTCTGTACTTCTACCATGCAGCTATCTATATATCTTGTCGTTTACAGATGGTGGCATACTGTATTGTTTCTGGAGCGTTCTTATCCGTTCCAGATTTATTCCACAATTTCTGGATTTCGCGAACGACCAGGTAAAAACGAGGGAGAAAGCACGAACAATTTTCTATATATCGTGGTTACAAACTTACAGTTAATATGTTTTCAACAGTCTACAGGTTACAGAATGCGTTAGTGGTTTCGATACCACTGTGGTCAATGCTTTGTATGGATGGGAACTTCTGCAACATTTCGTTCGCGACTGCTATTTGGGTACCTACAAAAAGATTGAAGAGCAGTTTGCCACCCGATTTGAGCTGATTACCGGCGGTATGGTTTCATATGGTATAATAACCGAAATTATTTGGGTCTCATACAACACATTGATTAGGCGCTTTTACCGGCATTATCGGTGAATTTGCCCAAAAATTCCCAGGATGGATACGCAGTGCAGTGGGGGATTTGGATAGTGACATGCTGCACATTCTGGTATATAATGGTAGTTCAAAGTTTGTTTCGTAAAAATTTTAATAAACTACTTAGCAAATAACCTATATAGAGATCGCTGGATATCGACAGATCAAGTACTATTTGCCTGATATGCTATGCTGGATATCTGAAACTGCTGGTTGTAATCAACGAGCAGTTCCTAAATTCCAGTCAGCTAAATAAGTATATCTACAAGTTAATTAGAAGAGTAGATATTAATGTTTTATACAGCTGCTATTAATTTTATTGTAAGATGCGCGTTGATATTCCATTTTGTAAGATAGGCATTAATATTTCAGCATACCTCGGCCCAAAGTTTATCTTTCCGGTTGAAAAAAGCAATCGAGCTCCATGTTGCATTTGCAAAAGTATATTGCATGCAGAACGATCCAGCTAAAATTGAGTACATGCGCCAGATATTCCAGCAAGTGTTACCGGCATGGAAACAGGTATTATAAGAAGTTTTTAAGTTTAATAAGCAGGTTTCTGTTTGGTATTGAGCCCATCTCATTGTTAATCGCTTGCGCTCGCTTAACTTTCGCATTTTTCAGCACATCGAAGTCGGTTTTACGGCGTTGCAACAGGAAGAAATGCATGACGCTGTGATAGTGACCACTAATTTACTATCACAGCCGTGTAACCTTATGGAGTGGCGATTATGGATTACCGATACCTTTCAAAAGAAATTAGCAAGTGTAGAGACAACTAGTGTTGAACTGGAATCGAACGCGATTTTGGAAAATAAAATACAGGCAGTTCGCGACATCGTGCTTATGTGGACCATAATAAGGTCAGCAAGCGTATCATACTGCAGAAGGCATGGTTAACTGCTTCGCTGTCAGTATGAATTCAGTATAGAATTACACGTATTCACTTTATACTTAAAATCAATTGTGTTTTACGTTTTTCTTATGTGCGCTATGGGATTATTGTAGTTTAGGTCCAGACGCTCGTACAAAGACGACTTACTTGTGTACTGGACAATGGACATACCAATTTGAATATGCAGAATTACAGAATTTTGTTAATCATTTGCGTTAAAAGTCTATTTTTTTGCAGCAAACGACTTATTGCAATTGCGAGAACGGACGTAAAGCCGATTGATAAACTAACTCGTATTGAACCTTTTTTCTGGTTGATGGAATTTTTCCAAAAATTTGTTAAAGCAGCAGCAGAAGACCTGATTGCCAGTATTCAGAATACCCCTATTATCTCCCAGCTTTATCAGGTTTGTTTACATATCTCATATGCGGGATCTTTGATATTATGGATCAAGCGAATAATAAAAAAATGAAAAGATTGACTGATGTTTAGAAAAAAATTATGCACACCGATGCAAAATTACTATCAAAAACTGTTGCAGGTGCTGTCGGAGAATGCCAACAGCAACGAGTCCGCTAAGCCTCACGATGTGCATCTTTCCACTCTAACAAATTTCTGTGTTGAAAATTTGGAGCAGATTAATCCTAATAATCAAGATTTCTTTTCGGCATGTGCAGATATAAAATCGTATATCCTGCGTGATGCAGATAAAATATGTTTAAATGAAAAAGTTGATGAGTTCATTGATAAAAATACCGCGAATGATCAGTCAATTCTGGAACAGCTGCTGCGTTAGTATTTGTGCTAGTGATTTTATTTCCCAGTAAGGGTTTTTCATTTTTTTCAATAGATGAAATTATTTGCGCAAAAACAATAAATTTACAATGCGGCGGAAATGTGCCAGTGGTCCTGAATCCTGATGTTGCTGTCACTTACTATCATCTCAGAAAAGCGGCAGTAGATTTGTGTTTTTAAGGTTACAGTGAAATCGTTGTCAAATGCTAAGCGAAGCATAACCGTGCGCGCCGTAATGCATTTGGCTGGCGTTGAATTTGTCTGTGAAGTGGATGGAAGTGTGATGGTTGTTTGCAGGAGCCGTTTTACATTTGTCATGGGTGAATATAAAAATAATAAAAGGCACTAAATATCGCTGTGCGAGCCGGCATTTGAATGGGCCTTCGGACGCCGGCTGTACGAGATGGGAAGCAACTTGACAGATTCAATTATTTCTGACAAATGGAAGGGCAATAAATTTATCAAAATTTCAATGGTAGGAACGGGGTGTCAAGTGGACTGGACAGGGCACACTTTATGAAACGGAAATATGGACCATTATTGCCATCAAGTCGAGCAGAAATTAAAATTTAAAACGGCCACTGTTCCCATTCATGTTTAATGACAAGAAACGCACCACAACTACGACACTGGGATATATCATTTATACTGCTAATGACATCTCTCGCTGTGCTATATTTACGGAAAGTGCCGGCGATACAAACATAACCTCGGAAGGAAGCCAGTTGTTGCCCTGTTCTTATTTAGGAAAAATAATAGCTGAATTAACACTGTTTGGCAAAATGCTCTGATGAAAACTGAAGTATTCGACGTATCGGCACAGACTGTACAATGCAGCTGGTCTTGCCGCACGCTACTTATCCCAGGTTTTCCGCTACAAAAAAAATACTCCCGTAGCTATTGCTGTTTACATTTATATTGTTCATTGTTAGATCTCGTACGTATTCATATTAACAACTTCCGTGGATGAGTTACATATCTGCACCAGCACAAAGACTAAAAGATGTACTTATGGTTTATGTTAGGATGGTTTAATTAAGTTCCAGTACACGCGGCACGTACTACAAATGCTTACGAATAATAACTTGGAACAGGATAGATTTTGAAGAGTTAAGTGTACGAGTGAGACTGAAGAATGTTTCACCGGCAACACTCGCCTTTATAGTATGTTATGTCCTGTGGTAAATTTTTGGCATGTTTTGTTTGTCAAATTTGCATCGTGTTCATTATTACTACTTTGATCGGTTGTGATCATCGACGAACTGGAAGTGCCTGGCTGAGCCGGCTTTGCGTGACGATGGTGCGATAAATCTGACAGGAAGAGATTGTAAAGGGGTTATGATTTATAGATCATATTGTCACACACTTGACATTCAAAGTGCTCGAAATAATACTTACTCATACACGTCCTACAAAGCCTGAACGATATATAGTTATTGCTCGCGCTGCACTAGCTGCACTATGTATATGTTCATTTCTCATCGATGTGCGCATTACAGCGTCCAGTATGGCACTTTCATAATCGACTCAATCGATCGACAATCTATTTGTCAGTGCCTAATGTGCTGAATATGAAAAGGTCACATCTCGCTTCCTTTCGGCCTAAAGATGACTATATCATCTGGAGACTAATGCGTATTAACGAAATGGTTCACAAGACGCGTAACAGTGCAAGGAGCATGCCGGAACGAGAAATCCATGATAAATTCATACGGGAATTTTATGTCATGACATTAGGCCCGATGTTGCAGCAAAAGAAGTAAACTAGGGAATTGCTGGCAGTGTGTTCGATCAACTTCTTGCGCATACCCCGAGATAACTGGGCAATAATGAGATATTGATGCTTGATCGCAGGAGAAAAATCATCAAACATGTCAGTTGTATAGTGTGCCGGTTTCTCCAAAGGCCTAGAATTATCTCTATGCATTGCCAGAGCACACCCATAATTTTCCTGTTATTACATGGCACAGAATTTCACCATGCGCCGGGCCATCCATATATGCACAGCATTCGGATGGAGCGGCATTCCCCTTCCCCGTTGGTAGATGAGCAGTCATTCCCTCAGGATAACCATGAATAATGTTGCTCGTTATCTTTTGCCTGTGAAACATCTGAGACTGATGGTCCCGTCCATATACACAATATACATACATCATTGTGTGGACATACATACATATATGACAATATATTGGCCAGTCGTAGCGGGGCACGTTACAATATTTACGATCATATATTGCGCAATGGGCTGCAGCGCTTGTCCAAAGGGACTTGTATTTGTCCGCAGGGAAGGGCGAAATGATGGGGTTAATGTCAGTATAAAAAGGGGTCAAAACAAGGACTACCCGCTGTGTATGGAAAGTGAATAAATTGTTCAAACATTTCGCCAACCTCATGCAAACATTTCACAGTTATTAATTTATTGCCCCACACTAATTTCTTATCTACGGATCCCACAAGGTTTATGAAAGAAGACGTTTGATATCGTATTCGTATCATGATCAGTAGGCAGTAGCTAATCAACTTTTTTGTGTGCCGGCATTGTATTTGCATGCGTTCTGGAGCGAAAGCCAAACCGTAAGGATGCTCTCGGTAACCTTCCTGCATTCTGTTGTACACACTTGTTCTTCATGAGCAAAACTCACGTTACTGTACAAGTATCGGATATGCTGAGACGCTTTTTTAATTGAATTCCATAAAGCATCAAGGTAAACTTATTAGTCGAGGTAAAAACATAAGAAGTATAAAAGCATCAACACCAGCCACTATTCCACAATTTGCTAACAGATGCTGGTTGCACAGATCAAAGGAAAAATGCCGAAAAACGCAGGAACATGAAAATGCAGGTGAATTAAATAGTACAACTGGAATATTTTGAATAGAGAAAAACCTGCAACGTTTACTGGAAAAAAAGGTATCAATCTGATATCTCCACAGTAACGTAACATAGCAAATCCAAAAACATTTCTCTTATAACATGCAAGAAAAAATAACATGTCTATCAAAAACTGAGAACAGCCGGTTTCGTTTAAGATCAGTCTGCAAGCAGATTTAAAGAGAAGACCATGCCAAAACACTTTTCTGTGGAATAAACGTAAACCTTCTCCAAAAAGACATAGTTCGTTCACAAAAACCGCTATGCTCGATTATATGAACACAAACAAAATGTCCAACTTTTCCAGAAGTATGCCTAGCTCATATACTATTTTGACAGAGAATCCCTCTGCTCATTTTCCCATCGCAGCGCTCATTCAGTTGGAACTGGACCGTGTTCCATTCATTTCTATTCCGCTTTTGCCGTTAATTCCCAATGGTGTACTTTTTTCTTTCCGGAAGACGTATGCTCTGCCATTGCACACCATTATTCTAAAACAAACACCAACAAATAAATGTATTACGATTATAATGGAAAGAAAGATCAATGAGCTTGAACCAAAAGAGGGAAAAGGGCAAATTACAATCCCGCCTGAAATGAGCCTGATCACAGAAAACAGTAGACAGGCAAAATCCATTTTGCTAAACTCATACTGACTGTTTTCGGGCAAGTTAATTTAATTTGAAAGAATAGCTTTTAACAACTTCCCTCAACTACACACAGTGGCGCCACATATGTATGCTAGCCTGTCCAATTTCGTGAGCTGCCAAACAATTTCTCCATTTGGCCCGGAAATGGCTAATTACCATAAACATTCCCGACAATATTAATGCTTCCACATGAAAAGACTTCATTACGTGTGCGAACCGGGGCCGGAAAACAAAACACCACAATTTACGGCCCCCACCCGTACGTTAAAGCAGGTCCTGATCGATTCCCTACCCGGGGTCAATTTTTAACGTTGCTATATGAAAGTTGGGAGATGCGAAATGGGATTTTATGCAACGGGAGAGAGAAATGTCTTTTCTCCCAGCTCACTCATCGATTCCGGACGCGTACTGACAAACTCATCGTTGGGGCTAATAATAAGATGTGTCCTGACATGAGAGCAAGGATATTGTCGTCTGAGTTTTGAAAATGAAATGACTAAATTTGCATGTGAATAGCCCTGGCGAATTAATAAGGTTAAAAATGTCACAGCTGCCGGGTCGGCACTTGTGCCCCCATCGTGCTTTCCAACTGTCTGATGTATACAGACACCAAGCTTGCTGAGGCCCCCATCTCGCAGCCGCCGGGGTCAAACTATTTAGCCCCGAAAACAAGAAGCAAACTTTCATATCATAATTTCATTTGTCGAGCGATTGTTCCTAATATGCCACGACCGTGGCATATTACTTGAACAGAAATCCTGAACAGCACGTTTTTAACATTTTGAATTTTAATGTGCTTCAAATCTTTTAATGAGAGCAAAAAATTAATACTATAGGTGATCACTTCAGTCTTGTATGCCAGTAGTAACTTTTCGACTTCAGTCTGCTTCATAAAGGTTTAAATGCCGAAATAATTACCTCAAGTTATTTCTGTGCGGTTATAGGTGCAGTCATGTCGGGCACAGGAGGTCGAGTTGGCGAAACGGTACGACTATCCGCTGACTGCCGTGATTCGGGCGTATCAGAACTTCTTGGACTCCTAGAACCGGCAGAATCTCCGCTTTGCGGCTCACTCATCCTTTTCACCATCCCATTCATATCAAAGCCGGGAATATTTCCATTCAATCCAAAGTAATTATTCGGTCCCATACCGCTCATTGCCGCCTGGGCGGCGTAAAAGCTGGCCGCGGCCGGATTTCCCATGCCCATTTTCCCCGCCATCCCATTGAACATGGCAGCATAAGGGAAAAACAGGGGATTCGATGGCAGTCCCACCGAAGCACCGTAGCTATCCAGGAATTTTCGTTGCATTTCACTGAAATTGGGCACACCGGGATAAAAACCAGGAAGTGGCGGTCCCTCGCCGGCCGCCGGGTTGGGCATGACGGAGTGGTTCATGGGAAGAGGCAGGGGCTGGCTGGACAGTTCTCGCTCGGGTGCATGCCGCTTGGGCAGTGGCATGTCCGGATCGGAAGAGTTATTCCGCCGGCGAACGGTTGCCGCTCCTGGATCACTCCACATATGCGTGCCCATGTGCACTTTCAAATTTCCCTTCGTAGTAAAAGCCTGGACAAAAAATAAATAAATTTGTTGCAATTTAAAATGCAATTATGTGGAATATGAGAAAATCACATATTGTTTATGGTTGATTATCTGTCTACTTTCTGTAATGTGCAAGCTTTTAGTTTTTTTTAATTTTTCAGCTACCGCATCAAATTCTCAGAAAAGTCTGATACAAAATATGTATTATCTCTTTTTCAAAGACAATATATTATGCAGAATGTGGATGGACGGTAGTTCATGCAAACTGATGAGATAATAACGTATATTAGTTCAGAGCGCCACAGGAAGAGAAAACTTACGCGTCCACATTTGTCACAGACGAAGGGCTTCTCTCCGGTATGCGTTCGCATATGAATCTGGAGTGCACTATTACTACTGAAGGGTTTATCACACACATGACAAACATTCTTGGCATAGCCACTTCGTCGCTGGCTGGCGATCGATCCATTGCTGATATTGTTATTATCCTTGGAGATGATCGAGTTAGAATCTTCATCCAGCAACGGCTGTTTGGCTGCTGCTCCACCAATTCCGGCTACAGCCGCAGCACTACATGCTGTTAATACCATCGTGTCCACTATCGGTTTCTCTTCCAGACTGGATTCATCCGCTGACTGGGTATTATTAGACGACTGAGATTGTCCAAATTGCTGTGCTGGTAAGTCGCGAATTTTGTGGGTTAACATATGCTGTTTCATATTTCCTTTGGTTGAGAACCCGCGGTTGCATGTGGGACATGTAAAGGGTCGCTCCTTTGTGTGGCTGCCAATATGAGTACTAACAATTTAGAAATGCCATGGTGAAATTCACAGATGCAAGCAAGGCGCGCACAATACAAGAAGCATACAAACACAAGTAACAAGACATGCGGAAACCAATTAAGTAGTGAAAATGTTCTCAAACAGTAAGGTACATGTTTGTACTAATGTATCGTAGAACTAAACGAAAACAAATTCAAGTACGATATTGTTGTTATTTTATTTTTTATTTTATGATACTTCATTTATTTTCCTGATTTGGTATGTCAACATTAAAAAATAATTACCTTCTAAAATGGATCTGTAAAGCACTCTGACAAGCAAATGTCTTGAAGCAAACATGGCATGTCGTATTTCTTGGTGAGGTCAATCGGGATACATTATTCCCCGACAGAACTCCGTCGGGAGAGATGGGCGTCGCTGATGTGCATCGCGGTGTCAGATCGAGTGCGCCGTCGCTATTAGACGCCGATCTCATAACTGGATCCATTAGGCCGCCGTTCGTCCGGCTCATATCGTTAAAGCTCGGACTATCCATTGCGTCATCCAGATCACCGTCATCGTTGCTTTTCACAGACTGAGTATCGCTATCCCCACGGTCCAACCGATGACCACCACCATTGTGAGGGGCCGAGAGATCCATAGGAAATCTAAAAAGCAATTTTTGACAATTTCCGCTCTATTCTGTAGTTCTGCTACAAATATCGTAAGAAAATATCAGCAGCTCCCTAAATTTTTTAGCAACTTTTCGAGTAAAGTACTCGTACTAATATCTATATACCATCAAAGGCGTGTACAGACTATACTCACCTTTCTTCGTAATTGTCACTTGCACCGCCAATTCCACCAGTTGTGCGTTGAATCAATGCTTCCAGGCTTTGAAACGAATTCTGAGACGAAGGCGGCTGGGTAGACCAATCGGGACGTAAAGCCATGCTGTTGATATTTCGAAACCCATGATGAAGAGCGCTTCCGAACACGGATGATACTGAATTCGGCATCGTGCAGCCGGCGGATTCAGGAGTCATACTGTGTTCAATCATGCGCTGCTGTAGCGCCATTACACTGGGAAGCTCCGGTGGGCATTGTGCCGCTGGACTGGCCGCTCCAGCCAGCTTGGCCCGATGGACACCCATATGAGTTTTTAGATTCCCTTTTGTGGTGAAGGCGCGTCGGCATAATTTGCATCGAAATGGACGTTCACCGGTGTGAGTTCTACCACAAAAAAGGTATTTGAAAAACACCAATGCCACATAAAGATTGGAAAAAGAAAAACTACATTCATGCTCGGAGAAGCCATTGTAATAAATTATAAAACACAGATAGTATTCTATTATATTAATTACGTGTTCTGACTCCCTGAATGTCATCGTTAAAAAAAAGCGCGAAGGTAACAAAATTATTTATCAGGACAACAGATGTAGCATACAACATACTACGGTACAAACCTGTAATGCATCTGCAACGCACTCTTGCAGCTGAGCACTCGTTTACAGATAACACATTCATGTGGATCGCGCTTATCATCCATCCTATCCGCCATATCCTGCAACCGGGCACTATCCAGAGGCGTGGCAATCTCCATCAGCTGTTCCCAGGCATTGTCGTTACTACCGGGTGTGGGCAGCAGAGCCATGTACAGTGCGGGGTCAAGTGGCTGTCCATCCGGCCCTAACGGCGTCATATCCATATCGTCTGCCTTCCCGTCATCGCTGAAATCATCTTCCATCACTTCCTCCTCTCGTAGATGCCCATTCATGTCACTTCGCTCCACCGCTGTATCCTCGCCACCGTCCGAGAAGGGTGATCCCAGATCCGATAGCTGGTTCGGCTGGGATGACGGCTTAGATTTGTCATTGACGGCTTTACAAGCGCCAATATTCTGTCAAGAAGCGAGAAACACGGTTCAATGCTGATCAAATAATTAGATTCGTTAATACGTAGAGGCCGGATGTTAATTATTATTACAGTACCAAATTTTCATCCTGTACTCGGTTCAACCGGCCAATGTCGTTACTTGTCGAAGGCATATTCTGCAAGAAAATAAATAATAATTGTCTCAGCTGGCATAATTAATATATATTCAAATCTGAATGTCAACCAAATAGCAACCAATTCCTCATAAAAAAGGTTTCTGCTTTGCTTGGCATTTCAAGACATGTTTCCACGTACATCGTGTATTTTAATATGCTCCAGAAATGATTTCAAATCAGGGAATTCCAGGTGATCTACTGGACAGATAAAATCCGGCCGTTTAGTCTTCTCACTTGATGCTCTGTTCACTTCAAGTGTAGCATCAGACATTCTTGTTGGTTGTCTGGGGCTCCTGCGATTCACATTATCATTCATCACACCGTTAATTTTCAGCAGTATCTTCTCCATCATGCGCATCAGCATAAAATGCTGCTGTTGAATTTGTGAAACAATAATCTGAATATTGCTTGGACTGTCCGGATTGCCGGCTGCCGAATTAGCCGATAAAATCCGCCTCTCCAACTGTGTTTCCACCACACCGTCCTCGTCATCCTGACTCGATCGACTGGGCATACTCGTATTGGCCGGCAAACACGACTCTTTATGTCGAAGAAATCTCTCTAAGGATTTAAATTCCGCTTGACAAGATCCACAAAGATGAACGTCACCTGTCGCCAGAGTCTGCACTGCCGCAGCATCACCACTTGACGCAGCATCCGTCATGTCCGCCTCAGAGCCTACACACAGTAAAGCAAAAATCATTCCCGCTCTAAACAATTCCAACTTTCAAGTGACAATTTTTTCCGACTTGGCCGTTATGGACACAATTCGATTTTTTCTGTCCCGCTATCTCAAGTAGTATGTCAATTTGTCACTTAATGCCTACAAATGGACAACGCATTATCATCCGGCGCTCAGTGCCATATATCGTACAACGTGTCCAACCATATATTCCTCATTTCCATGCCTTTCGCACTCTGGACAGTAAATTGCATCATACTCGAATATTTTCTGATTGCTAGAGTGACGACCAAGTGGTTGGCGTTACATGAAGCTCCAACAAGATTGAACGGAAATGAAAACCGCTTCATTCCTTGATATACCGCCATTCATTTCACTTGGCGGAGATGGAGAAATCAGTCATGAGCTTATAGCTTAATTTCATTTTTCTGACTTCAGCAAGTTGGAGCAACTAAAACGATTTGCTCAAGATTGTCCAGAATTAAAGTACTCACAAGTACGACTGCCGAGCTTTGCCATGTAGACTGTACAATTATGTACGCGATAGGAAAGCATGCATTGAATATTTTTTGAGTTTTTTATACTGTATACATACATATATTAATGACGTATTCCAGTAATTCCACTAAGAAGTCTCCAGTTGATAATTTCAACTTCACGACAAAATATCCCTGCTGGCATTTTTAATCGCAAACTAACCAGTGTTGACTGTGCTGAGTGTGCTCTATAAAATTACTTAAATTCCTCATACAAAAAGAAGAAAAAATAACAGTTCATTATGATCTGCCGGTAAGTACATGGTTTGCAAAATGAAGAAAAAATTAATTTATGCAATAAAACAGTCTGAACACGAATCATACATACGGCATAAGGAAGTATTAGAAAAACTGTATACAACAAGAATGTGTGTTAAAGTCACCAAATAACGGTCACAGTCTTGCAATTTTATACAAAGTAAAGATAATTACAATGGTTTCCTTTCTGTAACCATTCATAACTATGTGCTTTAACACAGTAGCTCACGTAACGTGGCATTATGTCTTTATTTGCTAAGCTCATATACACCATATTCTCTATGCGTAATTCGATCCAGTGAAGAAACTGGAGAAATCTCTCCGTCCACACACCGGAAAATGTCCTTAGCCACACAAATTTAAATCCGCACATTATACTTATTAAACGAAAAATGCCATCACTAGTATCGGATATAAATGTAAACTAGTGTGATTCTCTCATTAAAATCTCATCCCATCCACGGAGAGTGCAGCCACTAGAGTAAACCCAACATTAATTTCGCTGTAGAGAGAGTATTTGCTGTAGCTCACCAACCATCTGCTCGTTGCTTCAACATAATAATAACTTCATAACTAATTACGCCATTTCAGTCCACACTGATCCCAAATGGCAGCTCCAAACTTGGCTTCGTATATCAATATTTTAACAAGCACCGTAATATGACACTGCAAATCCTGGCTTGCACATTCAAACAAGTTTTCGCTGAACAATCCGTGTACTGTCAAAGCGGACATTTTATTTAATTTTAATTGCATTTATTAACTAACTCATCAGCAAGCACTTAGAATAATTTTTTTGTTGCATTTTAAAATTAAAACAATCATATTAAGTAAGGTGTGTCTAGTGTCTACCTTGCGCGCGCACACAAAACCATCAATTATCACTTACAACCGAATGTGGTGAATACAAAACTCAGCTGCAAATTTTGCTAGAAAAAACTTATTGTAATTTAGTACAGAATGGAACGCGGTTAGTAATCACGGTACAAAACCTAGAGTAGCAGAAAGATGCTGATTGCTAACTGCAGTCCTGCCTAATAGCATAATAATAGTGAATAATATCGTACCATGCGCTTGCAACAAAAACAACTTCACTTTTATATATTTATGAGAGGTTATGGTTGTCATCAGAATTAACAGGCATTCCGTGGTCTACCACTTGATCACGTCTTTATACTCGACGCCAACTCGTACAAAATCATGTCTGATCAAAAGGTGATTGAGAGGCCAGCAGGTCGGGGTCATTTACTTTGCGTCAAGATACTTTTTCCGCCGAATAACGCACAACGCTCTTGCTTATCGTTAGTCCACGACTTAGCAAACATTATCAAATTTTATTTGTACTTTGTGAAAGCACGCTAACACTTAATACACTTGCTACTGTATCATTTTTCAAGTGACCTTTTATGTATCGGAAAAATCTGAACATTATATTTCCGATTTCTATTGACAAGGAGCATGTCACCAGCGGATAAATAGTCAATGGATGTAAACAGTGGGCGCACAGCACAAAGGCTACCGCTTCGATGGCTTACACAGTGGCGCGTGCATCCCTACCACACTTTAAAGTGTCTCTGCGGTAGTTTTAAGTACCAGTCGACAGCTTGGACGTATGTCGCTATTATCTCCCTTGGAAAGTCATCTTTCCTTGCCGGGATTGATTTGTGTATTGATAATGCGAACACCGATGACCAGCACTGACCACTAAGCGCACACTTATCTTAAATAGCATGTCAATAAGCGGCATGCACAACATATGTATTCAGACTTAACAACCGAATATACTGGTATCGCTTATTCCCCATGATCATATTATTGACACCTGCAGGCACACGCGAAAACAAATCTGAAACGAAGTCAAGCTTAAAATTTTTTACGTTCACCTTAAGTTTGATTCAGAATATCCATACGAGTACTGAACTCGTGTACCCCCAACACATGTGACGAGCGCTTCAATATACATAACGTGATGACGGTAGAAATGCTGCTGCAACCAGATGAACTTTGTATGAATATGTGAAATTTTTGATAAGTTGTAAACATCTGATATTTATCAGTTTCCGGTGTCGTTACAGCTTAATCATATTTTTTCCATGCCATACTGCAAATCATTACACCCACCGAACAATAATCACTCTCTCATCGATACCGCAATCTCGTTTGCACCCTTTTATACACCGTGCGCAAAAGCTTGCATACATATAGCATAGTCCAATAATTGCTATGTGATTACTAATCGGCACAAAACTTGTTTCTCATAAGATATTCCCTGACAGAAGAAGCGCTAACTAACTGGCACGAAACCAGCCCTTTGCCCTCTCATCAAAGCCATTCGATTTATCATGACTTGACCATAACCGATCTATAATTTCCAACACATGTCCATCGCCGTCAGATCAGAAACAAGCAGCCTGCATTTGCATTGCGGACAGGAAACGACAGAAAAAACCCGAACTTTTCACAGACTCGGGTCGTACTGTAAATAGGTAAGTACTTATTACACCCTGGCCAATATTTCCATTCATTTTATTCTACGCCCCGTTGACTGATACGCCACCAACCACGCCCATTCCATAATTTTCATACCGGGTCACGAGAATGTGCATTGTTTTAGTGCATTGTGCATTGTTTTAGTGCATCCGCCACATTGAGCCGTGAAAATATCTTTTTTGTATTGATAAAAATTCATATAACAACAAGAATAAGATTATCTGCTCATTAAAAGTGTTCCTAAATTGCTCGGTTCAAAGTGTTCCTAAATTGCTGATACTCGTACCTTCCATGTCTTCTAATGATATTGTCATCTGAATATTCACCGAAAATAAACAAAGCTGCTGGAACAAAGAACAGACCACATTTAATCTCTTGAGAACACATCTATATCTGCAGCGAAGAGCAAGAAAGGGCTCAGTTTGGTTTTTGCACCAAAAGTGGATAGTTGGTTGTTTGACCTGGAACCTGAAAGTTACAAAATTGCTTCTATCATAACTACTCGTAATTTTTTATGCAGCCATACTGTTTGTGAGGTACGCTCTAACACTATGTACGTATTTACTGCGAAGAGATTACAGCAGCTGTATACTACTGAAAATGAAAAAATTATATTATGATAAAGAAAACTTATAATTCGTTAAAAATCGCGTAACTTAAAATTATTTTGCCGCATGCATGGAATTCAAAATTGCTGTTGTGTGCAGTGGTTATAGTTGGATGGCTTATTGGGCCGGTAAAAAGTAATAGGGGTCATCAACCACACCGATCGTGCACTACCGAACCAACAAAAAAACTCACGTACATAAGCTAATCGGCATGTACATATGTATGTCGAGAAAGAAAATCGCTCCATTTTTTGCTTTACCTTAACGTTGTGCAGTGAAACAAAAAGGCTTTACACAGCATAATTATCATAAAGCAGAACTGTAACTAGCCTATTCCGCTCGCATACAAAAAGCCAAGGCACCAATGCCTGATCGTGTCCATTAATTTCATCTTTGAAGCATGAATGTAAATCAAGTCCGTGAAACCAGTTCATTCATTACCTCATCCGTACCAAATAACCTCAGTTAGTGCTATTATTTTCTTGCTTAAAACACAGCTGAGTTTATCGCTCTCATATGCCTTTTCCCAGCATCACCAAGAGGTGAAATCTCTCGCGATCGCATAAGCCCTACAGAGCCGACTAAGAAATTGATGAGAGAAATTGCTAAGACAGAATACACTCAACCAACCCCATCAACTTGCTGCTGCATTGTGGGTCAGAGGCATAATAACTTCTTCCTGTTTCTTCCATATATGCATTACGCGAGCGTCAACAAAGAAGGGCATATTCCATATTATTATATGCATTCATCCGCTATTTTCGTCCTGCTTCCTTGATATATCGTTATTCTCGGTATCACGACAAACAACTTTATGGCACTGACTCTTCTGACAGAGAAAGGGCCAGTCTAGTTCCCATTAAACAGTGTCCTCTCTCCTCCCTTTCACTACTGAACAAAACCGATCTAGCACGGATGCCTCTGTTAATTAAAGAGGCAATTATCAATGCAACATAAGCAGCTATTATCTAACCTAATTTACATTTTCTTTGGCGAACACCGGCATTCTTTCTTCTAATAAAAATCCTGCCACTTGAGAAAGTTTATAAAAACACAGGTGTTGTACCCGTTGATAAAGCAAAATTAACAAGTAAATTCTTGACGTACAAACAACATACTCGTAGTTACCATAGACATTTCATTTATAATACTATACTTACCATTAGCATGCCGGCATTTCGAAGCAACGCCAAGCAGGATTTAAAATTATAATGTCAAATTAAAAGGTGTTCAACTAGTTAATACTGCACTGAACTTTATAAAATTGACATTTAATGAAAATCTTTTGTTCCACCGATGTAATGCAGAAATTATTCAGTAGTTTACATAATCTGAAGCAGGGAAATAAGATCGGAAAAACACATTACTGTAGTTCTATCGTTTTAAAATCGGCCGCTTCAAAATGCCAATGTATTATTGAAATGCTCATACCGTGATAATTTGTATACGCAAGCTATCTATCAATAAGTAAACAGTTATCGAGCCGGTACTGGTCGTCGGTGGGGTCAATAAAGCGAAGATACTTGTTTCCTGTGCTGTTAGGGAATGCACATTTCTGCACTTGCTGCACAAGCAGGCAGCAGTCATAAATCGGAAAAAGCCTGCAGGCTCGGGAGCGTTAATGCGCTTTGATTCCAATCTTGGATCTGGATGATTATGAAAATCTCGGGCGCAAACTTTTATGATATTTATAATCCTATCTGCCGGCTTGCATGCAAATTCCCGACAGCACTGGAGCCACTGACGTATTTCCCATCAATTCCTCAGCTATGAAACCGGGATAAATGGATATTGCTCAACGCTATGCAGCCTGCATGAAAGCGGACAAGAAAGAAAGAAAAATAAATCCGTCAAAACTTTGCGACGCGTATGGAAAACAAACCGAAAATGCCTTTCTTATGCTGTTAATCCTTCATCACTATCCAGCTATAACCAAAATTTCGCTATCTATAAAGTACGTAATGTGCAGTAAAAGCCAAAATACTCGCGTTGTGATTGTTTCTTTTACATTTCGTTTCCATATCAAATGCTTTCTATCATGCACAGTTCCCAGAATTACAGTATTAAACACCGAAGCTGCTCCATATCAGCCAGAAAAAAATATCGAAGGCGTAATGAGGTGCTATCATTAAACTCTGACGTCGAAATCTAATTTGGCTGTGCATATTGTATAACCAATGATCAAAACTGCGGACGAAGCTTTTCAATTTCCTGCCTCAGGATATAACTGACAAGCATTATTGTGTTGAATAGTTAAGTAGTTCAAAACTTTTAACAGCTTGAAACCATCCAACCAAAGCCAACTATAACCCCAAAACAACAATCTTGAGATGCAAATATATCTTGAGATGTCACTTTGCCGCTACGCATAACGACCGTTTGCATTTTCTGTAACATTTTTAATATATGCAAGGTTGTAAAAGATCAACTGGAAGAGAAAATTTGCGCAACATGTTCTCTCCATTTTCGAGTAACGGTAAGTAGTAAGTATCAGATTGACAGAAAACTCCCTAAATATTCACACCAATTCACTTTTACCATTTTTGCGTATTTTAAGTCATCTTCAAGGTTTTCAACAATGAGCTCGGTCAACTAAACGAAACTATGAACGCTTTAAGCTGTTAAGTATCAGGTAACCAGCAACGGAATATCAAATTTTCAACGAGATTAAATTGGCCCAAGCCGGATAAGTGGACTCGTTACACTTCGTACTTGGCCATTTACAAGCGACAGGTAACAGGAAAGAGTTATGAAAAGTTGAAAGATGTTGAAGTAATCCTTAGCGTAACATTTGATACAGACAAACATACTTAACAACAAACAAATGCCGCGCCACAGCAGTTAAGGCCAACTTAAAATTTTTGAGCAGCACGAAAACATAAGTGCCACAACATAGTGACCTTCTTGAGCGATTAAATTTTCATCTCCTTAGCGGTGCATTCATTTTTAAATGTTTATCCATCTATACGCTTGGCTACAGTCAATGCTTAAAAGTTTAAGCAGGTTACATTCATATTAATCTACATCACACTTATATCGGTAAAAGATATCAGTGCGAAAACTTTTTTTTAAATTTCTAATTTCTCCACAAGTTCTGTAATTCACAGTCTGTAAGATAAAATAAAAGTTGAAAAATTAAGAACAATACGGAAAAGTGTTGGCTGGAACTTTCTGTACCGTACTTAGCGATTTTTCGGCACTCTTAAAGTTAAACCTCACTGATCAGTCACTTATTCTCAGTTATGCAATAATTGTAATTCCTGAATAAAATTCTACAAAATCTCGAAGAACTGCCCGTCCACAAACCGCAAAAACAAGTAATACAACTATGTTGCGAGTTACATTAAAACTCCAACATAATAATTTCCGCGATATCTATCGATTTGTACCGCATAGTTTACTTCGAAACTACACTTGCAACATTAATTACAAAACGCTACATTTTAAAAACTCTCTTTTGCACAGTGGCACACAATGCTTGTAAGCTGTATAGAAGTAATGGAGCCAAGTATCAAGTTTCCAACGAAAGAAAATCAGCGGCTACGGCCAACAGCCCGCACATGGTATCGCACCGCACATCGCCGCTGATGTCGTGTGTTGGCATTATTGAAAAATCACCTAGCTTTATGGCATATCATATCATAACCGCCAACGCACGCCATGTGTCACTTGACGTCAACTTGCAGCAGACTCCATTTTAAACGATTGTCAATTGAAAATGTCCTCCATTCCGATGCACTTGTGATTTGTGAAACATGATGTATACCGCGTACATATTGATATCTGTACTACCACAGAACTTAACGGAATTCTCAAATGCGTATATTTATATTACTTGGCAAACATACAGGCGCACAAGCTTCTGACCGTGGAACAATTTAAACTTTCTGGCAGATATGTTAAAACACTTTCCTGGTTATGTACAAAAATAACAAAGCACTAATAGTTGTTATTATGCAAAATCAAAAGCAGGATTTATAGTGCTACACGACTTACCGTTTCGCTCCTCCACCTCGGCAATCAGTGTTGTAGATCCGTCCTCTGAAGCGGTGCCGTTCTGAAACTGACTATTCTGGCGCGGGGTGAATTGTTTCCTCTTGGACATGGCTGGTGGTAGTGGGGGCAGGCTGTTCAATGGGCAAAGAGAGCAACAGCTGGTTCACCACCTCCTCCCTTGACGGATTGAAGGAACTCCACAGTAAGAATCCAAAGTTGGTGCAGAAACACTTGTCCAAAAGGCCAGTGTATTATGTTTTGTTATTCGTACATGGGATCGTGACAAAAGACCATGTTAATAATAATAATAATAATGAGAAATAAACTACTATATTTGTACTCATCAGTGCTGACCGAGAGTGTGCACATACAGTCGCCGTGCGATATTGCCAGCAATGTGAAAAAAATAGTGGCTACCGACTATGCTTATTCCTGTCTTGAGGACAGCATTACATTTTCTAAAAGACGCGGTACTGACTTGTGCGCTGCATATAAGTATGCCCAAATAGCGATAGTCTATCCATATAAAGTGTATGTATTTTCGCGGATAAAAATTGCGCATTGCCGCACAAATTATTATATCTGACTCCGCCTGAATTAACTTATTGGACCAATCCGTGCCGCCAACATTGCGAATTGTTGAGCCCATTCTCACTGATACGGCTACTACGCAGTGGGTGCAACTTCCACAAGTACAGCACAATATGTGCATATAACAATAATTAATGTACCGTAGTCGACTGTGATATTTAACTTGGCAGTTGGCACGGTATGTCCGGTATCTGACTTTGTAGGATTGCCGGCTGCTAGTGCTGAGTGCCGCGCACAGCGGCTACAAACTTACTACAAAGCGCAATGTCGAAGAGTTCCACCCCCTGGTGCTCCCATGCCTCTGTTAGACGCGATACGAGAGGTATAACACTATAAACTATAAGTTAATAAGCACTTTAGCTTAACGATGAGAATGCCAAGCAAAAATTATAAATTTATGAGTTAATTTTTGAAAAATTGTATCATTCATGAATTATAACTGCTCTAAACTAGTCACCACAATGAAATTGGTCGGGCGATATCACCTACGGCAGGCAGCCAGCTGGCATCCATTTGTGCTGCTGTTCCTACGTTCGCTAGACGCTGGGCAGTGGGCACGGCTAATTAAAAATTTAAAAAAGCAATTTCCGCACTACTAATTTTAAAAATACCAAGAAAGTTATAAGAGTACAACTTCTTCAGGGCCGGCACAAGAGGGGGGGGGGCGGAGGAGCGGACCGCCCCAGTGGCTGCTTCTTAAATTTGGAAAAACTTTGTGTAAATGTGCACAGTGCGTATATTCTGCAAGTACGAAAGAGTTTTATTTTGATAAAATATAGGGAAAATGCATATTAATATGCTGTACTTTATACAATGCAAGAAAGCACACCTAAAATCGCACTTCTCAGCTTCTCAAATTTCTCATTATCTTCCGAGTGACCCTTGTAGTATTACAAATACAGGTTTACTTGCAATGAAAATTAATCAGCAAACAAGGAAACCGCAAATAATGCCCGCTGCATTGTAACATTTTAAAAAAAATATGAAGGTCAACTGGTCAAAGGATTGGAATGAATTCGAATGCAAAAAAGACGTTCGCCTTACTTGTGAGCGTTTCCTTTTAGCAGTAGCACACCACGGTACATGTATATACAAATAACATAATTATTTATTAAAAGTTTCACTTATTTCGGCATGACAATTAGCACTGAACGTGCATGCCTTTGGAAATACAAATAATTATGAAAGACGTGCTGTGATAAAAATTGTGTCGCTTCTAAGCTGGAACCGAGAGACCGACGAACTGCCAGTGGTCCGTCACCGAGCGAGTTTGTGTCATTAGCAATGTACTGTAAGCAGAAGGCTAAATTTTTTAGAAGATCTCTAATGCTTCCAACAGGATACTAGTCAAAATTGAGAATGCACGTGTTTAATCATATTACTTTGCAAATCGTGAGTAAATACCTACATATCGAGGAGCGAACATTTTCTTATTTAAAAATTAAATAAGTATCTGTACATAGGTTCAACTCGACTACTACGGTGCTTACATTAGTTACATACATATAATATGCTTGATTTTGACTTATTCCTATTTGAAATGTAGTTAAATGCAGGCACTACATGGCTGTAAAGCAATCAAGGTGCGTTCCTCGATTCTAGAGCGAGGCAATGGCAGAAGTTCATGTGCGAAAAAAATTGTATATACGCTTACAAGCTCACACAAGCAAGACCCTAGGGCAAGAGTTACGAAGGCGAATGGATTTTTTGCACGGAATGGATTTCGTGCAAAAGTACTTACGGTATTACTGTATATGAGCTACTTCATATAATACTGGTATACAATTTTTCCACAAATAAAAAATTGCGTATTTATTTTTTCCTTAGGGAATTTTGTTGTTTCGGTGATTCTGACAACGCTGCAAGAAATGCATCTTGCTGGGGCAGCTTCACCGGGCCCCATTTTATATCGGCAGAATACGAGTATGTATGCTGACGCCAAACAAGCCATGATCATGATAACACTATTCCCGAAGAACATAGTAATCGACCGAAGATCTTCTTAGTCAGCGAAAACGCAAAAATGGTCCATCTTTTACGCCCAATAACGACAGCCATTACCAAAAATTATTTGGAAGTGGTTTTGCAAGAACTGTACAAACATCGGTCGCGATAGCGCGCGACCAGTTGCGTTTAATTATAGAATTATGATTGCGAACCTACGTGTGTGACTGTGGACGTATCACATGGAAATTTTTTCAAACTTACTTTCACCTTTTTTCAAACGTAAAAATGCTAAAATACAGACGTAGCGGCTTCGCACGTAAAAATTCTCGAAACTGTAGAATTACAAATATTCTGGAGGTATTTCAATAAATACTTCGAAATAGCTTTGCAAGTATAATATTCCGAAATGTTTAGAAATATTTGAAAATGCTAAAAGATGGATGTGATGCCGCCGCGATTTATGAAGTCCGGTATTTATTAGCATTAATACTGTATGTATATTATCTTTTGTAGTTGCTATAGAATTTTAGATTCGTAACCATTCCATTCGATTTTTAGATTCGCTTTTAGATTTAGGTCCTGGAAACCATCATGAAGATTGCAGTAAAATCGCTGCCATGAAGAGCCTCAACCAAAAATTTGTTGGAGCAATGGTCCAATCAAGAACTACGCTGTAAAACCTTCGACAACAACAACAACAAAACGCAAATCTGTTGCTAATGTTAACCTTTCTGGAACTTTCTAGAATATTCTACAATGTCGCAGTGCTGAATTTAAAAATTTTTTTCTGAATCTCAGGCGATTTTCAAACTTTTTTCGACTTATGGCGAACCTACGTATGTACTTGCCATATACTATTTTTTATGAATTATAATCACTGCAAAAGTTCGATCTCGAATTAGGAGTTAATATTCTTGGAAAAAAGGTGATTATTAATCTATTGATTACAGGTAAGTTCTCACCGGGCAGTGGTTAATTACCGGTAAGTATGGAGACACAACCTATGAGTATTCGTACCTACTTATAAAAAATACTGCGCTCCGGTCTGCCAATGCATACAAAAGTGCATTTTCTAGTTATTGTTACTATCCGAAGCCTGCCTCTTATGCGATTTTTATCTCTTTCCATGCCCTTATCGACAAAACCAGATATGTATAATTAGACTTGTATGCCGTTGCATTGTTTGATTAATTTTCATGGCCAGGATTCATGTTACCCTTACAAGACATACAGATACAGCTTACAGCTTGCGAAAACCAGACACTGACCTTTGTCTAATGGTTTATCATTGTGGTAATTAGCAACCCAAAACATCATGAAGATAACTGCTTCGGTATTCGTAATTATTAGTGTCAAGTTCAGACACTTCCATGTCGCAATAATACCGCATTTGTTTAACGAATGTTGAAATACCTTTTTATGCCGATTTGTCCCTTAAATTAAAATAACCAAAAACTTGTACTTAGACGGCTTTGGCTGCACTTTGACCTATGAAGTGTACGCCGGCCACTGCATTGTCGCCAGTCGCCACTGAGCAGCATATACTGGAAAATCGCGATTGCACGAATTGCTGCGACAACTAGTACTAGAAGCACGGTATAAAGGTTACTTTTAAAAAGTAAAAGTAAATATAAAAATAAATATTTACGGTATAAAAGTAAATATTTATCTCTTATATACCTTGCTAGCAGTATTGCTGAAAATTCAAGAAGGGAGCGCGGCATCCGTACTCGGGATCGTGAACGGAGCGGAATCGAATAAATTAACCGAGATTGTTTTGTTCTAAACATGTGTTCGTGTTGTTTCACTGACTGATAAGAACGAACGAAGCTGTATGGGAACTATGCATTGTAAATCTGTACGTACCCGTATTTTAAATTATATTTCACGAGCAAGATAAGACGACATACTAATTATAAGCATGTCGCCCGTGGTTTTGTTACTTACTTATTACAGCAAAAAGCACTGGAAAAGCCCGAAAAGGTATTTAATGTATGATCTATAAGTGCGGAATACTAAACCTAAGGTAAACTGCTCTGCCGCGAAGACGGATTGCCGTTGCTTTCTGCACATACTGTATTATATTTTCTACAACCCCTTAAAGGATTTTTGGTCTTGAGGTCCCCATGGATGATGGGCCCATAGTCGCAAATACTAGTAGCTGCACTACTGATCGGCTGGCAAGGTCACTGTATTTCCACAGTTCAAACTTTTTCGCTTCGGCTAAAATTCCCGGCGTTAGGAATATCCGAGCAATGTATCCGCCACTGCCACATCCCATTCGATCGCCTTCCTGCAGCTTTCCACGGTAACGTACTCACTGCATCAAGTGATTCAAGTCGCTTTTCGTTGTTTGCAGCCCTTTATGTTTCACGAACGTAACAGGCCCAGTAGCGCTATCAAAAGGTCAAAAATTGCAGTGGAGGATTTCGCAAAATCCAAATCAGTGTTGTTGTTAAAAGTACTTCCAGTTTTTTACTGTTTTTTATTAAATTTTACATAAGCTTTAGCTAACATAAGTTAAGTTTTGTTCGGTCGGAATTTCCCTTTTGGAAACAAATTAAACAGAATTGTACTTGGTAGGGACTAAGGATCTACCGTAGCTGGTGGTAGCTCCTGACACTGGCTCGCGGAGTGCTTAATTTACGTTTTAACAGCTCCTAACAAAACGTTGCCGCCTTAATGGCACCCGCTCTTGTGACAAGCCACCTTCTCCAAGTAATCTTCAACTTAACAAAATATCTCTGTACAGAAGCGGACAAAACAAGAATTAATAGATTCTAAGAATCACGAAGAGGCTCTAACAGAATGTTAGTACGGTAAACTGCATCCAAAATGATGGCAATTTACAAGAACGAAATTAAAGTGTCGACCTTAAGTTTCAAGATGTTTGAGAGGATTGCTGAAAGGTCATAAATTAATAAACTTCAAGCAGAGCGTTGCGTTTGCTAACAGCATTAATAGCACGCATGTATTTCTGTGCGCAAAATATTGGTGCATAGTTGCGCTTATATAATTTGTTTACAAATTTTATATAAAATTGTAAATACTAAACCAGCCACGGCATTCAAACGTTTGAATGTTAATGCGGGCTTGAAACCACAACGTAAAATTTCGAGCTCTTATTGGGAATTTTAAGGGCTTTTTATGAGCATTAATGCGCTCCTCCGGTAACTTTTTGTTCTTTCAACCAGCCGGTCATGTACAACTGAGGTGGTGCCCTAAGGTGTCAAGTAATAAAAAAATTGTGCTATATTTTACAGAGTACATTATTCTGTTTTCTGGATCGATTGATGTTTGCATTTTGGTTGCATACGGTTATGGTTGCATAAGTTTATATTCACAGGTTTGCTTATAGTACAGTATCTGAAAACTTTCTCGTTCAATTCACGGACTCGCACGTTCGGACAAAATATGCGTCAATACCAAATCAAGCAAAAATTTAAAAATTTTTGTTTGTTCTAGCTAATACTTACACACAATTTATCGTGCCATGTACCGTTTTCTAGATTTGTTTCTCTTACAAATGCCGAAACGTTGATCATGTTGGCTGGTATTTCGATTCTTTAAAGTCAGTACTTACTTATTGTCGACAGTACCGAGAAGTGGGCACAATGTTTTGCCATTCCGAACCTCGATCATCCTATGTAATAGCGTATATTCTACTCGTACAATACGTACAGGATCAGCTAAAAAACAGAAAGGGACACAATGCGACAGTATTATGCAGTTATGAATTATTATGCACCTTCGTAAACCGTATCCGAACCGCTAATTGCGAAGCTATGTATAAAGAATACCTGGAAAGCAAAAATGCAAAACGTAAAATGAATTTAGTTTTGATAATTCCATAAAAAAATCTGTTAAGTGCTAGCTTTAACATGCCGGTTGAGCTGTTAAATATACCTGTATTCTAGTACTTCTTACGGTTGTATCGCTAGCAGAATATTTTAGAAATATATTGATTTTAATGATTCTAGCTAATTATATATTAATGGGTTGCCCGTTGCCGTTAATCCATCGCAATAAATGTTGAGATTTATATGGCTTTGCCATCGGAAAAATTACAGCGCTACGAGTAGGCATACATTTACACATTCCACATATTATAACGAAATAGAACGGTATACTGAGTATTGTTTCGGCCGCTGTTGGGATCGGGAGAAAAAGCTTCAGAAAACGCACAAGAATATCGGTGAGCGAATCCTCTATCATTTATTTTCCTTGGTGCATGCTTAATAAGCCAGCCGACTGAGCTCCGACAGCTACGAACACCCCTAATGCACTGTATAAAAAAACTTATCAAACCCTTTAAGAAGTATAATGAAGGAGTGGGCTTTCGTGTTGGAGTGATTATCCAGTTGAATCCAAACCGACAGAAACAGTGCTCTGGATAAGACAGCTGTTTTCGTACACAAGGATAACATAGTATTGTACGCGGGTAAATCTTATAATAGAATGTAGTCGTATCATCCTTATGCATACGCAGAATGTTCCCATGAATGTACACTGGGCCTTCAGAGATGACGTGGACGCTTTTCAAACTTGCTGATTCTTTTATCAAGAGCTACAACGCATATTAGTCTTCTTTTAACAAGATGGATACCGATTTACTTCGATTATTGGACGAGACGTTGTGGTAATAGTGATCAAGAGTTTACTTCTATTGTGAAACAAGCACTGCAACAGATCCACGATATATCACCATTAGCAAATGGTCACTCTGCAATCACAAACACGAACCCACGTATTTTACCATTTTCAACGCATACCATCCACGTTGCCTGCAAGTATCGTTTCTTCCTGCGATTAACGCGGACGTATTCAATAACAGTAAGTTTATGAAATATTTTAACGATAAACAAACCATTACTCGACTTGACACTTTTAATATCGCTTGTTGCTCTAAATTTTGAAGCCGTTTATTACTTCACCGGCTTTATTGTGCGTCAGAAAAGTTTTCGAGTTGTTTTGTTTCCGTAATTCTTAGATGGAAACCAGGGTATCAGTATTGTTTTGCCAGTACGGACAAAATTTTAGCAAACTTCTTTTGCGTAATAACTACGAAAAATGATATACGTATTTTACATGCTGAATATGCCAATATGGTTACTTATTATCGAAATTAAACGATCTTCCAGTAATTCTGTAGATTTACACTCTGTTTATCAATGCAATCTGCGCATGGGCGACCTACGGGATTTTCAAAACCAAAAAAGGTAAGCAAAAATAAAATATTATTGCAATTCGCTTAAATTTTTTCAGACTTATTCAGCGAGTTAATAATTTAATATTAATAATATCGCGCTGCACACCTACACGACGAACATTCAAAAACGAAGATACGAAACTACAAATAACGAAGTGCGAATTGAAGAAATAGCAGTTTTCTGTGCTAATTTGACTCTCGCCTAGTACTATCTATTTTTCTTTTAGTGCTCAGTTTGTACTTACGTGTCGTACTATTGAAGGCACAACCATAATTAATTACACATAAGTTACTTGAAACTTTAATGCAACTGGTTGTATTAAATAGTGTGTTTTAATGTAATGACAACTTTCGAGACCTGATTCTGCATACGCGTAATGTACAAAATCTGAAATATGTATCGTGCCGTATACTGCGGCCGAAATAATAAAAAATCTCTATAGATCCACTGCTTGACGTATAATGTACAACATTGTCGTTCGCTAAACCCAAAACGTGTGCCTAACCTTTACTGGCAGAGCAAGTTGTGCCTGTTGTGGACTTCTACAAATGGCATGCTAATAGTCTTTTAAAGAAAAGATTTTAATCATCTTACAGTTATTCTTGGTTTCAAGCGTTGCAATGAACTGTTTTTAAAAAAACTTTTCCAAAGGTCAAATTTTATCAATTAAGACGTGAACTAGACACGAGTCCACTGCCTGAGTATTGCTAATTAGCGTACGTAATGCCATCAATTTATTTTACAATCTCGGAATGGCTTGTTATTTGTGAGAACGCTATTATTTTTAGAGAATAAGTTAAATGATCCTCATTAATGAAATAACCGATCCAGCTAGCATCTATTCGAATTCCTTGTCGATTTTTTATTATGTTTTAATACAAATCTTATATACCCAATACATTAGATTAATTTATGGCTTCAATTGTTTAAAACATTTATCTGGCATGCCTCCTCGGTAAAATTTGCTTGCGGTTGGTACAATTCTCTTTGAATGCTTTCAAGTTATAAGTATCAAAATTAAAAACTACATATTATAGTGCTTGATATCATTTCATAAAAAAAGAATAAATGGCAAATGAATGTGAAATGCTGTTTTTCGTTTGTCGGTTGGATTATCTGGTCGGCCTGTTATTAAGGGCTAGTCTAAATGATTAATCGAGTGTTAGCCGGCTTCTCCATACTGCTATCCCAGCAGTGATATTGGAGATTAACAGACAAATTATCCCGGTGTTCCAAGGGCTTCACGCCTACTGCTACCTTCCCGAGCTAACGTAGCAGACCACCAACCGCTTAGCAATCACTTATTATGGTGGATCAGCCTGGGTCTGGGGATATAATGTACATATATACCGTTAGCATAGACCTGGGACGCTTGAAAGACCACAGACGATTATATCAACATCAACAGGATATTTGAGCTTGCAAAATACTTGAAATGAAAATTATTAGCGTACAGCCATCGTCATCCTCTCTCTGCATCATCTGCAGGGGCTCTGATAAACCGTGGTGAACTTCCCTTTTGCAGCACAACAAATCCTTTAGTAGTTTTGACATCCTTGAGACTCCAGACTTCAACTTTTCCACTTGTATTTGTCAAGCTCAAATACCTCGAATCCATGCAGGCTGATTGGGCTAGATAGAGGTTTATTCTTCCGCTCTTGAATAACAAAAACCGTACTGAATTAAACAAAAAACGGTTGACGCTTATACTTACGCTTTAGATTTACTATGTGCATCGTGCAGTCATGTCTATCCAGGCTTATGCCAGCAACCAATCATTGACACTCCTTACCATTAGTTGTTGTGGCTTTCTCTGGTGTATATTGCGCAATGCAACCCAGCGCAGTGTAAGTGGCATGTGTTATTCCCGTCCAGAGTGGCTTTTCTAGGCAGCCAGGATGTCGTATATACCTTCCTCCGGATACCGGCGGGATATTCTGATGCGAACAGCTGATTATTTGAAGATTCTAGGCATTTGTCATATCTTTCTCGGCATATTGGCATTTCTTGTGCAAATTGGTGGTAAGACTTCCGGTCATTTATTGTTTATTGTCATGCGCTATTTCTTATGTCAATAAGCTTTGTAATGTGTTTTTTCCAGTGAATTTCATGTGTCAACAATATCAGATTTATGACTGGCACAATGATGCGCCGACGTTGGCCAAGAGTGCAATCGGTATAATTGCAGCCATAACTTATATTGTGCAAGGTAAGCAATGAAATTAATTCTATTAACAATCTTAATATGTTTATCGGATAACCTGTCTAACCAAAGTGTATTAATAGGCCAGTTGACGATAGGCTCATACAACTAACGGAAATAGCGTTTCTCTCGTTCGTACACTTAATTTTAACCGGTATTAAAGTAAGAAGTATTCGATATGAAGAACACTGCGCAGTAATTTTTAATAAAATCTGTAAAACTGTATAAATGCATACGCGGTAGTCCTTACAGTGACCTAACGATTTTTATCGAGTAGCAATGTGTTCTTGTCATCATTACATGCCTGTTGTGCACTGCATATCGCGAACGTTCAGTTTTTCTTTGACAGCCGTTTCGAAACATTATGTGTATCGTATTTAAATAATAGATAAACAGGGCGGTTTGATAGATTCAGAAATTCTATGCATTATTTACAATGAAAATTCAGACAAATATATATGAGGTGATTAAAACGCACGAAAGTGTTCCGCGCTTGCATGTCTCTCGCAGCTTATCGAGCGTGAAAGATCATCCAAACACGATGTACTCAGCATCCTGTCTTTATAAAAAATTCATAAATATGCTTATATACATCTTTTAAACATAAAAAGAGGTTAAATAAAATGATGCAGCCTACGCTTCAAACTGTTTCAGTGAAATTTTTGCCAAAATTGTATTTTCATTAATTTTCATTTTTAAATTAGCGACGTCGCAATCTTAGATTACATCTGTGTTACTATACTCAAATAAGTATATTAATATACTTATACGTTTAATATTATACTGGATACTCGTTGGCTCTAAAGTAAGGGTTTGCGCATTATAGTTAGTTATTGACGCTCCACATAAATAATTTGTAATTTTTATTGGTTCTTGATTCGCTACACCACCACATAAATTAACGTCACTACACAGCGACACATAACCGATTAATGAAAATATTCTCTGTTATAGGGTAATAGGGTATAACTGTTGATCTTTTTCCCAGCATTATTTACTTTAAATATACCACTTTTTGCGCAGTCGTTTTGTATTGCCCTGCGCAGTAGCCCTACAATATCCCGCTTATTCTTATATTGAAATGTGTTTTTACTGCGGCAACTCTATATGTTTACTTTCTTTTGACAGGCGTCTTATCGATTGGCGCGGGAAAATTTGTTACCGGATCAACACTCCCTGACCTGAGTGAACATTTCTGTGTTTTAAAGATCTTAAACTGTCTAGCCTTATTAATGTCATCCAGTTTACTGGGTGTTAGCGGATACCTAGTGTATGTTTTGAGTTTGTGGTGGGCGTTTTACGAGGAGCATATTACGTATATCCAAGGACCGGTCCTCATAACTTTAACACTTAATATGATTCAAATCGGGGTTGGTGTGTGCGAATTTGCATTGGCATTTGCGGGGTTTTTTATAAAAAACACGTAACCGTATTATCCTGTGGTGCGATATACCCAGTGCAATCCTGGCGTTAGTAGCATATTATTTTGCGTAATCGTATTAGAAAGCCACTGCGCTTATGGTGGTTTTGACATGGTCGATTTGCCAGCTTTATGGGCATACTTCCGGCGTTGTGCACATGTATACTTCCCTCGCATACTGTACGTGCAGATCGATGTCCTGTTATTAGAGTGCTGCGGAATATAAGTACTACATAGGCCGCCGTAATGTTGTCCTCATCTTCATTTCTACATATTCAATATGCATAACAGGCAAAATTGGTTTCAGTTGGAGAATCAAACTAGTCCATACCGGGTAAAGTTATCAAAATCGTAATGGACCGGTTTGGCACTGTAATACCCGGAAACCGGCGCTGGCAGTGGAATACAAACAGCTCGTTTAGAAGAATGCAGTTCATTGATCCACTTATGACTTACAAGAGTTTCAACTCTCAACTTATAAACTTTTAATGAAGACGTTCGAAGCAAAAAACCTTTTCCGTAAGTCTTACAGGAACCAAAAATCTTGTAGGCCATTGTTTGGTTGTCATGAAGCGCATCCAGACAGAACGATAATAAACTATGAACTACACAAAAGACTTGCAAGAATAATCCATCCTCTGAAACGAAAAACAACAACACATATAACTATAGAAGTATCGCTAGCTTGATAACCAATATACCGTAATTCTGCATCTACAGATAGATACAGTGTAGACCATTGCGTATCGTGTGCCCTTCACAACGAATGATTCTACGTGTAAACTCGACTAAATTAGACATCGGAATTCTATTACATACTTACAGTTAGCCGCTACTTTTTCCCGAAAAAATCTTTATAGTATTGATTAACACACTTTGTATACCCATAAATTATGTGGCTACAAGCACAAACGAAATCAAACTTGCCAGTACTGTATATTCCGGCAATTATCAATGCTGATGATTATTTTTAATGTTCGTTTTACGGCCATATAATATTCCTATCCCAAGATTTCCCTGAATTATACTACATCCATGAATAGTTAAGACGTTTTACAGTTCCTCAATCACTGGGTTTTCAGACTGTCCTGATCTTCTCCCGTTCATAAAACAATGAAATAATTTTCAGGTAAGCAACCGCAAAGTGCGATTATATTAATTTTTACATGACAGGGTTTCCATATATGGATTCGACACAACATTTCGCTTACGTTTTTCACGTCTGCCGCTAACCAAGGCACAGGCACAGCGCTTGAACAATATTTGCAGCTTTATTAAGTTACTTACATTAATTAGAAACGCTAATTCTATAAATATACTAACTGTACTTATAGTGATGGTAAAGTATATAATTATATTAACATAAGATGTATCCGCTCAAATTGATTACGCATTTTGCTATGTATAATATAATACAATCACTACGAAGTAAGTGTAATTCTGTACATTATACCTGTAGCTCCACTGTGGAAGCAGTTTTCCGATTTGAGGTTCGGCACATGCATTTTTCTTTATAAGTTAGTTATATGACTGATATGACATTGTAGGATACACTATTTTGCGGAAATCAACAGTTCTTGATATTTCTCAAGCGCCGAAAACCTGTGACCAATGATCGCGCGATTGGCGCTGCACCAGTGCAAAATTCCTGTTTTTTATTTGTTATGCTTCTATCGGAAATCTCTTGAATAAACAGCAGCATACTGGCGATTTTACAAAGCGTTCTCGTTTTTTTTCAAGAAACATACGGGTAAACCTGTACGGTAGGCACTATAATAATTTTGAAGTCAGGCTAATCGGTAAGCAATACTGTACAACACATATTATGCTTTTACGCTACAGTAGTTATACAATATTTCGTACAGTGTTTTAGTTCTGTTTTCCCGTTGTCGCTGCGGTTAACAGGTTCACTAGCTAAAGGCTTTTGCAATCCGCAGCGTATTCACTGCAAGGCACCCAAAGTCTTTATACCGTGGGAACGTTTTAAAATTGCATTATGAGTGAATTTTTTATATGATTTCTGAGAATTTTTATTTTGTCGGTATAGCTTTTAAGTTACTCCTTGCTCATTTTACACTGTAGTGGTTCAAGCCATGTGAATAATTTAGTTATATCTATATGTACTGTACATACACACAATATTTATACAGTAAGGATGTATATCTGTATTTTACGTAGCAAATGCATACTATTGTATTTACATTAATTAAATCAGTGACTCTTTGATTAGGCCTTAACCCATTGATATTTCAAAGCAGTCATATTTTTGAACCTTTTGGAATTGTTTTCTGAAATTCCTTTTTGTTTGTGAAAAAACTTTGGTTTATGAAAAACCCGGGTTCCGTGGGTTTTTACGGTATTGTTACCGACTACTTACGAATTACGACATACTGTACTACCATAGAAAGTGGAATTAGAGGGACCGTGTTTAATACTACTGTACTTTTTTGTTGTGTCTGGCTGTCTGCGAACTGTCTTTTCTTATTAACGCGATTTCACCTACGTACGTATCATTGTACGTACAAATTCGTACTGTATTTTCATTTGCAGAATAATGCACAGCGCCGCACTCTTCACAACTTGCAGCTCACCGTCTGCTTGTATGTACGGACAGTACTGTATATAATTATACGGTAGTTGTCCGATAAGCAGTCTGGTGCCTGGGCGATGTCCGGTTGCCAAATTTTTAGTCCACGTAGAATTTCTACTTCACTGCCACGCTTTTGGGTGCTAAACCAACAAGCTTTTGTTTATCCAGTTTTTTGCAGTGGCATTGTCAACTGTCAGTCGGTAGTCGCATTCCAAATCATCGTGCAAAACTTTGGCGATACAGAATCCTGAGCTCGCGGAGCCATGGACACGGCTGACGGGGAAACAAAGTCAGTGCGATTCGCCGCGCAACTCGAAGAGGAGCTGGAACGGGAAGGGCTGACCGATCTGCCTAAGACGACCTTGACCATCCAGAGTCCCATGAGTCAACCAGGAAACAATCGCCAAGAAAATGCTTGGAAAGAGCTGCTAGAGAGAAACGTGGACAATCCTGTGTATGGCAATGTTCAGATGGAGGAGGATGTGCTCTCCAACAAAAACACAGGAATCGGGTCGTCCATCCGTCGCCTGGGTTCGCGAGTGCAGCGCTCGATTCGCCGCTCGTTGCGACGTGACCCCAATCCTTACGGATCGCAAATTCTGAGGTAAACACAACCATTGTAGCGGTTTGGTGTGTTCATATTGTCTTCGTGTTGAACGTTCGTGTTTTTTCAACAGCATTCAGGAAGACCAGGCATGGATGAGTTGGATCGAAGAGCGAATGGGGTCAATATCCCGGGAAGCACAACTGGATTTGCCCATGTTCAAAAAGATTCTGGGTATCGAAAAAGTAAGTGAAGGAGATTCGAATTATATCCGTTGGAGATGCTAATTATCATGTTGCTGTTATTCTGACTGCCCTGCATTATATTTTTGATTCGTGTGATATTGTGATTCGTTGTCATAACTGGATTTTCTCCATTAAATATGTAAAATTAATTATCTGTTACTGCATTTTTTTGGCATACCTGTTCCTACCATCCAGTATCAATACAAGAATCCCACAATGTATTGATAATCATTTTTACTGTATTGATTATTGTTTTGTAGGCTTACTACGCAGATCGCCTGTTTTCCTTGTTCGACATGAATCATCGCGGTTACATCATCGTGGCCGATTTACTCCGGCTTCTTTCAGCAATGACCAAGGCCAGTGCCGCCAAGAAATTGCGACTCATTTTCGACATTTATGATGCTGACGGTACGAGCTAATAAGTAGAAAACGTGTAGCATTTTTTATCAGAAAACAGAAGAAAGAATTTCAGGGTGCATTTCAGTGATTTACAACTTTTCGCAGGTAGCCAGACAATTGATGCAGGCGAATTTACGGCTGTGCTGTCGGCGGCCATTGATGATAATGCACTGGCCATTGCGCCTCAACAGATCGAATACATGACGAAAGGACTCTTTGATGCGGTGGACGTTAATATGGATGGTGTTATCACTTTTGATGAGTTACAACAAGGACTGGAGCGTTTTCCGGAGTGGAACGAGCGCTTACAGATTTCGTAGGCAACATTAATTACTTGACAAATGAACTAAACGACCACGGGTCGCATTTTGCGAAGTTATCAGGATTAATGTATGTACCGATCTAGATTTTCCCGGTTTCTGAAACCTCCAGCTGAGAAACACCCGTCGGTTAAGAAGCGGCAGGATTTATCGCGTTTGTGTCCTCCCTACTTCCTGACGTCGACATATATCCGTCACAATCCACGCGAGTTCTTTTGGGCGGTCTTTTATGCCCTTTCGGTCGTTGCCTTCTATTTGTATGGATCCCTGTATGCGGTTTACGTTCAGCGTAAGTTAATTCAACGTAAGTCTCATTGTTAATCTAGTTCTTTTGGCATACCCCAATGTAGGCGACATTTTCCACATTTTCTGTTTGCTAGTGGTCAGTGGAAGGGCGTGACAGTGAAATGACACATCAGAATGTTTAGAATTAGCCATGCAAATTTGCAGTCATAACAGATAGTTTTGATATTATCCGACCTCGTTAGTTTTATGTTAAATACGCTTCTTTTGTTGATGAATTAATTCTTTAAAGGAGCCGGCTTTGCAGATGATATTACAACCCAGCGATGTCTTCCGTTTTACGCGGTTGCTCACGGTTTCGGAATGAACCTGAACTGGAATTCCATGCTGCTGGTAGTATTTATGCTACGCCGGACACTGACATACATTCGTAATACTCGTATTGGTCCATACTTGCCAATCGATATTGCTGTTTTCGCGCACAAGGTCATTGGATGGGTCGTCCTGATCTGTGTGTTGGGTCACTTCATTCTCCATATGTTCCATTTTGGTACGGTACCACTTCTATCGTTAAAATTCCTCGCATTCTGAACACCTGTTGAACCGAAGACATGATTCATTAAGTTAATTTCTGTACAGAATTTTTTAAAGAGAATTATAATTAGTTTTTTTATTGTACTTGCTTACCATAAGTGAAAAACCAAACGAAATTCTGTGCTCATAACATTTTTTCTAGATTGTTTGGTGCGTGATGGATCCAACTTCACTTATTACGAGCTGTTATTCACCACTAAACCTGGACTAGGGGTTCATCCCGGCGTCGTTTCCGTTACCGGCTGGCCAATACTGTTCGCATTCCTCGTAATGTTCATTTGTTCGCTCCCTGTTGTCCGTCGATCAGGATTATTTGAAGTAGGTGATGCGCTCATTCTCAAATCAGTTCAAATCATCTTTTGCATTTGTGTCTTCCAGGTGTTCTTTTTTTCTCACCTCCTGTACATTCCGTATATGCTGCTACTTATCGTGCACAGTGACAAATTTTGGAAGTTCATTGTCGGTCCTGGTGTCATTTTCATTTTGGAAAAGATTAGCATGACCCGGTGTATACGGCGTTTAGTGGAAGGGGAGTTTTACATCAAAGAAGTTGTATTATGGGCTTCTGGGGTAAATTGTAAATTTTGATCAACATTGTTTTTGTAAAAACTTGTAGCTGCAAGCATTTTAAACGTGTTTGACATCGCTAAAATTCTGCTTCAGTTGTGTATTAGATCAAAGAAACTTAAGCTACAACATACAAATACAGTTTGTATTTAAAAAAAATGTAAACGTTTCTGTATTTAGGTTACACAGCTGACCTTCAACCATCCTCCTAATTTTGCCTTTAATCCTGGTGATTATATTTTTGTCAACATTCCCAATGTAGCATGGTTTGAGTGGCATCCCTTTACAATCAGCAGTTGCCCGGAGAATTCAGGTGATTTGATTTCCTGCACGGCTGCGTGATCCAATACGGTGATTAACTGATTTGTTTTGCTTTGATCATCAGATGCCGTGACTTTGCACGTGCGCTGCTTGGGTGAATGGACAAAGCGGCTGCATACATATTTCAAGAATCACGAGCGCAATTGCGGTGGAGTGAAGGTGGATACGCTGAATCCATTTAGTAAATTATTCCCAGGATTCGAACATGGCCCCAGCGTGTTCCATAAGAAACGCCAGTCGGTCAAAGGTCAACCAGTTCGTGCTCTTCATGTTCCGGTATGCTGGCTATTAATAGTACTAGAGTAGTGTAACTGTAACATGATTATCTTGTTGCATAATAAAGTGCCAGTTCTGGGCAGCCATACGGGGAAGTCCAGTATATCACCGCTGAGCTGTAAAAAAATGTGTTGTCTCGATAACGAACTACAGTAGTTCAGTAGCGAACTAAAATAGTAGTGGATGAGAATGACAGAAGGTGCTGAAGAAAACAGTTGCCAGTTGTTACCGCGAGTCAAAGGACCTTTTAGCGTATTAATATTGTTTCGTGCTACATTTGAAGGTTTTATGGAATGGTGATTATTGAAACTCGGTTAATCAATGAATGGTCTTTGCACATTCCAGATCTACGTGGATGGACCCTACGGTACACCTTCCGGTCGAATTTTCAATGCTGAGCATGCCGTCTTGATTTGCGCTGGTATTGGTGTGACTCCCTTTGCATCCATCCTTCAGAGCATAATGTATCGCCACCATGCCTCTAAAATGCGATGTCCTGAATGCGCCCACGAATGGGCACCCGGTGTGTTTTCTGGCCAAAAGGATCAGTTGAAAAAGGTAATGTCGAAGAAATAAATCTGACTGAACTTCGTTTATTAAAGGCTATCTTACAGGTGACCTTTATTTGGGTGATGAATAGCCAACGTATCTTACAGGTGACCTTTATGCTATCTTACAGCGCTGTCTTACAGGTGACGTTTATCTGGGTGGTAAATAGCCAGCGTAGCATCGAATGGTTTGTGGAATTGCTGGAACGGCTCGACATACAGCAGTTGCGCGAAAATGAGCTGGACCGTCTGATTGATATCCGCATCTATGTCACCTCGGCGACACGAATGGCAGACTTATACGCCTTTGCTTTGACTACGGCTTTGGATATATTTTATGAGAAGCATAACCGGGATATGATTACGGGAATTCGTTCGCGTGCCATTCCTGGTCGTCCCGATTGGCGTAGCGTAAGGAAATGTGCATTGCATTGGTAAACGAAGATGTATTTGACGCTTTTCTTTGTATCCTTCGTAGGTGTTTGAACATTTAGATAAAAATAAACGCGGAAAGATATCCGTGTTTTTCTGTGGTCCGCCGGTACTGGGTCAGGAACTGCGGGACTTCGCTAATGAGTACGATTTCGACTTCCATAAAGAGTCTTTCTGAGTTTGAAAGTTTTGCCCTTTGTAAGTTTGATCGACAGTATATGTTTTGACAGTTTGTGTGGAAAGTTCTTTTTAAAGTTTTTTAGAGTTTTACGATGGTTTTACGAATGTGTGAATGTTAAAGTTTAAATTAAAACTCTGTGATGCTCTTTTTGTCTGCATGCTTGCTTATATTATTAGAATGGGGACGAGAATATCAGAATCTCGTAACAATAATAAAGCTCACATCGCACTAGGCAGACTCGGGTTTGGTATTCGCCAAGGAAGTCAGAGTATAATCGTTTCGTTGATTTAAAGTTTGAAATCATTAATTTTACCGATATGACCGTATGAGTACTGTGACTAATCTCATAATTCACCGACAGCCCATTGACGAAAGCTTTTACAAGCAGTGACTGAATATTGTGATATTGCTAGCGTCGTCCCATAATTCATTCCTAATCTTCCCCGTTTCTGATGATTTTTGAGAATTTCCGTCTATTCCTATAATTTCGATACTAATTTTTATTGTTCATTAACTGTAAATTTAGGTGAAAAATAATAGGAACGGGGAGCATCTCCAAAAATATTAGTTGTACCAACGGAGAACGGACCCTAAGAAACAAAGATGCGGAGCCGTCAGGTGACCCCCTGTGGGCGCAGCTGGATTGGTTTTCGCACACGCTGTCGCAGCTGGATTCGGGACTTGGGAGTACTACATGAGTGAAGAGTCTATCTCATTGGCGTTCCAATTATTTTGGGAAGTAGGAAGTTAAAAGATTTCTAGGTTATCGTGGATTATTGGATGGTTGTTATTATATTTTGTTTTTGTTCATAAACGAGTGTTTTCTAATAACACTTCTGACTTGAGCAAAAGGTACCGTACTTTACGGTGGCATCTTTGGATTTTGCGTTTTGCAGCTTCGGGTGCATCTTACTGCTCAACCATGTCGTCGGACTATCGAGGCAAAACAAACTATTTCGGCGACCGTCCCATGCCAATTGCGGGACGCGTTTCCGATGAGCGAGAGCGTCTTACCAGCATGACCATGGAGGAGCGAGAATGGCGTGCGAAGTGGTGCAAAGATCAGGAATTGGCGCCCGATGAACCAAAATATCTCCCCGAAATGGATCGCATAATGAATAATCCCATTCAGCGCTTCTACAAAACCCCCCTGAATTGGCTCTTCTACACCAAACTGGAGCCGGTCATTGTAGGTGTATTTGCTGATGATCTGCAGCTTGCAGTTCATGGAAGGGGGCCCTTCATCGGCTTCATGGTAGTTAACTTTTGCAGGGTCCTCACGCTGCTCTGTTCTTCCGTCACGTTATTCCAAAAGGACTGCTAGCTTGGGTCATTGGATGTTGCATTTTCTATAACCTGAAATATCGCCAGTCGGTAATTTTCCATTATGCTCCTAGTTTTGTTTTATATTACGCTTTAATGCTGAACAAGAATGTTAAAAACGTTGTAAGCTATCAAAAAATTGATACCTTGGGCCTTGCTTAGCATTAACTGTTAAGCAACCTGGTATTTTATCAAGTGGGTGACTGTGGGTTGTACTAGTAACTTCTAAATCGTTTTGTTGCACATCTTTCTGCACCTTTTGGATTGAGTAACCTTACCAGTACTTAAAAGTCGACTTTTAATTTTTTTAGTAGCTTTATTCTGAGGCTGGCTGAATATTAGCGCACTTTTTTTTGCTGGCTGTTTAATGTTTTGTTCCATAAATGTCTCCACACGAAAAATTTGATTTTCTTTTCATTTAAGTTACTAAAGGTTAAGTTTGCATTGCTGTGCATAAGTTTTTATTGTTATGGTTGTTTTAGAGCTGGGAACGAGATAGTGGCTGGATGTTCAGATGGGGAAAACCTACCTTGTTGCCGGTGAGATGAATGTTTTACTGAGAGCTCGAGTATTCCTTTTAAATTAGTCTGGTTTAAAGTTCAACGTACGGGAAAATAACAGATAGCGTTTCGCAAGAGATGGTATGTTTTCGGCCCGGAACTGCTATAATTATTATTGCATTAGAGTGCTTAAGCCATTACCTTCAAAGTAAGCACCGGAAACGTACTGTTTACTCCGTCCGTAGCAAATAATTTTTTCCTGTGATGTAGCGCTTGTATTCACTGTCAGTGCGTCAAAAGTAAAATTAATACTCGGCAATGCTACAGGGTGATCCTGGATATCCTAACCGTGATCCGGTGAATTACTCAGACTACTACAGTAAAGGCTTTTATGAACGGAACGTCTTCTTGGATATGGGTGTCCACGGAACATCTTCGTATTCAAAATAAGCTGTCCGCTAGCCCAGTTTGGTTTGAGTTTTATTGTGTGGTGTTCTTTCACATAACTTCATGGCATAATGGAACGGTTTAGTCCCTTTTGTGAGGGAAATTCTTGGCAATTTTAGCCTTCAATATGTAAATAATTTCTTGGTGTGGCGGAAATGCGTGCAGCACTGGCATGCAGCTTTACTACCCCAGTGGGTCTGAAAACAACCTAAATTGCGGCTCACTTGCAAGATAACTGCATCATGAAGGGCGATATCGTATTTCGATGTGTGGTTATACCGTTAAACCCTTGTAGTTCAGTATTTCCGTCACTATTTCGTCTTCTTTATAATTGCTGAGACTGAGGCAATTTCTGGATGGTTTACTAAATGCATGCGGGATGACTGAACTGCTCTGTAGTCTGTACTTATGTACAGACTGCAGCACCGGTACATACAATACATGAACATTGACAGCAGCAATTACTGTCTGAACTTTAAATTTTAATGCAGGATTAAATGCGAAGTGATGATACACTCATCATACAATACGAGTATGGAAACTAATTATTACTTATAGAAAATACAGGAGGAATCAGATTACAGCACACATCACGTACTACTGAACCTGAACATCTTTGGGGGCGAACAACCACTCTGAACTGTCTGAACTTCATCAACGTTTGTGTTATCTATACAAGTATAAATTTTGCGGAGTGTATTCTGTTTCGTAAACGAACACTGCGTGACATTTTATTCGGTGTTATCAATTAGCGAATGCCACATCACATAAAGTACGGATTGTCAAATATCCAAGGCAAAAACTGCAATATCAAAAACAATTTGTAAAAAGGACCACCAAACTCACAATTAGATGATTCTGCTGGTGTGCACTGCCAATAGTTAGTGCGAAACCAGTAACTGAAAGTACAGACAAGCACGTCAAATATCAGCTCAAGCGCCTTATTAGTTCAACATATCGGAACCGAAATAACAGCAGTCAACGTTTACAAGTCAGGGAGCTTGTGAAACTTGTCAAAGGAAGGCAAGCTGCCCAGAGAGCACACGCAACAAAGGACCCTTTAAAACACTACTACTAAAACTGTCTTCACACTGTACGTCGTTTCTGTGCATGGAAATTATTCATTTCTGGGTAGTTGGTACAATCTCGGATCCACTAAAGTTCGCTTGTCGCGGCAGTCATACACCCATCTTGGCGTGACAAAATGCATTCGCGGATTTTCACGCTTTACCTAAACCATTTCCACAACAAAAATTCATGTGGGGCTGTGGCTACACTTAAAACGCTGCTTTTGTAAACAAGCTCTTAACTGACCTCTTCAAATTCAGGACTCCATTTCATCGGTGTAACACAATGTGTCACAAGTTCATCATTATGATCACGAATGGTACTGTAAGAACAGGAACTAATCAAGCTAATTGAAGTTAACTGCCACAATCATTTTAAGTGCCACTCAACAAAGCGCTATCACAAACAAATTTGACAGATGCCTTATTTTGGCAATACTTGAAGAAAACCGAATTTGATTTTCTGGAATGAAATCATTACCGGTTTAGCCAACCATGTCAAAGCAAGAAGCTAACCACGAACTCGACAACACTTACCCGGCAAGATCGGTTATCAAAGACTTCAACTCATCTTCTTCGGTCTCATCTGGAAATTCGCCGTACAGATGGAAATGCATGTTGCGGAAGAGTGGTCGCTGTCGCGGTGTAAATCCCTTCCCATCGTCCACCGTTTCTTCAGAGTCTGTTAGATCGAGATCTTCGTCGTCCTCCTCTTCGTCAGTTTCATCGTCGTAATGCACGCCTCCACGACGACGTTTAGGGGATTTCTTTTTAGGTTTCTTCGCTGCAGGCTTTTTTACTTTGGATTTTGCAGATCGCTTCCTCTTTTTTCGATCATCCCCGGAAGATTCTGATTCTAGGTCATCGACATCTTCATGGGCAGAAAATTCCTCCTCATCTATATCAGATAAAGGATCATCAAGCTCATCTGCAATATCTGCATCCGATTCCTCAGCATCCTCTTCCTCTTCACCTGACGATTCATCCGCATCTGGTTCTAAATTACACAAAGAACAACTTTATTATATCAGATCTAAATTTATTTCAAAAATATGGATGGCGTAAATCATCGACAGACACTAATTAATCATTTACGCAATATTAGCCTATCAATTGTAGAAATTAAACGAGTGGAAGCAGCTGCTAGGCTGTGCTAACATCTTAAACATCTAACGTCTTAATGACACTCAAGAAAAAGCAACTCAACTGAACTAACTTACCCCACTCTTCATCTTCATGAAACTTCGCATCTTCTTCGTCATCAGCATCTGAAAACAAATGGAAAGACAAATGAAATTCCGATCAGGGAATATTCACTAATCCAACTAACCATCGTCTCTTTTAGTCGGCTTGGGCTTTAACATGAATGTTCTCCACGGCATCATGCGCTTATTCTTGTAACATTCCTCGATCCACTCTTTTTTCACTATGCGTCCGCCCGCAGCACGAACTTGATTGAATTTCGGTGTTCCGGCAACCGCGCAACTAATAATAAAAAAAACAGATTTCGCTGTCTGCTTGTGCAGCACAAGGTCGAAATTACTGCCAAAATTACTGCTAATGGTAAGAAATGGATGATAAAATTTACATGAGATGTGTACATTCATCCTCCCATTCTGGTCGATATTTAGCGCCCATATCAAGCATTTTTTCGCGAAGTTCAGATCGCAAAGGATTGACAAAACCACTAAGAGCCATCACGCAGCCTTTCATTATTCCCTTCAAATCCTGTGTCTTCGCGCCTACAAAACAAAACCAGGTAACTCCAACTTGATACGTTGGCACATTATAAAGTGTGCAATATGGACATGGCTCACACATCCGTCAGGTCTGCTCGCGAATAACGCAGACGCTTGATTTTTCAAGCCAAGTCTCCATTCGCGCTAAACTTTCTTCTCAACGTACTACATAGTGGATCGATTCCGAAGCACAAAAAGATTACCTCGTCTAGTCTTCCTTCTAACACTATTATCGTCGTCCTCTTCATTGTCATCCGGCAGGTCTTCTTCTTCGTCTTTCTTTCGTTTGACTCCTTGCGCACGACCACCTTTCGATGTCGACGGCTGTGGACTACTGTTTTCCTTCTTCGGCCGGCCGCGTTTTCGCGGACTAGACTGACTGGATTCCGGTGCGGGCGGTGCAGGTTCATTGGTTTCCGTCTCCTGATTCTCAGTGGTGCTGCCGTTCTGGCTGGTTTCCAGTGCCTGCGACTGCTCCTCAGCCGCGTCTTTCTTCTCCACCACGGCGCTATCCGCTTCGTCTGTTCGTGTACTGGCAGCGAAGAGATCACCCGGTCGAATCGATCCGTTAGTTTCCTTCTTTTTCAACTGAAAACGACCACCCGCGGAGCCCAGAGTCGGCGCGATAATCTGGATGGATGTCAGGCCAAAGCGCAGCTCCCGATTAAATGGCTGCTGGCAGATGAACTTGATGCGTTCCCATACAACTGGCGTCTGATCGGATTTCAAAGTGAACAGGCGTTCGGCTTGGCCGTTCTCTTTGGAGCGCGAATCCGATGGCGTCATCAGGGAAGATTTGGCCACAATCGTCTCCCATTTTCCGGAATCAACGTTCGCGGCACGTTCGCCTTGAATCTCCAATAAGGCAGTCCAGTTGTTAACCACTCGTATTGTCTGGATTTTGGATGGCCGGTCCATCTACAAAAGGCAAAATGAACAAACCTGACTCGCAATTTTAAGAATGCAAGTTAACAAGTACAACGGAGCAGCCTGGTTTTTTTCTTGGACGGCTACTGGCAATTGATTATCATCCGTCCTCACAATATCCAAAGATTATCATGACATACACATCTTTCGATTCTATACAGTCAACATGTGACGACTCGACAGCAATGAACTTTATTACAGACTTATTTTCATCTCTTGACAAAAGTCGCGCGAACTTACCTTAACAATCACGAACGCATCGTTCAGGCCAGGCGTATCGGTACTCCAGGCAGCAGAATCTTTCGAAGCTATTACATTCTTTCCTGGCGTATCCTATAAAAAGGTTTCTCAAGTTTACTACAGAATCTGCATATCAGGCCATTATCAGGGCAAAACAAGTGTGTTTTACCTCCGCTTCGGAGCTGACATCCACGATCTCCAAGTCTATGTTGGCAGATGGATCGTCCATTCTGATGATTTTTGACTGTTGCCTCGAAGTATACACTAAGAAAATCTGGACTAACAACGCAGCAAGAGTTAATTTTAGTTCTACACTCAGTGCGGGAATTCAGAGAAACATCTGCCGGGAAGTTGAAATTTCAAAATGTCAGAAACACGCATTCTATCGTTATTTATGTACTTAAGTACGTAAAGGCAGTATTATTAAATCACTTCTGCAGCATATCAGTTCAGATTTCAGAAGATGGCGAACCGATATCTAGGGACTCGGTGACAATCGGAGTAATGAAGACAGAATGGTTATCTCCAAATAATTTTCAAATTTCATGAACGATCATGTTCTAGCAAGCAAAATGGATGCCTTTAGAAATGATACTACTATTGTTTACACTTTACAAATTAAAGTACCTATGTGCGAGCGCAACGGTTGAAGGCAACTTGAAGCAGCGAAGTTGCCAACTGGGGCGCGGAAACGTATCTCATGTCGGTTGTCTCGCGCTCCGCACTGTTGTGCATGATTTTTTGCGTAAAATTTTCTTACACACTGGCTTTGTAATTTTCTTTTTAGAAAAAACATGGAAGTACTGCTGCATGATAAAATGTTATTGATGTCTAGATATGTACTAACTGGAAGCAATGGTAAAGTTTTTGTACTAGTATACAAGCGCCACGACCACCGCCACGAAAATCATTAACCAATTTTTTATAACAGCTAACAATAAATAACAACGCTAGCAAAACTAAATTAACATCGGTACTGCATTCTAAAATAAAACTGAACTACCTGAGTTGCATAAATAGTATCAAAAGTACCACTGGCTCACTGGAGGAGCAGGTCAAACCGATATACAGTGATTAACTGCGAACTTACGTACGGCATGCACGATTAACGAACGCTACACAAAAACAGTTAACATTAACAACACACCACAACAACACTGACTGGGAGATCAGTCAAAATAGCAAACAAGGATGATCACAATTCAAAGTCATCATTCAAACGGACGGGATTATAAGAAGGTCATCAGGGAACACATTAAAAAGATCACAACCGGTTTGAAGATTCTTTCACGGGAGATTTCAAGGTTTCCAATTCCTCCTCGTCTTCAGGAACTGCTAGAACGGGCTTTGGTTTAGGTCTAGGCAACAAACGAAAGCGCTCCTTCAATGTCATATTCTTCCCAAACTCTTCACCATCCTCGAGAGTCTGTGGCAGGCGCTGATGAACTGTTTCCGGTAACAAAAACGTAGAAAACGATCCCACTATAGTCAATGATCCAAAAACCAACAACGGTAATGTTTTCACTTCATCACCAAGACTAATAACAATCCATGGCACACCGCATGATAACATGGCGGATGTCAGGCTGACCGTTGAGTGCCCCTCGCTACGGATCACAGTGGGAAACGTTTCGTCTTCGAATAATTTCCCATTCAAATACGTAAAGGTTATGCACAGTTTGGCAATCAGTGTAAGAGCCGTCACCACTGCTGCGTAACCGGAAGGAACAACATTCGTTCCCAAACATGCCATACTGCATATAAACAACCCAAGAAATAAAGACGTCCTGCGACCCAAACGTTGAAATGCTGTTTTCGCGAATAAATAGGGAAAGAATTCTACAGATGTGTTGAGAAATGCGGTGAAATGCGGGCTGCCCTGCGCAAACAACGGAGCATAGTAATTCAATCCCAGAGAGACACCTTTATTGCAGGTGTTGATAAGCATTAGAGTCAGAGTTTTGATGCGCATATTCGGAGTACGAAAAAGATCCAATGGAGAATGCTTCTTAGTATGGTCCTCACGATCGACACCACGCACTTGCTGCGGAAGGAGGCTAGCAAAATGCATCGTCATAGGGCGTCGATTAATCTTGGCAACCTTTTTGAGAAATTCTTCCAGTTCCGTATATCTGCCTTTCGCCAAAAGCCACCTAGAGATGTTAATTTGGCCTTATTGTTAGAAATGACCACCAGACTGCGCATATATCAAATAAGATTATTATAAGTGTGTGCAGCAGTATTTAGCCGACTATTATTATTACTAAGCAGTAACTGCTTGATTACTTCATACGAAATCCAAATTAAAAAGATAGAGCCAGGAAACTCCGCTAAACGAAATTTTCGGCAAACTGTTGCTCAAACTAACTGTTTTACCTTGGAGATTCCGGAAAAAAATAAAACGGTGCAATATAGAGGACGGTAGCGATAAGCGATGAGACTCCAGCTAACATCCGCCATTCCCTTATAAAATACGCCATCCCAATAAACAACAGACAGCCACAGCTGTACGTAAAGGACAAGACCACAGCTAGAGGAGCTCGCTTCTCCCGACCAACAATTTCCAGGGTCAGAACAAAAGGTATGGTATAAGATGCCGAAGATGTCATGCCAACCAATAGGCGGCAAATCATGTAAGTGACATAATTAGGCGAAAACCCCGTTAAAATAGTCGCTGCACTCTGGAACACTGCGCAGAGATAAAAACCCTTCTTGCGGCCAATGCGATCTGCCAAATACCCCCAAAACAGCGGTCCAATGACTCCCCCGACGACGAAAATGGTATACGACCAAATCATCATATAGCGCCGGCTGCATACCAGATTCCATTCCGAAACAATAGTTTCCTGATAAATACTGCGATTATATCGGTATTCGGAGCATGCTTCGGTAATCCTGTCTTTCATCGGCAAAGATACATTGTTCCAAACATTTTCATCCGTTCCATTCCATGTGATCGGCAACTCAACATCAGTGGCGTTTAAGCGGACTGTATGACAACTTTGGCCTTTGGTGTGGTTCTGAAACCACAACACGGGCGCTGTTTCATTGTCCTCCAGATACCACGAATACCTCTGGCCTGACTTCCAGGAAAAATTATGCGGGGCTGCACAAGCATAGTTAGGGACGGCCGCGAAGAAAACCTACAATTATCACATAATTATGATTAAACATAAACAAACTCCGATCCGAGAACGCATGCAGTCAGCAACACCGCACGTAAATAAAGATGCAAAAGTGCACCTCACAGAGTTGAAGTTAATATAGCAGAACTTGCTGCAGAAGCAGTTATGCGATCAAATTATCAGCCGTTAAACCGGTATAACAATAACGGCAACAATAACATAGAAAAGACACTGTTGCACGCACTGCAAGCAATAAAATTTATTAAGTATCAACTATCAATACGACAATATCAACGCATTATCAAACTTTTAAGGTGTGTCGGATTAGATAACCTAAAAGTGTTCTGTACGGATGCTTACCGATGTCTGCGCTAAAAATCCCGATGGTAGAATTATAGGGATTATGACAAAAACAACGATTAGAATCTGGTACCTTCCGAAAGAACCCACAACGTCAAACACGTCGTCAAATGTTTTCTGGGCCGGCACTGCGGCACCATTTGTTTTTCTTGCTTCCGACATTATGTCAAAATCGTATCCCAATCTCGGAATCCCACAAAAGCACGGTATCCGTGTAGACGATCGGGCGATCCAAAAATAATCAAGTCAAGCGCTGTTTCCGTCTTCACCGATATCTCACGGTTTACCCGTCACTAGTTAAAACGCCCGAGCCAGATGCTGTGTTAAGGATTTCCGTATCCTTGCATTCATGTCTGAGGAATTATCAATTATGTCTGAAAAAGGAACGTGGGAAACAGGAACAGAATTTATCTGCAGTCTGTGTAGAAGGTCCGCGAAATTGCAACATCCATGCCAGATCGCAAACAATCCCGGGCACGCGCCAGTTACGAAACACAGAAAACAGCGAACTCATGCCAAGAACAGCCAATTACAAAACCTGACCACACCCACTTTATCTTGCGCAAGGCGCCAAATTCTGCTACCACCGGAAGTGTCTGCCGGCACGGGATAACTATTTTTAGAGTTCCTTAATAATAAAATCTGGCAATGGAATCTGGGAAGTCGCAGCACAGCCGAAGAGCAGGAAAAACTGCTCCATTTCAATGAAAACGAAAGCCTAAAGAAGCCAACTGTTTTCAGAATTAAGAACAACAAATTACAATGATATTTTGTAGCGAAAGTATTAGTAACATAATTACAGGTTTAAAATTTTTACAGGTTTAAATTTTAGTTTTGAAGTAAGTAGTGTGCCCCCAGTTGCACTTTGTATTACGTATTTTGATGGTGATTTCCGATTAAAGTACTCGTAGCGAAAGTAGCAACTGGACAGGAGTTAAACAGCATTTTACTGACTTACTGTGAAACATTATACTCTTATAAGTTAGATTTGCCTTCGAACGACATTTTTATCTGGAATATTTCCACCTATTGCGAACATGGTACATAATTACATTTACAACCAGAAACCGTGAGCAAGCTGCTTTATAGGCAGGTATCAAAAAACGCCGGCGCCACATTTTAAAACATCTACGCACAGCAGGACTGATTCTACCACTTTTATTGACCAACAGAGCGATCAACGAAACCTTCCACATTAAAATTAAAAAAACTTTATGCAGACACAGTCATTCAGGAAAAGATAAAAAAACCCCAGTTTTTCCGTACATGGCATCATTTCACGGAAACCAATGAGAGATTTCGTGGAGATTGTGCTTCATCAAAAACTGGTATCACGCAGCATGTGTCAATATCGCAGTCTTCTCTAATGTATAAGAGGCGGTCAATGGTGATGAAGGTTTCCAAAACTCCCTGAATCAAGCCCTGGAGCACCTACGGGAAAAGCTACGATCTGAACAGATGAAAATACGTAAGTCAAGACTAGATTCTGGAAGGCAAATGTCCTAATCACACCATCGCCAGCTCACCCTAAAAATCCGTAAAGTGCGATAGTACGGTTCGTGGAAGGTCGTGTAGCATTCACTCAAAAGCCCAACAAAACCACTTTCATCAGTACAGCCTAAAACCAAGTTTAGCGTATCTGCACGTGGCACATCAAAACGACATTATACGAAATTCGGATTACAGAGAGACATTTCTTACCTTCGATCTGGTAATTTTTGAAGACACTTCGTACAAAAGCGTCAAAATCAATACCATATTCATCTGTAGAAGCGTGACGCCGTTTTTTACGGATGAGAAAACCACCTGAAACGCACAAATTGCACGTTACTGTAATTACATTAATCTCAAGTTCAAAGGATAAGATATTAAAGCGAACCAGACAAAAATAACAAACTGGAGTAATTTCGGTGCTTCGCATTACAGCATTCACCTTTCTCTGCAGCAGCTTCTAAAAGTGCCCGGAAAGAATGGCAGTGCGCATGAGCATCCAGTTCATTTAACCAACGCACTCGAGTTTCCTGTGTGGCTAGTCTTAAGGAAGCCACACTCACCAACATACTGTTCGATTTCAAAACATCGTTCCAGATGGTTCGCGCGCTGGAACTCAGCGGACAGCGCTGCACATGCGAACCGCTTTGATCATATTGCATCAGGTGATAGCAGCATCCCACGCAAACCATGGCACGAGCCAGTGGCAATTTCGCAAAGAGGTCCAGGAATACAGGGGTGAAATCACCGCAACAATGGAGCCCCACCAAACAGAACCTGTCGGCGCCAGATTGCTCTAAAATTGCCTGGAGATCCGCGGCGCACTGCTCGTTGGATTCTATTTTTAAAGTGTGATGAAAAAGGCGTCCTCGCATGGGTCGCTTGCGTGTATGTTTGATGGCCCGTTTCGTGGCGGATTCCGTACGAATATAGTCACACTCCACTGCTATCACATTAAGCCCGTACACATCGCACATCACGCAATCCAAGTAACCCTACATATGGCAGAACAAATCAAAACAATCAGCGAAATGCAAATCGAAAGATTTAATAACAGCGACATTTTCATTAGCACCGGCATAAATATAAAAACCAAATCAAGCATTTCAGAATAAATACGTCCCGCGGTAATTAAATCACCCATCATTTAGATTTAATTCTAAAATACTATGTGTTCGCAAACTACGACCCAGCAAAACAAACTGCCAACGACCGACGTTTACCAGTATATTTTCCAAAACTGCATAATTTTTAATTTCAGATCTCACTATCATGATTTTCGGAAAGGTAGTTACAGTCTATACGTAACTATACATTAAATTTGTACTGTACAGATTAGAACAAATTTTTGCTGCTTCCTTGTATGTACTTGTATATGTAGTTCTACTAAAATCGGGAGGCAAAGCCACGAAATTCGTAAATTAAATTAGGTACGCTCATTTATGTCGTCGCATGAAAACAAATACACACAAGGCAACCTGCTATTAAGTAACCGCAAAAACCACAAAATTTTAACCGCAGTCTGATAAAATCACGTCACAACAAAAACGGATGGCAAAGATAGCAGATTTTATCCACATTCCACTCTATCGTAATCATCACTTCTGAGTAAATCCCAATAACCCACCCATTGACTTCCTTTTGCGCGCTTGCGAGGGTCGAACAGCACAATCAGTCATTTCGCGTAAAGCATGATCGTATCATTTCACTTCCTCTCTAATTTCGTTAACTATGATTATCTCTGTTTTCCAGTGGCGAGTCACTGCAGCTGCACAAGCTACTGTTTCTGGACAAAGTGCAAAACGAGAACAGTCAGTACGCATGCTAAATTAGCTATGGCCGAAATAAATTTCCAAAAAGCGCTTCCAAAAGATAAAATTAAGTCATTCGAAAAAGTCGTCGGATTCATTACTTTAAAGATGCGTTGCCGTTTTCGTGGATGCACGAAATTGTATCCTACAAAATAAATTTCTTACCATACCGGCGCCCAAATCCACGACGTATTGTATGTCCTGTTGACGGCAAATTTGACTGACGATTACAGCCATCCGTGATACTTCGTGGTACTTTTTAGGACTCATTCCATACGTTAAATTTCTAGGAATCTGACATTCCTGTAGCATAAACGACTCTCCACGTTCTTCATACGAAAAACCCAAACACGTTTGCAAGTCTGAAGGCAGTTCGGCCACAGCATCGCTCAAGTTTCGCGCCATTGTCAGCCTGTTCGTATCCTCCAAAAAATCAAGCAAGGATTCGGGCAGCATTGAGAACGTCTAAGGAAAAAAAACAATCAGCCAGTCAATAAACGAAATATTTCGAAGAACCCTTACCGTGCGAAGGCGTGAACGTTTCTCGATGCATTGTAGGAGCAAAAGCAAATGCTCATCCGTCAAGGCATTCAAAGACTGGTACCACTGGAAGCGACAAGAAACCAATTCACAGCTGATCTCAACGCGATAGCGCAGCTTCCAGTGGCTAGCTGCAGCAGTTCGTTCAGTTCTTCGGCCTTGTGTTTAAACACCTTACCGTTTCGGGCAGCTGCTTGTAGATCCCGTCGACATAAAACCGCGTCAATTTGAAATTATGGAGCCACTTCCAGGTCGCAATATAGTCAATTGCCTTCGAAAAATAACTGTTACTGTCCTTCTTGATACCTGTTACGCCAACTGCTTTCACCAGGTTCTCCATTGTTTTTCATAAATTCATACCCCAAACAAAGGAAGAAGTATGAAAACGTTTCCACAGAAAATCCTAGGCGAAAAATAAACCTCAACATTTCAGTTTGTCGAGCAACGCAAGAGCTATCTGCTATAACACTAAAGTAAATATTAAATTAGTAGTAAAGGCTGTATAAAAGCCAAGCCAAATAGCAAACGTTTTAACCAAGCCAAACAGTAAACGTAGCCGCCACACGTTTAACGGAAGCGGAAACAGAGCGTACCTACAAGTTAAAAATTGCTACGTTTTATATCGACGTTTTATATTCGATGTTCATAATAATTGTTACTAAACTTTCTAAAAGAATGTATGTTTGTGATCAGCAACTAGATCCATGAAGTGAAGGAATACTGTACTTAAAATTTTTAATAGAAACTTAACTCAAACAGCATTATTTATACGGGCGACGTATACCGCTTCGTTTCTTCGCTTGCGATCCTATTACTGTACAGTACTTATATTCACGAGAACGCTGCCTAAAACTCGAGACAAGTAGATACAAAATTTTAAAATGTATTTCTACCACGTATGCAAGCATGGATACTTCATGAATTATTGTTTACAACATGATAATCCCGCAATTAAAATTAAATCTGTAATTCCTGTCAGTGCAGTTTACCGGCATCCATGCTCTGATACTACAGTAACTGTCAGTAACGATAAGTAGCTCGCATAACATTAATCGCAACAACAGAATTTATTAATTTTGCATTGTTGCATCAGATCCTTACGGCTGCTTTACAAGTTTGATTTAAAACTTGCGGCGCTTCAGACATACTGATAACCTCAAAATTACCTTCCCCCCAATTTCCTCGTAGTTTACGCACACTACCATTCATAAAGTTTTGTGGCAACAGGTTGCTTGGAAAACTTCTCTGACTAAACTCTCGCTTTCAGTCAAAATATTAATGATAAGATAACAATTTTATCGGACACAAATCCATTGATTATCTTAATGTAGCGATTCGGCAAGTCGGCGTGCCCAACAGAGCCATCATATTGCCATTATTATGGATAAATTTATAATTCCACAATAATGATCCATTTGCCTGGCTGCAAACATCGTACGTACATACCTGAAAATAGAACATAAATGGCAGCAAGCGCCGTTGTGTGAAAACGCGAACGATTTATAGGTATGCATAAATAAGGTTCATCGGGTGTATGCTTTTATGTTTCCGCTTTTCTATCCTTTTTATTTAAAATTCATAAGCAATACTAACATCATTAAAATAAGATTTATTCAAATAATTGGAAAACAATGCCCATATGAGGGGATTGTTATTAATTTTGTAAACATCACAATATGTGAACCATTAATGCGTAATTAGGCTCACATTGCCATAATATTCTATACTCCGACACTGAAGACCGTAAAACAGAAAATTTGTATATGAATTGGCCGGTTAATTTCAATTCGTTCAGCATCTGGTGCAGGTTAAACTGTAGGACAGCCATATCTGTGCAATACTTACGATTAGCTTACTGTTATTATTATTTGAAGAATTTTCTGGCTACCTTGTGTGTGACGTAAATAGTCATAAGCTCGGTTCTGTCACACCCATGTTCTTTATTTGTATGCCCAACGTACAGGTAGAACGTAGAACAGTCACAGTACGCGGCTCTTCGCTGATTGGTAAAACCATCCATCAGCCGGTAACGATTTCAACAAGCATTTCTGTAGGGAAACCCAGCTATAGGGCACGCGCGTCTACATATAATACTCGTGCCACACCAGCAAGAACATTCAGTATCGGAATAATCGACGTAACAAACAGAATTTGATTTTCTTCACGTTCCAATTCTTGAGGCGCTTTAACGCAGCTGGTTCTGCTAGCCTCCTAACTAACCGTACCGTACCGTGACCTTTGTACCTTTTCGCCTACAATTCGTCCCGAAAAACTTCTTACGAACCCGAGTTTCGACTTTCGTTATATGTCAATCGCATTAAATCAGGAAAAGGAAAATGATTACATATGGACAAGGTTTCGATGACGAGGTAAGAATTTAATCATGAAGATTCGCGGTCCTAGTACGTACATAATACATTGTGTTTTCTATAGATTTTTTGTAAACATTTGCGCTCGGGGTATTATTATATGTTCGTAATGCTGCAATGGCTCTGTCACAGCCTCTGTGTTATACTTTTATCATGTTTTTATTTTGAGATCGGTTACCGCATACGATGTAGCATTTTCTTTTGTTTGGAAAATATCTACCGGTGTTCATGATTCACTTTTTCTTGTTTAAAACTTTTTTTAGAAATATTCTGCGAATACCCAAAAAAGTCTGTCAGCTGATTATAGCATTCCCAGAGTTAACAAATAATTATTCTGCAGACGATCTTTTTAGTTCGTGACTCGATTTCACGGTGTATTTGCACATTACCAATCGATAAGTCGGCAAATGCATATAGGTATGGTCTGTTGCGCCTAACCAGAGAATAATGGCACATTGATCTGATTCTCCCGTAACCTTCAAATGGGCTGTAATAACTGCACACGGCCATATATGCTGGCCAAAGGTACAGAATAGATGGGTTTTTGTGGGGCTGTTTTCGGGATCAATAATCTCCGCTGTGTATGTGGAACCGAGCTCTGGCCAAAACTACAGCGAATTCGATCATGATCAATCGGTCATGTATATATTTAACATAATTAACAAGCAGCTGTTTTTCTTATTCAGTGTAAATTTAGCTTTTATTGTTAATATTTCTTTTCGAATACGACAGCCAAAATTAAGCTGCTCTGTTTTGAACTAAAGCTTATAAACACAAGTATATTTATTGAAAATATGATTGTGCTTCACTGCTTATAACCAGGCTGAACCTGTATACTGTAATTCAACAAAAATTTGGGTATATTTTGTTTAAATTCAAATACAAGTAAATGTAAAAGCAGTAATAACAGCATTGCTTGAATATATTTGAATAGCGTAACACTTTACGGATGATTAATGCTGGTAAAATTTTTTCGCAGTCATTTATGTAACAACTCTTTGGCTTGATGGTATACTGACATTGTCACATTAGTCACTACAGTACCGTGCCGTGACAATTAACAATCCTTTTAACAAGCTAACTTTCGTTCTTTAAACTTTGACCCTTACTTTTCATCAGTTAATATAGCACGCATAAAATAGTTGCTGATTGTGAGCTTGATTCAAGATTTTGTGTTTGAACAGGGCTACACGTATCTGGGCAGTTTGTAGTTTGTACTACGGTAGAAATATAGATATGTACCGTAGATCTGTTAACGATAGTCTGCAGGGACTTGAAATTATCATTATGCAGTAGTCTGAAATTATATGTGCGTTTGATAATGGAAGCGTAACACTACGTCAAATATAAAATAAAATGGTTTTGTTAGAGAACATGTTTTGTACTCTCACAAATTCTGCAATTATGCTTTGAAAATTTTGCTACGCATGCGCATTACTGCGTTACGATCATGCATCTTTTGAAAAGTTACGCGCGATATTTAATTGTTAATGTTATAGTGACATCGATGTTTATCGCATCGTGTGTTTACATAAATTTCGTAAACACGCTTTGTTTCATTTTTTTGCTGGTTACAAGTCGTTATGACACATCTAAACACAACAGCTCATCGACGAAAAAAATTCGGTATGTCTTAAATAGTGCGCCACTGCTGGCATTTAATGTTGGCCTACATAGTTACCGTCTATGAAATTATTCGATAATGTCAACAGATGTTTAACTGCAGTTCTGGTACATTATAGCGCGCGCAAATCGTCCCGACTGGTGTCTTCAGCGGATGCGAGTTTGCACAGCAGCCATCACCGCCGACATTCAACGGGAATTACGACTACGGTCACGTCTTCGTTAATTCCGCGTCCAACTGTTACGACGACTTCGACGCTGGACTGTTGGATGACGGTCAGGTGCCGTTCTGCGGTGGCTATCAGCAGCAACGCGTAAACCATTTGGGATACAATCAGCAGCAGCGCAACGTCTACGATTCCCAGAATTTCGACTACATTTCCATTAAACCCGAACCGAAGACCTTGCTCGAATGCTTGAACGCCAATACCGGCTCCGTGTCGTGCAGCACCAATTCAGTGCCGCGTCGTAGCACCGCTGCGCCCGTCTACACCATGCCGCAACAACCAGCGCATCCAGTGCCACAGGAAACCCAACAGGATATGGGCTTTTCACTGGCACGGGACAAGATCGAGCAAGTACAGCAACTGGCCATCCGTCAGGCTATTGCCGATATGCAGAGCGCCTGCAAAATTCTGCAGATCCCGGCAGGTAATACTAATTGGAAATTTTCTCTAAATTGTACAGGTGTAATGCAAACTGCTGAATGATATGTAATATGTTTTCATAATTATCCTCGCATACATAATAATCAATTGTTCGTTTCGACACTATACTATGGAGATTCACTTTAAATTAAAATAATATAATGTAATTTGTTTCATCCACATTGTTTATACAAGCCGATACAGTACGCGATGATAGGTTGGAAGAGCGAACTGAAATGATTTAGATAGCAAACCATTACGTCTTATTAGCAAAAAAACTGAATATTGTAGTAACATTTTCGAATCAATGGAGTTCACTCCTCTTCTTAAAGGCTGCCGTACTTGTACGGACTGGCGAAATAACAATCATAATATGCAATATGATGATCATGGTCTTCGTCATGGTACACCTTCATTTATTTTGCCGGCTTGCTGGTTTACAATTAGTTCTTCATCTGGTACCCTACGTATGCGATGATGTTACCTGGAAATGCGTGACATGGCCTTTCGGCACACTTGTAAACTCTAGCATAGAGGCACTGAATCGTGTCGCGCGATCAGCTCTTTTACCTTCTTCGTCTTTTAAGCTCCTTTTAGAGGTTTTCGGCTAGTGTAGTTATGCTGATCGTTTCTGATCGTTCAGGCTGAAAACTGCTGGGTCAACATTTGCGCAGTCGATCACAATCCCACATCGTAGCAGCCATAGACATTTAAATACTTGACCATACCTTTTGAGCTGCTGACTGTACAAATTGTGACGTAAATTGAACCAGTAATAAATAGATCGGCGCATACGACATCTATGCAGAATTATGTACCGATATATTCTGATGAACTAAATCTCTATAGCTGCTTTTGAACAGTGTCTCAATTTTTTTAACGAACTCAAACCATGCCTAAATATGCCGGTTAGCCGAGGTTACTCATTTCTATGCAGAACAGGGCGACTAAGTGACCCCCGATTAAAGGCAGTTTTAGAATTCTAAGAAAATCGTCTTTTCCAGTATCCTGTCTCATTAAGTCTTTCTTGCCTTCCTCTACATTTTCGCCAATGTAAAGGTCAAGAACCAGGATGAACAATCATTACGCTGAACGCTCTATTCTTTTCAGTCATTCTGCATCGTATCGCACTCTAAACTATTCATCATGGACTTTTAATTTTGACAATTCAGATTCGAAAACTAGTGCAAAGCATATGCTTATAATGCTAAAACTGAAATTACTTGGAGAAATACTATATAGTTAATCACGTACACTGCTCTTAACCTAGTTTATTTGTGAAGTACTGTGACTGAACAAATAGCTATGTTCTGCGAATTATTTCTAAAGGGCTCTTACTTGTTAGTCAGTATGCCTGGAGGAAAATTTACCGGTGGTGTAACAAACACCAACTGTTATTAAAAATACCCAATGCATTCCCCGAAAATCAGCATTTTTATCAGCATAATACATACTCCGTAATCACAGAAATGTTCTCTGCACAAATGGTGGCAGAATGTGAGTCAGCATAACCGGTTTAAAAAACGTCCGCTGCCAAAACAGCGACTAGTACGGCTATAATTTTACAAATTCACCGTAGTGCCGTAGAATATTGCCGCGGCAGTATATTGTTCATCGAGCCAGCTTACAATAGTTCACCTTTCCATACAACAATTATTCTCCGTCAATAATAAATCCGAAAGCCAAAGTAATGTTCATAATTTCAAGGCTATCGTTATTTTCCATTAAGTACTTATTTGCTCTATCAGTATTACGTATTTCTACGGTTAGCTGCTCAAAGGTCACCGTTAAAATTTGAAAAGTTGGCGATAAGATACGCTCTTTTGCATATTAAATTCTATAATTATTCGCTCTGAAACACGCAAGCAGACGTTCTTGTGGTGTTGATAAAATGTATTAACGAGTGCTTTATTTATGTGCAGAGCCATTCTTTTGGACAAAAGAACAAACACGAGCGTGGTTAATCTGGACTTGCCAGCATTACAATCTGTCCCACTGCATTGATTTGCGCCAATTCGACTTCGACGGTTTCCATCTCGTCATGCTGCAGGAATCCGACTTCAAAAGACTAGCTCCGGTCTGCGGAGAATTCCTGTGGTCGATTCTCGATATTTGGCGCACCGGTAGGCATAAAACGGTTAATTACAACGCGTTTGGCGCTTACTAACCAATACTGGGTACTTTTTAGCTGCCGGTGGCAACAGTATCAAGACGGAAACCGACATCGGTGGCTACGGCTGCCAACCGCAACGCGGACAGCCGATGTCGGCTTCTCCAGTGGATTACACAAATAACGCAGTCAGTATTGATCAGTACAGTACTTATGGATGTGTCACAAGCTTCGACGGACCCTACTCCAACTGCACTATGACCTCTGCCATGTCCATCTCGGCCGGGAGTCCAGGATCATGCGGCGAATCTTGTGGGAATGACAGCGGCTTCGAAAATGAAACCATCAGTGAAGGTACGCAGATATCAGATGGCACAATCAGTAAACAGATATTCCATGCTTTACTATTCGCCCTACAGATGATCGAAGCAGCATGGACGGCGATATGGATCACAACATGGACAGCACTTCGGGTGGCTCGCACACACATTTGTGGCAGTTTTTGAAAGAATTGTTGGGAAAACCCCATATTTACTCATCGGCAATTCGCTGGGTTGACCGTTCGAAAGGTAAGGTCACCAACTAATAGCACAAATCTTTGCCTTATCAGCCCATGCATATCCCATTGCTGTACATCAGAATTAGTTAGCACAGGTAAAATTTTAAGTACGATCCTGACTTTTTTCACTTTTACAGGCATCTTCAAAATTGAAGATTCGGTTCGAGTGGCCCGTTGTTGGGGCAAACGCAAGAATCGCCCGGCAATGAACTACGACAAACTGAGCCGGTCTATTCGCCAGTACTACAAGAAAGGCATCATGAAGAAGACCGAGCGCTCCCAACGGCTGGTGTACCAGTTCTGCCCAGCGTATGCCCACTGAGAAACTGCAATCATCACCGGAAATGCGTCAGCATATTATGTGTGTGTGTGTCTTCAGCCCGTAGTATATATATCGCCGATCACATCGCTTGCGTCCACTACACCTCATCATCCACATCAAATAGCCGCCCACAAGTATTTTTCCGTCCATTTTCCTCGTTTCTCGTGCCGTGCAATTTATTTTGGACGGTTTGGTGCAGTTGGTGTTTGGAGGTAATATGGAGAGGGCTCTCGTGAACAGTGCTGGGAACTTATTAAGGGAAGCAACCCGTTCGTAGAATTCAGGCTGGTCCTGAGCAAAGTTCACAACGGGGTTGTATATCGCCTTATAATTAACCACACATACACTGAGAGCATCCTTCGATCCGACATCTGCTGCATTTTTTACACCGCCGACTTGGCAGATGAATGTCTGCTGATTACTTGGTATAGGCAAAATTTGCCCGTATTTTTTTGGTGCTACTTTTTCGGTTGGGTACTCAAGAGGCTGTTTGGTATTTTTGGAGTGTTTCACTTTTAAATTGATTGTAGTTCAATATTGTATTTTACTCTCTCTAGCCTTTTTTTTCCGTTTATCAAAGACATTTGGTAAATGTAAAGTATGTTCTGTGAACATACCTGTTTTGTCTCTTTGCGTGTGTTGCCTGTGCTCCGCCAGTTTTAATCATGCATTGTACACTTCGTCATATCTAAAAAACTTACGAAATAACGTGTTAATTCCGCTGTCGTATTTACTTAGGAAGATGCCATCACACAGAATCGTTTGGCTCTTCCTGTGCATTCGGAGTGATAACACGAAAAGTAGTAGCTTACGAAAAACAGACAGTCATAAACTTGATCATATATGAATGATTCTCAGCAATGATACGCGGTAAACTGCGGCACTCTTGGCCTCAGTTTATTTAATTTTAACTTTCCGAATTTGATTTTTAATGCAGATCACATACCGTCGTAATATCAAATGCAGTTGCGATATTGTGTGTATATAATAAGTGTACGAGTATCATACAGAAAAAACCAGATAGGTAAATATTTGCCGGTCTGTTTCCAACAGGTAAAATACCTGGCAGTAATAAAGGCTCTATTCAGCTCCACATCCATATAAAATCGTTATAGGCGATATTTAAAAATTGACGGTATTCGTCATCGATGCCCCATCGATCCTCATCGTGTAGGTCACCTTCCCAGCATCTAACCTGTTTGTCTGATTGGTATGCTCACGTGAATGGGTGATTAAAAGAACATATAACGCTAAACCAGGCCAGCTGAGTGCTTGATTCAATAAAAGCCCGTTTCATGTGTTAATCACAACGTTACCAAGGCTTATTACGGAGAAAACGCAATTTATCAAAACGCTGATGGGGTTCGAAGGCATGAAATCAAGTCTGCCGTGCATTGCCATTTTACATGCCTGCAGCTGGTGCACTGCAAAGGTCAGCGGTACTCTTAAAAATGCGCACAGGAAATCAACTATTTATTACTAGCTAAAACGTGCGTATGCGATGTACGGTACTTACATCAAAATTAACAGCTCTTCGATGCTGAATGCCGATTTGCAATATTAATGTCCGTACTATTTATACTACATTAGTGCGTGCGAAACACATTTATTTTCGAAGCTCCAAATTCCAAAAAAGCAACTGCAATGCACCGCTGTATTTCTTAACTAGTAGTGTTTCCATAAACCACAATAAGTAGCGGGAATAACTTGCACTTCATTTGTCATTTACAAGTGATCTTTATTGGTCAAATCGAACACAAGGCGCAAGATATCGGAACATAATAAAGTAATAAAGAAAAGAGTTGTAACAGGTAAATCTCATTCAATTTATCCGCTTCACCCACGGTCCCGAGTACAGATGTCGCATTCCCTCTTTGGATTTCCAGCGACAATCGTTGTCGCTGAAATTCGTGAGAGCGAGACTCTCCAGTATGTTGCTGCAGTCTCTTGTTAGTATTTTACAAGTTAGTATTTTTTTTCCAAGTTATATTAAGTTATATTATTTAAGTTATATTATTAAGTTACAAGTTATATTATTTTACAAGTTATATTTACAAGTTAGTATAAATGGCAGCTCACATACGAGTAGCCGCATAGAAACATCGATAGACGATAGCATAGCTATATTTTAATTAGACTTAAACTACCTCGTATTAATTTATCTTCACTGCCAGTACAAATGCACCACTACTTCGGCAAGTTCCGAAAAGTCTGAAATCTACTCGTATGGCTAAATTTTCTCAAATTTCCTGTTTCTACAGTTTTGTGACATGTAATAAGAAGATGGCTCTTAACTGTCTGTTTATTTCTTCTCGATCGAATTTTTCTATAATCCGAAACTTACATCTGCCTTTTCATCAACTCGTGTCATTGTACGCTTTTGATGTTTACTAGAAAAGTACAGTATTTCTAATCTATGTAGGAGCGAAGAATACGGTACTACTGCACTCGTACCGGCACTCGTACCGGTTCAAGCCTAATACCAAGCATAAATGCAATTGAAAAATAAAAAAAACAATTTTGCGAGCAGCTTGATATTCGATAAATAAATAATTTTCTAATATTATCAGACTCACGCGTATTTAAAATCCTAGCCTCATAAGCAGTTTTTTATTAAATTTCTCAAGCTGCTGGACGATTTCCCGCTTTCCGTTTTATTTTATCTGTAACTGCTCATTAGTCATTAGTCATTTCGTCATCTGTAATTACGTTTGTCGCTTTTCTAATTCTCTGTGACCATAAGAGAAACAGAAGTATGAATAATTAGAAATTTATTATGCCTATTTCGCGTTGTTTCAACAATTTCTCAACTTTTATAAATCAATCCAAGACTGAAAGGATTAAAAAGCGTTCTAAAGAAAGAGCAGCATGTCTCTGAACCCAGGAAAAATTAAATTTTCAGTATTTTTGTTGTGTTCTGTTCCCGACTGCTACGATAACGAATTATTAACATCGGAGAAAATGCAATTTCCACGAGCAGTCTTTCCACAACAGCAGGCCCTTTCCTGTTTATTACACCGAAAGGTAAGTTTTTATTCTCTTGATTTTTATTTTTTATGGGAACTCCATATTCCAGTGACGTGCTTCTTCCTTAATTACACCTAAGTACCAGCACTTGCAATTCTGCAGTGTCCCGGCTCATTCTTCCGGTCGGCAAAGGTGATTAAAAATCGAGCACCTGATCAAGATTTCCTGGAACAAGTACGTGCACAGCGCAGCCAAGAATTGTATCACAGGAAGTGAAAATGCAAAATCAGTATTGATTTGTCATTCCCCACAAATACTCTGCAGCGACAAATCCCAAAGAGACCTACAAACCCTTCGAAACAGCCTTAATATGCTGATTTGACTGATTTCCTGACGTCAAAAGGTGTACCGTGAAATATCACGAGCAGTAATTGGCAGCGCTGTTGTGGTCGCAAGTGCAGAAAATACCGATATAATACGGCTAATCATGTCCGAAAGCTTTTTAATAATGCAAGGCTTTAATAATCAGACTCCCACTGAACCGATAGAATTGCAAAAAGGACCTCGTCACATAGCCGCGTACGGATATTCTAGAGTAACCAATGAAGGAAAGATTTATCGTTTTCCTCCAACTCGTTGCGGTGCAGTTTTCACAGCTTTAGCGGGCTTGGCAGTCTTCTTCTGCTGTTCCTTCAGTACCTACAGCCCCAACAAAATAACTCACCGTAAGGAAACTGTATGAACAGAGTACATGCTTCAAACAGAGAAATTCCTTACCGCGCTCTGTTGGACCTTCTTGGCAGTTTTCTTTGCTCTCAACTTATCCTTTGCGGCTCTAAAATCAAATATTATCAGCACAAGTGTTAATTAAACGCAAAAATTGCGGATCAGCAGGCTACGTAATAGCAAAAACGCACCGTTCAGTGCGCGTAAGCGCTGCAGTATCTCATCTAAACTGCTTGTATTTTAACTTTTAAGATTTATGTGAAACCAGAGAAGTTTTCTGAAGCCAAACCTAACTCCATAACAGCATAAAGTTCATACAAAGATACATAACCGAATTTCGATACTAATCAGCGACTGTGTCAAAAATTAAAGAGGGGCTTCAGCATTTTCGATATAACAAGATCTACCGTAAAATTCAAGAACTTTGTTCCTTTAACACTAAAATAGTAAAACTACGAAATATTTAACAATTTAAATTCACCGTATTTGGCTAAGATTTTAAAACAGAAGGCAGAAAACTGGAAATGTTTTTGCGCGTAAATTATTACACATACAATCTTTAAAATCGTTTCGTCATTATTTTTTATAACGTCTTTTGACTTAATCGTGGACGCAGCCGGTGGAAATATCCACAATTACAATTACTTACTTAATTGCCTCATCTCGCTGAGCTTTACGGACTTCTGGTTTCTGATTTCTCTTTGCCGTAATTTCGGTTAAGCTGGCACCGGCAATGGCACGCTGCACTTTCACCTGTCGTCGGACGCGCTTTTTGGCTACTTCTTCCTGCTGTCCTTTCTTATACTTGCGACGATATAAAACTGTCCATCGGATCTCACGAGGATTTCGATGGAGGGTTAGGAAAGCGCGCTCGGTCTTCGAGCTCAGAAAGTTCAAAAGCTGTCAAGATAACGTGCACATTAACACCATACAAGAACATTTACAAGCAAAGCGCCAGTCAGCTGTCACATCATCCTAGAACGATGCGCACCTTCCCATCAGTCCGGACAGTCCTTTTACCACGACCCGGATGGATCTTGTATCCACTGAAGTTGCACAATTCGGTTCTACAACAATAACCGTGTCACAACGCGACCGATGGAAACCAACTTCAACTTCACCATACTTCATTTTAGGAGGCTCCCAATCCCGCGAACCTAATTAATGCAACTATTTAGAGTAAAACGATGATCCAACCAAACGATAATGCGAAGTTCTCCACAAGGTTCTTCGTCTGCACTCTACACTCTACAGCCGTCGACAAGCTGATCATCAATGTCAACAAGTACGTACTTATTCAGCGCAATGAAATTCAGTAAAAACATGCGGGGAACGGAAGGGTAATCTGCACTGTAACGCTATCCAGTTTGTCAAGCTATAGGTACAGAAAGCTTTCACCACAACCAGATTTAATTTTTCAGAGCCGGTGTACGTTTTTCACATGCAACCTTGGTATATTTACATTTTACCGTAAAATCGCCGGTAGAAAACATTGTGCCTTCCATCACTCCGGAAGTTATTAGAGTACAGTAGATTTTTAACGCGAACTGCGAAGTTGCGATAATCTGAAACAAGTTTTTATTCTCGATTTCCTACTGATACTAACTTTATATTGGTGCGGGTGAAATCAGCATTAGGTGTGCGCATGTGCCTTTTTTGAAAAATTGGAAAGGAAGGTCTTGGGAAAAGGCAAAAAGCATAGTTTTTTTCTAGCAGTCTAGAAGCCCCGATTTGTGCTGACATTTTAGCGTTTTGCAATGGGTTCTCATGATATTGTTGGATCTGCTCGTGAGCCTTTCAAAGGTGATTTCAAAGGATTGTGCCACAGAATAGGCGACATCCTGGTCGACGAGAACCAACCGATGAAGGCACGGTTTCGTGCATTATTTACCTTGCGCAATCTCGGCGGCGAAGAGGCGATTGAGGCGATTTCCAGAGGATTCAAAGATTCTTCCGCCTTATTGAAACACGAATGTGCTTATTGTCTCGGACAGATGGTTGATAACCGTGCTGTTGATATTTTGATAACTGTGCTCAGTGACCAAGACCAGGAACCCATGGTTCGCCATGAAGCAGGTACGACTCTTTCGTCCAGTTCTGCTGACTTCTTTATCATCGAACTTTGTGCATTTATACATTTGTGCATTAATTTCATACATTTTTGAAACTTTCGACAGGGGAAGCTCTGGGTGCAATCGCGGATGATAGAGGAATTCCAGTTTTAGAAAAGTACGCGAACGATCCTGTTGTCGAGGTATGCCGTTTTGATGTATTCGTACACAATAAACTAGTATGAAAAGGATATTTTAAATAATAATAATATCGTAAAAAAATGGCGTAATATGAATGCATAAAATTTAATATTGCCGACAATGCCAACTGCTGTTCTGCGTTTGCCATTTTCTGCCGAAAGTTTTTTATTGAGCCGTAGAGATTTCAGTTCTTGCGAACCCTGTAAATGATTGCGCGTTGAGATTTCGGTTTGCTTGCAAACAAAATCGCGCGTTAGCGGTTAGCGCAATGTTTCGAACTGTGAGTTTTTACTTAACCAAATTTTAAAGATACGACAGTCTGAATTAAATACTTATTGTATAGCCAGTAGAAAGTGTTGTTACCAGTGAAAGACTCCAGCTGCATTTGAAATTGTTCAGGTTGCCGAAACTTGTCAGCTGGCGCTGGAGAGGTTAAAATGGATGAAGAATAATCCAGGGAAGTTGGACATGTTGACCAGCCAGTATTTGTCCGTTGATCCCACACCGTGCAGTTCCGTGCATGATGTTACTGCCCTGGAGAAGCAGCTATTGGATGAAAAGGAAACTTTATTTAATCGATATTGCGCCATGTTTGCCCTGCGGAACATAGGGACCAATGATGCTGTCAAGGCCTTGGCAAAAGGTTTGTGCATTTATAGTATATGTGTTGCGTGCGTGTGTAATTACAGAATGATGTACTTTATTAAATTAATGCTATTCGAGGAAATTGGATCTGTTATTGTTTAGAGGGCACTGCATTGCTGGATGCATATTGCAGATGTGATGAGCATCTTGTGTTTGTAGGTCTTCGTGCCGGTGGTGCCCTATTCCGGCATGAGATTGCCTATGTTTTGGGTCAGATCCAGAGCAATGTTTGCGTGAAAGAGTTAGCTGATGGCCTGGCTGATCCAGAGCAAAATCCCATGGTACGGCACGAATGTGCAGACGCACTGGGATCTTTGGCGGATGATTACGGCACGACTATGCTTAGGAAATACCTTAGTGATCCCGAAAGAGTTGTGCGAGAAAGTTGTGAAATCGGGTTGGATATTACGGACTACGAAAAGAGTGGTGATTTCCAGTATGCTAATGCAGTTGATGTTGTTGCAGAGAGCTGAGCTTTCGCGTTAAGCTGATATTTTTGGTTGTTTCTGATTCCATAAAGTTTTATACGCATTCAAGTTTGCGACTCTACGGAGAGAATTGAATCTGATTAAAAGATTGCTGCTATGGCTCCCTTGCTCCCTGTCTTTAATGCATAAGAAGTATTTAATGCATAAGAAGCATACTTCTTATTGCACACCCGTAGAGTACTACTGGTGAAGTGAGCCTGCTTCTCTTCCGGTTTAACCAGTATTAAAGAGGAAAACGACGTATCGATACGTACTGCTCATATTGTAGTAGTTCTTTGTCACAATTTATACTTAACATTCGTATTAGCAGTGCGCTTGTTAGGTCACTTTTTGTCTCTTATCCTACATTTGTTATGAGCGGCCCCTGTAATTTCGACATGCAGAGTACTGTATTATAAAGACCTGATACTATATTTAACTTTTGGGTACTTTCTACGTATGCCATAGCAACCTGTTAATGCTTGAATGGTATGCGTTTTGAATGATTCCCACACTATGCAAACATTTTGTTCCGGTAATTGCTTATAGCCGGCATTTCTTGGGCAATGGCTGATAAACGGTAACATACTTCTCGATAAATTATCTGGATAATTCTGACAACACTATGCGATTGTTCCAGGGGTGCCTCTCGCGCTCCGCGGAAAGGGCAAAAAGACAATGATGAAAAGCGTACAGTGGATTCGATAGCAACTCGCAAGACCCTACCTATTGAGTGTAAGTGTGCATGACCGTACGTGTAAGGCTAACAATTTACAAAAAGCAGGAAGACATTATGGAAAAGGTATTATTGATTGAAAGGTGATAAAATATAAATACACCATTTCAGCTCAAGAATACCAGTGTACTGGAGATTTTGTGGATGACTTCCGGCAGACAACCCATGCTGCCGGCATCCCTGTGGAAGAGTTGCCACATCTTATTCACAAACCGTACTACTCATTATGGCGCAATATCGAACTACCGGCACCGGCAGCTCCAGTGTTGAATACTGCCCGGATGTCCACTTCACCTAGTCCGGAAGTGATGAAAGTCGGCAAAGGCGGTGCATCCAGCAAGGGCGAGCCAGGATCGAAGTCGTCCTTGCTCGATTCGGCCAACGCAAAAGGTCGAGACAAAGAGAAACTGGGGAAAGAAGCAGCCAACAAGACCGATAAGGATAAAGTGAAGAAAAAGGTCAGTAAAATTACCACTGGACCGCTGAAATCCGACGCTGTGACCCCGAAGATTGATCAGAGATCGACGGTTAGTACCGAGAATATGACGGGGCGAGGTGGACTGGACCCGAAGAAACCGGCCGATAGACTACTAACTTCGAAAGGACGGGACAAGGACAAGAATATGGCTAAAGAGAAAGGTGCCGCTCGATAATTCTGTAAACGCACTACAGTACTTTATCCATATGCTGAAACAGATTTTTATTTTTGAACTCCTTATTATTCAATTTTATAGCAATCTTTATGCAAGCCGAGTTATGGCAGCTGCTTTCTGCGAGGTATTAATATTGTACTGTATTTTATATACTGCTGTTTTTAGCGGATGAACTGCCGTTACAACAACTGCCAGTGTGGCCGGCACTGGAAGGCAACGATCAGAAGCCGCTATATGTAGTTTACGATGCGTTTCTTCTAAATCGGATAAAAGAAATCTGCATTCGAGGTAAGGATCGAACGTTTTTTGGTGATGTTCTGCGGAATTGTTGACGAACGTTTGATCATGAGGCTGGAGTATTGATCGCGTCATGGTGGATGTCCTTTGTAGATGCTGGACAGTGTCGGATCGTCTGTTAACCATAATGTGAGATCGTTAAACTATTTCGTAATGACATTGTGTGATTTTTAAAATGAGTGTTTTGTATGCGCACGCAAAGGGTGGTAATGACAGAGCAAACTGTATATTTATGGATGCGAACAGTCTGCAGCTGCCTTTGTACTGTAGTATGTTTGTGTCAACGCTTACAGACGTAAACAAAAGGCCAAAGGGACTAGATCTGTGCATGCTTTGATAATACGAGTTTTAGAATATACCCGATACTAGAATTATTTCCTTTTTGTATTTTAGACTGGTGGATTGCGGTCTCAAAAGCAGCGATATTGCTCGCCTCGCGGATGCGGTGCCGAAAATCCTCAATTTAGAGTAATATATGTTGACCATTTTAAAAGAGCCAACGTTCATGATAGTTGACAAGCGAATTTGCTATCGAAATGGCTAGAAAGTAAAAACTACAATGATAACAACACAACACACACATGTGTTTTTGACAGATTTCTTGCATTGGATGGGAATCTTATTTCGGAGCAGAATCATGGTTTGGTTTTGTCTAAACCAAGTTCGTAAGTGTATAAATAAGCACACTGCGTAAATATAACACACTGTATAAATAAGCACACAGTATAAATAAGACTGCGTTTTGGGAGGATACACCGTACATTACATCTGCTTTCCAGGATCCGGCATCTCTCTGTGCGATACGCCAATCTGACCGATGCGGCTCTGAAATTCCTGGCTGCTTCCTGGTTGCTTCCGGCGCGGGAGTGGTCTTCCGATCGGCCAGGATTAGAATTCTTGGACTTGTCTCAGAATCGGATAAGCGACCTTGGGCTGCAATATTTAGTGCAAGTATACAATAGCCGATATCTTGATGTATATAGCACGAGCATACAAATTAAAAAAGCGGTAGTTAGATGTTAGATGGTAGACAACGGTAATTTAGATGATATTTCGCCATTTGGACTGATTCTTTCCTGGATATTTGTCGTGTATAGTACGCACCGCAGGCTAATACATACCTTTCTGTTCCAGGCACTGAGGTTTAATCGCTCACTGGTTACTCTTGTTCTAACCGGGAATTTGATAACAGATTTGGGAATATCTATATTTTGTAAAGTGAGTACCTTTACTGAATTCTAAATAACTATAAAAAACTTTTGAAGTGGTTTTTAAACTTAATTATGCGCTTTCCAGGACCTTCTGACGCGTTTCGCATTGACTCAGGAAGAGGCACTTGACCGACGACAAAGTTTTCTTAAATACGCTCCGCCTGTTGTAAATCCGGCAAGTTTGTTCTTGTTGCCGTGGACGTTTGCAATGGCTCTGAATATAATTTTACTGTACTACAGAATTGCGTTGCGCAGTTGATTATTTATAAAGCCATTATTTTAAGTTAAGCGATGTGATTACAACCGTGTAACTATACTACAGCATATCGTAGAACGTCTCTTCCAGGTCGGTGAAGTCAATATCTATGAATATATCTGGTAAATACCCACTGATCAATATTTTTAATGTGTCATAGGTTTTTTATACGCTTCAAAGAAAGTACCGGTTCCCACAGGAAGCCAATCGAGACAAGAGCCGGACAGAAAAAGATGCAGCCAATATCGATTCACGTAAAAAAGATAAAGAAGATAATAAGAAAGCCAGCTCACGGGTATTGATTATTCGGAATAACTCTCACTAAATTCGGCAGTTAAAAATTGAATTGCCATGCAGATGAGCGGTACGCGCATAAGTGCCGGAAATGCTGTCAAAACATCACCGGCGCCTTCTGGGAGAGTTGCCGGTTCTGCTCATCCTGAGAGAACCAAAACAGCAGCTAAAGGTAAAGGTCATTCCTGAAATGAGCTCAACTGCTCAAGTATTACAATGCATATGGACGCATTAAGCAGATTTCAGATTATACTTTAATGCGATACTGTGTAACTTTTACTGGCGTTCAAAACCAATCTGGAGCCTTGAGTTCGCTGATTTGATCCAGTGTGTCAGTGACCATTTTCAGGTTTAGTTAGGTATAATTTGAATGGCTTTTTCGTAATGCTACTGGATTAAGGGAACATTTAAGTATACATAACAACCCAAGACTACGGGTATTTTGGGAATATTAAACTTTGGCCAGTGAGTTGCTTGCTTTCAAATACAAAACTTTTTTATGGGAATTTTACGTGCATCTCAGTTTTGGAGCATTAGCATTATGTAGTCATTGACTCATCCCTGTATACCTGAATGCTTTTTACAGGAGCCAGTGTAAAACAAGGCGCATCAGTGATAAAAAACCTGGCTAAGTTCACTCCAGCTATTTCCTCCCATTCTCAAGCTGACAAGGATCTTGGTGAACCCGGTCGAGCCGATGGGAATCCTCCAGATGACTTGACTTCACAACAACGCAGCGTAATTTCCACCGACATGAAGCTGACCCATTCAACGGTTCCCGTGAGAATGGTTGACCAGTCTGACCAAGATATCCACATTACACACAGTCCCAGCCACCAAGAGGCCCATGCTTCGAAGTCGTTCCTGGAAGCCGACGGATCGGAAGTGTTGTTCTCGCGCAGTGGCCTGCCCAATTCGGTGACATCGTTCATTCCCAACCTGGATGCTCTGCATAGTGGAGAATCAGCACCGGATCCCCGCGTGCTGGATCTGTTACTCGATTTGAGCCGAACGGATCACCATGGTGAGCTGGTACTGAGCGATCGCGATGTGTGGTTGGATCACTCGCCCATTGTCCTACCAGTATGGACTATGGACAACATCCATAATGACCAAACCGGCAACGGAGTCATCCAAGGCGAAGATATACGGTCACGTGCGGAAGCTTACCGGAAGTTCCTTTTTCGCATATGCTACCAATTATTCGACGGAAGCACGGATATACGCTCGCTTCCGGCTGAATTACTGCGTGACCTTGTGCGCTTAGCAGACGATCCCTTATTTCCTTACCCGAAAGGATCGAAAGATTCTATGGATAAAGGTACGATGCTTTTCGTGTTTTAAATACTATTCACAATTGTTATTAATTTCTAATGAGTGAAAGGGATGGTAAAAAAATTGCATAAATTTGTTCGATTGCAGATAAGGTGGAGCCTCCTGAAAATGATTTGTTGGTGGAAGCCGTCGACTATGTCGAGAAGTTATCTGGAACATTAGTCCCGAAATTTCATTTGCATGTTACATCGGCCAGTTTTACAGACACTGATGCAACTACCAAAGAAAATCAGGACCGAGTGACGCCTAGCGCCATAGATGTGGTCACTTTCGATCGAGAATCCAAATCTGAAAAACTTCCTGATGCCGACATAAAATCTTCCAACACGATTAGTGAAAAAAGTAACGAAAAGCCACTGGCGCCGCAACGACTTACAAAAACAGCTTCAGCACATCGTAAAATATCTCTAAAAAACAAGACCGTCAAAGCTAAAAAGGGTGATACTGCAACCCCGGAAATTGGCGCTGCGCCCGAGCAGTCACCGAAAGAATGTCCAGCATATAATATCGTATCCGTGGAGGTACAAAAGGGCAAACAGCAAGTTCATAATTATCTCAGTAACTGCCTTTGATATGTACTTTTGTAATTTATGATTATATAATTATATATGTTATAATGCTGCGGAAAATGATAGCTTCCTCAATATGCCGGTGTTCTAGGAACGATTCAACGCATTAATCGATGGCGTCATATTTGACTCTTCCGATGGGCTTATTAGCGATGGCAACCGAAGTCTGAAGGTTTTAAACCTTTCCGGTAAGTTCTAAATGGCTGCATTAAAAACTGAAAAGGGTGTAAACATCATACGTGAAAGGAAAGTTCAATCTGGAAGCTCAGCCTTGTTTAAAATTTGATTTTTGCTTGTGAACCCGTAAACTGCGTTTAGTGTTGAGAAGCTTCTTTATTTGAATTTAATTCTGAAGCAGCCAAGTCATACACCATTGATTGTATTGTATCCATTGTATGGGGATTTTTGCTGGCACACGTTGCTATTAAAATTACTCAAAAAATTGCTGAACGAATAAAACTGGTGAAAGTGCAGTAGTTTTAGAGTCAGAGCCTGTCTATCCATATTCTACTCGTATTTTTAAAATGAGTATTATATTACACTGACCATTATCGACATATCCCTATGAATGAATGCGAAATTTTACATTTCTGCACACGTGGTAACTTACAAACATGTATGAATAATCCATGATACACAGTTAACAACGGGAATGATTACTTAATACAAGTTGAAATGCAAAGTGAGACAATACTGGAGGTATACTTACGATACCTGCTATCAACCTGGGGTACCGCTTTTTTTGTTAAGTATTCTGTGTTCGATTTGGTTATAGAAAATAAAATAACTGTTTCGGGGCTGCATCGGCTCATGGAGGCGGTAGCTCGACAACGGAAGGAGCAAACAGAATCATTACTGTGGAAGCGACCACCGTCACCTGCTTTGCCAACTAATACTAGGCTGCCACCGGTGGATACCAACACACAACAAGAATCTCCGGAATCAGAGTCAACACTGGTCCGGAAGGAAGGTAATTCGTTGTCAGCGCGAGCAGACGAGAAAAGCCAGTCCGGGAAAAAGCAGGCCGGCAAGAAGGCTGCACAAGAGGGCGAAGCATCCTCCTCACCGCTAAATGCCGCGGAGCCGGAATATGGCCATGTCGACAATTGCGTACCTGTCGTAATTAGAAAGCGTATTGTCGAAGAGAAAGATGATCCCAATCGGAAAAATATTGGATTGCTTTATGTGGATATTCTTGTAAATCCCGACTAAAAATTGTACCGAATCTAGTTAAAATAACTTTTTTTTGCGTTTACAGGACAATCCGTCATTGCCTAAGGACAGTGTGGCAATGGTAGCATTCGACAGATTTATGGAGCATCAACGGGAGGCATACGGTATTGGTAGGAGTGGACAAGAATATGAAATAAAAGAAACAGACCGGAAGCATAACACAGACAAAGAAAAGGAGAACAGGAAGGGTTCGACTGTCGAGCGTCCATTAATGATGGGGGAATACATTTTAGAGCGTAAAAATGCTGGTCTATTTATTTAGCGACATGCGAGCATTTATTTTAAATTCTGCAACGATCGCATTAAATAAAAGTCGGCAAATACGGTACGCATCGACCATTGTGAGCTCTTGATATACCGATTTCTTTATACTGGATTTGATATTGCTCAGTTCTTTGCAGTGAGCTTACGTACTGAGCTAGAGCTTAAAAGTTACAATTAAGGTTAAATTACAATCATATCTGCAGTTTATACAGAATAATGTGCAGGAACTCACATGTCGAACATCTAGCAGTGCGATGGCTAGAATGACCATTATCACAGAACATCAATCAGAAAGGGCCATAGCGAAAGAACGTATTCGAATTTTACGCAAAGAGATTCATGAAACCTTTGGCACAAGTCCAAATCGGCAGGCGGTTTCCGGAGAAGTCACAGGCGCGAATAACTCCGAAAAGCCGGCTAATGAGCGAAGGGGATTGATGTTGATTTGAATTCGGGTTTTCAGGATTACTATATGTGTCACTGTCGCCCTCAGGCGAATTCCAGTGCGCAAAAGCTTTGACGACGTTTCGTATGATAAAGCGGACTAATTCGCTGTCCTTTTTCGTGTCCTGGTTCTTCCGGTTCGGTTCTTCTGATCGTTGATGTGAAAACGACTGCTGCTTAACTGTATCCATGATCATGTTAAAAATATCGGCAAACTGGAAATCCGATCCAAAAAAATCCGGTTCACCATCCGTATGTTCGTGTTTGGATGAGGACGTTTTTGGCTTATGTCGAGCAAAGATGTTGTCGAAATTGAACGTGGCCGACTGGAATTTAAGTTTTGCATCGTATTGCTGTCGCTTCTTTACGTTCCCCAAAACTTCGTACGCTAAAAACAAGTACATATTGACGATTCTTATGGTTAATCTACTGCTAAACCAGCGCTTAATTAAGTCATGAACGTTATTTAATTTTGTATATACATTTGGTTCATATTTAACATACCGTCATCATACCGAATCAATTCATCGACACAATTTGCTGTTCTAGTTTACAGCAGCAGTAAATGCATGACCTTATAACATACCTTTTCTTATCTGGATGAAAGTTTCGGCGTCCGTTGAATGCTTTCTTTTATCCGGATGATGTTGCAAAGCGAGATCTCTGAAAGCTCGTTTTATCTCCCCTGCTGAAGCAGTGGGCTTTACTCCAAGAATTTTGTAGTAATTCTGACATTGCACTCTCCCGTTAAGCACCGCATACAACGTTGCGATGATAAGTAATACGCCAAGTCGAAATTCCATTAGCACAGCTGATCCAAAAAAAATCCTTTCTTTTCAGCTTAGGTATCTATACGAGTGTTGATTATGACGCTTTGCTCGTTTTGGTAGCTTAATTGTTTATAGTTATTATGTTATATCCGAATTTTCAAGATATTCGTAAACATAACGAACTAATGACGTAGTAATGTTCCCTGCCTTAAATTAATTACAGATCTTAAGCTTTATAGTTCTGTGCGCAGATTCTACTCGCTAATACACATATAGGTACGATACTCGGCTTCCCTCGCTCAATATTGGAAAAACTGTCCAAACTCACCAATTACGCTTTCCACGGTAAGGCGCACTTTGTAGTTGTATCACACATTCTAAAAAACTATAATATGATGCACTGCAAGTGAACTGCGATTCCAGATTTTCGAGTTAAAAAAAGTGTTAACCGATCAAAATGGAAATTTCCAGTGTCGCCGGGTCTCTGTGAATTGATCCATCTGTCTGTCTATGCATTAGACTATGCGTAATGTACATGTGGTGAACACTTCGCAGAACTTGTTTTAAAAGCGTGGTGTGCGTTCTAAAAACAGCACAAGATCTTGCGTCTATTGCACATACTCTAATCTGTACGTTATTAATGGCATCCGTACGAACATGAATTCTTCGACATAACATACCGTGAAATCTCCACGACTGCATGGGTGTACAGTGTACTGTACTAGGATAGGAACTCTACTCGATTACTCGATTAGTATATCAATTTACCAAAATTTTGAGGTCATAAAAGTGTTACTGTTTTCTTTTTTTTTAAAGATACCGGCATAGAGTAGGCATGACTTAACGGGTACATAAAATTTAAGTTTGTCATTAAATTAGCTTACTAAAGCGCAATATCGCAAAACTACAAACAAACTTCTACAAACAGCAAAAACAAACACCGAAGAAACAGTTGCCGGTAATGCACTTAGCTTTTTAGTGCAGTCGGTGATACTTCAGTACTTGAACAGTTATAATTACAAAAATAATTACAACTACACTAACTACTAATACCGCAGTCGTTATTTTTTTACAGCAGATACTTACTGACAACGTAAGTACGATTACATAATTTTTATATAGATATAAATATAGATATATCGTATAATTAAACATTTACTACAAGTTTTTTTCATTGAATCACACGAGTGCACTCCCCACACCCGAGGGCTCGTCCCAGTAGATAGTGATTTCATAGTACACGCTGTACGTAATTTTTAAGTGGCACTATTTCTTTTTTTAGCGCTTAATCGTTTTAAATCATAATCATAATTCAGTGTTTCAAATGTTAAACGTACAATTTGCTTGGAATTGTTTCTGCACTCATTTAACAGTGGAGGAACGGAGCCGTTTTTGCGGATAAACAGTGCCAGGGCTTCAGATATGAACTGTGTGCGGAATGGACGGTTATGACAAAGAGGACCAGTGATGCAGAATGGTCTTGGGTGTTCGGTTCTCGGACATTGTTCCCTACACGAGTGTACATCTCGGTTAGTTGTCATTTTCTCCGACCATGACACACTGATTCCCGTTGATCATTTGAATACTTTATAGACTGCAGTTTTTCCGATATCGTATGTGGACTAGAAGAATGTTCGAAGACTACTGGCGAGCCAGAGAAACATCGCGCAGAGCTTCTGCAGAATCTCCACCACTTTTTCGTCACGGAAACCAATCCATCTCCCGCACTGGTCTGCCTATCAGTGCGGACAGCCTTCGATTTGTACCTAAGAGTGGCCCGCTTTCCGCCCGATGCCGAGATAATTTTTTCGGCCATTAACATTCCGGATATGGCCTACATTGCGCGGCAACACGGCTTGAAGGTGGTCCCCTGCGATTTGGACCTGGCGACGCTGGGCCCGCAGATCCACTTACTGGAGAAGCTGATTACGTGCGAGACGGTGGCGATTGTTGTGGCGCACTTATTCGGTCGCTGGTGCGATGTCGAGCCCATCATACAGATTGCTGGCAGGCATAATTTACAAGTGATCGAAGACTGCGCTGAGGCTTTTTGTGGGTTGAGCAATCTCGGCCATCCCAAATCCGATTTAGTCCTCTTCAGCTTTGGGCCGATAAAATTTTATACTGCCTTCGGAGGTAAGGAGGGGATAATTGTGTATGTTATGTACACGATAGAAATATGGATAGATTTTCTTTGTTGGGTTATTGCAGCAAGGCTGCCAATAATTTGCTTGCCTCAGCTGCATTTTCTGGAAAAATTCGTATTTCGGAACTTTTTATTCCTTTTTTAGTGTGGTCATTAGGAAACTTACTGCTTGCAATTTTGAAGCGCAGCAATCCTCCGTGTTGTTATCAAAATGGTTTTTAAGAGTTTATCCCAGCTTCATCCAGTTTCAGTTACGAACGAGTTTTTCTGGACAAAATTAGGTTATTAACTAGTGTAATAGTGTTCTTCACAAGTTATGACTTGTTAGTACATGTAGACACTTTGTGGTGGTAAGCGGTTATTGTGGATTGGATTGCTTTTGTTCCGCAAAAATGATTCCATGATAGGAATTAGGAATAAATTTTTAATGAAAATGTTGCTTACTGTAATCTGTAACAGACACCCACGCTTAACGAGAAATTTGTTTTCGGTACATGAGGTTGTGTTGTTTTTCTTCTTGCGACGGTCGCGACTGCTATGTTTATTCAGCAGTGTGAGTCGACTCATATTCCGTTTTCTTGTCCGTATATCCAGGATTATGAGGCAGCTTTAAGGCGTATATTTATGAGACATGACCTGACAGCTGGTGGCATTTTTTAGGTGCAGTTGCGAAAATACGGGATCGCGCCCTGTGGACTCGAATGTCCACCTTATATAGCACGTATCCTATTCAAGCCACGGAAATCTATTTCTGGAAGCTGGTGAAATGTGCCCTGGTGTTCCTACTGCTGGACGTTCCGTATTTTATCAAGCCCGGCATGTACATTACCGACCGCTTCGGTATTGATCACAAGAAACATGTTGTTAGTATGCTCCGTGGATTTCCTGAGAATTTATTGTTTCGACTGCGCCACCAACCCCCCACTGCGCTTTTGACGTTGCTGTTGAAGAGACTGGAGGATTTTACCGAGGGATGCTTTAAACAGAGTGCCGCCAACGGGCAGTATGTATGGGAGCGCCTTCCACCTGAAATATTAAAATTTGGGCAGAAGGTTTTGGCTAATAACTTCTGGCTGTTCCCGGTTCTTGTCGTAAGCTGATTTACGGTTTTAAGAAAATTTGTTGGTCAGTTAATTGAAGTGATGATTTCATGGTACCAGGAAAACTGCATTTCATGTTTTCATTCTGCGACTTTGTGATAATAATGACAAAAAATATAGTTGAAATTACGATGGGAAAACATTTTTTGCCTGTTTGTAGTTTGCACTGCTTTTGGTTAACTCAACCATTTACTGAAACTGCTACGACTTTGAATTTGTGAAAAAAGCGCAGCACAATATTATTTCTATATCCTTGAGAGCTTGTCTGCTCTACAGTAAACTAAACCAATTAACTTGTTGTTTTTACGCAGGACAACCCAAAGCGAGTGGCCCTGGAACTAAATAAAAAGGGTATCGATGCTTACGTGGGAGTGTCGCAGTTGAATGTGGTGCATCCAGAAACGGACAAGCTTTCCATGTCTTCCTTAGATAATGACCAAAGTCAATCCAGACGCGAAGTGTATTTATCTTCTGAACCAAAGGTAGCTAGATTTTTTATAAATCACGTTATGTATCTGCCTGTGAACAAGTCGGTGCCTAAAGAGTCACTGGAGAGGATATGCCAAGCGCTTGCGAAAGTAACACATAAGCGTTGCAAAGTACCGGTGCCTCCCCCTGATGGCTCGGATAACTTCTTCCTAGCTCGTTTGTGATAGAATGCTGCTGCTGTTGTTTTTGTTGTTATACAAGGAACATATCAAACGAAACCTTACTTGTTTCGATCCGGTGACCGGCGTTTTACAATGTTTACAATAGTATTATTAAAATTAGCTGTTGCTGCGTGTGGGAAACGTGGGCGGTGGGCCAAATTTGAACAATACTTCATTGCAACGATGCCACAAAAGTGCGCAACTATCGCAGTAGCCATGGAATTATGATAAGGCCGTGAAAATAATACGCCAGTTTCCAAGAATGACTGACAGTGACAGCTTCATCCATGACCGTATCCAGTTGGTACGAAAAAACTTCTAATTTCTTTATGTTTCGGAATACCTGCTCCCTTTCTCCAAAAGTCCGATAAAAGTCTCCTACTTTTTTTTGGCGCGTCGGCAGAGCTGATCACGAATGCCAGTAGCGTTTTCTTGATCCCAGCGAGAAATGAGTGGGCCGCACATAAGATGGAGCACACCCTTTTTTGTGTTTTGTCATGCACGTAGGCGAGATGATATAGCCAGTAATGCAGAATACAGTAATTGGTATAGTAACACCAATATGTTAAAACCGCATGCCTCATTGAAAGCAGTGCATTATTTAATACAACTTAAATCCCATACGAAGTACATACCTCTGCTCGAGTATTCGTACATTTTTTTATTATGTCTGGACCGTCGACGGTCCAAGCTTCCCTGCGTATGTAAATATCATAATGCCATTACCATTTTTTGCGTAATTTACTCGTACAAACCAGTCAACCGAATTTTCCCATTATCCATCTGGCCGGTATGCTTCAGTGTAAAAATGCTGCAGTTATGCGGAGTCCAGTTGACTTTAATACATTGGTACTTACCATTAGTTACATGGAATCACTTATTTGATCTGTTCAAAGGACGATAATAAAGGAGCATGCGTGCATACTTGTTGTTAAAGGTTACTATCGAATGGCTTGTAATTGTACTTTGTACAAACAGATTTTCATTTGTTCGAGTGACGTTGTGGGTTAATGTCTTTTTAAGTTCAAGTTTATACACTGTTGTGTCGCCAACGTGTGTATCCAAGTTTTATAATATTATCCAGTGTTGTGGACTTGTGGCGCTCCTTGGCGGACATCTGCTTAGACGAAACGGCTTCCGTGCACTTTTCGAAGATAAAAGATTCCCTACTGAGTATGGACACAGTTCAACGAATTGTATTCCTTTTGATACCGTTACTGGGACAATTAGCACAGTACATATCTGTAAGGAAGAAATCCATACCATTGAACTTGGACAGGAGTTTGTAAATAGGAGATGGATATATGCTTTCAGTTTGCTCATTTATTTTCAAATTTATTTGCATCCAGTCGCACGCTATCGATCTCGGTTATTTATTAACTCAGATACCTCCACGCACAGTCACGAGCGGAGTAACTTTGCAATATCATCAAAATAGCTTGTGCTGTGGATGCCCTTTTGCCGCTTTTCATTCATTATTAATACTTTTCGTTAGAAAGCACAAGGGAGACCGAAAAAATCGAAGTAACAAATTGCTTCCATTTGCGGCGCGGTAATACCGCAGTAACCACAATTACCGCTTTCTCCACATTCCGGCATTTTCACATTTCTTTGTCGGCTCATTACACTACTTTCGGAATTTTAGCAGCATGCGTGCCGCTTCTATGTCACTTATCCGCTTTAGGGTTCATAGTTTAAGCAATATTAACAAACTACGTTATTATTATATTTTTGTACTGTAATGTGTTTTTTATTTATAGTGTATTTGCTGTATGTAACATGAATGATACTTCGATAGTACAGTTAGTACAATATAAATGACCTTGGAAATGACATACCGACGTCGCATACATTTCTAATACTAAAACGATCCCAATATTATTCCGTAGAAGATGAGCTGCATACAATTTCTCCTTTGGATCACGTATTTGGTCAGCCGTGCGCCTTTTGCATGCCTTCATTTTGCCCACAGCCGGGTTCAGACGGAGTCCGATAGGCAAACAACCGCAAACCCGCCGGAAGACAGTTATTGACACAGCATATAGTCTCTGTCATCTTGGGAGGGTTCGTGTACATCGATAAATCTAGCCGGGCCCATTGGTAGACAGAGCCAGCTACGCAGTCTGAGAATCTCTGCGTAGGGTTTATCGAATATCCCCGTGTTAGGAGCTTGTGCAGTGCCACACTGGACATTCACTAAGTTGATTAATTCTCAAATGCCACTCACACATCTTACTCTGCCAGCCATCGTCATCTCAAAACATTGAATTTTTGCAAGTTAGTGCTTATTAAACGGCACATTCTTTGCGTGATTTGACAAGGCTGATCACAATGTTACCGCAGTACTTTATACTTACATGAACCTACCTCATGGTGGGACAACTGTTGACCGGAAACTGTGTATACCAATATAATGTTGTCGTGGGACTGCATACCTTGCGATTTATTACCAATTACGGATTGAAAATATCAGCTGCACCTTGCATTTCCAGTTATAAACATGGACAACGATAGTGTGGATTATAATTATTCGATAATGGTGCCGGGAATTATGACCAGGGATGAGGAGCTAGCAAAGGTCGAAATCGGCATCCTGGGAGCAATCTTTGCAGTGGCGCTGTTCGGAAATATCTCAGTGTTGTCCATTTTACTATGGCGCCGAAAAAAGGTAAATTTTGTAATGAGAAAAATACCAAATGCAAAGTATATCAGATGATATTAGCATTAAGTAGTCCAAATAGCATTTTCAACTTTTTAATATAATTCATGACTTGCATTGATTACACATCTAAAATCTCTTACCGAAAGGATAAGCGCAGCAATTATTCCAGTGCTGCTTTGAAACAGAGCAATATGCTGAAATAAAAGATTGACAGGAGACACGTTAAAACGTTGGCACTACATGAATGCAAAGCTACGTAGAATTAATGTAATTTATTATATTGTTCCGATACAATGCTTTCTGCGCGGGCGTTTTAACCTGGGTTTTTTATTTTATTGGGATTCGAGTGTTTTAGAACGTATTCGAACAACCGTTATAACTCAAACTAGAAGTAGGCAGTTCACCCTATACAGCCTTCCATAAATGTCATTTCTATGGGGTGGCATTTCCTGGACTGTTTGATTAGCCTTGAGTACTTCCGCATCAGGCCGATATCTTTTGTTGCACATTATGTGCAATGTCTGTAGATTTTCATCCTATGGATTTTATCTAACCAGTCACGACATTCCTGCATTTTGCTCTCTAGCAAAAGAGTTTAACACTAGCATCACAGCTAGTCCTAGTGACGATAAATTTTTTAAAATGATTGACTACATACGATATCACAAAATGTTTTTAAACTATACCTTTGTACAATCGTATAATAAAATGCAGGAATAAAACTGTGTAGCACTGGAAAATGGCAACAGAGAAGAGCCATCAATTAGAGCTAAACGATTATTTTATTATTCATTTGGCGTAGTGGTGTGGCTGACACGCCCGTATGCGTAGAAGTAGATTAATTATTAAAAAGCTTGACACACAACACACAACCACTGCACGAGAATGAATCTAAAGATATTATAACCTGAAGTTGGACTACTTACTGTAATGGAATTTTAAAATTCATTTTCGGTACCTTAAGGCTTAATCATGTTTGACACATGACCTCAAACACCAAAAGAAGTGTGGATTACAGATAAAGAGCATCGTCTTTTATTGGAGCTCATTCCAGACAAATTTGTGTCGTGTCAGATCAAAAATCAACGAGTCAGATGTGCACTTTTTATAAGAGCGGAGATGTCACAATTCTATTAATAATGACAAATTTGACTTGCTCTAAGAATAGATCGGCAGCCGTTTACAGCAGATTACCATATCACTGCAGCCGCAAAGCAACTTAACTTTTTAAAAGCATAATATAATCAATTTACTGTAAACAATTAGCTGTGCCAGACATTTCTGACTCCAGTACCTCAATGATTTTTAGCAGCAAATAAAATCTCACTAATTCTTGTAATGTTTCGCAATTGGGGCTACGAGTATAGGTTATGTACATATATGTGTGTATACTCAAGTGGAACACAGCTATAAGGGTGTGTTACTTAAAATGTCTTGTTAAAAAGACTAACGGTTGCGTACATACTTTATTCTAACAGTTGCAAATCATAGTTGATTACGCCCGTACATAAATTGTGTATGTTTGTAATATCTTAGTTTCCTGAAATATAAGAGACAGGGCTTGATAACTATCTATTGCGGTTTTAAGCACTGCTTGGACAGCTCTTTTGAATTTGTTCAGTGCGCCTAACAAAGAGAATCACTAATCTGAAAATGCATAATCGCGTGGGAAAGGTTCGGATTTTAAAAGCATGCATGAAAGTTTACTGTTATTTATTTTGACTAACGAGTGTTTTGCATTGGCAGCTGACTCGGATGTATTTTTTTATTTTCCATTTGTCCATGGCGGATCTCATTGTTGCATTTTTCAACATCTTACCTCAAATGGTATTGATTGATTCGAAATGTAATAGACATGTATACACGCGTATACGAAATTGTATGAAATTTTAGGCGTGGGATATAACCTGGCGTTTTCAAGGCAATGACATGGGATGCAAAGTGGTCAAATTCTTTCAAGTTTTCGCCCTCTATCTGTCCACGTGGGTGCTTGTAATGATGGCGGTAAGTACACGTATCCAGATTGACCATATGTTGTCTGCCGTGATCGTTGCTGTAGACGTAGTTTATTTTTATGCGGTTTACTATTATGTTTAAAACGATGTAAAAATGTTTTCTAGATTAGAAATAACATTACCGTGCATGCAGCTACGTGAGTGCATCTGTAAATATTGAGATAGAGGGTCTTGTAAAATATGAAATTATGTTACAAGAAGTGCGTTCCGAGAGGGTCACTTACGCAAGATAACGAGACAGCAGTTCCATATAATAAGATATTTTTAAGCACGCAATCGTATTAAAGAATATGATTCTGTGCATTTCTAGAACTCGTGGCTATTTATCCTGTAACGACGGAGATAATTAGATGAAATTTATTTCGATCAGACGATTTGAAATATCGATATAATTTTATTTCGATATGGTGGCTGTCGACAGAGGGCTAAATTACACCGATCAAAATAGAAATGGACTTCCGATATACCAATTTGTTCTGTTGTTTTAGATCGACCGGCATGCAGCAATTTGTAAGTGCACATTACATACTGACTTTACATGATTTCTAGTAAATCACGCATATCCGAAGGGTCCAGTTTCTGTATCCAGTGTTAGATATTTTTGGCTATTTAATGAAATACTTGCTTCCTTAAACCTACAACAATTAAGTTGATAGTTGTTATTTGCTTTTATTTCCTTTGCGTACTATTAGGTAGCCCAATGAATGCTTACAACTGGCGTGCCCGTCGGTGTACCATGATGATCGTCTATGCTTGGATATTGTCAGTCGTATGCAGCCTTCCGCAAATCTTCATTTTTTCTCAAATGGAAGTTTATCCTGGTGTCCAGGATTGTTGGGCCACCTTTATCTCGCCATGGGGGAATAAGGTAACAACTTTGCTGAGCTAGTAATATCGTATTGCAAAGAAGCCATGACAAACTGATGCCGATTCGCGATCAGGTCAGCAAAAGGGCATTCACCATAATTATAATTCAAGTAGAGCATAACGTATCTAATGGGCGCCTATATCCCGCTTCCCGTATAATTCAAAGTGGCCGGCACGCAGCTATTGATTGTTCGAGTACTGGAACATTGTATCGCAAGAATATTAAAAATTCCTGGAGCTAAAAATTTCGCATAAAATTTGTTGGATTTTACCGAAGAGAATCCCAATTATTCATTTTTCAGACGAAGACAGGGATGCGCTTATAAATAGTAACCACGTTCGTGCACTGTTTGTAATGGCTTCTGCAGCTCTGCTTATTAGGTTATTGGCTTTAATTTATTGGTATCCTAAATTAATCTTGAATTAACGCTTATGAGCTCGCTCACGACCGAAAGTTGCCGCCTGAGGATGCCGGGGCAAGTGATCAGCCTGAGCGATGTCCAGACGACACGCTGAAGGGTGCCGTCGGTCACCCAGGTTATGATACAAGCCGCGCCGCAATTTTTCTGGCCGTGAAACTGCGTGTACGTGGCAAAGTGGCCCTGGAAGCATTCTGAAGGATGCAACCATGGTTGCCAAGACACGTGAGCTCGCTCTGCGTTAACGTCATTTAACGCTTGGGCGTTAAATGGCTTTAATTAGCGGAAGGTACTGTCAAATAAAAATCAGATAGGAGCCAGACCACTTTTAATGTAATTAGTTTTTTCTGAAAAAGGTTGGAAAATAATACTATTATATTTTTCAAATTAATTTCTTTATGACTAGAAAAGCCTTTTAACCAAGCTATAAAATCCAAAGCAAGAGCAAATAATCAGCAATAACGGAATACCGATAACAGACATGTATTATACTGGCTGTATAAATTTACCGGATGATAATAATATAATCAGAAGAAGATTTTCCTTTCAAGAACACAGTTAAGACTCATGCAGTTTACCATCCCGGCATCCCCTAGGCAAATCAAATCTTTTCAGTTACAGTGCAAGTTATCTATGTGCACATGCCATATTGTAGAGGATGTGATACTGCTGCACTGTGTAATCACAAAATCTTTATGCATTATGATGCAAAATATGTTGATTGGACAACTGTAATCGATGCTGATTTAAAAACCACACTTGTCTGTGTTTGATAAAGGCCTACGTATTGTGGTTTGCTGGATCCATTTACGTAATCCCCCTGATCATCTTGTGCATCACTTACGGCCAAGTTAGCTGGACCATTTGGCAAACGATGGTACGGCATAAGCACAACGGTAGCCTGCGTCTTAAACAGCAGCGCAACGGCACAAGCGCCCTGTCACGCGCGCCTTCCGGTTCCAGCCATAATCATTTCCTGCCCGACACCCGGACACACTCCACGTACAAGCGCGGTCAGAGTTTCACGCGGGCCAAACTGCGCACCGTCAAGCTGACAATGGTGGTCATTGTGGCCTATCTGATATGCTGGACGCCCTTCTTCGTCGCCCTATTATGGACAACATTCTTCCCGGACACGGCGTATGTTAGTGAGCCGGCATTTGTTATACTGCTGCTGTTGGCCAATCTGAACAGTTGCAGCAATCCGTGGATTTATTTATTCTTTAGCCTTTCGCGCTATTTCCGTTGTATTGAGTGGTGTTTGGATCGGCTGGAGAGTGAGGAACATAAACGGCTGCGAGCGGTAACACAAACCGTCTGTTTGCCGAGCAGTTCCGGCGCCAGTTTGTTGTACATGTACAAACCAGCCGGAATCTTGCCACTGAATTCCGTTATGCACAACGGGCATGTGCATAGTGCGTATGTCCATAAACTACAGCCACGTATTGCTACAACGGGAATGTAATGGTCACAAAAATTGCTCAAAAGCGCGGAATATTGGTACGCAGGTCGGCATATAGGCATTCACAGTTTATTTTTCTACGTCTTGTTGCATTCATGTAAAAGATGTTCTTCGAGGTTTTTATAATTTATTCAGCGGAATTCTATAATTATTTTATGTCTCATAACTTCTCTATGAAATGTGAGTTGGTACGCGTTGCGTCTGTGGTGCAATAAAGTTAAAAATTTTGCGAGCGAATTTTTAAACTATCTGAACAACTCGGCATCTCAAATACACAACATTAATCAAATTATCGTACGCTCGTTTCCCGAAAATGAGATTTATCGATTGGGGCTGTTATGGTGCGACAAGCACTGCAAGAGAGTTTCTGCAAACAAACGTAGATATTTAACGTAATTAGTATAACGTATTTATTCTGCATGGTTTGACAGCCTAATTAAAATCCGCTGTTGATCCGGTCATACCGCAGTGCGTTGCAGGGTTCTACCATTTTCAGGATTCGTGTAGACATTGATTCATGTGGAAGTAGGATTTTTCATCGCCTGAATATGTATGCTGATTGAATGAGTGTAATATTGTTTGCTAACAACATGACTCTTGTTCGGCGACAAATTCGCCAAAACTTCATCGGAGATGAATCGGGAAATCTGTGTAGGCGTCGACCAGTGCAGTGATATGAAGGTGTCAGTTATTGATTTTTACGGGACATGGAGCGGGTCGGATGGATAAGTGTCATCTGTGCATTTTTCCCATCACTCTGACGGAAAATCATCCAATTAAACCATAAAAGTTTTCTCTAAAGTGCTTGCTCAAATCCTCTTGCCGGCTTCCATTACAGACACTGAGTGCAATTAGCGTGATCCGCTACTGCTGTGACTGTTTGTACGCATCACATCAACAGCTAAAAAATTACAACACTGCGCGTGCGCGTAATTCTTATAAACAAATCAAATTAGTTTTTGCAAGTAGCTTTTGCAAGATAGTTTATTTAACATATCGTTTAAAGTTGTAATTAAATTTAATCAAAACGTATATAATATTTTTTATTAGCTACCGCTTTAGTACGTACTCTGTACGTATTCTGCAAACGTGCTATGGCAAAATTAATTATTGCCTCTCTAAACTTCCAAAAGGGCAATAACAACAAACGCATACGTAACACGTGACGATATTACTGCACAAAACATTGGTTGAACGGAATATGGTCGAGAAGTGCTGACCGAAGGCAGATCGATATATCATCATCGTGGCGGAAACCAGTTATTATAAGGTTCTTAGTCTTCCACACGGGGCGATGTTTAGTACATAACTACAATGCAAATGTACCATTACAGCGCTGAAGTAATAATTTGCTTTCCCAAAATCCATGTAAACATTAATGCTTGCAGCAGTGCAACATTAGGTGGATACTAGAGTAATTTAGAGGAATCAAAACCACAGACAGATGCGGGCATGATGCCATGCTTAATTGTAATTGAGCGTGTGAAAATTAATGTCGTCAGTATCTTTATTACAATGATCACAGCTAATAGCGTAACAATTCATTATACGTCATCACGTATCCGTTGTACAAGGAAGGAAGTTGGAACACAGGCACTACCAAAAGATCACCGTTACGCAAGACGCGCAGTTGTTAATGCCGATGGCTACACATAACCGCTATATTCGTTTTAATCGTTACTGTAGGACCACTCAGGTCTCAGGTGCGGTGACTTACGAACAGCAAAAAATAGTTAGCCTGATACAAAAATAATTATGATGCGGCGAAATTATTCAGAACTGGTCACTCCGATTGTATTTCCTGAAAAAACCAGCTTAAGGTTACGCATTAGGGATGCAGTTATATAATGCGTACAGTTTACACTATCTTGACCAAACCATCATGCAGGAACAATGACAAATGGCTTACTAAATCGGGTTTTATTGTGTAGCAACATAAATTGCGCTTAGCATGTATATAAGCACAAGCAGATTTTGGTGGAATTCAATATCGTGTTTTTCAGATACGAATTTTCACAAAGCTTTTGGTTTACTTTTGTGCTGCTTTTTTTGTTTAATCGGTTAAGGGAAAATGACCTGCTTTAACGTCGTAACAATTGTTATGTTTGTTGGTGTTTGTATTGCAGGCATTCCTTCCGGTAAGATGCACTTTCGGGTTACAGTCTGCAATATCACTATTTACTGGCAGATTAACAGCCGCATACGCAGTTACGTAACTGATTAACTGATAGGATTTGCCGGCTGGGGATATCCGTCTTACGGAGGTATTTATGGTGGTTATGGTGGTTGGGGCGGATATGGAAACGGAGGATGGGGTGGTTATGGAGGACTCGGAGGATATCCTGGATGGGGAGGAATGGGAGGATTAGGAGGATACAGTAGCTCTAATGCGCTGGGAGGTTAGAATCTTGCAAGAAATTAACAACCACAAATTTTCCAAGACGACAAATTAATTAAGTTTAATTATGCCCCAATTATCCCGGTGACGTTTACGTTACGCATGATACAGCTTGTAGTTGTACACGACTACACGACGCAAACAGGTCATAAGCGCCTGTCCAACAGTTTCGACCACAGTATACAATAATTGGTAACAATCAGAATTACGCGTGCGTACTGAATGCAGGCACGATGTAAAATTATCGTTACCATTGTTTTACCGGTCTCACGCAAACACGATATCTTATTTACTGCGTAATTTAACTGGCTGAATAATTTATAGGAAAAGCAAGTAATGTGTTACACTCTGTTTTCAGGAGGCCAGATTGGTTTCGGCAACATAAATACGGATAATACTGCATTTTCACAAGGAGGAATGGGCTTTGCCCATGGTAATACCAATGCACAAGGATACGGAGCGAATATTTTTTCTGCAGCAAGTTCCAGTTCAATGGGAAATGGTTTTTGGCGCCGGCGGCGATAGCTGAATGACTGGATAAATTGTTTACGCTCGGAGATTCTTCCCATAGAATTCGCATCGGCGCTTTAAACTCGATGGAATTGTTCTTTAAGACTGGCCATAGACTCATAATTATCTCGAATAACTTTCAAATGTCCTAACTAGGAAATAACAGATCTCGTTGTTTAAACTTGGGAAATTCAAAACTTGGAGTGAAGTAGTAATCACACTGATATCCAGAAAAATTATTGGTATAAGCATGTTGTGTTTATGATTTAGTAAATAAACTGAAATTCTTTGCGCGGCATTTTTGCATGCTGACAATTATGGCTTCCTTTATAATTTGACAACACTAGTTTACCTTATTGTATTGTAATTCAGTAGTTCCAAGAAGTATGCCCCCGTTTGCAATTTTTTGTTATTCCGATGGCTACTGCCTGTTAAAGTGATACTCACGTGTAAAGAACACCTTAGTATAGCTTAAATACTGTTTACTCAGTACAAGCACCGTAACCCTTTGCCCGGTTGAAATTTAGTACTGCTAGATATTTTACGGAAACAACTTTTTCCTATTTTTGCTGGTGTATGACTACGCTACTCTAATATACGTTGCAAATTAAAATATAGATCTTGACCAACTGCTAACCTTTTCTATGGACAGACTGTAACACTTATCGAGTACGCCGTGTAATAAGCTTAGACGTAAGAATATTAATTTTATGCAAGCCAGTAAACGGGTAAAGTTTTCAAAGATGTTAAAGCTACTTCCATTCTGTCTGCAGTGTGCCACTATAAAAACATCCTCATCCAGATATCAACAATTACATGCAACTACTGACTTTTTCGGCTACGTATACTAGGAAATTTCTGCATTCGTGATGAACAAGCTCTGCGTCCCGCTGATATTAATTGCAACATTAAACTCACTTTATTCTAGTAATTATGAAAGATAGTGATCGATGGATGCTATTTTATTTTGTATTCTGTATCTCCGATGAAGTACACGCTGGTTGCTGTTAATCGTGCGAAGTGCACCATTCACACTGTTATAAACACTGAGGACTTTGGAAGATTTTTTCAGTTTTCAAAACTGGTGCAAAGATGTCAAAAATAGCAAGTTTGCCGTGCTTTCATTGATATCGTAGTTATCGTCAACCGGTTCAGGTTTCAGATCCACCAAAAATGTTCCTTACTTTTCGCGCTTGCTAATTTTGTCACCCGCAGCAGTGTTAATTATCTGCATACAGTGAGTCGCAAACGCATTGTCGGGAATTTTGCGCTTTACAACTGTTTCAATCCGCTCGTTCGTTCGACAGTATTTCTGCCGGTATGGAAACCCGGTTCGGTGCTATATTAGTGACAGGAATGCTTTTATTACAAGGTACGTTTGTACTTGACCACGACAGTCGCACTAACCTCTACAATATAAATGGAGATACCTGAACTGATTAGGCTAAATAACTGTTTCACTTAGCAAATAATTCTAACTGAATGTAACATCGGCTGTTTATGATCACAAATGCTAATATTTTTATTTAGCCGATAAAACGGTACTTAACTGTGTTACAAAGTGAACTGTGAACTCGAGGTTATTATTAATCGCTGAATTTCGCAGCGTTACCGGCGGTAAAAGAAATGTTTTGGTTATTTGATCACAAGATATGTTGCGATAATAACTTCCATAGAAACTTAGCTCAGACCCAGAAGGAATTGTACATGGTGACTCTAATTTTAGGTTTTAGACTGCTGCGAGTAGTACTGTAAGGGTGCCGTTACATAGGCCTCTTTAGCATGACATGTGCGATTTAGTATTAATATTTACTTTCACCACAAAAAGCTCTATAAAGCGATCAACTGCCGAACTTCTGATGTTTTTCAACTGTGTTTATTCTTTGTGCCAACTTATTCTTCTCTAAAGCAAAATCGTGATATTGTGTAGTTAACCAATTATTTTTCCGTTTCCCCGTACATTATCAGCCTTATGCTCTTTTAATTATGCAGCCGTATTTTAATACGTACTTTTCTGAGGGCTACCTTGAGATCGCGGTTCCACCGGCGCCGACATTTTGAGTTGGCATCAGAGCAAGCCGCTTTCAAAAGAAAAGTATCTATGTGTATGCTTTATATGCTTATTCTTGATTGCCCGAAAATTTAGCTTTTCGATACTTACCAGTCAGAACGTTGCGAAATGTAAAACTAAAGTTCAAAGTGCTTCCAAATTGCTACGGTAGCTTATTTCTAGAGAAATGTAAGATGCAGTGTAGCACATTGTAAACCAAAGTAGATGATGACGATTTTGATGAGAAATTTGGAATTTGTGAAACTGTACTCGTATTCAAGTTTGCGTCAGCCTGGACTGCGCGAACTTATTGTTAGAATTAAAATGACATGCATAGCCCGGAAGAAACAATAGGATTGTATATTTATACCGCCACCGCTGCTAATTAAGATCAATTAATATCAACTCATCCGAACCATCAATTAATATTAACTCATCAACTCATCAGTCTCATCAACTCATCAAGTAATATTAACTCATCCGAACCTACAACATTATAACTGTTGGCAGTGCCACCCAGCAAAACTTACAATCCAAACACGGCTTGTCGGGTAAAGATCATCGGTCCACACGGTACTACTGTGCGACTAATCCGGTGTCCTACCGAGGATAGCAAGGAACGCTATGCATTTATTCCCGTTCCGTCGTACTGCTGCGGTTCAGAAAGCGATAAAGCTTGCTGCCCATGGAGTGTGTATGTCGTTAACTATGTCGGTGGTGGAAACACAAGGTCGGGTGAGTTGCAACATACCGGAAATGTCGGTTGTCAAACAACAGATGCACAAGCATTGGTTGACGTCCCACCCCGTTGTGTTACCTCGACATCAGTTCTGGCTTACAGTTACAGAAATGTAATGTTTCTTCATATACCTCTGTCAACTTTTTGCAACCTTTTATCCAGAAAGACCTTTAATAGTATTTCTTGCGCATTTTCCCTCGTAGACGTGTGCCCTCCACGGGAATTTAATTACACATTTGCTGCATGTGTATTGCAGCTTCTCGCATAATTTTAGTATGAAAAATTGATCTTGATTCATTGCTTCGAGCTTCTGAGTGGATAATTGGACCCTAATTATAGATGCCAACAATTTCCAACAATAATTTTTCTATCATTAATTAAAGCAGCTATCGATAGGAAAATGAATTTTCACTCAAATTATGCTGATGTCAAATTCTGAATTACGTCTTTAGTAAAAAATCGCATAAAATTGCACATTTTCTAATTAACAATCCTAAGCCAGACATTTGTGACAGTTTTTATTACTGCGCAGCAGAGGAAATATGTCTGTTCTGTTGGCGGCAAGTTTGCTAACCACAAGCAGTTTAAACAGGAAATCACCAGGGAAACAAACGGTACAAGGAATGTAGAATTATTATATATTTAATAAATAAAGGAGAATAATTAATGAATGACTTTATTGTTGCAGGCTTGCAGTTTTCGTGAGCATCTTTATAGTAAGTCCGCACGATAATCGATATACATACGATGTGATCCTGTGAATATGAGAAGCACAGAATGCCATTTACCGGGCCTAGCTATGCATAGATCAGCGTAGCTCTGAGTTACCTGACTAAGACAAGTTATTCTGAATGCATCGACATGCAGCTGTTGTAATCCCAAAAATTAAAATGATTTGAAATTTAGGTAGCATCTATGATGCTTCTGTTGGTGATCTGTGGAGTTTTCCACTTTTGTTGTGTCAGGAGATGGAAGCGAAACGTCACTAACAAATTTCGACAACGCCAACCAGCACCATCGCCCAAAGATACAATTTCCCGGCGAAGCAGCATCATTACGATGGACCCGGCATCCCGAAGCTACTACGACCCCAGTGACCAAGACGTGTACGTCCTCCCTCTAAAAGGGTTACCAATTAACCTGAAGGTTCCATGATGCTTCTGTTCAACACTCAGAGAGCATAATTTTGATCGAATGCAGTAATCAATTTCGCTATAGGAATAAGCTAATACCATACGTTTTGCACAATAGTTAAAAAAAGCTGATCGTTCTACTCTGTTAAAAAATAAATAATCCCGTAGACGGTGGTCCTTTGCTTTCGTATTTATTTTGCGGTACGGTGTTTATTGCTTATAACGATCGTTTTTGAGGAGTTTGATTTTACTTAGATTAATATGACGGCAGATAACATATACACAATGTGTACATGTCGTGTGTAGCTGAAAGAACGTATACTTAATTAGTGAGGGTAGGTACAAAGTGGGCCAAGTTTTAAAACTTTTAAAACTTTTAAAAATAAAATTAATAATATATAGTTTTGACAGTGATTTTTCAAAAAGCGGTTTTAAGGTTTTAGCAGTTTTTAAAAATAAAACTAATAATATATAGTTTTGACAGTGATTTTTCGAAAAGCGGTTTTAAGGTTTTAGCAGTTTTTAAAAATAAATAATATATGGTTTTGACAGTGATTTTTCGAAAAGCGGTTTTAAGGTTTTAGCAGTTTTTAAAAATAAATAATATATAGTTTTGACAGTGATTTTTCGAAAAGCGGTTTTAAGGTTTTAGCAGTTTTTAAAAATAAATAATATATAGTTTTGACAGTGATTTTTCGAAAAATGGTTTTAAGGTTTTAGCAGTTTTTATAAATAAAACTATTAATATATAGTTTTGACAGTGATTTTTCGAAATGCGGCTTTAAGGTTTTAGCAGTTTTTAAAAATAAATAATATATAGTTTTGACAGTGATTTTTCGAACAGTGGTTTTAAAGTTTTAGCAGTTTTTAAAAATAACATTATTAATATATAGTTTTGACAGTGATTTTTAGAAAAGTGGTTTTAAGGTTTTAGCAGTTTTTATAAATAAAACTATTAATATATAGTTTTGACAGTGATTTTTCGAAAAGTGGTTTTAAGGTTTCAGCCATTTTTAAAAATAAATAATATATAGTTTTGACAGTGATTTTTCGAAAAGTGGTTTTAAGGTTTTAGCAGTTTGTAAAAACAGAATTAATAATATGCAGTTTTGACAGTGATTTTCAGAAAGTGGTTTTAAGGTCTTAACAGTTTTTAATAATAAAATTATTAACCCGTTGACGGGCATTGGCGTTCAGGAGGCGACAAGGTGTTTGGGATTTTTTCCTTTGCGACTGGCAACAGTTAATCGTTATCCTTTAATGTAGTAAGCAACATGGGACTTTAAAGCAACAGTAAAAATATAATAGAAACTTTTGTCTAAAGTTAATTACGAACGACAGGTCCGCGAAATTCGTTAATTTTGGACTTTCCTAGCTGCCGTAGGTCTTGCTAATTAACTAATTAGTAAATGATTAATTAAACCGGAGATAAATCAGCAGGGTACAATTGACAGAGCTGAATCTAAAAACGGTTAACACGGGTTCTGTAGGTTGAACCACAGATGACCACAGTCCGTCAAAAACGTGTGTCGCCTACTAAACGCCATCAATGCCCATGAAGGGTTTTGAATACACGGGCGGGTGCAATTTCGACAGCAGCGCTTTATACGTAATCGATTCAAGATCTTGTCGGTTTGTACCCAAACGTGCGCCACACGGTTACAATTGTCGGAATCAGGCAAAAAGCCCCTTTTCTGATCAGCCCCCGGGCGATCGACGAAAAAGCAAAGTTGTCTCAAACGTTGTCTGCCTCCGGACAATAAAACGTTCAAGGAAACAGTGTATGTACGGTAACGATATAAAATGGCACCATAGCACTTTGCGCTCTGCCGCGTTTCTTCCTACGCTAGCGATATGCATCGCTTAAGAAACAAAGTAAGAGAGTCCGATAGCTTTAAAAAATATGAGAATTTTAATTTCGACCAGCCTCTGGCATTTGCAAACTTTAGTGATTACAACTTGTAATGTGCACATTGTCATTGGTGATGCTGACCTTTGCGGCAGGCTTACGGGTTACTTTCGGCTACTTGTGCGTTTTAAAAAGTGCTAGTGCGTAGAGACCGCTTATATCTGAATCTACGCCTATCACAACTGCAGCTGCACCATCCCCAACGCTTTTTGGTACTGCCCCTTGCGGCTAAACCCAGGAAAAGTGCAACCGCGGACGACGCGGCATCATAAAATGGTCGAAGTGCAGCAAGCACAATGACAAACTTCATACGGAGTGCTTTATGCAGTACCATAATATGCAGTTGTAATAAGCGTTATGGCAAAGAAATATCATCGGCGTAATTTGTTTTATGTATTTTATTGAGTCAAAACACATGGAAACGGGTTTTGACAGCTTTTAATTTTTTTGCTTGACCAGTGGTCAACACATCGTCAACGTGTTGACCACTTCTATAGTGCTGTTTTAAAGCACTTTTTTTAGCTGTTTAATAAAGTTATTGCTTTTACGTAATAACTGTTTGCCTATTATCGCAGTGTAACGTAGGGTTCTTCTTTATTAAAAGCTCTCAATGCTAACAGATGACTTCGCCTAACACTGAATTGTTACAACATAGACGGGATTGTTAAATACCGCGTAGAAGAGGTAGAAACATCGAGAAATTCTACGGATAAGTGTGCACTCAAATGTAGTGCTGACTCTGCACTCTGGACCGGATGTCCTGAGTGCTTCGTGCGTAATATGTATGCACGTTGTGCTGACTTCAAAATAACTAACACTCAAGTGGACACGTAACGATATTACTGTATGTGACATTGTCTTAACACGTTTTAACTGCATGATACAATTAACCATGCTACACTCCCCTTCTAAAGAAAAATAATCGAAGATTATTTATACTTCGTTCGTGCTTTTCGTTCGCGTAGATTGTATCTTGATTTATCCTTTTCTTGGTATTCGGGTGATGTGTCGGCAAAAGGAATATTAGTTCTTTCTTCATGGTCTTCCGGTGTTGTTTTGGCGATTTGGATATTTTCTTCTTCGTCCAACTTGTCGTGCCAAGGCTTCAGTTGGGAAACGTGTACAATGTCCGTCTTGCGTCTTCCGTTTACATTTTCTATCTCGTAATTCACGTTGTTTAACTGGCGGATTATGCGGTATGGTCCGTGCCAGTGCTTTAATAGTTTAGTAGTAAGGCGAGTATCAGCTGCGATGATTTTTCCATCTTTGTTTACAAGACGTGCTACGTTCCAGCGATACACAAGTGCATTTGGCTGATATTGCGTAGCTTCTCTCCTCTCGTTATATGGAACTTGATTCCGTTCGTTTCCGTCTATACAGCGTAATTTGGCTAGTTCCTGCGCATCCTTTATAAATTCTGTTGTCTGTTTTACGTAATGGTGAAGGTCGTGGATGGCTTCCGGTTGGTTTAGTGCTGTGTCAAGGGCAGATGTTGCTTGCCGTCCGTGTAGAAGTTCGTATGGAGAGTATTTAGTAGTTGCGTTGACGGTAGTGTTAATGCAGTGTGTGACGAAAGGAAGGTACTGGTCCCATTTGTTGTGGTCATCGCAGTATTTCGACAGGCATTCGGCAATGGTCTTGTTTGCTCTTTCTGTCATTCCGTTACTTTGTGGATGATAGGAAGTGGTAAACCGCTGGTGACAGTTAAGTAGCTTTGTTAACTGAGATAAAAGATCATTGCAGAAATGTCGTCCACGGTCAGATACGATGTATTTAGGTACTCCGTGACGTAGAAAAATTTGTTCCATTAAAAATTTAGCGGCATTTTCTGCTGTTGCGTTTCTCACCGCCTTCGTTTCAATCCACTTACGGAGGTGGTCAATGGCGACATTTATGTACTGGTTCCCTTTGGTGGATGTTGTATATGGGCCTTGATAATCTATTCCGATGGTGTGCCAAGGTCCTTCCACAGGAAATGGTTGCAAAAATCCGGCTGGCTTCCCTGGCGGAGGCTTTTTAACATTACAAGGAATACATTGTTTATTGTACGTAGAGATGGAGTCTGTCATGCCGGGCCAATAGTATTTGTCGTGGAGCTGGTGGTACATTTTCTCCGTTCTGGAGTGTCCGTTTACGTCGTGAGCATTGTATAGGACTTCTTTCTGCATCGTTTTCGGGATAACTAATAAGGTCACCATTTTGTCATTACGGTATGCTATCCGGTATAGTAAATCGGAAATTAGTGTGAATCTTGTACGTCGGTATTTGTGGGCTTCGGTATGTGGCGGTCCCTTAAGGATTCCGGTAATTCTTTTGCAAAAGTTATCGGTTTGTTGTTCCTGTTTCAAACTGGAAGTAGTGATGTGGAATAACGGGCTGGCAAACGTTTGACTTTTAGGTGTGTTTGAGCAATCAAATGGATATCTTGAGAGGCAGTCCGCTACTACATTTTCTTTTCCTGCTCTATAGCCGATGTTGAAATTATATTGGCGTAATCTTAAAATCCAACGTGCGTGACGTCCTGTTAAATTCTTTGCGTTAATTAATCCTCGCAAGGCGTTGTGATCCGTCACAACTTCAAAAGTCCTGTTTGGATCACCTATGTATGGGCGAAATTTGTCGAGTGCCCATACAACTGCCAATAACTCCTGTTCCGTGGCGCTGTAGTTTCGTTCTGATTTCGATAAGGCTTTGCTGGCATAGGTAATGACGGTTTTCTTCCCATCTTTCTCAATTTGGTGCAGGACAGCACCAAGTCTTACGCCGCTGGCGTCTGTCTCTACGATGTGTGGTAAATTCCGGTCGAAGTGTGCCAGGATAGATTTAGTGGTCAAGGCTTGTTTCAATGTGTCGAAGGCTTTCTGTTGAGCTACTGTCCAGTTGAAAGCTGTATCTTTGCAGGTCAGTTGATGTAAAGGTGCAGATATTGAAGCGAGGTTAGGGATAAACTTACTGTAGTATCCCACCATTCCGATGAAGCCTCTTAGTTGTTTCCTGGTTGTCGGTGGTTGGTACTTCTGTATAGCTTCAACCCGTTTAGGATTTGGGAATATGCCGTCGGGATTGACTAGGTGTCCCAAAAAAAAATTCAACTTCTCTGTGTCCAAAATTGCACTTCGAGGGTTTAAGCTTAAGTCCTGCTTGGGTCAGCCATTGTAAAACTGTCTCCACTTCTTCTAAGTGTTCCTGGAATGTCCGGCTATGGATGTTTATATCGTCCAAGTAAATTACCACAAAACGGCCAATCAATCCAGTAAAAATCTTATTCATCATGCGTTGGAATGTAGCGGGGGCATTGGTCAGCCCGAATGGCATGACCTCAAACTGATACTGATTAGTCGATGTGAGGAAAGCTGTTTTGACCTTGGATGATTCTTCAATAGGAATTTGCAGGTATCCTTGAACTAAATCCAAACTAGTAAAATATTTGCTACCTCGTAGAGATTCCAAACAGTCGTCTATTCTTGGGGATTGGGTATTTATCTTTTATGGTAATTTTGTTTAAATCTCGGTAATCCACACATATACGGATTTTGTCTTTTTGCTGTATGGGAACTAAATTGGCTGCGTACTGGGACTGGCAAGGTGAAATAATTCCCAGTTTTAACCATTCGTCTATTTGCTTGTCGATGGCTTCCCGTTCCCACTGCGAAAAACGTCTCAAATGTCTTGAAGTCGGTTCGTTGTTTCCGGTATCTATATAACATTTCGCACAGTTTGCACGTCCCATTGGTGATTGCTTTGTTGGAAATATTTCGCGATATTTAAATAGTAATTTCAGGATCATATTCTTCTCTTCGCCGTTAAGTTCTGGATCTAACTTGAGCATGTTCTCGATTTCTATCATTGACGGCTTGTCGTCTATAAACTTTGATGAATCCCCCAATAAATCTTTTGGGCTTAGTTGCCCATTCTCCTCTGCGTACGCCTTTTCTTCCTCTTCTCTCTCTTCTTCCTCTCTCTCTTCTTTCTCACTCTCTTCTTTCTCATCTCTCTTTTCTTCTTTCTTCTCCGGAGACTCCTTTGTGAACATCGTGCCTTCAGTTAATCCTAGGTGTTTCACTGATAAATAGCTCTTATCCTCCCGTTCATTGCGCATATGGTCGGGTTTTCGTTCATCGTCAACCCTCCGACCAAGTTGGCCAAACTTAGGCAAAGGTTGTGCTGATGATGTCCGGTTGCGGAGAAGCGCATTCTTGGATGGTATTGGCAAGGTGTTCCTTAGGTCGGCCATTAAACGTGCCTTTGGATTGAAAATTTTATTCTGTGTAAAATCAATGACAAAGGGCGTTGACCGTAAATAGTCGGTTCCAAGCAACATGGCGTATGGAAACCCTTCCAGTATGGCTGCTTCTATCCATACTCTCTCTTTCATCAAATCTACGGGGACTCTACATGCTCCTGAAATATTTAATTTATCACCTGATGCGGACCATTCCAAGGTTGTCTTGCTAACTTCTTTTTGTTGAAAAATTTTTGATTTATAATTGAAATTCCAGATCCAGTATCTATGATGGCTTCTATTGGCTCATTGTCAACTCGTACTTTGCAGGTTATTGCGCCGGTTGTTGAATTTGTACAGACCAGTTGATTGTTTACCGTAGCAAGAAGAGCCTCGTCTGCCACGGTCTTCAGTTTAACTCAGGAATTTCCGGTACATCGTCGTGCTCTTCGTAGCTGAAGTACGACGGCTGTGTGTTGTTGTTATTCCTGTGGCGGTTGTAATTTCCTCCCCTGGAAAAGTTGTTCCTGTTTCCTCTAAAATTCTGGTCAATATTTCCTCCTTGGCTTCTGCATTCACGAGCGGCGTGACCTTTTCTTCCACATTTGTTGCATTTTGTCCAGCAATCTTTCTGCAGGTGTCCTCTGTTT